ACATTAATGCCTCAACCCAGATCTTCCATTTGAGATTTACCGTCTTTAAGTGTGTGAACACACGGGATCCAAGGAAAGGTCTGAAGAGCAGGACACTGACCTCCAGACCTCTGTCGTAAAATCCTGCTCAGCCATAAAAACTGCATTCCTTTGGAGAAAGAACACAAATGACTGATAATGGCATCTTATGCATTCAGCAATGCACTAATCTGTCTAACCATGAAATTTGTGTTAAAATGAGTTGTGTCCCGTTTTTCTAGGTGCTTCAGAAGCCAAGTTATCACCCTGACAGAATAAATCCTTTATTCTTTAGTTTCATCAACAGCTTTTTAGACTGTGTCATATACTTTTAAGAGTCAAATTCACAGAGTATGAATCATAACTTTACTCTAAGTAACAGAAATAGTTTAGAAATTTTTGGTTTATATTCTTATCATTTATTTAGTATTTTTAACCATTAGGTGGTTATAATGTCACTGAATAATCTGAATGTGAGTATTTAGAATCCATTATTAATCATGATGACGTTCATTCACATATCTTTACTCTTTTGTTGTTCACAGTTTCTATGTGTTACTATCTGTTTCATTTCAGAGGAATTTATCATGTTCAGTGTGATACTTAAAACATAATGAGAATGTTTGTTTTGTGATGCTACAGTTCTTTATATTTGTTTTGTATCAAATCATCTATGATGAACCAAGTATTCAAAAACATTAATCTTATTGAGTGAGCATCAGATCGGACTTCTTTACCAGCCAAAAGTATAAGTTGGATCAAATAATCAGGGTCTTGAAGGTCTCCTCTAAAGAAGCTGCTCTTAGTTCTCTCTTATTTTCTCTTAGCTCTTACTAGTACTACTTAATCTTACTTTTTCCTCATCCTCTTATAATTTTTACACTACGTGTTCATTCACGTTGTTTGAATTTTTCTTTAACATCGTCTTAGTTCAAGTTTTGAAACTTCCATTTTTTGTACGCATAGCAATCCAAGATTAAGTCTTTAACTGATTTTTCTTTAATTTTGCGAAGCCATTTTTGAAATAGTTTCGATTGGCCATCAAGCTTCTCTTTCTTAGTTATCTGCGTGATTTCAAAGTCACCTCTGAACACCACCCAGCAGGCCCAAAGTCATCCTCTGTGCCAGAGTTTTGCAGTGAGACCAAAGGAGCATCCAAACGATCCATAAGGCGCTCGTTTTTGCATTCAGGCCTGTGTGCTGTGACTCCTGGTCTATCTTTTAGCTGACTTTGTTCCTCTGCTGAGCCGAACCTCTCAAACCGCTGGTAGCCCGGACCTTCGGTACCTGCTTCACCCTCTCCAAAGACCAGTCTCACTTAAGTATGCAAACCTCCAGAGCTCCAAACAGGGCTGATGCTGTCTCATGTGGTCAGAATTCAAACAATCACTAATTCATCCTTAATTCATCTAAATCCACATCCAAATTTATCTTGACACCAAAGTTAGTGAAGGTTAATATGTTAGAGCATATTCACTCACTATCATTAACTTTAGTAATCAGTAGTGGTTTCAGGCCCCTGAAGTCTCTACAGTCTGCTACAAGGTTCTAGTTACTATATGGGATTCAGATTTCCTCCTTTCCCCTGACAGACTAGCTACCTGTCACAGGAGACCACTGTAACAGTGGGAGGTTTTTGATTGAGTAAATTGAGACAAAATTCTTGTTCACAAATCGCTGTGTTTGTGATTTTAAAGTCTGCAGTTGTATCTGCTGTTGAGGGATTTGTCTCTTTGATTCGTGTTCCTGTGAATGATTTTATTGAACCAATCCACCGCGAGCAGGCAGTGTAAAGTTCTGTTTATGTTTGAGGGTGCAGAGGCAGCCTGCTGTGAAATTTTAACCCTTTGTTGTCAGTGAGAGGCTGACTCTTCAACAGATAAAGGCCCTTCAAGGAGGTGGAACCAAAATGCCCCTTCCTTCCTTCTTCCTGTGACTCCCCACAGCCACAAGCAGAGGGCTGGTTTGTTACAAACATCTGAGTTTTAGTTATGTTTCTGCATACTCAGGAATGATTTTAACCATGGACTGTCATAAATAAACATTAAGCAGATAGGTAAAGATGCAATTTCAACATGTCCAAGCATCCTGACTCATAGCCACGTATTAGGGTTTGTAAAAAACGAAACTGTTTGTAAATCTGTCAAGATTTCAGTGAGTTAAGAGTATTTTTGATAATGTAGATAACTCACCTTCTAACAGCTACCGCAGAGCGTACCAGAATGGTATACTGGAGTAAGATGGCCACCGTGTAGGGACGCTGCTGACTCTGCCTCGAGCCATCTAACCTTCCTTATAGATATCTATGGCCACAAGTGGCTATTTGGATGACTGTTCCTTTATTTTTCTTCTTCCCTTCTTGTGGTGAGCTTGTGCTGTTATCCCAGTTCCACACATGGTTGCTTTTGGTATTGAGTTAACACGATTATTATCTGCCTGCAGTATCAGCCAACTGTACCACCTCTCTGTAGTCAGTGTGTAACACTCTACAGACATAACTCCAGTGGTTGACTTGGTTGAAAGAGTTTGATGTGCTTATTCTAAATCATTGATCATTGATTTTTGATTTTCATCTGTAATATAAGAGCCTTGATAATGTATTGATAAAGTAACTCCCTGAATGAATCACCTAATTTTGTTGTTACTGGCAAACACAGAAAGTGTTTGCCAGGTCGGATCTAAGAGAACCAAGTCTGAAAAATCTCCCCATGACTACTCAACTAACCAGTGAGACTGACACCCACCCGAGCCATGTAGACGTCAGTCATGTGAAAGCAGATGTCACCCAGTCAAAGTTAAAGGGCTCCAATAAGATATTCAAATGCTGTGGTGATACATTGATGACTGCAACTCCATTTGCTGCTTTCTTTGCTAGCATTTGTCCGGGAGGGACAGGAAAAGTCCAAGCATACTGCTACGAAGCCAGAAACTGGACACCTAGCCGTGGCCCGGGACTGGAAAATGCTTGTTGACGTCGACCAGCAACTAATTTTTCCGTCTGAGATCACGACCACCAACCTTAGGCCAGACATGGTACTCTGGTCTCCTTCACGAAGATCTGTGTTCATCATAGAACTCACAGTCCCGTGGGAGAACTCTGTTGAGGAGGCCTATGAGCGAAAAAAGCTGCGATACACAGAGCTAGCAGCAGACGCAATTCAACATGGCTGGAATGCAAAAGTCTGTCCGGTTGAAGTCGGATGTAGAGGATTCGTGGCCTCTTCCACCATCAGGCTGCTGAAGGAACTTGGAATCCAGGGACAGGCTCTGCGGCAGACCATCAGATCAGTCTCTGAAGCAGCTGAAAGGGGCAGCCAGTGGCTATGGACTAAACGGAAGGACCCTTGCTGGGCCCTAAGAACATGACACCCCCCCCCCCCCCCCCAACCTGAGAGCCCGAATCCCAACCCTCCAACCTGAGGAGGGCCCATGAGGTATGCGGTCAGCTGTAGGCTTGGCTCAGGGAAGAGGACGCCCCTGCCTTGCATAGTCCCTTGGGATATTAGCCATGTTACAGCTAGGCTAATCCTAATGATTGGGCATGGGACACAAGCTAAGGCTTGATCACCCTGTAGCTGGCCGCCTTTGATGAGGGTGTATAGTGTTTAAAGGCCGAAACACCCCCTGATTCAAAGGAACACTACTGAGGATGTGTCCTGAAATTTTACATCTAACCCCACTCTTAGGAACATATCTCTCCCATGCCACTCTTAACATCACGGCAAATCTCATGTGAGTGCACACCATCTATTGGCACAATGGACAGTCACATCACGTCCCGTGTTTTTATGAATCTCTCCTCTGTCAATGTGGTTAGCTTGTCAGCTGTCAAATATCCCATGAGTAGATAAAAAGATGAAATTTCTGTCATTAAGATTCAGATTGACCAATTTCAGACTCAACAGCAGATAATTGGCCAAACCTTTAAAGACATCATCCTCAAGTTTAACAAAGTTTAAGAGAAACCCTTGTTGCAGTAAACTCTTTGATGTTTGTGATTCAAGTTCGCTATGCTCATACACGGCTGATTAATATGTCTATAGAAGACATTTCTTTTTCACCTAAATCTTAACCATTTTGGAAACTGAAATTGAACTTTCAGACTTCTCCAGCAAGCATAAATAACAGCTACATCCTTAGATCCAGTTAGCATTCACACTTAATAGTGCTTTTCTAAATCTCATTTATTATAAATTCAAAATCGCTACACATAACATGCAAGGACAGCCCGTTAATAACGCTGTGTGTCCTCTGTGTTTGTCTTTGGAAGTCACATTTTAATCATGCAAATTTCTACCAGATTTAGTTTATGAAATTACCACTACAAAATCATTACCAAAAACATTAAGTGCGTGGTCTTGTACTCCTGGGAATTGACCAGTATGGTGGGTGTTCAGAGGATTTTAACATTAAAACTCAGCCAGCACTGCTCTGTGTGTGGTTTACTACCAATCAACACCTACAAGTTGTCAGGTGTGTGGCCAGTCTACTTTAGCTAGTTTTTAAGAAGTCTTACCTGTACATTTTATTTAGAAACTTTGTTTGATACATGTTGGGCTCACTATAATCCCTCATGGCTTATATTTAGGCTTAGTAGGTATTTTGGCAAGTTGGCCAACCTCACTTTGAATAAAAGAAACTATTCATGTAAAATGAGCTGGCCTCACTTGCTGTTCTCACATTACATGTATATTAATGTTACTGCCTGTAACTGTTCTTAGGTTACTTCCATTTCACCCAACTATTTCACAGTGAAAGGTGAACAAGATGTCCCCAAAACACAGACTGCTTATGAGCTCATGAATGAAAACGAGGTAAAGCAATCTTAAATAGTCATGTACACTGACTAGTATCGCTAACAGCTGCATTAAATTGAGGAGGATACTGTGGTGTGACAAACAATGAGACTTAATTTTCTCCACCTTTCTGAGTCCGACGTTCATATTTTGGAGTTTCATAGGCAGACGGCGCCACCTTGTGACCATACTGCTGCCATCACAGAGAGGGTGGAGCCAAACACGAGGACTTTGTCTGAACTAGTTTGTCTCTTTGTTAAGGTTTCTGTCTAAAAGAAGTACTGCAGACATGTCCCTGGAGGACCTGGCGGCCCGACTTAACAACACAGAGTATAAAAACTGGCTAAAAGCGGGTCGGTGTCTCCTCATCCTGAGGGAGGGTCTTCATCCCTTTGTCTCTCACCACACAAGGGCTTTCCACGCTGACCTGCTCAACCAAAACACCCTTCTGAGGAGACCGTGCGTCACGTCAACGTGTAAACCGAAAGGGAACAAGGTTAGAGATAAACCTTTAAACACTGGCCTATCTGTGGTAAAATTGAGTCTGAAAGCCTCTGAGAAGGTACCTTTGAAGAAACTCAGCCATCAGTAACTCAAGCTACACTCAGCCAATATCTGACTATCATCACATTTCAATGTTTCACAGCTGAAAACAACCCGGAAATGTACGAATAATGTACGTGTAGATAAAAGCTGAAACCCAATTGGCTCATTAAAAGCCTCTGCCTGCATTCAGATATTATATATATTAACATGAGAACGATAGAGTAAATGAAATGTCAATCAAGTGGATGGCACAATAGACATAGTAACATAAAAACTGTAAATAGTGTTAGTCTGTGATACAGAAGAGAAAAGTGGTATCTTGCGTTATAGACATGCGTAAAACTGTCTACATCTTACTAATAATGCCACAAACCGTACATGATTAAGTGTTAACATTAAAGTAGAGCATTCATTAAAACAGAGGTTACTATCTTATTCAAGTTTTGGCCTGGTGGGAAAAGCAGCTCCAAAATCTGGACCCTCCCAAATCCCCAAAAAAGGTTGAAAATGTCCATTCAGCCATCGAAACAGTTTTGTCTTTTCCAGTGTATTTATTTTGTAGCTTTTTATTGGTGATATGTAAAAAAAGTATATATCCCATAACTCAAAATGTTTTACCTGTGCCTGTGTTGCTGTGTTGCCTAGGACCATCTGACCCACTAAGAATCTGTTATTTGAATGAGTTTGGTTCATATCCCTTTTGCTTGAGTTTGTCCAGTTACAGACAATATTATTCATTAAATATGTTTTTTGTATGCAGTTATTTGTTGTTTTTGTTTTTTGTTTTTTTTAAGATAGAGGAACAGATTAGACTCGTTGCTCTGGTCAGGTGATGATCCCACCAAAATGTTGCTGGACAACCTTTTGATGTGATCCCATGATAATTGTATAGTACCTCCTTGTCCTCAGAGCTGGTTTTATGTGTATTCATGCAGTTTTGCTCACCATGCCGGACATGTTCAGTGTGGCAGACAGAGATTCTGAGACACCACAGACAGAGAGACCCCACAGTGAACTGGGACAACTGCTTCCCTCCACACTGGAGAACAGACCACTGGGAACTAGCGAAGGTACTCTAAATACACACCTGCGCATGCACATGCACATGAGCTCCATTCTTCTATGATAATAATGATCATCATGAGACAATTCTTAGCCTGCATGCTGTGTGTAAATCTAACAGACTGAGAAGTCCTCTGAAGGATCTGTTACTGTTTTTGTGCAGGCATACATGCCTCGAGGTCAAGGCAAAGTGAAGAGGGCAGATCAGTGTGATGCTGCTGCTCTACTCAACCTGATCAACTTCTGTGATTGTTTTCAGTCTGTGGATCAAAAACTTGTGACAGAGGTAAACACTGCGCCGTCAAGCCTTTAAACAGTAACAAAGAATCAAACTATTGTTGGCCCATCCAGGGGCCTAAAAATGTTGTTTAAAATGGATATGAAATAAGGAATACGTTTGTTTTTTGTAAATTTTTTGAGTGTGTGTTTCCAGGTGATCCGTCACAGGAATGAGTTGATGCACTCCTGTGAGTTAGGTGTCGAAGATGAATGGATGAGGCACTACCAGGCCGCACTGAGGAACTTCCTGCGTCAGTTCAGAAAAGTGACATCAATGGCAGCAGCTACATATCGAATAGAGGAGGTGTGTGTGTAAAACTCTGAAGCTGCAGCTGTTACATTGGTGTTATTTTGTCTCACAGTTTGCGTGTGATCCTTTTGTTTGCTCAGATGCTGACTGTTGACTTGTCCATATCGGTCTCTGGTTTGGACCGCGTAGATACCTCCCTCCACGGTGGATTACAGACTGATACCATCAGCCATTGGGGGACCAGCAATGACTTAATCAGCCAATGGGAGGCTGAGCTGCTCCAAGAGAAGCTGCAGGAGCTCCTTTATGATGAAGATACAAAGAAACAGGTTAGAGGAACAAATACAAGTCCAGATCTGTACAAGCTGGTCACACTTAGACATAAAACCTTTGAAGAGAGCAATCACATGACTGTATGTCCCTCTGTGTTTCCTCCTCAGGGCTCTGAGCACTTAAAGAGACTGGCCGTTTTCCTGCAGGCAAACAGAGATCTGTGTGAAAGGTTTTCTGTCGAGCTCCAAACCATCAACTCCTTAGAGGCTGGACTCTGAATTGAACGAGAGTATGAGGAGCATGCTGTGCAGTGTATTTATATTTAGTGTTTATAAAAGGGGACCTGGTCATCTGCATTTTGATGAACTTTTATATCAGTTTTTATTTAAAAGATCAATGTAAAAAAAACAAATGTCATGAAAAATAAAAATGGTTGAGGGTCTGTAAATGAAGGAAGTGGCAGCTGTCAGTGTTGGTGGGGGATATTGGTTCAGTAGTCACTGGAATCACAGTTTGTCATGAGGGTAGTCGTGCAACAGCATCATCAATGATTGATACACTTTTTGTTTTTCACTAAAAATGAATTGAGTCCTTTAACTACTAGGGTGGGTAAAAAGCAGTGTGTTGAAGTGATTTTTTTATACAGGGATACAGCAAACTTTTTTTTTTTTTTAACGAAGTCAGTTATCTCTGAAATACAACAGGAATTATGGACATTTTTGTCTTGTTTTCTTAATTTATGAGACAATAACCCTAATTGAGAGGAACAAGGTGGAGGCAATCATCCCTTTAACTCTGAAGAATAGCTGAACTTATTGAATGCAACACTCTATTGTAGTTTTATTAACCTTAAAACAACAAATACAACAATAAAGAATTGTTTCTTCCCCACTGCCATATGGGCACTAAACGAATACCTGAAATAATGTGTATTCACATCTGTGATCTTGTATTGTAGCATTGTTTTTTTTATTTTCTGTGGCCACTAATAAATAATTCTGGTTCTGGTTCTGATCCTGGTTTGAGCAGAGCTGCAGCCAGTACTCTCCTCACAGAACCCCTCCTCCTCCTTGTGCTGGGGCGAGGTTGGTGTTAACAATGAAAGTGCGTCAGGGCAAAACCACAGGGTAAGCTGGGTTTATTTCCACTCTCAGTTTGGTGACAGCAGTGCGAAAGGTCACACTTGACACAGGTCTTAAAACAGGTGTTACAGTGCCAGTTAATTTACCGAAAGACGCAGCTGTCTTGAGTCCAAACAGAAATGAGCCGTGGCTTCTCCTCATTTCCAGAGTAGCACATGTAACTCCTGACAAACCTCTAAATATTGGCCTTACCAAAGCTCAGCAGATTCAATGTTAAATATGCTTAATTTATAACAAGCTCTTCGAATGAATGTCCCCAGTTTTTCTCATGTTGAAAAATTAAATTAAAATACTGATGCAAACTACCATGACCTGAGTTTTGATCACACTGTTGCCTTTCTCAGCTCTTGGGCACAGACATGAGAGTGTGTGCACCACAGGTTTATTTTTGGAGGAGAGGGCACTCGCAGCAAATGAGAGCAAGTCTATATGCAGGTTCTCTTTACTTTTTCTAATACTAGTAAAAAAAAACATTGATAATAGCAAGAAAATAAAATGTGACAATAATTCCAAAGGTCCAGCGAGGAGCTTTTAGAGCAACTAGAGAAACAGCCCTGTTTATACAATTTAATCATGAATAGATAATTTCTCTATCAAAATTCAGTAGGGTGAGATCTTTTTGTCAAAAATTATCTTTGCATGAGGTCAAGATAAAGAAAAAAAAAAACCCTCAGCAGGTTAGGTTAGATTAGACACAACTTCATTTATCTTTTTGGGAAGGTTCCCTCAAGTAAATAAAAATTCCAGTAACATCATGTACAGCAAAGAAAAAAGAATGATCAAATAAGTAATATATATAAAAAATGTAATAGAAACTTCATATAATTTAAACTTCATACATAAAAAGTAAGACTTAAAGCTTTGGACATTTGTGCATTGCTGTTAAAACAACTACTAGTTCATATATAACTATTCCTACATAGCTATTCGGCATGTTTTCAGCATATTACAAAATTGTTTTGGTCTCTATATCTTTATTTATTGATCCATTTGAAGGTCTTAAGGCAAAAAGTTTGCGTATTTGTGCACAATTAGGGTTTAGACTGAGTGGACTGACAGCAGAGCATTTGGTAGCTGTTTGCTAAAAGCTCTGTCTCAGCTTCACCTCTTTTCTTCGTGTGAGTTGTCAGAATTTAGAGTCAGCACTTCCAATAGGGTGACTTCCGTCTTTGGGCCTCATAAGGCCTCTTCAGAAACTAATGACATCATCCACACTAAAGCCATGTTTGACACGATCTATGGGTTGGAGCAAGGCTGTACTTAGTCACCCAATGAGAACAACTTGTGATTGCTTAGCAACCTTTTTTGTCCTTTGCTTTAGATGAAAACAGATGCTTTAACATGAAAACATTTTGTGTGATTGTTTCGGTTGACTGGTGGTTCCTCTGTGGCTAATGTTGTCTGCGCAGAACTGCCGGATCTTCTATTTTTGGACCTCATTTTTTTGAGTTCACAGTGAACTACATTAAAACAGATGTAAATGGATGCTAGGAGGGTGAAAAACAGATCAAGGAAACACAGGCACTCAACAAACTGTTGGTCACATGTAGTCACATCTTGAATTTTTATTTCACAATTTTAACTCATGCACGTACAGAAGGGTTATCAGAGGACAAAGTGGTAAGCAGGATCAAGACAAGACAATGGATATGTACGTTGTATTTTGTAAAGACTCCTATTTTTACAAACAGGAACCTAGTTAAAAAGGCAACATATCAACTGAAGAAAACAGATTTTCAATTTTTTCAAGACAAAAGCTTTTTTTTTTTTTTTTAGGTAAGACAAACTGCATGAGATGCAGCTGCAAACAGAAAAGTGTGAAAACCAGAGCAAAGAAGCTTTTCCTGCCACATGTTGTTTCCCACACTCGTCATCTGCAACAGATCTGCAGCACTGTCACACTGTCTGACACACACACTCTCACGGAGCGCCTGTCTTGTTAACATGGAGAGAGAGGGGCGGTTAGTCCAGTCCATTTACTACGGGAGGATTGGAAGTGAGGCCACAGAGAGGCTGCTGGAGAGGTTTGGACATGATGGCAGCTTTTTGCTGAGAGACAGTGAGACCATGCAGGGAGCCTACTGTCTGTGCGTGAGGTGAGCTGTGAGCATAGATACGAAGGAATGTTACTTTATTCTATTCTCAACCTGATCAAATAATCTGTGATCATTTTAGTGGCATCAGCAGATGCCATAAGTTTAAAACGCTAGATTTTATATAAAAATGCTAAAGACTATAGCCTTGTGTTGATGAAAATCTCCGCAGGAGTCATGTTTGATACACGGTACCATATATAGGTCGACTCAGTGAAACTTTTTTTTTACAAAACGGACGGCACAAAACTCTTCATCTTTATTCTCTTCATCTTCAAAAATCTCACTCAACCCTGAAGAAACTCATTTTCTCTACAGTTTTTTGTTGTGATACCACACTTTTTCCAACCTGAATGCTTTATAATAAATAACAGAGTGATATCTATGAGTTGATCAAGTAATTTGTATTTGTATTTTATATTTAGGCCTTTTTGGACAAAGTGGATAACTGGCAACTTCATACCTTACTACCTCAATGAGATGATAATGAAGTAAAATAAGTCCTCTTTTACGATTTCGCTTACAGCCAGATATGATACATTACAGCTATTTGCTGCTTAAGGTTTTACAAACGACATAGATAAATTGAGGAACTTTTTCTGTTTAATGAATAAATCTTGATCGGAACAGAACTTGGTTAAAGCTGTAGGAAAAACAGTCACAGCAAAGAAGAGAAACTGTAAAGTTAAATGAGATTAAAACACTTCAGGAAGGTACAAGTTTCCTGCAGTTCAACTGTAGAAATGTTATGCACAAACATGACTAAATTAAGTTAAATATCTATATCTATAGCTCTTTGTATCTATCTATATCTTTATCTATCTATCTATCTCTCTCTCTCTCTCTCTCTCTATATATATATATATATATATATATATATATATATATATATATATATATATATATATATGAGCAGATCAAAATTTTAAGACATTTTTTGCGAGTGACCAATAACCAAAACTGAAAAAGAGCACATTATTGCACATTTTTTGTGAAGAAGAACAGAGAAAGAAAACCTCCAGTCTAATTACTGTGATAAAAAAAAAACAACAGCAATCATTTAAATAAATGGGGAAAAAAACCTTTATCAATTGATCTGTATTCAGATCATTGAGGAACCACTAAGGTTTGGTTTAATCTCAAATGCAACCAAAATCAGAAGCTATCTACCCAACGTCTTCAAACACACATCCTTGTGAAGCTGAAACTAATACGTGCACATGTGCAGGTTCAGATTTCACACATTTACAAAAAACTGCTTAAACCTGTTTATGAATTGCTTCACAGGAAAGCACCCTTTGTGCACACCTACAGGCTCGTATGCTCCACCAGTGGTTGGTATCTTCATCTTCAGGTGAGTCACTCTGCATGCTGAAACACACCCAGACATTCAGATGCATGTGTAATTACTTTTGTGTGTTTGTGTGTCTGTGATAAGCAGGATTCAGGGGTCAGATGGCAGACTTTCAGGACACTTGAGGGACTGATCGAGAGCTACAGACGGGCGCCCTCAAACATCAGAATAGCACCTCTTACAGATGCACTGGACAAAACACAGATACACAACATGAGCTCTGAGCAAGGTAATGCACAGAAATACAGACACAGACACAGACATACAAATGTAAATCATAACACATAAACACACACAAATGCTACACTACAGTCAGTGTTACTTGGGTAAATGAGGAACTTTTTTTCCCTTTTGTATCAAATCATACCAAAAAAAAAAATAATAATAATAAAACCTTAAAACCCATGATGATTAAGTCTTTGACTGAATGTTATCATACTATACTATTGACAGGTAGGTAGGTAGGTAGGTAGGTAGGTAGGTAGGTAGGTAGGAAGATAGATAGATAGATAGATAGATAGATAGATAGATAGATAGATAGATAGATAGATAGATAGATAGATAGATAGATAGATAGATAATAATGACAACAGCCATTTTGTTTCAAAAATAACTTTATGCTTCACGACCTATTGATTACTATTAAAGCTCTTGTGACATTTTTTTTACTACATGAAATAGACTGAAAGACATATTGATGTATCGTTTTGACACACAAAGCAAACAAGACCATCACTGACAAGGCTGTTGGTTTTTATATTGTAAACCAGCTGATCAGCTGAACAGGGAGGGTGATAGAGAAAGGGAGAGATGGACAGAGGTGAGACTGGTTGAGCTCACATGGAGACCAAAGTAGGCGCAGACAGAAACTTCATCACAGGAGCTTTAAAGTGGTCGTATTTACACCTTTATATTTTACTAATCGACATATTTATTTAAATGAATGACAAAATAAAAAGAGTTCAACCTTTCTTGGCTCAGAACTTTCCAAATCAACATACTTGTACTTTGAGGTAGGATTTTCTCATATGTCTATGGATTTAATAGACAAAGCTGTATCTCTTTGTTGATCTGTGTTTTCTAACAGGAAATCTTATCTTGCTTTGTTTTGGACAGTCAATTGTTTCTCCTCTGAAATGAAAATAAAAGCAGTTTTGACTGCATGCTGTTAATAGCCTGTCTTACACCCACACTGCAGCAACAAGTTCTTGAAACAACTGTAAAGAAATAATCATTTGTCTTTTCTAGGTCATTTAGAGATGTTAGTTTTTCTTTCTGTTTGTTGAAAAGCCACCTTAAACTCTGCACAGGGGCCAAGACAAAAATAAATAGATAACTAATGTGTGAAGGGAAAGTCAAACTGAACTTGTTTCTTATTGAAGTATCAGACCACAGTCTCCCCTACAGGCAAATCTTTATGCACACATTAACACACAAGAATACACACAAACAGGTGTGTTTAACTTTTGTGCTTCATTGTTTCTTTCCATCCTTGAACTCACTATAAAAACTGATGATCTGCAGTCTGAACTTTGATACATTTTGAATTTTGTTTACTCTGTTCACAGAGTTCATTTACATGGAAACATGCAGCCAAGGCTCCATCTGCTGATGCCACAAACAACAACGACCTGTGTACTGACTGCCTGTATCATACTGGGTGAAAGAGCTGTCTGTATTATTGTCCTCTGTATGGGTACGTCATTTTTTTATAGAATTAGAAACAAAAATTTTAAGTGTATAGATTTTTTTTTATTCATTTGGTGTCAAAGTGAGCATGACAATTGTTTATTTTGGTGCAAGCTAGACGTGTGACTGTCTTCCACTGTGTGTTTTCACAGGTGTATTCAGATGTGTGAAAGGGTGGCTTGAGGTGTAATAGACTGCTGCTTAACAGAGTTGTGATCTTGTCTTGATATGTTTGTTTTTTTTTTGGTTTTTTTACATACATGAACTGTCTGAATTGCTGTTTATGTTTTGTCTATTTGGGGAAGTATGTCTTGATTACAGTGATGTATCTGATCTTTGTGGTTAACACACCTCTATCTTATCTAGAGCTCTGTCGCAGAAGAGGAACTGTGAGAGAGGTGAATCATCAATTGTGGGCTAACCGTGTGACTTGGGTTCATTCAGGTTTTACTTAAGCCGAGGTGATATTTAATCCACAAACTGAATTTTGGTTGAAGAAAGGGCCTTGCAAGATTTTTGTTTTGTAATTACAGAAAATCAACACACTGGCATTACACAGGGACTGAAACTTGTTTTCTCAGAAATTCCTCCCTCGCAGTTCGTCTTGGGTGCAGAGCTATAAACATTACTCACTTTTGGTATGAGTAACACATTCTTAAAACACAGCCAAATCCACTTTATACCTTAAATTTAAGATTTTTTAACCATTAGTATATTGATCAACATACATTTTTGTGATAGCAGTATCAATTCTACAACCTAATTCATTTATCACCTTGTTCTGGCAAACAAATACACTTCCAGTGAGCTTTTGTCTGTGAGTGAATGTGTCATTGTTTCATGGTGTGTTAAATACTTAATTCTGACTGATTAAAACCCCATCGTTAAGTAATTCATTTATCAGTGACAATGTGTTTCCAGAAAGAACCTGATCCACCATAAAAAGACATAAAAATGAAAGAATTATGTAAGCCAATCATTAGAAACCAATTCTGCCTGTTGCTACTGTGACATAAAATGTTGACATCTGATAGTAGGACCAGTATGGGCAGTTCATCAGAGTTCTGATTTTTATTTCATATTTCTGGGTTTAAACTTTATGATTGGAATTCTGTTTTTAATTAAGGTGTGAATTCTAAATGTCTAACTGTTTTCTCGAGATATAAATGTTTTCCTAGAATTCTGTATATAAAGTCAGAAATTGTCATTTAAACTCATAATTTTGATATTCAACTAAAATTCTGGACTCTGAGAATAAAAAGTCTGGGTTTAAAATTTCTGACTTTATTCACAAAATTCTGAGATAAGAGTCAAAATTCAAACCTATTCCTCAGATTTTTTTTGTAAAAGCTCAGGGTTCTGAAAATTTCCACCACAATCCTGAGAATATAGTCAGAATTCAGAATTTAAACTTTGATTAAAAAATCAGAGTTTTAATTTTTTAGAATTTTAACTTTAAACTTAGATTTGGGTTGAAAGTCTGAATTGTTTATTTCTTACTTGTCTTTAAAATTCTGAGAGTACATTTAGAATTCCTACTATTTTGTCAGAATTCAGACTGTAAATTCAGAATTTCAAATTATTTCCCCAGAATTATGAGTATATAGCTAGAAGTTTGAATTTACTCTCAAATTTCTGACCTTTAACTTAATTTTAGGATTCTGGGGAAAATGTAAAAATTCTTACACTTTTTCTCTCTGAATTCAAACTTTTAACACAGAATTTTACAGAAAATATTGACTTTTAACTCATTATTCTGACCAAAAATGTCAGAATACGGACAAAGAAATTATACTGTTTAAAATAAATAAAAACATTTTTAGCTTGTCCTTTTGTGGCACTAATCTTTTTCTGCATAAGTGTGTTGACAAAATGAATGATATAGAATTGAGGAAGAGAAAAATGAAGCAAACAAATACCTCTCAAGGCTTGACAAGACCCCTTTGCTTTGGAGTCCTGTTCAGCCTGTCCACACAAACAACACATTCACTGAAAATCATCCCTTGCTTGATGTGTTCACCTTTTTTCAGTGCTGGTTTTATTTATAAAATTGATGCTTTATTTACATTTTTGCCACATTAGCACCACATCATGTAATGAAAAATGTGTGTGAATGTCAAATAAACAGATGATAAAATGTACAAATTTACTTTAATTCACACAAAAATTGTTCACATTCTGGTCAAAAGTTGTGTAAGTTGCATGTCCAAGCAGCAAAAAGCCCTCAGTCATTTTATGAGCATGTTTTTACAGTCATATTGCTTTGCTTTTACATTCTATTAGGTTGCTGTAGCATCACAGGACTTTAAATACAGCTTAATCACAAATTCTAGATGTACTCATCACTTTCTGCAAGTCTTTAAAGGGAGATCTGGATGAAAATGCACCTCAGAGTGCAGGCAGACTGGTGTTGTCTTTGGTGAATTGCTGTTAGCTAAATGAGCCCCTTCAAAGTACTTTTCATAATGTCTTATCTGTGTCCTCCACTTCTGTGATCTCCTCCACCGGCTCAGCTGGCGGGGCAGGGTAGGCGAACTGAAAACATTACAAAATGGAAAAACTGTGACACCAGTCTCACTCAAATGTTTGTGGTTTTACAACTGAAACAAGTATCATGGGTGAATGTGCTTGTGGTCTGGTCTTACATTGGCGATGTCGTTTTTCTCTAAGAAACCTTTGTACTTTTGCGGGGGGCGAGGAATTGGAGGAAACAGGACCTCCAACACCCTGAAATACCAGAAAACACCAACAAACCTGCATCAGCAACAGCATCAGCTGTCATTCAGCAGTATTTGGATAAAATAACACATTGACATTTATTGAGTTTTGAAACATTTAAGAAGTGAAACTGACAAAAAAAAAAATAGGGAAGGGGAAAAGGTGTGTGTCTCTTTAGCATCTACTGTTGTTTTCTCCTCGGGTTTCCCCCTCTGTGTCTTTTTTAAAGTTCTTGTCTGCACCCAAAGGAAGTTTAGGGTGGATGTTTTGCGGTAGTTTTTAAGAAAAAAACAACAACACCTCCCCCACCCCAGCACTTCTCTCACTTCTCACTTCTGCATCTTTGTTTTTTGCACTTCACTGCTTCTGCTTTCACCATGATTAACTTTCAGAAGAAACAGAGTTTGTGTGGCCCAGTTGGAAACAGAAAATAAAGAAAATAGAAGATATAACATTGAAAAGAAGGGGGGGTCATATGGAAAAAAATACCTTTGATGGCGCACTAAAAGCAGCAAAGCGAGGAGGATCATGGGTATTCCGAGTGAAATTGAGATGATGACAAGTAGATTGAGTTTATCTGTTCTTTCCAAGGCTGCAAACAAACCCACACAAAGAGATGCTCAAAGAGGTTCATGTGTTCATTAGATTTAAAACAGTGGAGTCAGGCTGGTGGTCGGGGTATTTAAAGGTCATTCGTTTTCTGGTTCAAATATTGTTTGGGATGTTTGCAGAGATGTTTGGCACTTACTGATGGTGTGGCTCCAGGCACTCCAGAGAGAGCTTCCTGTGCATAAATCTGACACCTTTGTCCTTATCTTCACTCTGTAGGTGTGGCTGGGATTGGCATTGGACAGCGTGTAAGTAAGACTGGTGTCCATTTGCTTGTGTTCCTCCTGTTAACAAAAGATTCAACAAAAAAAATAGTAAGGTACTTCCAGATTTGTCTTTGTAGATTTATGGTTTCTTGGAAACTGTCTTCTTTAGTCAGGGCCCCAGCACAGAGCGGTGTGAAGGCCCTATTGAAATCCTTCAGACCATTTTTCTGTTCTGTATATGATCCCTTTCCGGAGCCTTATCATACTCAAAACTCTTGTGCTTTTGCCACAACATCAGGCCCTGTGAAATAGTTTCCTAATTGATCAGCCTTAAACGTAGGAGGGGCAAATTGTGCCCCCACAAATTTTCAAAATACCATCCACATTTACCTTTTTTTAGCAAGTGACTTGATATTCTTTACACACATCCAGGTTCCTGAGACTTACAAGAGAGTCTGAATGATTAAAATTCCTTGGGCTCTTTTCTAGATTTTAAAGGAGGTGGGTGTGGCAAGCCTTTAATGTTTGCTGTTTCGCTAATAAACAGGATATAGTTTTTAACTTAGCCATGCATGCTCCAAATTGATCCAAACTGGCCATGCATAATACAGATCAACACCTGTACACGTTTATGTTGTTGTATTTCATCCTAGTTATAGCAACTCCCAGTGGCAGACGGAAATGTCATGCTAGTACTTCATGACCTGAATTTTCAAGATTTGACCACATCTGAAGCATTTTTGCTCAGTATGTCCTCAAGATGTTTACCCTGATGTGAGCCAACAACTGCAAGTTTTCATCAGAGGGTGTGGTCAGCATGATGCAGCAAAGTTGAATTTTGACATGATGTGTCACAACCATAGACTGTATATACTATGGACAACCTGGTTCCGCCTACTGCCTGTTTAAGGATTTGAAGCCAAAAAGCTCTCGGTATTTCCGGGATTTTTCTTCATTTCCTGAAACCAGCACTGTGCAGCAGCGTTGTGCGCATTCGGCCGCGCAGTCGCAGAGAGTCACTGTGATGACGCTCGGCTCAAACAGCGTATCCGCCGGGAGAGCTACGCAATCCCTGAATGCCCATAGGCTGTATCAGGTGTCAATCATAGCAAACATGAACCCCCTAATAACTTTTAAAAACGGAGCTGTACAGAAAAAAAGAGGACTTGAGCACAAACCAGTCTTACAATAACTACATGTCAACATCACAACCAGGGGGGAGAAAAATTTATGTTCTGTGTAATAAATTTCTAAAGTTTGTCCACAGCACCATAAGCTTTGCTGGCAGAGGCGGGATTTATGACCTATACTGCAGCCCATCAACAGAGGGTGCTGTTCTCGGGGTGGCTCTACTGAGTGAGGAGGCAGATGGCGTCCGTTCTATATACAGTCTATGGTCACAACTACATTTTAAACTACTCTAGCTCAGCCCTGGATCAACACATTTGACAATATTCCCCATGCTCATGAAGGGTCAAGGCCTTAACACACCCATCTTTGAAAAAAAACAGCACTACTTACTAACAACATAAAGTGGCCATGCCCATTTGACCACTGTCAAATCTTTCACAATTCATTTCCCCTGAAAATTCTTCTCATTCATCCCGAGACATTCTCTCCAATTCCTTTCAGAGAGCGCATAAAACTATGTGAAATTCTGCCATCAAACAGGAAGTAGTATTTTGAAGGGCTTAAATTACCTGAGCAGTCAGTACACTACAGCCCAGTGGAGCAATGACACATTTGATACAGTTGGTGGGTGCAGCCCAAAAGGTGCAGTTAACCCAAATTTTCAAAATGTCAGGCCCTCCCTTATATTTAGCATGAAAAGATGGGCTTCACTGGACTAACACATCATCTTTACACAAACAAAGAAGACTGTGTTCCATGTTGTATAAAACACACAAAAAAGATTGTGAGCCATTTTGACTTATTTTTTTCTGAAGAAAACACCAAAGCAGGAGCAAGCTGCATCACATCCCCACATCTACATCCCAATCCTAGCATGCATCACGCTGTGTGCTAAGGTAAAAGGGCCTGCTCAATACTGCTTATAGCTTTTACCCTAGAACGCTATCGCTGGGTGATTTTCATCTAACCAAACAGGTTCACGTGATTTTGATTATGTTGCGTTTGTCTGAGTATTATGGGTCCCGAGGTAGCTTCAGCATTGCCTTTGACATCTTTGAAGGCATATTTGTTTCCCTGATTCAAAACCTGCTTTTTCCTACAGGCACGTGTTCGTGTGATTTTCACCCAGCAATAGTAATAGAGGGTAAAGTAGGTTTGGGTGGATTTGATAGCTGCATGTAGGCGAAAAAGGTCAGTAGGGTTATCCTGGAATTTGCAAACTATCTTTATTTAGCACAGTGGTTATGAATAACTATCACAAAGTAGTGATTTTCAAGGAAATTCATATGGTAATAAGAAATATTTTAGTCAGCTGTTCATTTTAACTCACTCAAAATATGCCATATTTTGGTTCTCTCTCCTGCAGTTGTTATTGTGCCAAGGACCCTGAATCTTCACCAGGGAAGACTTACATGCCCCAGAAAATAAGTGGAAAAGAAACTAAATTCAGTTTCAATTTTTTTTTTTTTTTTTTTTAGGATATTTTTGGTCATGAATGTCAAATGTCAGTTATTTTGTTGCATTTTTATACGGTCCCCTCATATCACTTTTTTTTCTCCCTTTGGACATTGCACAGTTAAAAATAAAAGAAAGCTACTTTAATTTGTCATGTATTGTCCTATATTGATATATTTTGATGACAAGTACTTTTTCTTGGGTATATTATTTTGGGTAAAAATCACCCGGTGATAGTGATAGGGTTCTAGGGTTAATTGAAATGGTCTTTTTTTCCCCTTTATTTCTGGCGGAAAGACAATACCTGGTGGTATCTTATTCATTGGACTGTCAACCCTCATAGTACTACACACAGACATACTGCACCTGATCACCCAAGTCCAGCTCATATTCAAAGCAATCGGGCAGAGAGTCTTTCCGGTTCATGGGCTTACTCCATGTCACAAGCAGGTCTCCATTACTGATTGATGCAGTGATGTCTTGTGGTGGAGAAAGGACCTCTGAGACACAAAGATCAGTAAAAATGAGATTAACAAAGCCAGAGGAAAACCAAACCAATTTAGATAGACATGTAATCACAGATATTTCTTTGCAACGAACTAAGTTGACCCCCTCTGTCCATTACAGACTAAGCCATTATAAGGCAGGTGTGCATTGGCTGTGCTTTTGCATTTTAAAAGTCCATTCATGTTGAATTTCTCATACAGTGCAGGATTTTAGAGCAGTAGAGCAATACCTATCTCATCAATGTCGTAAATATATGAGTAGACTGTCCACTCTCGTTGCAGGGTTACGTTAAATTGGAGGATGACATTTTCCGACTCATGGTCGGACAGAGTCAAATTCATTGATCCGACCCTCTCCTTCAACATATGGCTCAGAGTTTGAACTGTGTCACTGCATACGCTGCAAGAATAGACAGAAGGACATTTATATACACTCGATAAAACTACATACACACATTTTTGTGTATTTGTGTGGTATATAAGCATGAAAAACTACCTGATATAGACAGAGAGGTGTGTGTCATTCTGCAATGTGGGAAATGACCAGGAACAACTGAGTAGTTCTGTTGCATAAAGGTGACATTGGAAGTTTCTTTCTTTCACCGCGGCTGCCTCAACCTTGAGCCCCTGTTTTGAAGACCTCTTTTCGAACAGCTGAAAAGGTTTTACAAACATTATGGAAACTTAAAGAAAGTCAAAAAGATGTATCTGTATTTAAGTTTAAATGGTAAGCTGGTTCTCACATGATTGGTTCTTCTGATATCCTGACAGACATCTGCATCTTCGGCCTCTGTCTCTGTAAAAACACATCACATGCTTACACAGTGAAATTCATGCTAATGATGCAGCAAATGCAGATTGAGACAAGAAACAAGACCCCTCTGCTCTTGAATCAGGGTCCCGCTTACCCTGTCAGGCTTTTATATTAAATGACCACCCCCATAACTTGAGATAACGTGACATGATATTTTTTAGAAAACTTGAAAATACAACAACACATTCAGTCAAATTGAGGCAAGGGCAGAGGAATAATAATAATAATAATAAATTTTATTTGAAAGCGCCCTTCAAAGCACCCAGGGTCACTGTACAATGTTAAAAACAAGATAATCGCAATAAGACAATAAATAAAACAATAAGCATTTTAAACAGATAAAAATCGACACGGAATGGATAAAACAGCTACAGGGAGTATGCGGAGCGAAACAGGTGGGTTTTGAGTAGTGTTTTGAAAGAGAGAAAGGAGTCAGTGTTTCTGAGATCGGGTGGTAGTGAGTTCCAGAGCTGGGGGGCGGAGTGACTGAAGGCTCTGCCCCCCATTGTACTGAGGCGGGCAGGGGGGACAGAGAGGTGGATGGAGGAGGAGGACCGGAGGGAGCGAGTGGGGGTGATGACGTGCAGGAGGTCGGACAGGTAGGGGGGGGCAAGGTTATGGATGGCCATGTATGCGAACAGGAGAAGTTTGTAGATGAGGAGCACATTATTTCATAAATTTTACCAATAAATTTCAATTTCTTGTGATTTTCAAGTTTGTGACTCATAGCTGAAACTTGTTTGGAGTAAATATTGCCTCATAAATGACTGCTTGTCATGTTTTTGTTTCAATTTTTTTGTCTGTCTTTTCTTTAGGTTGCTATATTTGCTTCAACACAATACTCTCATTTGCCACGTCCAGCAGATCATAGTAGAACAAAAACAACAAAAGCATAAATGTTCCACTGATATCAACCTGTTCAACCTGAAGAGACAGAGGCTTAAATGTTGTTTTTGGAGTCACAGTAAATCTTTCAGTTTTATTAGTTACTATTCAAACAAGGTGCAAAGAGAAGAGAGAAGGACCTGCAGACACAGTGGACCTCTGTAATCATATTAGAAAAATCTGGAACAAGTGCAGTTGAAAGTTGGACCTCACTTCAATCTCAGAGGTTAAAAGGTTTCAAGTGATCTCACTGGTTAATGTTACTCTTTAACTTTCCTTTTCATAAACTTTATAGAAAAGACTTTCCGGCAGCTGTGAACTTCAGACTGAGCATGTGCCAACAGAGGTCTCACAGAGCATGTGTGGAGCTGTGGGATTGAAATAGCTGGGTTAATTGTAGACTTCGCAATGTGTAACATTAAATTGAGTTTACCATTAGGTTTGTGAAAATGGCACGAAGAACTGATTTCATGCTGGTAAGATCATAGACTCTATATATGAGATCACCCAATAACAGCGGAGATCATAGTGCTTAACTTCTGACTGCATGTGACAACAGAGGTCGAACTGCACATGTGCAGAGAATTTAGAGTTGATTCCATACTGCGGTTAAAAATATCTGTTGAGTCTGTTGACTTTTTACTGTTAAAGTTTGTGAAAAAGACACAAGGAAGAACAACTTTTGCTAATGAGATTGCCTTGTTTCCCAATAACAGCTAAGATCTTAGCAGAGGTCCAACTTCCCACTGCACATGTGCTTACAGAGGTCCAACAGCACACATGTATGTTGGATTTGTCTGCAGTCAGGTATTCTCGATCATCACTCATAGAGCTGCCTCAAACAAGCTCACAGGTGCTTCTTCTTCACTTTTTTTCTGTTTAATGACATGCGCTAACCAGTGTGAAGGACTTATGCCCTGACTCATGGTATCACCATTTATGTATTGTTAACACAAAATCAGTTTTAAATTCTTCTATCACAGTACAGTATGTTAGAACAGCCCTAACCTGAACAAACTAATCCTGTCTGGATTTTGCATGGGAATGAGTAAAGAATGACATAGATACGTTCAATTGGCAGATTATTTTACACCAAGTATTTATTTCAAGCCTGTTAAATGATTTAAAAATAATTCTTTTTTCCATCTTGGGTTTCCCTCCATTCATCTTGCGTAGATAGTCTGTGATTTGAGCTGTATCCATGTTTGTTATTCACAACAATAGAAATAACAGACTGTTGCCACAAAGCACTGACCACAAGCACTGAGTTATTTGGCACATTTGTTGATTAAGTACAAATGAATTCACATTCTCCTCCCCTCATCTAAATCTTTGATATTTTTGGAGTATTTTGTGTCCATCTAGGTGAATAATGAAATACATTTCCTCTAATATCATGCAAAACAAAAAGGAGTGAACAAACAGCAACACCAACCTGAAAAAAATGCAAAAATGTTCAAGACAAATCAAGCATTTAGTTACCCACCAGTCTGCAAGGAAGACAAAACCACCAGGGCGATCCAAAAGACAGGAAGCAGCTCCATAGTCAACCTACAGGTTTCACACAAACAGAAGCACAAACACACTCACCGTACTGTTGGACCACACACAGAAGGCAGATAAAAGATGTAACTCTCCACGTTCAGTAATTTCCTGACCGTTCAAACTTCCCCTTTTCAAAGTCCTACATAAAATTTCTGACCTAGAACATAACATATCAAACAGCAAACCATATAAGTATTAAAACAACAATCTTCCTTATGTGAAAGTTGAATCAGCTTTTATTTCTGTTTTTTTTTTAGTTTACATCTTTAAGGTTCTTAAGCTTTGACCACAAAAAGGTCAAAAGAATAAGTTATCATTCATCGTTTTGTTGAAACATTCAGCTACTCTATCTCCAAAAAACACAGCAGTGATAAACACATATGTTGATCTGTTCCTGCAGTGAGATAACTCATTACTTAAATTCACACAAAATCCTCCTAAACTATTATCTAGAAATAGTTTTAATGTTGACAGTTTACACAAGACGCTGTTACCTTCTGCCGTCTCTCCTCTTTGTCCTTCACTGGTAGACGACGACAGAGACACATTTCTGGGGAAAGAAGAAGCATGACGTCACATACTGTACACAGCTTCAAGAAACCATGGCTTTCTTCCTGTTTGCTCTGCCTCACTTAAGCCAGTAGATAAAAGAGTTTAAACACTGTGTGTTAAGCTTTTGTGATAGCAGCGTTTGAAAGGAGACAGCCTAGACACTGAATTTCTTCGACTTTCTTTAAAAAGTTACAGAATAAATACCTAAAAACACAAAGAGGATGCAGAGGAGGTAAACAACTGTGGCATAAGTCAGCTGGGTCAGAAGCTTATGGAGAGAAGGTACAAGTTGTGTCTACTGTCTCTCATTATGGGCAATGTGAGATCTCTAAAATGGATAACCTAAAAGGGCTTGCCGGGGCAAACAGAGTGCAACTTTATGGAAATGTGGCTGCATCAGGACATTACCGATCACACCGTCACCTTTAACGGCTTCTAGACTCTCCAGGTGGACCAGGATAAAGCAGCAGGAGCATATACAGGGGGCTTACTGTGGTTGTTAACAACAGGTGGTGTGAACCTGGTCATATTACAGTGAAAGAATCATAGACTGTACATAGAACGGACGCCATCTGTTTCCTCATTCGGTGAAGCCACTCAGAGAACAGCACCCTCTGGTGACGGGCTGCAGTAAAGGTTATAAATCCCGCCTCCTCCAGCAAAGCTTATGGCGCTGTGGACAAGCTTTAGAAATTTATTACACAGAGTATACTTTGTTCTCCCCCCTGCTTGCAATGTTGATGTGTAGTCAATGTAAGACTGGTTTGTGCTCAAGTACTCTTTTTTCTGTACAGCTCTATTTCTAAAAGTTATTAGGGGGTTCATGTTTTCTATGTTTGACACTTGATACAGCCTATGGCCGTACGAAGATTGCATAGCTCACTCAGGGGATAGGCTGTTTGAGCAGAGCGTCATCACAGCGACTCTTCCGCCGAATGCGTACAACTCTGTTACGCATGTGATGAAGTGGGTACAATATTGGTTTCAGAAAATGGAGAAAAATTGCGGAAATACTGAGAGCTTTTCAGCTTCAAATCCGTGGTGGAAGGCGGAACAAAGTTGTCCATAGTATATACAGTCTCAGGAAAGAACACATCTGTAGCCCAGATAATAAACTGTTAGCCATGGGACTCTGGCTGTATTATTTGCCTCAGGAGATTTCACATATGGCCATGGTGGCTGTTGGTGGCATCAAACACACACACCACTACAGCCCAACTTTCTCCATGTGACAAATAACTTTGTCACATGGAGAAAGCAGAATCACCTCCAGCTCAGTGTGACAGACTAAGGAACTAATGGTGGATCTGTGAAGAACAAAGGCACCAGTGACTCCTGTTTCCATCCAGGGGGTCAGTGTGGACATTGTGGAGGACTACAGGTACCTTGGAGTGTACTTGGATAAAAAACTGGGCTGGTCTAAGAACTCTGAAGCTGTCTACAAGAAAGACCTGAGCCGTCTCTACTTTCTCAGGAGGCTGAGGTCCTTTAACATCTGCAGGACCATGCTGAGGATGTTAGATGAGTCTGTGACATTTAATCTTGGACAGCATTCACCACCCACCCCACAATATGCTGGTTAAACACGGTCACATTCAGTGCTCATTTCCCCTAAATGCACCACAGAGAGTGACAGGAAGTCATTTTTGCCTGGGGCCATCACACTTTATAACTCCTCCTTCTGAGTGTCACACACTCTGACTGGCACCGGACTTGTTCTCATGTAGAAGCTGTAACCTTCGATTGAATGCACATAATACATTCAACTGTGTAATCTGTTTGAAAACAGGTCAAAACTTAAATAATCTAAGAGTGTTACACATTGTTTTAAACCGTGCAATACTTTTTAAACCATACAACTCTCAACGCACTACAAACTGGTTTTGTGTACACTCCTACGCTTTCTGTTTGTACATAGCTTATTTCTTAAACAATCTGCGCTCTGTAAAAAGCTTTATTCTGCACTTTTTAGTAACTGTTGCAATTTCTTGTTTATTCTTATTAATCCCTATTTGTTTTCTCCTCATACTTACATTTGCTTTTCTAAGAGCATGTGTAATGCTGTAATGACAAAGATATTTGGAGATGTTGTATGTGACAGAGTTGATACTGCTCACAATGGGCCGGAGGGGAAACCCTTCCTTGTGTATCTTTGGTTGTCCATATGAAGTGGCTTCTCCTGGGTACAGTCTGTACTGTTGTCTTCTGTCAGTGGCTTGGTCCCTCTCCAGTTTTTGCAGATGATTAGTGACTCTCTTCTCGTATGAGCTTTGGGTCTCTTCTCAGCTTCTCATATATGGCAGTATCACTGAGAAAGGAGGCCATCTTGGAATGGTAATCTGCTGTGTCCAGAACAACCTTGCATCTTCCTTTGTTCACTGGCAGGATGATGATGTCCTAACTTTCTGTAAGGATGTCAAAGCCTTCCTTTCCAGGTTGGTAAGGTTGAAGGGGGAGGCTTTCAAAAGTGAGGACCTCACTGTTTTTGTGGTGAGGTCAACGACAGGTATTTCCTCTGGAGTGACTGCATAATTGAGATCTTTTGGTAGTACCACTTCTTCAGGAGATGTAAGCTTCCTGCTGGACAAGTTCTTCAACCACATCTCTTGGTAAGAATTTTGTGAGGAAAGGTCCTGTTGAAAAACTATGAGATGAATTAATGAATGTATTATTTGAGCTGTTAGGAAAGGCATTCAAATTTTATATAAATGATCATCCTTTAAATGAGGCTTTTACTTTGAAAATTGTACCTAATCAGAACTTTTTCATGAAACCTTTATTATAACAGAACTTTTATCCTTTGAAATAAATGTTGGCGTCTGTGTTTAAATGTTTACTCTCATCTCCTTAGCTGGTTGCTTCCAGTTTGAACTTGCAATTTGAGGCAGAATCACGTTTGTTCCAGTAAATGACTGTCAGGGCAAAGCCAGGAATTATAAACTAATGACAAACACCTCATAAAAAGAGACCATGATGAAGAAGGACTGATGTCTCAAACCTTGTGGTCTGGTGCTTGTCAGAGGAAATGCTGCCTTAATTCCTTGGCTATGAGATAAGTTGCTGACTGATCATCTTCAGAATCCACCTTACACTATCAGTAACTGTGGAAGCACCTCGAGTATCCCAACACCCAGTACGTCTTGTTTATGCTAATGTTTGTGTTTATAATCATCAAACATCACATAGTGGGGAATTTCCATTAGAAGAACAGAAACATTGTTAATTCATCTTTGTGGGATAATATAACTTCCTGAAATACTCCATACTGCAACATATATAGATCTTACAGCCACTTATCATCAGTAGGGGATAAGCAGAGACGAAATGCTCGAAGATGATTAAACATAAAGTAAGTTCCCTGACCGGGAATCGAACCCGGGCCGCGGCGGTGAGAGCGCCGAATCCTAACCACTAGACCACCAGGGACAGTCTAAATACGCAGCAAAAAAATAGAAATTTGAACTCAAGACATTGAAAAAGCTTTAAGGATACGTACATTTTCGTATAATCAACCACTAATAGTCCCACCCTCGGTCCTATCAATCGACTCACTTCCGATAATGCAGGGAAAGTTATACAGCTCACACGTTAAGTTGAGGCCATACAGTCTATGGTTGAGGCTCATGGCTGAAAGATGGAGACCTTCTCCGTCGGTCCCTTCTCTCATATTTAGTCTGAGCTTTGTTTCTGCTGTCCGGTACCAACAGGCCACTCTACAGCCAGCATACTCATCTTCCGCTAGATGGTAGTCAGACATCACTCTTCCGCCCTTTCATTGTTCTTAAAACCTACTTGAACGCGCTGTATGTGTGGAATGATTACCCCACTTTGTGGACATAGAAAGTCCAAATGTAGACAGTGTTTTGCACAGACGCAAGATCTGAACAATTGTGAACTCGCTGCTTTAGCCTGCCCCTCCCCATTTTTTCTGAAAACGAAAGCATTCAACCACTCTGAAGATCCACGGTAGACGAGAGAGCAGCGCCTCGTGTAATTTGGAGGGAAATCATCTTTACAGTAAGTGTAACTTGTTACGTTAGTACAGCCATGCGCAGATAGTCGTGCTCTTTGTTTAGAGCTCTTTTTCTTGTACTGCACTTTACTTTTTTGTTGTCGTTTAAAGCGATCAGGTGAGCTAGGTTATATCTGAACAGCCCACGTCAGGATGTAAAGACTCAAAGAGGGTTAAGTCAAGAATGACATGTTTTCTTTTTATGATAAGATGTTCCTTTAATTGTCCCACAGGGGGAAATTCCAAAATTACAGCAGCATAGTATAGCTACAAAGCAGCATAGTATAGATACAAAAAATACAAAATTTGAAAGATAAAGAAAACTTTGAGCTAAAACGAATTATGAGCATGCGTCATATTAACCTCTGTAAGGAATTTACATAATAACAGGGTTTATTGCACATTGTGTTTCCTGTTGTGGAGTCTAAAGGCTGCAGGGAGGACTGACCTGCGATACGTCTCCGTCTAGTGTTTCGATCGCAAACGATTCTTTCAAAAGAACCGAATCTTTTAGGTGAACGTACTGAACCGAATCACTTCCTCAAGTGATTTGTTCGTTTCTCACTTAGGTTGAGCTGTAGTGAGAAACAGCATTACCAGGTCAGCAGCCGGCAAATGAGGGACTACATGCACCGACTACTGAATCACTTAGTGAATGAATCACGCATTGAATTACACTCTGGAATCATTTTTGTTGGACAAAACTTCCTTTTTTTCACTGCTAAATTGCCACAACCACTTGCATACAATAGGACACAGGATGTAACAAGTAGTGCATTAAACCTGCAGCATCCTATCAGTGCAGCGGTTTGTGAGGGAACAGTGCATGTTCAGTGTGAATTCTTCGAAACGTACAGGGAACAAATCACTCACTGACCCCAATTTACGGAGCAGACCTGATAAATAGCATACCATAGGACAGTACACTTAAAACATCATGACTTATGAACAAGTTCATTTTTACAAACCTGTTTGCCAAAGCAACACGGCTAAACACTCTTGTCTCCCGGTCCTAGAAGCTATGAATTGAACTGAATCCTGAACTGTTCAGCTGTGTATCAGTTCAGGAGGTCAGAGTTGCAGGCCTCTCCTGCTAAATGATTTAGGGATCTTTTGAACGAATCTTTTTAGTGAACTGATTCTAATGATTCAATACATCTAAAAGAACTGCAGTGCCCATCACTATCTCCCTCGCACACTGTGGGTGGAGCACCCTGTCCCTTAAGGAGCTCCTCAGCGCACTTAAGAGACAGGACGCTCCACCCAAAGTGTTTATCTAAAGCAATGTTCATAACAACTTGGTTAATATCACTTTTGGTGTGATGCCCAATAAGTCCATAGACAAGGAGGCTGTCTCTCTCTTAAGTACTCCAGAGAATAAGGGAAAAAAAGAGCTATTAGTAAAAGTTTTTTCCTTTTTACCTCTCATTTGTCTTTAGGTTGCATCCTAGTTACGCAGCGATATTACTCATTAGACATGTTACAAGGCATATAACTCACTGAAACTGCATTTAAGTTATGAAGGGTCTATTGAGTAAGGGCTAAGATATTATCCGTTGCTGTAATGACGTACTTACACAGACTGACGCAAACCTGAAGAGCAACTTTAGAGATGAAGCCGTTTACAGTCTATGGGTGAAGCCAAAACGGAAGTGCTCAAAACCACAATCCAAACTAAAGCAGACTTTTACAGGTAGTATGAGCATAGTTATACTTCACTGCCCCCTTTCTGTATTTACACACACTGTGCAGAGGGAGTTTTTTTTTTTCCAAGTAATTATTTTGAAGATTATAAAGTTCCATGTTTTGCACAATTAGAGGCCCAGCTGACTTGGAGGATGAAGACCGCAACTCTGCTTTTTTTACCTGTTATTTAGTTGACAATGGTCAGGTTGAGTTAGCATTTTGAATACTGTTCCCGCCATTGATGGGCTTTGAAACCCTGCTTCAGAAACCAATGATTTTACTGTAAGTTTGTTTCATTCTGTGTCCTTTCTGTGTACTTGTTTCTGTGTCAGATTCATCATGTCAGCCAAAGACACATTGACGGGTAAAAAAGCAGTCTTAATAGAGACTTTGTGTGCAGACCACACATTAATCCTCACCAAAATTCATGAGAAGGACATGATCACTACACGTGAGTACAACAACCTTAAAAGTATCAACAAAGAAAATGTGGAAGGACACGTTGTGGAGCTGGTGGATAAGATCGTGAATAAAGGAGAGGAGACATGCCAAGATTTCTTAGAGCTGCTGCAGACTGATGAGGACATCAAAAAAACTTTCCCCAAGCTGAAGAACATGGGGCTGAATGTCCCCAGCCTCTTACCCATGCCTGTTCAAGCTTGTTCAAGTGGTGACAGTGGTAGGTTAACATACACCAGTGTCTTATTCAAAAAGCTAAGTGAACAATGCCACGTAATTTCAGGCTGTGAGGTGTAATTCTGTGTTATTCTGATTTCTTCAGGTAATCTTTCACCAGAGAGCAAGGGCCAGCAAGTTCAGGTGAGGTCAGGTGTCATTCTAATACATGCTTGTATTAAACTCTTAGCAAAAATAATGAAAAGGGAAAGATTTTCTCTAATGCATTTCATTATGTGTTTGTTTTAAGGATGAACAGTATAAGCTGAACAGCAAGCCAGTTGGTGTCTGTGTCATAATTAACAATGAGACCTTTGAAGATGGGCATGTGAGATTGGGAACCGAAAAAGATGCTGGTACGGTACACAAAAGATAGACAGTTTTTTTTTCTCTTTATGAGTTTTAAAGACTGACTTTTTAAGGATATTTCTTACAGAAAGTCTGGGAAAGGTGTTCAGCTGGCTGGGCTTCAGGGTGCTGATGTGTAAAGACCGAACCGTATCCCAGATGTATCAGGCTCTGATACACTTTGCCTCTGACCTCTCAGACCTCGCTCAGCTGGAGAAGCTAGAGGTCCAGGAGTGGTCTGGTAAGAGTTTCACTACTCTCCAGGGAGCTGTCAAGCATGGTGATGCATTCGTCTGCTGTGTTCTGAGTCACGGCAGAAGAGGCGAAGTCCTGGGAACTGATTGGGAGCCTCTTCTTGTCAAACAAATCACTGGAACTTTCAGGGGGACGGCCCAGTCACCTCTCACTGGAAAACCCAAAGTGTTCCTGATCCAGGCCTGCCAGGGAAGTAAGACTCAGAGAGGAGTGTTATCAAAAGATCTGCAGGCTGATGATGGTCAGCCACTTTACATCCCTGAAGCAGCTGATTTTCTTGTGGCAATGGCCACTGTTGAAGACAATGCGGCATTCAGAAACACAGACACAGGGAGCTGGTTCATACAGTCTGTGTGTAAGCAGCTCCAGGAGGGATGTCCAAGGTAATGTTCCGCATAAGTATTCCTCATATCTTTCTTTCCAGCTGAAAGTCATTTAAATTTTGGGTAATTACATGTCAAATCTTTATTGTGTATCACCTTTGATCAATCAGTAAAGCTAACAAACACAAAGACTTTAAGAAACCTGTTATGGGACACAGCTCTAAATGACCAATTTCACAAGTGACAGTTGACTTTTCAGACTTCACGAGCAATTAATTCACCTGCAAATTAACATCCCAATACTGAGAGCATATTCATTTGATAACCTACAAGGTATGTTCAGACAGCATATGCATACTGTCCCCTACAAGATAGTGTCACCGTTAACCAAAGATTAACACCTGCTACTGTTGTATGTCATCTGTCTGTGATGTGTAGATGCAGAAGGATGCCTCAGGACACTAGCTTGCTTGTATAATAGAAATTTATTACAAAGACAACAACAGTGTCAAAATTGTACTGCAGATGCTGGGAGACAACTGCCAATGATGTCCATCTGCTAGAACTCTGTTTCTTCTCCTCTTATATTGGATAAAGTGGTGCAGGTCCTCTATCATTCCTTTACAATCTGATTTAGGACTAGCTTTGATCTGTGACCTGTAAAGCATCAACTGCTAAAGGTATTTGATCCAGGATCCATTACAGGAACACAACAAATGCCATAGAAGCTTTTCTGGGGATTCCTTGGAAACATCCCTTGGCAACATTAACTTTGCCTCATAATGGTTAACTCCACTCTAACTTTTCACCCCTTCAGGAATTACACCAAGTTTTAAGTTACAACACCAAATATAGAATCCAAGAATGTTACGGTAGACATCTAACATCATGTTATAGATTACATTAACGAACACCTTGTAATTCTGCTTTACTATTGTGAAGACAATGAAAAAGTCACTTCCCAGTTAGCTGAAACACTATCTGGAAAGTGATTGGATGTTGTTAGCTTAAACTTTAGCTGTTGTCTGATTTTGGCCTGCATGCAGTGGTTTTAAATCAAAACGGTCAAATTCCACTTAAGATTTCATACTTTCACTATAAAATCTACAGAAGTGAAATAACAGTTTTATACACTCTATATTTGTATGACTAACAGTTTGAAACACAACTGTACAAAAGTATCTGACCCTCCTACCCTGAGCATGACACCAGAGGAAATTGACCGGTCGAGATAGTTGTATGGTCTTAAAACTAATTTATATAAAATAAAAAATATTCATGAAAATTATTTCAATCCATATCCTGTAGTAGGTTCATATTCTGTTAACTCAACAGAGAGTACTGAGATAGTAATGAGTGGCTTTGTACTGCTGATTGTTTCAGGGGTAAAGACCTCATCGACATCCTCCGGAGTGTGAACAGTGAAGTCAGTCTACGAGTTAAGCAGATGCCTGAAGTCAGATTCACCAGATTCAAGAAACTTGTGCTCTCTCCACAGTGAAGGTCTGTCAAAGTAAAGATGATTTTTATCTGCTGAAAGGATGTGCGATAAATTTCAAGGAAGGGCATCTCCGAATTTGCCCTACCTGTTTTTTTCCTATCATTTATATCTTTTATTTGTTGATCACTGCTTTAACATTGCACGCTTTTGTCCTACAGTATGTAATCAACTTAAGTGGCCTAACATTTTCTTTGAATGAACAGCTTTTTTTAACCTTTGTAAACTCTTTAATTTTTCACTTTGTAATCACTTATTTTTACAAAAAAAATTACACTGAATCACTGTATTGAATCCAAATTGATTTTTAAAGAATAAATATACTTTCTGATGACTGGTGAGTCAATGTTTTTGTTGGAGGTGAATTACCGCAAACTGTCGCGGAGACTGGTAACATTTGCGTAACACAAAAATGATGGCAAACGAAGTTAGTTGTATCTTAACATGTTCAGTTATTCACAGCCAGCACAGCTAAGTAAGCCAATGTGGCAGAGAAAGGGAGGATGCTGCCAGGATCATAACCATGCCGTAATGACTGGTTTCTTTTTTAGTTTTATAACTACTGGTAAGTAGTTACATGAGGGGAAAAAAATGATTAAACATCCAATAACGAGAAAGTAAATACGCCTATTTGTTTGGCCAAACTGGGAGTACATGCTTTGAGATTCGGCTGCACACATAAAAGTGTCTTTACGGCACTGCAGCGTTGTTGCCATAACAACTTGGAATCGTCTTGGATTCCCGTATGGAAAAGGAGGCTACAAAAAGAAGTGCAGCAAAAGGGCTTATTACATAGGCTATTTTAAATGGGCTCATATTCTTGGCATATGGGTAATGAAACCATTTAGTCAGATGATACTGACTGTCCAGTTTGCCTAACTACATTTTTACTGGCTTATCATTGTTTTAGTTGGGTAGAGCCTGCGCAATAACTTTATAATTGCAGAATGCCAAGGAGAATCAAAAACTTCTGCAACTAGAAAAAGGTCTCCAAAATCCCACTAGCGATAGGTCTCTGTTGATCACAGTGTATGTGCGAGTGCCCTGTTGTATACGGGTCAATGATGTGACGCCTAAATATTCTGTCCAGCCGTTTTTTCTTTAAGTTACAAAGAGGTTTAAATGTAAAAAAATCAAAAAATACTATCTATGTGTAGTATCTCTCTTATATGTGTAGTCACTTCAACTTTTCAAAAATCAGGAGTTATTTGTAATTTTTCTGAATCTTAAAGTGTCAAAATATCATGTGGTGCGACCGTCCAGCCATGACTGCTGCTTTGAAAACTTCTTTGAAATTACTCTAAATCTATTACAGTTTAGTTTCTGCAATATTTGGCATGATTTTCAAAGTGTTTTGTATTCCTGTACAAAACTGCAAAGCTTTTGCAGTTATATTTTTTTCATAATATACAAATACATTTTGTCTGATCATGTCCATTTCTAAATATCATGTGGTGCGACCATCAAGAAATGACAATTTTTGACACTTTTATGCTGAAATCTACTCAGTACAGGAAGTTGCATCATTCACCATTCTGTCATAGAGCTATGGAAGCAGAAAGAGGGTTGGTGGTTCTCTCATTTATTTAAAAAAAAAAAAAAAAAAGACATTTTCAACTGCTGTAATGGCTTTGCCATATTTGGATATCATGTGGTACAACCTCAAAAAAACAATTTAAGTTATTTCCACAAATATGTATTTTAATTATATATTTCATATTGACCTTTTGTGGGAAGCTAGCAAGCTTTGTTTATGCGGCTAATCCTGTATCAATCAGATTTGACTGAACTTGAAAATGTCATGTGGTGCAACCACTGCAGATTGTTTTCCATCATAGATATATGCCCTAGATTGGCAGTATTTACGCTTTTTATATTAAATTAATGATTGATAAACACTAAGTACTCAATTTTTATTATTATTATGAATATTATTTTGTTATTTGATGAGTCATTTTGCTAATATTTAAGAAATAATGGTCAGTATAATCCGTACACAGGCGGTAGGCGGAACCAAGTTGTCCATAGTATATACAGTCTATGGCCGAATCCTAACCACTAGACTACCAGGGCCGGGGCCGGCTCTACGCTGGGGCAAGAGGGGGCAACGCCCCCTCAAACAAACGGCCTGCCCCCTCAAATCAAATTTTTAATAGTGGAAAATCCACCGAAAAAGCACAAGTTCATTATTAGCCCCCGTTCATCTCCCATCCCTTCATCTCCGTGCAGTGTGAGTCTTCACACACCCTGCAGGCAGAGATCGCCTCCCCCGTCCATCCCTTAGCCTTGCTGGGCCATCCTGTTCACGCAACAGGATGGCCCTGCCAGGCTATCCCTCCCTCCCCATCCGTAAACATCCAATCACTCTATGGGCAGAGACATGGAGAACCACTAAGCTCACAATACACAAGCTACAAACCTTCACAAACAAATGTCTCAGAAGAATACTGAAAATCTACTGGCAGAACAAGATCAGCAACAACGATCTCTGGATGAAGACACAACAACTCCCAGCAGCAGACGAAATTGGACGAAGTAGATGGAGATGGATCGGGCACACACTACGCAAACCAGAGTCAAACACCACCAGGCAGGCTCTGACCTGGAACCCTCAGTGGATGAGAAACAGAGGCTGGCCTAAAAAAAACACCTGGCGGCGAGATCTCCAGGCAGACACCAAGAGACTGGGATGCACCTGGTCGCAGATAGAAAAGAAAGCCATAGAACCATAGAACGGATCGTAACAGTCTATAACAGCACCAACAACATCTGCTCTGCCTTTGAAGGGGCTGGAAGCACCTGACATTAGATACAACGCTGTAAACACAGTGGACAAGTCATCAATTATTCGTTGATGACACATAGAGACAACCATTCAAAATATGCCCTTGGGGAAATCTGGAATTAACAATTAACCGAACCCACATGTCCAAGGATGGTGGGTTAAACGTTAAGACATGTAAACTCTTAAGACAAGCCCCAGCTGGCCAGCAGGTTCAATCCCAGAACAACCTCCATCACTTTTCTGGCTTTAGATTTCAATGTGTTAAAAATTGGATTACATGAGAAATTACAGAGGAATTTTGTTGACTGCATTACCTACAGGTTTTGATTCTAAATTCTGATTTCTAAATCTAACACTTCTACTTTTGGAAAGCTGTGTTTGTGTGACAAAGGTATGTTTCAACCCCAATAATGATGATTTTGTTTAAATAACATGTTATTTCATTCAAGAAAAGAGAAGCTCGCTCTGACAAATATGTCACATCCGGCTTTCACTCTTAAAATATTCATGAAAAATCCCATGTGACGTATTTGTCACGATAAAAAAAAGGTAGAAGCTGAAGCCCATTTAATAATTTTAAATCAATATATTTTGGAGGGGTTTCATGTCCCAATGATCCCAGGAGCTATGTTGTCGGGGGCTTTATGCCTCTGGTAGGGTCCCCCATGGCAAACAGGTCCTGTGGGAGGGATCAGACTAAGGGTAGCTCAAATAGATCTCTTAAAATAACTGGTACTAAGTTTCACTTGCCCAGAAGAGGGTCACCAGGGCCCTGTCCTGGAGCCAGGCCTAGGGATTAGGTTTGATGGTGAGCGCCTGTTGGTGCTTCCGATGGGCTCACTACCCATAGGAGAGGCCAAAGGGGTCTGGTGCAGTGCAAGCCAGGAAAACCCTACCCACCTGCTGGAACTGAGAGATCCCCTTACTCTTTGGCTATTACAGGGGATCCTTTAGGCAGATATTTAACAAGACAATCCCACCTCATCAAAGAACATCTGGAGCGGAACAGGCTGCTGTTAAATCACCAGGATAACAATGAGGTGGATCAGGTCCCCACCCACAGGAACCCTGAGCACTTTAGGCCTTAGTTCTCCACAGGCATACAGCAGCAGCAGTGTTGGACCCCAAGTCCTGACATCATTTATAGGGTTTCCTTCTTGTGCTCAGGTTTTCCCACATCCAGATTCAAATTCCAATGTATCTTTATGGCACTTTAATCCAAAAAAGATGAAAAAAATACAAATTGTGTGTTCTTAATATACATGCTTTTATACATATGTGAGTATGCCTGAAATAGTAATAAAAATGTATTCACTCCTTCAGGCATACTCACATATGTATCAGACATGTACTGTATGTTATTCCACTGTGGCTATACCCCCAAGTGATTTAAACACAGAATTCATGGCATCTAATTTCCTGTTATTGTAATCTATTTCTATTTGTGACTCTCATTCATTTCTGAATGGAGATCACAATCAACTTATTTGTCCTGCATTAAAATCAGTTATAATCCATGTCTTCATGCTCCACGACAAATCCTCAATTCATGTTTTTTCAACCCTGATAATGAGTTTGCAGGAAAAAGGGAGAGAAGCATATAGACATGGATTGATATAATTCAAGAAAAGAGAAGATCGCTGTGACAAATATGTCACATCTGGCTTTCACTCTTAAAATATTCATGAAAAATCCCATTTGACGTATTTGTCACAATCAAAACAAAAAGGTAGAAACTAAGCCCATTTAATAATTTTTAATCAATATATTTTATGAAGGTGAAGTCAAAGACTATTTGAACAAATATAAACAAAAAATCCCATTGGAAATTCTTTAAACTAATTAATAAATATGTATTGAAATGAAAAAGTGTATGTCAAATGTAAGTCAGCACTAAGGGTGAAAATTTGTTTGCAGACAATCTTTTTATTTCAATGTCGCTAGTGCTCAACCTTCTTCAGTGAAAGATCTACTTCATAGGAACACTGGTTGCCAGCTTTCGGATGAAAAAAGTTTTGCTGACAGAGGCAGAGGATCCATTGATGCCAGGGTGGAGAAGGGGTGAAAGGTGGCCATTGTCAAGTAGTACAATACCAAATCTGTCACCTTGTTCTCATCCTACTGTACAAAGCTTGATGCTGGAGCAAATCAGACAAAGCATTTGTGGGTCGCAAGTACCACATGAGATCACCAAGGTGGCAAAACATCATGTTAGGCCTGGTCAATGCATGGTTGCTTTACCCCTGAGACTACAAACTACTCGGTGTCAAAAGGCCACTCAAACAAAGAGGCCTCCAAGCAGAGGTTGCCACAAGCCTGATTCTCCTGCATTCATAAAGGGGGGCGCCCATTACCACCCAAGAGAGTCCGTACTGGTATTTTAGATGACGTTCGCATTGACCATGTTATACGCTGGCCAGTGAAATGTGAGAAACAAGGTTGTAGCGAACTCTGCAAAGTCAATGCTACCACCACTCTAAAATGTAACATATGTCTTTTTTCACATAGGAGTAAAATTGCTTCAAAACCTACCATTTGGCATAAGCTAACTCACTAAAAAGCTGTTCATGATAAAAAAAACTGTTGAGTTGTGGTGCTGATTATGCAAAAGAAGTTTTGTTTTCCAGCAGTTCTGTTTAATGTACTTTAGTACATATTTTTGGCAGGTTTTCTGTCACGGTTCAGGCACCGAGGCTCAAATGCGGACAAAGAGACTCAAGTCAGAGCAGTTCAGTTAAACAGATATTTATTTGGTCCAAAAATGCAAACAGAAATAGGAAAACGGAACTAAGGTGGGCAGTAACAATTAACAAAAAGCGCTGTCTGAAAAACGCGAGACAGGATCAGTAATAACTAACAAAAACGCTGTCTGTAAAAACGCAAGACTGGAACAGTAATAATTAACCAAAAAGCGCTGTCTGCAAAACGCGAGACTGGAACAGTAATAATTAACAAAAGCGCTGTCTGCAAAAACGCGAGACAGGATCAGAACAATTAACAAAAAAACGCTGTCTGCAAAACGCGAGACAGGGTCAGAACAAATAACAAAAAACGCTGTCTGCAAAACGCGAGACAGGGTCAGAACAAATAACAAAAAGCGCTGTCTGCAAAACGCGAGACAGGGTCGGGTACTACCAGAGCTAGCGAGAGAGTGAGTGAGCAGGCAGTCCGTGAACTCCGACTGGAGGGAGAGAGGCAGGTGGTGATGGCGTGAGGCGGCGTCCTGGACGGAGCTGGGATGAAGAGCAGGAGAGCTGGGTACGCAGACGGGAAGAGCAGGCGGAGTGGGCAAGGGATTTTCAGGTTACGGTCCAGCGTCGGGTTGTGGGAAGCGTCTGGTTTTTATGGCAGCGGGTGAATGAATGAGAGCGCCCTCTCCCCGCCACACGGATCGATCCGCTGATTAGTAAGTGGCTGCACCTGTCCGCCCTGAAGCTGCATCACACCAACACCTGCTTAGAGAGAGGGAGAAAGAGAAGAGGGAGGGGGGAGAAGAGAAAAGAGAGGCTGCCCCTATCTGGCCCTAGAAGTAGAGGGCGTGACAGTACCCCCCCCCCTACGTGCACCTCCAGGTGCACGAAGGCGCTTCTCTGGGTGGCGGCGGTAGAGGTCGCTGACCAACGTGTGGTCCAGGATCTGGCGACGGGGAACCCAGCTGCGCTCCTCTGGCCCATATCCCTCCCAGTCGACCAAGAACTGGACCCCTCTACCCCGCCGACGGACATCCAGCAAGCGACTGACAGTGTAGACTGGCCCATCGTCCACTATCCTGGGCGGAGGAGGGGGATGGACGGGTGGGGCCAAAGGACTCTCCCGTACCGGCTTCAGCTGCGAAACATGGAACGTGGGATGAATCTTCATGGACCGGGGCAGCTTAAGCCGGACGGCAGCGGGGTTAATGACCCTCTCCACCTCGAACGGACCGACAAAGCGTGGGGCCAACTTCTTTGACTCCACCCGGAGTGGGAGATCCTTGGCCCTGAGCCAAACCTTCTGGCCCGGGGCGTAGGCAGGAGCAGGGGAACGGCGACGGTTGGCCTGTTGCTCCATTCTCAAGGAGGCCCGGCGGAGGGCGACCCGAACCTTCCTCCAAGTTCGTTTGCACCTCCTGACGAAGCTTTGCACCGAGGGTATGACAATCTCCTCTTCAGAAGCTGGAAACAGGGGGGCTGGTATCCCAGGACGCACTGGAAGGGGGACAGTCCAGAGGAAGAGTTAGACAGGGAGTTGTAAGCGTACTCCACCCAGGGGAGTTGATTGCTCCAGGTCGTAGGGTGTTCTGAGGCCACACAGCGTAGGAAAGTCTCTAGAGACTGATTGGCCCGTTCCGTCTGGCCGTTTGATTGTGGGTGGAAACCAGAAGAGAGACTGACCGTGGCCCCCAGAGCCTTACAAAACGCCCTCCACACCTCTGACGTGAACTGGGGACCACGGTCGGAGACTATGTCGGAAGGGATGCCGTGAATCCTGAAAACCTGAGAGACCAGAAGATCTGCAGTCTTAATGGCTGTGGGTAACTTGGGCAGGGGAAGGAAATGGGCAGATTTGGAGAACCGGTCGACAATGGTTAATATGGCGGTGTTGCCCTGGGAAGGAGGGAGGCCTGTGACAAAATCCACTGCAATGTGGGACCAGGGTCTCCTGGGAATGGGAAGCGGCCGCAGGAATCCGGAGCTGGGTTGATTGGACGTTTTGTTGCGGGCACAGACGGAGCAGGCCAGGGTGAACTCACGGGTGTCTGCCTCCATGGTGGGCCACCAGAACCGTTGCCGGAGGACCTCTAAGGTGCGGGCAGATCCGGGATGACAGGCGAACTTAGAGGTATGCCCCCACATGAGGACCTGCGGGCGGACGGCTTCTGGGACAAACAGGCGGTTTGGGGGACCGCCTCCGGGGTCAGGTTGCTGTTCTAGGGCCCGGAGTACTTGGGCCTCAACCTCCCAAGTGAGGGAGGCGACAATGCGAGTCTGGGGCAAGATGGGTTCTGGGTCTGGCAGGGCGTTCTCTCCGGAGAACTGACGGGACAGGGCATCAGGCTTGGTGTTCCTGGACCCGGGGCGATAAGTGATGGAGAAGTTGAAGCGGCTGAAGAAGAGGGACCAGCGGGCCTGGCGGGAATTCATCCTCCTGGCCGACCTGATGTATTCCAGGTTCTTGTGGTCTGTCCACACGATGAAAGGCTGCAGGGCACCCTCCAACAGATGCCGCCATTCCTCCAGAGCGAGCTTGACGGCCAACAGCTCGCGATCTCCGACATCATAGTTCCTCTCTGCGGGGGTAAGACGCCGTGAGAAGAAGGCACAGGGGTGTAGTTTTTGGTCTGTCGCAGCCCGCTGGGACAGGACTGCCCCTACCCCGGTGTCCGAGGCATCCACCTCCAGGATGAACTGTCTCTCGGGATCTGGCTGGATCAGGATAGGCGCCGAAACAAAGCGTTGCTTCAGCTCAGAGAAGGCCTTGTTTGCTTCAGGGGTCCAACAAAAGATCTTGGTGGTGGAAGTGAGGGTGGTCAGGGGGGCTGCAACAGAGCTGTAATTTCGGATGAAACGGCGGTAGAAGTTTGCAAAACCAAGGAAGCGCTGAAGCTGTCTCCGGTCTTCGGGACGGGGCCACTCAGTCACTGCCTCCACCTTTAATGGGTCCATCTTGACCTCCCCGGAGGAGATGATGAATCCCAGGAAAGCCACAGTGGATGCGTGGAACTCGCATTTCTCTGCCTTGACGAAGAGGCGGTTCTGGAGGAGACGTTCGAGGACCTGGCGGACATGGCAGACGTGTTCTTCAAGGTTTCGGGAGTATATTAAGATGTCATCCAGGTAGACGAAGACGAACCGATTGAGCATGTCCCTCAAGACGTCGTTGATGAGGTTCTGGAAAACTGCGGGGGCGTTAGTGAGGCCGAAGGGCATGACCAGGTATTCAAAGTGTCCCAGGGGAGTATTGAAGGCGGTCTTCCACTCGTCGCCCTCCCGGATTCGGATGAGGTGGTAGGCATTTCTAAGATCCAGTTTGGTGAAGACAGAGGCTCCATGCAGCGGGGTGAAGGCAGAATTGATTAGGGGAAGGGGGTAAGTATTCTTAACAGTAATGTCATTGAGGCCCCGGAAGTCTATGCAGGGACGGAGGGATTTGTCCTTCTTGGAGACAAAAAAGAATCCAGCGCCGACAGGGGATGAAGAGGGGCGGATGATGCCAGCCGCCAGAGAATCGCGGATGTAGGACTCCATGGTGGCCTGTTCAGGTCTAGACAGGTTGTACAGTCTGCAACGGGGTAGTGTAGCTCCGGGAAGTAAGTCTATAGCACAGTCGTAGGGTCTGTGTGGGGGCAGAGACAGGGCTTGATCCTTGCTAAAAACCATGGCCAGATCGTGGTACACAGAAGGTACAAGGTCCAGGTTGAGGGGTTCGGAAGGTAGGGCCCGGGGGCTGGCTCGAGTTTCAGGAGTCAGGGCAGATGTCAGGCAACGTTGGTAGCACTCCCGGCTCCAGGAACGGATCTCCCCCTGCTGCCAGTCAATGTGGGGATTATGGACCTGGAGCCAAGGGAACCCAAGAACCAAGGGTGGACTAGACTGGTCGATGAGGTGGAAGGAAATTGTCTCATGGTGGTTGCCCCCCACCACCAGGGAGACCGGAACAGTCTTATGGCGGACTTGGGCCAGGTGGAGTCCGTTCAGAGCACGAGCCTCCAGGGGCGCGTCAAGAGTTTCTGTGGGAATGCCGAGCTGGGACGCCAGGCGAGAGTCCAGGAAATTCTCTTCAGCCCCAGAATCCACCAGGGCTAGAAGAGGGATAGGCTGACGCTGCCAACACAGGGTTATGGCCACTTGGAGACGTTGTGGGGGCGAAGTAGTAGTACGGCTCACCAGCAGATCCCCCGTCACTGGCGAGCCGGACCTTTTGGCGGACGGGCGGGGCAGGAGGCAATGTAGTGACCCGGACGCCCACAATACAGGCACAGGTTTGCTGACCGACGTTGTAACTTCTCCGACTCAGTGAGGTGGGCCCGGCCGATCTGCATTGGCTCTGGGAGAGACTCCGGCGGGGGGTCCGGCTGAGTTCTGGGGCCTGGGGCACTTGGGGTTCTGGTGGGTCCTAGTACAGAGCGGGCGCTGCGTTCTCGCCTCCTTTCCCGGAGCCGGTTGTCAATCTTAATCGCTAATGCGATGAGGTGGTCTAGGTCTGGAGAGTCGTCACGAGTTGCCAGCTCGTCCTTTAGGGCCTCACCTAGCCCTTTGTAAAAGGCTCCCTGGAGCGCGCCGTCGTTCCAGGAGCTCTCTGCAGCCAGCGTCCGGAACTCCACCGCAAACTCTGCGACACTCCTTGTCCCTTGGGAGATGGCCATGAGGCGGTGGCTGGCGTTGTTACCGCTTACTGGGTGGTCAAAGACCTTCCTCATCTCTGCCACGAACGCCGCGTAGGACTCACAGGCACTGTCCTGGCGTCCCCAAACAGCCGTGCCCCACTCTCTCGCCTGTCCTGACAATAACCCGATGGTGTAAGCTATTTTTGAACGATCGGAGGCATAGGAGAGAGGCTGCATCTCAAAAACTAGTGAAACCTGAGTTAAAAAGGCCTGGCAGGATCCTAACTCCCCCCTGTAACGTTCAGGTACAGGCACTACAGGTTCACGAGAGGGAGGTGGAACACTAACGCTAGCCAAGACAGGATTAGCGGCTAACGCTGAGCCTGGGGGAGCAGTCTTAGCAATTTGACCAGCCAACCCTCTTAACTGGGTGGTTAGTTCAGAGATCTGATTAAGCATAACATGATTACTACTGACCAGGGAACGCAACAATTCATCATGTTGAGCTAACACGCATTCCTGATTAGCAATAGCTTGTTGAAACGTGGTAGCGGGGGAGACTGCCTCCGCGCCAGTCTCTTTGTCTGCTGAGCTCATCTTGGCTGGACCGTACTGTCACGGTTCAGGCACCGAGGCTCAAATGCGGACAAAGAGACTCAAGTCAGAGCAGTTCAGTTAAACAGATATTTATTTGGTCCAAAAATGCAAACAGAAATAGGAAAACGGAACTAAGGTGGGCAGTAACAATTAACAAAAAGCGCTGTCTGAAAAACGCGAGACAGGATCAGTAATAACTAACAAAAACGCTGTCTGTAAAAACGCAAGACTGGAACAGTAATAATTAACCAAAAAGCGCTGTCTGCAAAACGCGAGACTGGAACAGTAATAATTAACAAAAGCGCTGTCTGCAAAAACGCGAGACAGGATCAGAACAATTAACAAAAAAACGCTGTCTGCAAAACGCGAGACAGGGTCAGAACAAATAACAAAAAACGCTGTCTGCAAAACGCGAGACAGGGTCAGAACAAATAACAAAAAGCGCTGTCTGCAAAACGCGAGACAGGGTCGGGTACTACCAGAGCTAGCGAGAGAGTGAGTGAGCAGGCAGTCCGTGAACTCCGACTGGAGGGAGAGAGGCAGGTGGTGATGGCGTGAGGCGGCGTCCTGGACGGAGCTGGGATGAAGAGCAGGAGAGCTGGGTACGCAGACGGGAAGAGCAGGCGGAGTGGGCAAGGGATTTTCAGGTTACGGTCCAGCGTCGGGTTGTGGGAAGCGTCTGGTTTTTATGGCAGCGGGTGAATGAATGAGAGCGCTCCTCTCCCCGCCACACGGATCGATCCGCTGATTAGTAAGTGGCTGCACCTGTCCGCCCTGAAGCTGCATCACACCAACACCTGCTTAGAGAGAGGGAGAAAGAGAAGAGGGAGTGGGGAGAAGAGAAAAGAGAGGCTGCCCCTATCTGGCCCTAGAAGTAGAGGGCGTGACATTTTCTGCATGAATCAGTTGGTTATTGTTCAGTTGCTCTCTAATGCAAAAAAAAAAAAAAAAAGAAAATGGTTTGAGAAAACCAAATGTGTTGTTTCACTGTTTGGAAAGAAGTTTTCTCAGTTTAAATGCAAATAAATGCAAATGTTTGTTGCTAAACAACCAACATATATTATTTCATTCATTTTCAAATACGGAGAAAAAAATGGTAAACGCCCAATATGAGATGATGAGATGAGATGAGATTCAATTTATTGTCAATGTACAGTACAAGTACAGTACAGCGAAAAGTATTTTCGCATCTCACCAGAGTGCAAAGTAAACATGTCAGTGCTAGTGATACATTATTTCATAGATAAGTGTTGAGGTAAGTGTTGTTCATAGTGTTGAGAGGACTAAAGAGCAGTGCAGCTACATCGACCCAGTCAGCTTCATGAGACATATTTGGATGATAAATCTGAGACTGAGTCAGACTGACCTTTGGGAAAGGTCATCCAGCAGAGCGTCAAAGCATTTGAAACTCCGCTTGTGGACTGCCATCCTGACGCCCCCAAACTGGCTGTCCCCGCTTTTGTAGAAGGTGATCCGCTTTGCCGGGGTGTCGGTGATCACATGGGGGCAGTGTGGATCGGAGGGCGGTTGTGGGGGGATTGGGAAGGCATGTTTAGACGGGGGCTGGGGATCCCACATCCCGGTCTAGACTGAAAGCATCTTGCAATCTCACACAAACCTGAGAGAGACAAAAGGGTGACACGATTTTAGAGAGTTCAATCACACCTCTTCCTTGCTGGGGGCTTGAACTGCAAATATTTGAGCACACAGAGGTCTGCTGGGAAATTTTACCTCATTTCACCCACTCTGTGATTTGTGAACGGTATCCTCAGCTCTACAAATACACAGATGATACTTTGGGTAGTGAATGCAGTGAAGTGCCTTTCTCTTTAGATGGACAGGAATTTGATTAAACTACCATGTTTTTGATGGGTTATATTTCCATTTTCTTTTCAGTTGAAGCACTCTCTAATCACACTCATGAGGTCACTACTTCTAATCGGGAGTGTTTGACAGAGGATTCAGGACAGGACATTTACTAACAGGACTACTTTACATGTAAGCATGTTGCAAATGTCACCGCAACAGCAGGAGGAGACGCATTCGCAGCACAACCACCTCCGAATCAAACTAGGGAAGCACTTTGCAGCATTTAGCAACTTACAGTGGAGAGGGAAAACTGCCTTTGACAGGCAGAAACCTCGAGCAGGACCAGACTCATGTTAGACAGTCAATTGCTGCTATTGGATGGGGGTTAGCGGGATCAAATGCAGCTTTATGGATTTGTATTGTTATGATAAAAACAGAGCTTCACCCACTTTGCTATATATCGAGAGAAATAAGAATAAGAAGAACTTTATTAATCCCTCAGAGAAAATTCAATAGGATTTAAATAAATAAATAAATACATGAATTATAAAAATTATATTATGTATTAATAGATAATTAAATAAATTATTAATTATTACAAATAAATTTATTTAAATAAATTCAATAATTCAATTTCATACAAAATTCTGCAGGACAGAGACCACACTTGTGCTTTTATGTATTATTTATTCATTTGTTTATTATTTTGATGTTGTTTCATAGATTAGGTCTTAACTTTATAATCAAAATATGCATAACATGTTTGAACCTTGCAACAACACCAAAAATCCCTCAGAAGAGCTGCACCAAAACTGAATAAACATTACTTTATCAACAGTTCTCAGTCCAGCTATTTTTAGCAGGAGAGAACTGTTGATTTAGAACTTTGTTTTTTTTTTTCTTTTGCAGACTTTAAATAAAAGTTACAAAAAAACAGGCTTAGCGGGCTTTTAAGCTCCATGAGTGCAGACTGGGGGCCAAATCACTGCTGTTGGCTGTAGACACCCCCAACGTGACACTCTGCCTCCTAATCCATTTAGCTCTGTCTCTCTTCACAACTTTACTTTTAAAATTCCAGCCCTGTATTTTAAAACCTTTGCAACAAATTTGCAACAGATTTACCAAATATTACAACACAAGGTCAAGACAGGCCATGGTCACCAACTGTTAGTCTCCAAGATGAAGGAGCACGAAGAAATAGTTCCTGAAGCTCATTTTGACTGGGTTTAAATAGACTTGTTGAAGATGTTTGGCGTTGTTAGAGAGCAGAAGAAGAGAGGGTGTTTTATTTTAAAATAAACAGATACTAAAGAGAATTTACAGCTTGTAGATTTAGATTAACTTCATAATTAAATTATAAAGGTTAAGAAGTTATCTTTCAATTAAACTCTATGCTGAGTCCTAAAAGTATACATGCAGTCCTTCAATTCTTATAGTCAACAGCAGCCTCATCAGATAAAACACACTATAAATGCTGACTGTTTGGCTTGAGCGTGTGATGACATTTCCAGCTTTTCTAGCCAATCAGAGGTGAAGGAGGCGGGACTTTCTCCAGTAAAAGTCTTCCCCAGGATTCCCCACCTTAACAGTGATGCCTCTTTGTGACCCACTAAAGGAGACAAGATTGTAAATAAAGTGACTGGAATTCCTGTAGTTAAGTTTTAAGGGTATATGTCAAGGTGGCTGTTTACACATAGTGAAGTTAACTTTTTATGATGACTGACTGTTAAAAAAAAAGCAGGATGTCTTCTTTTTCAGGTAATACGACTCATTCATGTCCAGGATGAAGTCCTCGGAGATATATAAGGTGTTATCTGTCCACAGGGGCGCCAAAGTAGACACAAGTCGAAAGTTACTCACAGGAACTTTAAGGTGAGTTGATGATGAATTTGGCTACGTTCATACTGCAGGTTATGATGCACAATTTGGATTTTTTGCTAAATCTGATCATTTTGTGCGGTGGTTCACATTACAGCAACGAATGTGACATCTAATGTGAACGGAATGCGTCAGTGAAGTGACCCGCATGCGCACAAAGCACAAATTGCTTTCCGCGCCTGTTTGTGTTGTCGAACAATGGTGACGTTTTTCGCATATTGATGACGTATAGGTCGGATGAACGCGTCTGAGTGTCCACACTGCAGTCACATCGAATACATATCCGATTTATATCCACGTACTAAAGAGGCCTGGGTTGGATTTGAAAAAATCAGAATTGCACTGTTCACACTTAGATGAAAAAATCAGATATGTGTCACATTTGGTTAAAAAATCGGAATTGACCTGCAGTGTGAACATAGCCGTATTTTTGTCTTTCTAATCAGGTGCATAATTTAGATACTGTTCAATACATCACATCCTCTTTGCTTTTGAGTAAACAGAGGATAGTTTACACATTAAAGCTGCTGTGAGTAACTTTTAGTTCAAAGGGGTATCTGTTTATGATCATCGCATACATCAATGTCAACAATGAAGTGTAGCACTCACTGTGAGTATTTGCTGAGTAAAAATTTCCTGTAACTTATCTGGTTTTGTCACCCACACCCTCACTGCGTTTTCAGCATTTAAAATTATTATAAATTATACTACTTCTGAAAGCCTTACAGAAGCATTGGTATTAGTTTGAGTCTGTTTCCCAACCAGTTAAAAAAAAAAACTCCTTATAGTGCCTTTAAGAGCTGTTGGTTCAGTTTGCAGAACAAGAAAAGACAGCAATAAGGATATTATATCATGTGTCCCATAATGCTAATAGTCCTCTTACTCCTCTCCGTACATGTTAAATCCCTTATTCAAGCCTCTAATCACATCAACAGGTGTCATCACACCCACACAGAAACATACAGATTGATTATGCATAATGGACCCTTAAATAGTTACCCCTAAAGATGACACCATGACTTGAAAACAGAAACAACTCAGATACAAAACAGAGGATTAGGGAGCATCACTATGCTTGTTTTAACTCTTTAAATACAGGAATGCAACAAAAGTTTGGAGAAAAGACAGTCTTACTGAGATAAACGCATGCCAGATTGAAGATAATCGTCTGGTTATAAATCCATAAGTGAAGGAGCGATGTTAAATGGTGATTTTTTATTTGTCTGACCACCTGCAATGGACTGAAACATCAGTCAGTTCAGTGCAGTCCGCTATACAGGTTACTTTGAGGACCATGATGTGAAGTCAGCGGCTTAACAACAGGAAGCACTCGAATTTTGAATTTCAAAATAAGATCGAGCATATGTTTCAAAATAAAGTATTTGTGTACTATTTAAAAAAGACAAAATGTTTTATTCTGTCATTTATTTTTTCACTCTAAGGGTTTTTTTTTTTCCCCTCTTTTTTCAGAGACACAAAAAGTAAAATGATAAAAGCGGACAGATGGAGGTAAGGTGATATAAAAAGGGGGAGTGGGATTCACGCTAAAGAGGATTAAAGCTGTCTGGACAAATTGTCTAAATCTGGATAAATCTACAGGACAGCTTCTGTGTTTTCTGCCTTCAAACTCAAAGACCAACTTTAATCTCAATAACTGTTTTGAATTTGAAAGAAAAAGTCCTTAAAATTCAGGTAGATTATTAATCAGCCTTATTCGGGAAATAAAGAATTTTTTGTGTCAAACGCGTTATTGAAATATGTTTTTGGTAGGCCTACTACATGGTATATTTGGTCTCCCCTACCAGTAACACATGACTGCATGTTTTGGAAAACGGTTGTAATTCAGAGTTTGAACACTGGATGGAGTCCTGGGGTCCGTTTCACGTAGGTGGTTCAACAAACTCTGAGTTAAATCCTTAACTCTGAGTTGATCTACTCTGAGTTAGGAAACTCTGAGTTTCCGGTTTCACAACACCTGATTTGAGACGGTTTTAACAACTCCGAGTAGTTTGACCTGGAGTTAAGCACGTGCACGCCAGACATAAACAGCCAGCATCTGTGGAGCGCAGATTCAATGATCAACCAATGGAAACAGGGAGAAGGAGGGGGCAGCAGCAAGCCAACAGCGAATTACAGCACGTTTTTAAAAGAAAGTGCAATACAGCAGCAGCTGCAAAGGAGAGGGAGAGGGCTTGGGAGGAAATCGCTGCTCGCGTTAATGCGTAACTTTAAATCTAGTCTCGTGCAATCACAATGACAGACTGTTGCAGGGAAACTGCTTGAATCATTTTGATCATGTTTTACATTGTCAAGTAAGTATTAAGTGGCAGTTTGATCCCTTAGAAAATGCTCTTTTCACACTCAAAAATGAATTTTACTCTCTTATGATGTTCCGTTAAATGCTTAGGAATATTAAAGTAACTCTCAGTATGTATATGTATATATATTAAACTAACACACACTACACTCAATATTAGACTTTCACTCAGCAAACAGAAAGAGGGCAGATGCCAGAAAAACGGGTGGTGGGCCAGCAGCCCCATCTTTAACGGAGGCAGAGGAGCTGCCCCCCCCCCCCCCCCCCCCCCTTCGACGATCGCAACCCCCACCCCGTAGCAGCGATCGTCGGACTGGTGTGCGTGTGTCTGTGTCTGTGTCTGTGTCTGTGTCTGTGTCTGTGGGGGGGGGGGGGGGTGTTTTGAGTGTGAAAAGAGCATTTTTTAAGGGATCAAACTGCCACGTAGCAGGTTTAGTGGAAACTCCGAGTTTGTTAACCCTGAAATCAGGGAAACTCTGAGTTTTCCGTTTCACAAAGGAGGGTTAGTTAAACCAGGGAGAGAGGGGTAACTCTAACCTGTTTCACAAAGAGAGGTAACTCAACCTCGCGGTCAGTTACCGCAGTAACAGACTCCGTGAACCTAACCTGCTCGGGAGCAGGTTTAACTCAGTAAACCCAGAGTTTCAGGTGAGACATCGGCATTTTCTCATTTTGATCATGTTTTACATTGTCAAGTAAGTATTAAGTGGCAGTTTGATACCTTTAAAAAAGCTGTTTTCACACTCAAAACTGAATTTTACTCTCTTATTATGTTCCGTTAAATGATTAGGAATATTAAACTAACACAAAAACGGGTGGTGGTCCAGCAGCCCCACCTTTGGAGGCAGAGGAGCTGCCCCCCCCCCCCCCGTTCGACGATCGCGGCCGGTCCGATCGCAAATCCCCCCCCACAGACACACACACGCGCACGCACACCAGTCCGACAATCGCTGCTACGAGGTGGGGGTTTCGATCGTCGGGGGGGGGGGGGGGGGCTGCTGGGCCACCACCCGTTTTTTCTGGCATCTGCCCTCTTTCTGTTTGCTGAGTGAAAGTCTAATATTGAGTGTAGTGTGTGTTAGTTTAATATATGTACATATACATACTGAGAGTTAGTTTAATATTCCTAATCACTTAACGGAACATCATAAGAGAGTAAAATTCATTTTTTTGAGTGTGAAAAGAGCATTTTCTAAGGGATCAAACTGCCACTTAATACTTACTTGACAATGTAAAACATGATCAAAATGATTCAAGCAGTTTCCCTGCAACAGTCTGTCATTGTGATTGCACGAGACTAGATTTAAAGTTACGCATTGACGCGAGCAGCGATTTCCTCCCAAGCCCTCTCCCTCTCCTTTGCAGCTGCTGCTGTATTGCACTTTCTTTTACAAACGTGCTGTAATTCGCTGTTGGCTTGCTGCTGCCCCCTCCTTCTCCCTGTTTCCATTGGTTGATCATTGAATCTGCGCTCCACAGATGCTGGCTGTTTATGTCTGGCGTGCACGTGCTTAACTCCAGGTCAAACTACTCGGAGTTGTTAAAACCGTCTCAAATCAGGTATTGTGAAACCGGAAACTCAGAGTTTCCTAACTCAGAGTAGATCAACTCAGAGTTAAGGATTTAACTCAGAGTTTGTTGAACCACCTACGTGAAACGGACCCCTCCTCTGCAACAGTGTGGCTGCATGCCTTAGCTGAGTGCAGTAATATGAAGCATACCCAAGACATACCCACTTCTTCTGGACTAACACAGGACCTCTGCTGCACATTTATATTTATATCTAAGTTTATATTGTGGAATTACTCAGGACCTCTGCTGCACATTTATATTTATACCTATAATCAAATTTATATTGTGGACTAACACAGGACCTCTGCTTCATATTTATATTTGTATCCTAGACTTACACAGGACTTTTGCTGCATGTTTTATCTGCACATTAAAATGAAATGCTTATGGTACTGATAGGATATAATATTGCAGAATTTTTGCTTGATATTTATATTTAAATTTATATTGTGGACTTACACAGGAGCTCTGCTGCAAATTTTTATTTATATTAATGTTTACATTGTGGACTTACACAGGACCTCTGCTGCATATTTATATTTATATCCTGGACTTACACAGTTTACACTTTTCTTTATATTTATATTGTAAATTTAAACAGGACCTCTGCTGCATCATTATATTTTTACTTTTATCGTGGACTTACACCGGTCTTACACAGGACTTTTGCTGCATGTTTTGTCTGTACATTGATATGAAATGCTTGTGGTACTGATAGAATATAATATTGCAGGACTTTTGCTGCATATTTATATTTACATTGTGGACTTACACGACTTTTGCGGCATGTTTTTATTAGCACATAGATATGAAATGCTTGTGGTACTGATAGAATATAATATTGCATGACTTTTGCTTCGTAGTAATAAGTTGGTGGCTCTTAAAAGAGCCGTTGTGGTTTGTTGCTTTGCAGGGTACTGCTCCCTCTGCTGAGAAATTCGCTGTGAAGGCTTCTTTCTCATCTGCCTTGTCTTCTGTTTTGTCATCTGTCTTGTTTCTTCTGCCTTCTTTCTTCTTTTTTTTGTCTTGTTTCTTCTGTCTAGTCTTCTGTCTTGTTTCTTCTGTCTTGTCTTCTGTCTTGTTTCTTCTGTCTTGTCTTCTGTCTTCTTTCTTCTGTCTTGTCCAGGTAAAGTAACTGGAACTAACATTTTTTGTCCTCAGGACAGCTCAGGAGACCATGTAAGACAAAAGTGAGATAAGACAAAGATTGGTTAGCAAGAAAGTCATAAAACTATTAGTCTATAAATGATATGAAACAGATTCAGAAGCTTATACTTACTTTCTTCATCCTCACGAACCAGTAGGAGCTCAGGAGACCATGTAAGACAAAAGTGAGATAAGACAAAGATCGTTTAGCAAGTTAGTCACAGAACTATTGATCAATAAATAATATAAAAAAAGAAAGATTCAGACGATTGTACTTACTTTCTTCATCCTCACGAACCAGTAGGCGCTCAGGACACCATGTAAGACAAAAGTGAGATAAGACAAAGATCGGTTAGCAAGTTAGTCATAGAACTATTGATCAATAAATAATATAAAAAAAGAAAGATTCAGACGATTGTACTTACTTTCTTCATCCTCACGAACCAGTAGGCGCTCAGGACACCATGTAAGACAAAAGTGAGATAAGACAAAGATCGTTAGCAAGTTAGTCATAGAACTATTGATCAATAAATGATATAAAAAAAGAAAGATTCAGACGATTGTACTTACTTTCTTCATCCTCACGAACCAGTAGGAGCTCAGGAGACCATGTAAGACAAAGGTGAGATAGACAAAGATCGGTTAGCAAGTTAGTCATAGAACTATTGATCAATAAATGATATAAAAAGAAAGATTCAGACGATTGTACTACTTTCTTCATCCTCACGAACCAGTAGAGCTATGTAAACAGATTCAGAAGATTGTACTTACTTTCTTCATCCTCACGAACCAGTAGGAGCTCAGGAGACCATGTAAGACAAAAGTGAGATAAGACAAAGATCGTTTAGCAAGTTAGTCACAGAACTATTGATCAATAAATAATATAAAAAAAGAAAGATTCAGACGATTGTACTTACTTTCTTCATCCTCACGAACCAGTAGGCGCTCAGGACACCATGTAAGACAAAAGTGAGATAAGACAAAGATCGTTTAGCAAGTTAGTCATAGAACTATTGATCAATAAATGATATAAAAAAAGAAAGATTCAGACGATTGTACTTACTTTCTTCATCCTCACGAACCAGTAGGAGCTCAGGAGACCATGTAAGACAAAGGTGAGATACGACAAAGATCGGTTAGCAAGTTAGTCATAGAACTATTGATCAATAAATGATATAAAAAAAGAAAGATTCAGACGATTGTACTTACTTTCTTCATCCTCACGAACCAGTAGGAGCTCAGGAGACCATGTAAGACAAAGGTGAGATAAGACAAAGATCGGTTAGCAAGAAAGTCATAGAAATACTATTCAATAAATAATATAAAACAGATTCAGAAGATTGTACTTACTTTCTTCAGCCTCACGAACCAGTAGGAGCTCAGGAGACCATGTAAGACAAAAGTGAGATAAGACAAAGATCGGTTAGCAAGAAAGTCATAAAACTATTGATCAATAAATAATATAAAACAGATTCAGAAGCTTGTACTTACTTTCTTCATCCTCACGAACCAGTAGGCGCTCAGGACACCATGTAAGACAAAAGTGAGATAAGACAAAGATCGGTTAGCAAGTTAGTCATAGAACTATTGATCAATAAATAATATAAAAAAAGAAAGATTCAGACGATTGTACTTACTTTCTTCATCCTCACGAACCAGTAGGCGCTCAGGACACCATGTAAGACAAAAGTGAGATAAGACAAAGATCGGTTAGCAAGTTAGTCATAGAACTATTGATCAATAAATGATATAAAAAAAGAAAGATTCAGACGATTGTACTTACTTTCTTCATCCTCACGAACCAGTAGGAGCTCAGGAGACCATGTAAGACAAAGGTGAGATAAGACAAAGATCGGTTAGCAAGAAAGTCATAGAAATACTATTCAATAAATAATATAAAACAGATTCAGAAGATTGTACTTACTTTCTTCAGCCTCACGAACCAGTAGGAGCTCAGGAGACCATGTAAGACAAAGGTGAGATAAGACAAAGATCGGTTAGCAAGTTAGTCATAGAAATACTATTCAATAAATAATATAAAACAGATTCAGAAGATTGTACTTACTTTCTTCAGCCTCACGAACCAGTAGGAGCTCAGGACACCATGTAAGACAAAAGTGAGATAAGACAAAGATCGGTTAGCAAGAAAGTCATAAAACTATTGATCAATAAATAATATAAAACAGATTCAGAAGCTTGTACTTACTTTCTTCATCCTCACGAACCAGTAGGCGCTCAGGACACCATGTAAGACAAAAGTGAGATAAGACAAAGATCGGTTAGCAAGTTAGTCATAGAACTATTGATCAATAAATAATATAAAAAAAGAAAGATTCAGACGATTGTACTTACTTTCTTCATCCTCACGAACCAGTAGGCGCTCAGGACACCATGTAAGACAAAAGTGAGATAAGACAAAGATCGGTTAGCAAGTTAGTCATAGAACTATTGATCAATAAATAATATAAAACAGATTCAGAAGATTGTACTTACTTTCTTCAGCCTCACGAACCAGTAGGAGCTCAGGAGACCATGTAAGACAAAAGTGAGATAAGACAAAGATCGGTTAGCAAGAAAGTCATAGAAATACTATTCAATAAATAATATAAAACAGATTCAGAAGCTTGTACTTACTTTCTTCATCCTCACGAACCAGTAGGCGCTCAGGACACCATGTAAGACAAAAGTGAGATAAGACAAAGATCGGTTAGCAAGTTAGTCATAGAACTATTGATCAATAAATAATATAAAACAGATTCAGACGATTGTACTTACTTTCTTCAGCCTCACGAACCAGTAGGCGCTCAGGACACCATGTAAGACAAAAGTGAGATAAGACAAAGATCGGTTTAGCAAGTTAGTCATAGAACTATTGATCAATAAATGATATAAAAAAAGAAAGATTCAGACGATTGTACTTACTTTCTTCATCCTCACGAACCAGTAGGAGCTCAGGAGACCATGTAAGACAAAGGTGAGATAAGACAAAGATCGGTTAGCAAGAAAGTCATAGAAATACTATTCAATAAATAATATAAAACAGATTCAGAAGATTGTACTTACTTTCTTCAGCCTCACGAACCAGTAGGAGCTCAGGAGACCATGTAAGACAAAAGTGAGATAAGACAAAGATCGGTTAGCAAGAAAGTCATAAAACTATTGATCAATAAATAATATAAAACAGATTCAGAAGCTTGTACTTACTTTCTTCATCCTCACGAACCAGTAGGCGCTCAGGACACCATGTAAGACAAAAGTGAGATAAGACAAAGATCGGTTAGCAAGTTAGTCATAGAACTATTGATCAATAAATAATATAAAAAAAGAAAGATTCAGACGATTGTACTTACTTTCTTCATCCTCACGAACCAGTAGGCGCTCAGGACACCATGTAAGACAAAAGTGATATAAGACAAAGATCGTTTAGCAAGTTAGTCATAGAACTATTGATCAATAAATGATATAAAAAAAGAAAGATTCAGACGATTGTACTTACTTTCTTCATCCTCACGAACCAGTAGGAGCTCAGGAGACCATGTAAGACAAAGGTGAGATACGACAAAGATCGGTTAGCAAGTTAGTCATAGAACTATTGATCAATAAATGATATAAAAAAAGAAAGATTCAGACGATTGTACTTACTTTCTTCATCCTCACGAACCAGTAGGAGCTCAGGAGACCATGTAAGACAAAGGTGAGATAAGACAAAGATCGGTTAGCAAGAAAGTCATAGAAATACTATTCAATAAATAATATAAAACAGATTCAGAAGATTGTACTTACTTTCTTCAGCCTCACGAACCAGTAGGAGCTCAGGAGACCATGTAAGACAAAAGTGAGATAAGACAAAGATCGGTTAGCAAGAAAGTCATAAAACTATTGATCAATAAATAATATAAAACAGATTCAGAAGCTTGTACTTACTTTCTTCATCCTCACGAACCAGTAGGCGCTCAGGACACCATGTAAGACAAAAGTGAGATAAGACAAAGATCGGTTAGCAAGTTAGTCATAGAACTATTGATCAATAAATAATATAAAAAAAGAAAGATTCAGACGATTGTACTTACTTTCTTCATCCTCACGAACCAGTAGGCGCTCAGGACACCATGTAAGACAAAAGTGAGATAAGACAAAGATCGGTTAGCAAGTTAGTCATAGAACTATTGATCAATAAATGATATAAAAAAAGAAAGATTCAGACGATTGTACTTACTTTCTTCATCCTCACGAACCAGTAGGAGCTCAGGAGACCATGTAAGACAAAGGTGAGATAAGACAAAGATCGGTTAGCAAGAAAGTCATAGAAATACTATTCAATAAATAATATAAAACAGATTCAGACGATTGTACTTACTTTCTTCAGCCTCACGAACCAGTAGGAGCTCAGGAGACCATGTAAGACAAAAGTGAGATAAGACAAAGATCGGTTAGCAAGAAAGTCATAAAACTATTGATCAATAAATAATATAAAACAGATTCAGAAGCTTGTACTTACTTTCTTCATCCTCACGAACCAGTAGGCGCTCAGGACACCATGTAAGACAAAAGTGAGATAAGACAAAGATCGGTTAGCAAGTTAGTCATAGAACTATTGATCAATAAATAATATAAAAAGAAAGATTCAGACGATTGTACTTACTTTCTTCATCCTCACGAACCAGTAGGCGCTCAGGACACCATGTAAGACAAAAGTGAGATAAGACAAAGATCGGTTAGCAAGTTAGTCATAGAACTATTGATCAATAAATGATATAAAAAAAGAAAGATTCAGACGATTGTACTTACTTTCTTCATCCTCACGAACCAGTAGGAGCTCAGGAGACCATGTAAGACAAAGGTGAGATACGACAAAGATCGGTTAGCAAGTTAGTCATAGAACTATTGATCAATAAATGATATAAAAAAGAAAGATTCAGACGATTGTACTTACTTTCTTCATCCTCACGAACCAGTAGGAGCTCAGGAGACCATGTAAGACAAAGGTGAGATAAGACAAAGATCGGTTAGCAAGAAAGTCATAGAAATACTATTCAATAAATAATATAAAACAGATTCAGAAGATTGTACTTACTTTCTTCAGCCTCACGAACCAGTAGGAGCTCAGGACACCATGTAAGACAAAAGTGAGATAAGACAAAGATCGGTTAGCAAGTTAGTCATAGAACTATTGATCAATAAATAATATAAAACAGATTCAGAAGCTTGTACTTACTTTCTTCATCCTCACGAACCAGTAGGCGCTCAGGACACCATGTAAGACAAAAGTGAGATAAGACAAAGATCGGTTAGCAAGTTAGTCATAGAACTATTGATCAATAAATGATATAAAAAAAGAAAGATTCAGACGATTGTACTTACTTTCTTCATCCTCACGAACCAGTAGGAGCTCAGGAGACCATGTAAGACAAAGGTGAGATAAGACAAAGATCGGTTAGCAAGAAAGTCATAGAAATACTATTCAATAAATAATATAAAACAGATTCAGAAGATTGTACTTACTTTCTTCAGCCTCACGAACCAGTAGGAGCTCAGGACACCATGTAAGACAAAGGTGAGATAAGACAAAGATCGGTTAGCAAGTTAGTCATAGAAATCATAAAACTATTCAACAAATAATATAAAACAGATTCAGAAGATTGTACTTACTTTCTTCAGCCTCACGAACCAATAGGAGCTCAGGACACCATGTAAGACAAAGGTGAGATAAGACAAAGATCGGTTAGCAAGTTAGTCATAGAAATGCTATTCAATAAATAATATAAAACAGATTCAGAAGATTGTACTTACTTTCTTCATCCTCACGAACCAGTAGGAGCTCAGGACACCATGTAAGACAAAAGTGAGATAAGACAAAGATCGGTTAGCAAGAAAGTCATAAACTATTGATCAATAAATAATATAAAAAGATTCAGAGATTGTACTTACTTTCTTCATCCTCACGAACCAGTAGGCGCTCAGGACACCATGTAAGACAAAAGTGAGATAAGACAAAGATCGGTTAGCAAGTTAGTCATAGAACTATTGATCAATAAATGATATAAAAAAAGAAAGATTCAGACGATTGTACTTACTTTCTTCATCCTCACGAACCAGTAGGAGCTCAGGAGACCATGTAAGACAAAAGTGAGATAAGACAAAGATCGGTTAGCAAGAAAGTCATAGAACTACTATTCAATAAATAATACAAAACAAGATTCAGAAGATTGTACTTACTTTCTTCAGCCTCACGAACCAGTAGGAGCTCAGGAGACCATGTAAGACAAAAGTGAGATAAGACAAAGATCGGTTAGCAAGAAAGTCATAAAACTATTGATCAATAAATAATATAAAACAGATTCAGAAGATTGTACTTACTTTCTTCATCCTCACGAACCAGTAGGAGCTCAGGACACCATGTAAGACAAAGGTGAGATAAGACAAAGATCGGTTAGCAAGTTAGTCATAGAACTATTGATCAATAAATAATATAAAAAAAGAAAGATTCAGACGATTGTACTTACTTTCTTCATCCTCACGAACCAGTAGGCGCTCAGGACACCATGTAAGACAAAAGTGATATAAGACAAAGATCGTTTAGCAAGTTAGTCATAGAAATACTATTCAATAAATAATATAAAACAGATTCAGAAGATTGTACTTACTTTCTTCATCCTCACGAACCAGTAGGAGCTCAGGAGACCATGTAAGACAAAGGTGAGATACGACAAAGATCGGTTAGCAAGTTAGTCATAGAACTATTGATCAATAAATGATATAAAAAAAGAAAGATTCAGACGATTGTACTTACTTTCTTCATCCTCACGAACCAGTAGGAGCTCAGGAGACCATGTAAGACAAAGGTGAGATAAGACAAAGATCGGTTAGCAAGAAAGTCATAGAAATACTATTCAATAAATAATATAAAACAGATTCAGAAGCTTGTACTTACTTTCTTCATCCTCACGAACCAGTAGGCGCTCAGGACACCATGTAAGACAAAAGTGAGATAAGACAAAGATCGGTTAGCAAGAAAGTCATAAAACTATTGATCAATAAATAATATAAAACAGATTCAGAAGCTTGTACTTACTTTCTTCATCCTCATCACGAACCAGTAGGCGCTCAGGACACCATGTAAGACAAAAGTGAGATAAGACAAAGATCGGTTAGCAAGTTAGTCATAGAACTATTGATCAATAAATGATATAAAAAAAGAAAGATTCAGACGATTGTACTTACTTTCTTCATCCTCACGAACCAGTAGGAGCTCAGGAGACCATGTAAGACAAAGGTGAGATAAGACAAAGATCGGTTAGCAAGAAAGTCATAGAAATACTATTCAATAAATAATATAAAACAGATTCAGAAGATTGTACTTACTTTCTTCAGCCTCACGAACCAGTAGGAGCTCAGGACACCATGTAAGACAAAGGTGAGATAAGACAAAGATCGGTTAGCAAGTTAGTCATAGAAATACTATTCAATAAATAATATAAAACAGATTCAGAAGATTGTACTTACTTTCTTCAGCCTCACGAACCAGTAGGAGCTCAGGACACCATGTAAGACAAAGGTGAGATAAGACAAAGATCGGTTAGCAAGAAAGTCAAGAAAATATTGATCAATAAATGATATTAAAAAAAAAGATTCAGAAGCTTGTACTTACTTTCTTCAGCCTCGGTGTCCTGGAGAAGTAAGACACAGATCGGTTAGTGAGAAAGTCATGAAACCATTATTCAATAAATAAAATTGATATTAAGTTATATTTGGTCTGAATCAAATGCTTAAACTTTTGTGTGTGTCGAGGCACACAGCCGCTCAGGTGGGAGAGAGACAATGATATTGAAGTGTAAGTAAAACAGTCAAAACCTCTTTGAATTATAGTGACAACAATATAGGACAAAATGACAGCAACAACATAAATTGAACAAAGATGAGCAGATAGGAAGTTAGAATTTTATCACTGAATACCAAATGTGAGAGTCTACAGTCACTGGTTTGGGGGCTGTTCTTTAAATTTCATAAAAAAATGTCATTTTAACGAGTTAAAACTTAAACATAAATAATTCAATCCATAATATGAAAGAAATCAAAAAGCTTGTACTTACTTTTTTCGGCCTCAGTGTCCTAAAAGAAAAACTGGTTAGTATGAAAGTCTTTTTACTATTTTGTGATAAATAATATTGATATTTGATCTGATTCTAAAACTTTTACCTAATTTCTTCGTCCATATTGCATGAAAGAGAGGAAGAGAAATCAGAGATAGGAGGAGAGAATGCAGGAGGAGAAGGGGAAGAGGAAGCAGAGGAATCAGAGGTAAAATTAGGAGGTGAGAAATAAGAGAAATCAGAGGAGGAGAAATCAGAGGGAGGAGAAGGAGCGAAATGAGTGAAATCAAAAGAGGAGGAAATAGAGGGAGAATGAAGAGGGGAGAAATCAGAGGAGGAGACATTAGAGAAATCAGAGGAGGAGAAATCAGAGAAATCAGGGGAGAATACAGGAGGAAAAGCAGAAAAAGAAAAAGGAGGATAATAAGGAAAAGGAGCAGGGGCAAAAGCAGGATGAGGGGCATACCAGAACATAGGAGGAGCAGGGGGAAAAGCAGGATGAGGGGGGAACCAGAACATAGGAGGAGGAGCAGGGGCAAAAGCAGGAGGAGGGACATAACAAAAAACAGGAGGAGGAGCAGGGCAGGGGCAAAGGCGGGGGAGGGACGTACCAGAACACAGGAGGAGGAGCAGGGGTAATAGCAGGAGGAGGGACATAACAGAAAACAGGAGGAGGAGCAGGGCAGGGGCAAAGGCGGGGGAGGGACGTACTAGAACACAGGAGGAGGAGCAGGGGTAAAAGTTGGAGGAGGGACACAACAGAAAACAGGAGGAGGAGCAGGGCAGGGGCAAAGGCGGGGGAGGGACGTACCAGAACACAGGAGGAGGAGCAGGGGTAAAAGCAGGAGGAGGGACATAACAAAAAACAGGAGGAGGAGCAGGGCAGGGGCAAAGGCGGGGGAGGGACGTACCAGAACACAGGAGGAGGAGCAGGGGTAAAAGTTGGAGGAGGGACACAACAGAAAACAGGAGGAGGAGCAGGGCAGGGGCAAAGGCGGGGGAGGGACAAACCAGAACACAGGAGGAGGAGCTGGGGTAAAAGCAGGAGAAGGGACACAACAGAAAACAGGAGGAGGAGCAGGGCAGGGGCAAAGGCGGGGGAGAGACGTACTAGAACACAGGAGGAGGAGCAGGGGTAAAAGTTGGAGGAGGGACAAAACAGAAAACAGGAGGAGGAGCAGGGCAGGGGCAAAGGCGGGGGAGGGACAAACCAGAACACAGGAGGAGGAGCAGGGGTAAAAGCAGGAGAAGGGACACAACAGAAAACAGGAGGAGGAGCAGGGCAGGGGCAAAGGCGGGGGAGAGACGTACTAGAACACAGGAGGAGGAGCAGGGGTAAAAGTTGGAGGAGGGACACAACAGAAAACAGGAGGAGGAGCAGGGCAGGGGCAAAGGCGGGGGAGGGACGTACCAGAACACAGGAGGAGGAGCAGGGGTAAAAGCAGGAGGAGGGACATAACAAAAAACAGGAGGAGGAGCAGGGCAGGGGCAAAGGCGGGGGAGGGACGTACCAGAACACAGGAGGAGGAGCAGGGGTAAAAGTTGGAGGAGGGACACAACAGAAAACAGGAGGAGGAGCAGGGCAGGGGCAAAGGCGGGGGAGGGACGTACTAGAACACAGGAGGAGGAGCAGGGGTAAAAGTTGGAGGAGGGACACAACAGAAAACAGGAGGAGGAGCAGGGCAGGGGCAAAGGCGGGGGAGGGACGTACCAGAACACAGGAGGAGGAGCAGGGGTAAAAGCAGGAGGAGGGACATAACAAAAAACAGGAGGAGGAGCAGGGCAGGGGCAAAGGCGGGGGAGGGACGTACCAGAACACAGGAGGAGGAGCAGGGGTAAAAGTTGGAGGAGGGACACAACAGAAAACAGGAGGAGGAGCAGGGGCAGGGGCAAACGCAGGAGGAGGGACGAACCAGAACATAGGCGGAGGAGTGGGTTGAAAAGCAGGAGGAGGAGCGGGGGGGGGGGGGGGGGTGGGGGCAAAGGAATCAGAGGAAAAACGAGGAGGTGAGAAATAAGGAAAAGAGAATAAGCAGAGAATGAGCTTAAATGGAAGCAGGAGCAAAGAGACAGAGATGGGCACTCCTAATCAGCCAACCTTGATCTCCTTGGTGCAGGCACCTCCTCCTCATCACTGTCCTCCCTTTGCCGCCGCCTTCGCCTGACAGTTGATGCAGGAGAAGGCGCAGGGGAGGAACCATGAAGAGGAGGAGAGAGATAAGGAATAGTCGTGGAAGTGGAATAAGAGGGAGAGGCAACAGAGGAAGAGCAATCAGAGGAGGAGGAATCAGAGGAGGAGACATAAAAGGAATCAGAGGAATCAGAGGAGGAGGAATCAGAGGAGGAGACATAAAAGGAATCAGAGGAATCAGAGGAGGAAGAATCAGAGGAGGAGACATAAAAGGAATCAGAGGAATCAGAGGAGGAGGAATCAGAGGAGGAGACATAAAAGGAATCAGAGGAATCAGAGGAGGAGGAATCAGAGGAGGAGGAATCAGAGGAGAAAAGATCGAAGGGAAGAAGAAGAAGAACACAGAAAACAGGAGGAGGAGGAGGAGGAGCAGGATCATGGGCAAATGCAGGATCGGGGGCGTACCAGAACATAGGAGGATGAGCAGGGGGAAAAGCAGGAGGAGGGCCATAAAAGAATTCAGGAGGAGGACCAGGGGGAAAAGCAGGTGGAGGGCCATTCAAGAATTCAGGAGGAGGAGCAGGGGGAAAAGCCGGAGGAGGGGCGTGCTGGAACATGGAAGGAGGAGCTGGGGGAAAAGAAGGAAGAGGGCCATATAAGAATTCAGGAGGAGGAGCAGGGGGAAAAGCCGGAGGAGGGGCGTGCTGGAACATAGGAGGAGGAGCTGGGGGAAAAGCCGGAGGAGGGTCGTGCCAGAACATAGGAGGAGGAGCTGGGGGAAAAGCCGGAGGAGGGTCGTGCCAGAACATAGGAGGAGGAGCTGGGGGAAAAGCCGGAGGAGGGTCGTGCCGGAACATAGGAGGAGGAGCTGGGGGAAAAGCCGGAGGAGGGTCGTGCCGGAACATAGGAGGAGGAGCTGGGAGAAAAGCAGGAGGAGGGCCATATAAGAATTCAGGAGGAGGAGCAGCAGGAGCAGCAGGAGCAGCGGCAGGAGCAGCGAGCGGGAGGTTACCACCTGAGGGAGGAAAAGTATCAAAGGGTGAAAGTCTGTGCATCCATAAAAGAGAATGAGGGATCATGAGGCTTACAGGATCGTTCATGGTATTTCGCTGTTTGATTTTTTATGACCACTTATCAGCAATAACTGCAGTTAAGATACAGATTTATTCCACAGTGTTTTTGTATGGGAGTATCTGAGTTTATATATTACTGCCGGTCAGCATGGTGTCACTTCACTTCATTTCACTTCACTTCACTTAAACTTTGTCATGCCCCAAAAATGGGCAAATCGGGTTGCAGCAGGCACAGACATTTAAAACACTGCCATACATCATAAAAATAAATAAATAAAATAAAATACATCTACATACAAAACAGTTCAGGAGGTAAAAAGTGTTACAAATGATTTATAAGGTAAAAAGAAAAGCATATGTCAGTCATACCAGTACTTCTGCATGAACAGAGTGCATAAGATAAAATGCAGAAACAAAGTGCAATGTGCAGCTTGCTTACCAATATAGGACCCCTAGATGAAGCTTGATCTATAATAATAATAATAATAATAATAATAATAATAATATTCACTTTACCAAGTCTGCTCTCTGTCAGTGTAGTGGCCAGCCGCATTGCCAGACAGATTTCACTGGGGCACGTGCCCCAGTATTGATCTGCAGTGCCCCAGTAAAAATTTCACCAATAAAAAAAAAAATCACTTGAGAGTTTTAAGTCTACATAGCATAGACTACAGCACACATACTACTTAGCAGTGGCGATTGCTCTAAGACTGCAAGGGAAGCTCAGCTTCCCTCAAAATGTCACCCCCCAAAAAAAGAAAAAGTGGTGAAATACGTACTGCTGTGTGTACATTTCATTAACTAAATACGCACTAGAAAGCCTTCATCTTTTGTTCAGACACTGTGATAAGAAGCTGATAATCACAGGTAACCGGCATAACTTCGTTCTCATTCATCCTCGCAGCGCCTCAGCGCTTTAAACAGCCGGACGCTGGGCTTCTGCTGACTTCAATGTGGAAGCTCAAAGTGGGTTGTTCCAGCAGCGAAACTAGACGCTCATTGGATAAATGCTGGGCTTTGTACCGCCCATCGGACGCTCGGCGTCTCTGGAGTTCTATGGCGAGAGGGCGGTCCCGACTTTCTCCCGGACTCCGAGCTTCTGCATCCATGATTGGATGAGCTGTCTGAGGCAAAATCCTTTTTTGATTGACAGCTAAACAAGAGAATCAGCGATCTCGAAGAATAAAACATCTACCAGAGCATTTTCCAAGTTATTCATTCCATTGTTCTTAACTGCTCCGGAGACTTTACCGATCCTCAGCGACTTTTGTCTTTCTTAATAACGACTGCTGTTGTGTTTGGCGACTCTGTTCTGTTACATATTAATAAACAAATACAATTATGATGTAGGCCAGAAAAATGAGCTTCCCCTCCTTGAAAGACCAGCAGCCGCCACTGCTACTTTGTGTGGTAATTCATTGCTACTGTATTCACTCCACATAAACAATTCGCACATGGCTAATTAATATGGTAATTTATTCACGTATAGCGACTTCGACTGATAATACTTCCATGTCAACTTAAAGTCGAGAGAGCGAGAGAGAGTGAGAGAAAGAGTGGGATAGATAGAGGGAGAGAGAGAGGCGATGAGAATCACTGCGTGAGGTAGGTAACGTTAGCCAACACCAACTTGTTAAATATATTATTTGGATTTTGATTTGACTCGAACTGTAACTCCTAGATGGATATCAGAAAATTATTCGCCCACAGCAGGGATAAAGCAGCAAGGAATGAGAGAGGTAAGTGAAATCCTAGCTAGCCAGGCAACATAAGTCTGTCTTAAGTTAACGCTGGGTTAGCTAACATTATTCCTTTTATCAAGACAACCATATTAATTTGCTGTATGAGCTGTGGGGGGAATTTCCAATGAGTTTCATCAGCATGAAACATAATGTTGGTTATGATTTGACCCATGAAGGGCGATTTGTTGTGTAACAGATAAGATCATAGCGTACATAAAGACAGACATACAGGACATATTACAGTATACAGTACATCAGCCGGACAGTTAAAAACTCATTCGGTGCACTGAGTGCACAGATCAAGGTGCCAGGAGTGAGGACACAACTTGTAAAGGAGGTCGGTAATAATAAATAAGTAAAAGGCACTGATCAGCATATATACTAGGGATGTCACGATCTCGATTTTTGATCGAAATCGATCGAAATTACGTCATGGCCTCGATCATTGAAATTACATAGAGGATCAGCATTCCCCCCTCAACCCTCCCCCCAGGTTAAAAAACAAAAACACGTGACCGCGCTAACTTGTGGCTGCAGCTTATCACACCATGGCGACAAGTACAGATAAAAAATGCCGCTCCTGCTTCTCTTAAATCACCGGTGTGGAAATATTTTGCATTCCCGGTGAGTTATGTCGACAGCGTTCGCGTTACACAGTGTGTAAACTATGTTATGTGCGTGTACCATACCCGGCCACGGGAAACACAACGAACATGGCAGGACACATTCGCCGACATCATAAAGATATTGATTTGACAACGGGGAAAACACCATCACTGGTCCAGTCAACACTTCCAATTTCACTTGGAATAAAACTTCCACAAACCTCACCTCACGCTAAAGCCATAACAAAGGCTATAGGGCTATTTATAGCAGCAGACCTGCAGCCTTTTTCGGTGGTAGAAAACGCTGGATTTAACCATCTAATTAGCGTACTGGAGCCACGCTACGCCATACCTAGCAGGTCATATCTTTCATCAAAAGTGTTGCCCTCCATGTATGATGACGTTAAAGGAAAAGTTGCAGGGGGTCTGAGGAGAGCAGAGCAAGTTGCCTTAACAACAGATGGCTGGACCTCCAGAGCAACGGTGAGCAACAGTTGTCTTGTCTGGCCAATGGTCATACATATGTAAATAGTTGATATTTTGATAACTCAAAGAGCATCTCTCTCTCCAGATAGAGATAACATATCTTTGTTAAGGAAAAAACTTGAAAGAAGAAAGTAAAAATGACAGTTGTCATTCTCAGGGGATAGAAATTCTAAAATACTTGATTATTATATGTTTTTTTAATTGTTCAACTGTTAGAGTGTAGTTTGTTGAGGCTAATTGTTCATGACTTTGGACATGACTGTTATATTTTTATTTATTTATTTTGTTTTGTTGCACATTGTTTTTTTATTAGTCCACACACTGCTTTAATCAATAACAGTCAATAGATGGCAGCAAAGCATCCTCTATGACTTTCATTTTTGCTATTATTTTTGTTATATTTGTTTTTGATGTTTTCCATGTTACTGACAACATTGTAACCTCAATATTGTTAATAAATTATTTAAAATTGACCATTAATGCCTAATGTGATACATTACACAAGAATAATGGCAATTGCATCACTTATGTATAGCCCCTCTTTTGAAATAAGGTACAAAATGTAATGAATAAACCACTAATCGTAGACTAGACTAGTCTAAAAATGGCATAGGTTTCTGCTTTAAGCAGAAGGAAATTTATTTATTTTTTTAAAATTGAGGATCGAATCGAACCATGACCCTAAAATCGAAAATGCAATCGAACCGAGGATTTGGAGAATCGTGACACCCCTAATATATACAGTGACCTATGCAAGTAGAAAAGAGTCATAGGCTCTGAAAGCTTTGGCTAAGATAATCTTGTTTTGTCACCAGAAAAATGGCTACAGCTAACGCATCTGATTTTGTTGCCAGAAAAAATAGTAAAAGTTCTGTATTTGGGTCAATGACGTATAAGGTTTTTCAACAATGCCAATTCATATAGATGAATTGCCTGTGGCCTTAAAAAATGTCATGTGGTGCGACCATCATTTATCTCAAAATTATTACATTTTTTCAACATACTCCATAGTTTTTTACAAATTGTCGGTAATATCAAGAACATAGGAACAAAGCTTTTGCATTTTATTTGAGTTTTTGTAAATAATGATCTCATATATTAGCTCTATAATGTCACAGTCGCTATATCAAATGTAGTTCACTGACTATTTTTTCTTTAAATTGCATAATACTGATAAAAATGTTTTGAAACTACCTTTCATGTAAGCATATTGTATCAGGTATTAATGTCTCAGTTACAGAAATTAGATATTTTAGTTTGTATTTGATATAATTAATGTTATTATTGGTCGCACCACATGATTGGTGGTCACGCCAAATGACCTGAAGACCTTGTATCATTAAAAATCAATTTAAAGAGACCCATGAACAATTAATTTCATGCAAATTTTATATTATAACCAAATTTTATTACTATTTCAAACATGAACACAAACATTTTATTTCCCTTTTTTAAAAAAATTTAACTCTGTGTGTGTGTGTGTGTGTATGTGGGTCAATGACGTGACGCCTCAATATTCTGTCCGGCTGTATTTTCTTTATGTTACAAAGAGTTTTAAATGTAAAAAAATATACTATCTATGAGTAGTATCTCTCTAATATATGGAGCCACTTCAACTTTTCAAAAATCAGGAGTTTTTTGTAATTTTTCTGAACTTCAAAGGGTCAAAATATCATGTGGTGCGACCGTCCGGCCATGACTTCTGTTTTGAAAACTTCTTTGAAATTACTCTAAATCTATTACAATTTGGTTTCTGCAATATTCGGCATAATTTTGAAAGTGTTTTTTATTCCTGTACAAAATTGCAAAGCTTTTGCTGTTACATTTTTTTCATAATATTCAAACGAATTTTGTCCGATCGTGTCCATTTCATTAAATATCATGTGGTGCGACCATCAAAAAATGACCATTTTTGACACTTTTATGCTGAAATTTACTCAAGGACAGGATGTTGGATCATTCACCATTTTGTCGTAGAGCTATGGAAGCAGAAAGAGGGTTGGTGGTTCTCTCATTTCTTTTAAGAAAAAAAGACCTTTTCAACTGCTGTAATGGTGTTTGCACTTTTCGATGTCATGTGGTATGACCTCAAAAAAAACAATTAATTTAAGTTATTTCCACAAATAAGTATTTTAATTATAAATTTCATAGTGACCTTTTGTGGGAAGCTAGTGAGGTTTGTTTATGTGACTAATCCTGTATCAGTAAGATTTGACATTTGAAATGTCATGCGGTGCGACCAGTTATCATGTGGTGCGACCACTGCAGATTGTTTTCCATAATAAATATATGCCCTCGATTGGCAGTATTTATGCTTTTTACATTCAATTGATGATTGATAAACACTAAGTACTTAATTTTTTGTATTATTTTGATTTTTTTTTGTTATTTGATGAGTCATTTTGCTAATATATCTGAGATAATGGTTAGTTCATCTCTGTACAAAATAAGAAAAAAAATATTAAAAGCATGCCATTTCACTTAAGGTATTTATGCCGTTGTTAGCAATTTATTAACTTTCATGTATCAATTTAAGTCATTTTAATTTATTTTACCAGATGCCACTGCCGAGCAAAGTTAAAAGCGCTTGCTATAGGCAGCGTGTCAACTCTGACCCTGCAGCATGTTGTTCATGCAAGGACTGGTCAAAGATTGGGCCAAGATTGTTGACATCGCTGCACGGATGGTGAGAGGAGCGCTTCGCCGAGAGCGTTATATTCATGATCGTTCAAATCCATTTGATTTACCTGATGACGTTCTCTATGAACGTTACAGGTTTTCCTCGGTTGGCCTCAATAGTCAGGTAACATGAATTCGAAGCAAGCTCCAAGTTTCATGCGGCATATCAGTCATCATTTAGAATTTATTGAAGCAGATTAGAAAACTCCTCTTAACCCCAAATGTGTCTGCAGATGACATGTGACCATCAGATGATGGAGAAAAAAGAAAAAAAAGGCAGTGTGAGGAAATCACTGTTTACGTGTTGAAATATGTACAAATAAAATCTTCCAGTAAACCTACAAACTACTTAAAAGGATGTTTTTTATTTATTTTTATTTGCTCCCACGTACTCTTTTCCCCACTGCTGTTGTATCTGAAATAATGAGGTCAATGATGGAGGTGATCACACACGCTGCATGACAACATATTAGGGGGCCATAAATTTATGAACTCACAAATGTAATTTACACAATCGATGATTTTTGTTGCCAGCAGTCCCTCCGGCTTTCAGCGGCTGCAGCAGTCCTGCTCCTCACTGATATAATGTTGCGGTACTCCTCGTATTAGCGTAAAACGATGCTCGGTTCCTGGGCTGTGATATATGACGTGCAGCCTTCTCCATTGTGGAGATTGGTCCGGTGGCACTGACCCCGCCCCCTTTACGTGTGCGCGCACAGATCTAGACTGACCACGACTGAATTTAGTTAGCTAGTTAATATCCTGCCTCGTAGTACACCTGATCGGGATTATGGAGATCTGGTGAAGTTGAACGAGCTGTGGCAGAGTTATCCTGGGTGTGTTAATCCAGCTTCGTAGTGCAGGCCTCTGGACCACATACACACACACACACACAGTTAAATTTTTGTCAAAAAGGGAAATAAAATGTTCGTGTTCATGTTTGAAATGTTAATAAAATTTGGTTTGAATATAAAATTTGCATGAAATTAATTGTTCATAGGTCTCTTTAAATTGATTTTTAATGATACAAGGTCTTCAGGTCATTTGGCGCGACCACCAATCATGTGGTGCGACCAATAATAACATTAATTATATCAAATACAAACTAAAATATCTAATTTCTGTAACTGAGACATTAATACCTGATACAATATGCTTACATGAGAGGTAGTTTCAAAACATTTTTATCAGTATTATGCAATTTAAAGAAAAAAATAGTCAGTAAACTACATTTGATATAGCGACTGTGACATTATAGAGCTAATATATGAGATCATTATTTACAAAAACTCAAATAAAATGCAAAAGCTTTGTTCCTATGTTCTTGATATTACCGACAATTTGTAAAAAACTATAGAGTATGTTGAAAATATGTAATAATTTTGAGATAAATGATGGTCGCACCACATGACATTTTTTAAGGCCACGGGCAATTCATCTATATGAAAAAACACTAAAATTGGCTAATTTAAAAATTAAACTTTAATTTTTGTATACATAACATCCTTAGTGTTTGAACTGTTGCAAAAGATATTCTTATTTTTGGTATTTTAAAATTGGCATGTTGAAAAACCTTATACGTCATTGACCCATGTATGTGGTCCAGAGGCCTGCACTTTGAAGCTGGATTAACACACCCAGGATAACTCTGCCACAACTCGCTCAACTTCACCAGATCTCCGTAATCCTGATCAGATGTACTACGAGGCAGGATATCAACCCGCTAACGAAATGCAGTTGTGGTCAGTCTAGATCTGTGCGCACACACGTAAAGGGGGTGGGGTCAGTGCCACCGGACCAATCTCCACAATGGAGAAGGCTGTATGTCATATTTCACAGCCGAGGAACAGAGCATTGTTTTACGCTAATACAAGGAGTACCGCAACATTATATCAGTGAGGAGCAGGACAGCGGCAGCTGCTAAAAGCCGGAGGGACTGCTGACAAAAAAAATCATCGATTGTGTAAATTACATTTGTGCGTTCATAAATTTATGGCCCCCTAATATGTTGTCATGCAGCGTGTGTGATAACCACCATCATTGACCTCATTATTTCAGATACAACAGCAGTGGGGAAAAGAGTACGTGGGAGCAATAAAAATAAATCTAAAAACATCCGTCAAAGTGGCTTGCTGGTTTACTGGAAGATTTTATTTGTACATATTATAACGCGTAAACAGTGATTTCCTCACACTGCCTTTTTTCCTTTTTCTCCATCATCTGACGGTCACATGTCATCTGCAGACACATTTGGGGTTAAGAGGAGTTTTCTAATCTGCTTCAATAAATTCTAAATGATGACTGATATGCCGCATGAAACTTGAACTTGGAGCTTGGCAAATGTTAGTGTATTGCTTTGACTTCATGTTACCTGACTATTGAGGCCGTCCGAGGAAAACCTGCAACGTTCATAGAGCACGTCATCAGGTAAATCTAACGGATTTGAACGATCATGAATATAAGGCTCTCGGCGAAGCGCTCCTCTCACCATCCATGCAGCGATGTCAACAATCTTGGCCCAATCTTTGGCCAGCCCTGGCATGAACAACATGCTGCAGGGTCAGAGTTGACACGCTGCCTATAGCGAACGCTTTTAACTTTGCTCGGCAGTGGCATCTGGTCAAATAAATTAAAATGACTTAAATTGATACATGAAATTTAATAAATTGCTAACAACGGCATAAATACCTTAAGTGACATGGCATGCTTTTAATATTTTTTTTCTTATTTTGTACAGAGATGAACTAACCATTATTTTCAGAAATGTTAGCAAAATGACTCATCAAATAACAAAAAAAAAAATCAAAATAATACTAAAAATTAAGTACTTAGTATTTATCAGTCATCAATTGAATATAAAAAGTGTAAATACTGCCAATCTAGGGCATATATTTATGATGGAAAACAATCTGCAGTGGTCGCACCACATGATAACTGGTCGCACCGCATGACATTTTCAAGTTCAGTCAAATCTTACTGATACAGGATTAGTCACATAAACAAAGCTCACTAGCTTCCCACAAAAGGTCACTATGAAATTTATAATTAAAATACTTATTTGTGGAAATAACTTAAATTAATTGTTTTTGTTTTTTTTTGAGGTCATACCACATGACATCGAAAAGTGGCAACACCATTACAGCAGTTGAAAAGGTCTTTTTTTTTTAAAGAGAACCACCAACCCTCTTTCTGCTTCCATAGCTCTACAACAAAATGGTGAATGATGCAACATCCTGTCCTTGAGTAAATTTCAGCATAAAAGTGTCAAAAATGGTCATTTTTTGATGGTCGCACCACATGATATTTAATGAAATTGACACGATCGGACAAAATTCGTTTGAATATTATGGAAAAAATATAACTGCAAAAGCTTTGCAATTTTGTTCAGGAATAAAAACACTTTCAAAATTATGCCGAATATTGCAGAAACTAAATTGTAATAGATTTAGAGTAATTTCAAAGAAGTTTTCAAAACAGAAGTCATGGCTGGACGGTCGCACCACATGATATTTTGACCCTTTGAAGTTCCGAAAAATTACAAAAAACTCCTGATTTTTGAAAAGTTGAAGTGGCTCCATATATTAGAGAGATACTACTCATAGATAGTATATTTTTTTACATTTAAAACTCTTTGTAACATAAAGAAAATACAGCCGGACAGAATATTGAGGCGTCACGTCATTGACCCATTTGTCACCGGAAACATGGCTAAAAATATCAGGTTTTGTTGCCTCAATTAGATTTTTTTTTAACAACATAGTCTGATATGATTGAATAGTTTAAAGAACTATTTATGTCTTTTTAAGATAAATAAATGCTGAATATGTTTGTTTTTTCTTTGTGCCCCAGGTGTGCCCCAGTACATTTTTAGGTCTAGTGACACCCCTGGTAGTGGCAGAAATAATAGCTACCACACAATCAATTATTAATACTTTGAGTATCCTTTAGAATTAGAAATTCCTTTTTGTCTTTTACTCAAAGACGCACAGTGCCTGCATAACACTACATCTCAACACTTAAATACATGTCTATCTATTATTTAAACAGACTTCATATCATTTAAATAACCTAACCATTACTGCCAAGGCATAATTAATGAGCTTTGCAAGGCGCATTCCACCTAATTCAGGTCCGCTCCTCACAGTTTCAATATCTCCAAGTTACGAACAAAAACAGCGTTTTTTAAACATTTGAAAGAAGTGGCGTCGCATTCGAAAATAACAGTTAAGTGGCCCAGGCACCATCTTTGATAATGTTATTTCTAGGGTTAATTTTTTAAATTGAAGTCTTTACACCGAAACACACGTGAAAATAAAAGATCTTTCACATTAACACACCTCAATCTATAAGTTTTAACAATTTCCGCAAGAAAAATTAGACATTTCTGACATTAAAACGTGGTTTTGGGTCAAGCTAGCTTGGGGTTCCCACAACTGGTTAATTACACTTCAAATAACTGTCGGTTTTTACTCTTTAATCCTACTTGATAGAGAACAACTTTATCTAACATCATTTAACGTGTAAATATGAGAGAAAATTGAGGATTTTAATAAGAAATTTTAAAGCTGTCTTACCTGTCTCCCTGGACAGGGTGCGCTCATCCCCGCGTCCCTCGCCGACCATCTTCCGTTAACTTCGGACTCGCAGGTGCTTTTCCTTGGCGGCTTTAATGGTTTTTCCTTCTCGGTCGTTCTTCTCAGGTGTTTTTTCTTCTTCTCGGTGTGTCCGGGCGTTTGTATTCCACTTGAAGTTAGCTTTTCCAAATCGCAGGTCTCTAAAAGTTCTCTCTTCAAAGTTGCTTGCAAATCGGCCACAGGTCTAGTGCGTTATGATTTGAAAATATGAAACATTCCAAATCTATAGGCAACCACGAGCGCGTCACCGCCCTGTTACCATGGCTGCCCGTGACACGCGAGCGTGAGCGATAGTATATGCAGTACAAATGCGATGGCATAAACAATTTATTTTCATTGTTGACTTTTATCACAGTTTTTCTATTTCATTGAAATCCAGCCTCTGAGCATGAAGATAACGTTTGTTTCAGTGAAAACATTTTTATTTATACGTTGTTTTTTAGTCCACGGACCGGATTTAAAGAGTTCTGATTTACCTGAGCAAGATATACCTTTAACAGGGGTGTCAAACTCAACCACAGCAAGGGCCATAATCTGGATTTAGGTCTAACCAGAGGGCCAAACAGGGTCAACATTTCACCAAAACTGTCAACCTCCTTTTAAAAAAATATGCAAAACAAAAACAGCAATCATGATAAATCATTTGGAAATTCAAAAAAGATTTAAAAAAAACTTTAGATCGAATCTGAGCTGGAAAAAAATATTTTATTTTAATTTTTTGATTGTATTTTTTTTGTATTACTTCAAAAGATCAGAGCATGATATTTAAAAAATAGAAAAATAATGCATTTAAAGAGCAAATACATGAGGAGAACGTTAAAATCTGGTATAATATGACTTAAAAAAAATATGATTTAAAATCGAAAGCATGAAATAGAAAATCCAATCATATTTGACCTGTAAGCTTGAAATGCATAATTGAAAACATGAATGAAACACCAAACACCCCCCCCCCCCCCCACACACACACACACACACACACACATTCTTGACTATTTATCAAATCTTCCTTACTCTTTAATTTCCTAAACTTTTGTGGTTTATCAAGGATATTTTAATTAATAGTGCTAAAGTTTACATTATCATACTGGAGGAAATCCAGTAATAAATAAATATTACAAATATGAGCTGATCTTGTGGGCCAGATACAATTGTTCCACGGGCCAGATTTGGCCCCCAGGCCTTGAGTTTGACACCTGTGCTTTAGTACAAGTTATCTGAAGTCAGACTCTCATACTGAGACAGTTTCTGTGCTCATCCATTTTCTCCCCCTGAATTTACTTTTAGTCTGTAGCTATTTAAATTTATAAAAATTGTCCTGAGATTAATATTTGATAATAACCTTAAAATAGGACGTTTATGCACGCGTTAAAAAGGGCACTACCCACCTTTAACAGAGGGAAAATAAAGAAAAACAAATGTTGAATTTACAAATTAAACATTTAATCAATCTTTATTCAGTTTTAAATCCATCCCATAGAGATAGAGAGTGAATATGCTCTAAAATATTAACCTACATTAACTTTGCTGTAGAGATTTTGGATGAATTTAGGATTAATCCAATTAGTGATAGTTTGAATCATGAAACCATGAGACAGCATCAGCCCTGTTTGGAGCTCTGGAGGTTTGCATACTTAAGTGAGTCTGGTCCTTGGAGAGGATGAAGCAGGTTCTCAGAGGATGCAGGCCTGTGGTTTGTGAGGTTCGGCTCAGCAGAGGACCAAAGTCAATCTGTCATATATGAAGGTAAACAGAAATCAAAAAATAACTTGAACACCTGATAAATCCTGCCTTTACGAAGGTCAAGTTCAGAAATTTGAGATGAAACTATGATTGCTGCTTGTTTTAAAGCTTTTCTGTATGAAACTTCAGTGAGTTTGTTTATTCAGTTAGTGTGAGCTTTATTTCATTCACATCTGAGAAAAAAACACAAGCTTTACAATTGTATGCAGGACTGTTGTTGTAATACTGGATTAGTTTAAGCACGGAGTAATAAATGAACTGGGTGGGAACTACTATCTATCAGACCATCTAGTTCAAGGAACCTCTTTAGAAATACCTCAAATGTTTTCTATCAGCTACCTTGGGTATCTGATCATCATCCATGCACAGGTTTTCCAGAACAACAGTTTCCTCCATCACTGTCCTCGCACTAGCTGGATCAGACGTGGAGGTACCTGAGGTGACAACAATCTTCATCACCTGGATGGTGTTCTGTACTTCTGGCATAAGTGAGCTAAATTCACATGTTAGAACTTTAAATTCATTATACCTTCAAACAAAAGCACCACAAGTAGGAGAGAGTGGGGTAAGATGAGCCATTTTTAATATGTTGAATCACTACATCAAGTCAATCATAGTTTTGTCTCTAACTAGTGAATCTGCATATATTTCAAGATGTGCATCCCTGCAAACCAACAGAATGAGTGTAAACATAACTGTCTTGATAGTATAGCATGCCAAAAACAGTGCTCTCCTTTGGTCAACTTACCCCGTGTATGGTGTAAGTTGACCATAGGAGCGGGGCAAGTTGAGCCGTATCCCTACTACCCCCCACTATCCACCCCAGCCCTCCCTCACCTTCTCTCTCCCTAAATAACAGTCACTTCTTCATATTCATGTATATTTTTATCTATTATATGCTATGATTCTTACTGCCGATATGTCAAAGCTCCGCAACCGTTATGTGGCTTCTGCTGTGCAATGTGCACTGAGCATCCTGAATGTGTTACATTTTGAGATTAACAACCATATGTGGCACCCTGAACATCATTCATCAGTCATTCATTGGTATTATTTGTATGGTTGCATTGTTATTATTTATGTTATTACCTAGGCCACCCCCTTAAATGTATAAAGACATGTCAGGTGCATTAAATTTATTCTGTAGTAGGAGTGTGAATGATCAACAATCAATATTATTGGCAGAAATAGAGGGCCCTAAAATCAAATTTTGTTCAGGGCCCCATTGAGGCTTGGGCCGGCTCTGAACTTACCTCTGGCCAAATGGCTCAACTTACCCCAGAATTAGTAATATGACTTTATTAGTCCTCTAAGCTAAAATGGTGGACTTTTATGTTAGGTTTTTGACCTCATGTTGTAGCTCATAGATACCACAATTGATGTATAAAAGTAATTTAAAATGATCTTTTTTGGTCTGAACACAATTCTAATAAAACTTATGACAGACTAAATTCACTTTCAAGAGTAAAAAATGTTATAGTGGAACTGCAGAGTGGAGAGAAAGAAGAGTGGAATGGAAAGAAAAAAAATGGTCAGGTGGAAAGAAAGTAGGAGACAAAAAAAATGTTATGTTTGTTATAGCCTATAATCTGCTCTGAATCTGTTGTGTTCCACAAATTAGTTTTATAACTTCGAGAAAATGCTTGGTGTTGGTGTATAGTGAAAAGATTGGAGAGTGGAGAGAGAGAATAGTGAGGTAGAGAGAAGGGATATTTTTGAATTATTAGCTAATAAAGAACAAAGTTCTTTATTAGCCCTTTATCTGTTGTGTTTTACAAATTGGTCCGAGAACTTGTGATGCTTGGTGATTTCTTTTCATATGACTACCTTTTAGTTTTGTAAATATCGATTATTGTGTCTTTCCTTTAAATTGAAACTTAGGGGAGACCAGGGCTTGTTGTCACACTTTTTACACTCTTGTATATTTCTTGCAATCAATACATCATATATAAACAAAATGTGTACCAGATGAAAGACCAAAGTCTCAGGTATATATCAGGTATATATTTTGTATACTCAGTGTAGAGTTATGTGCAATCAAATAGAGAGTGTGAACATGTGACATGTTGCCCCACCATCGGGTGAGTCTTTACCCAGCTCCGTTTGGCACAGACGCAAGATCTGAACAAATGTGAACTAGCTGCTTTAGCCCGCCCCTCCCCATTTTTTTCTTAAAACGAAAGCACTCAGCCACTCTGAAGATTCACGGTAGACGAGAGAGCAGCGCCTCATGTAATTTGGAGGGAAACCATCTTTACAGTAAGTTTAACTTTTTACGTTAGTACAGCCATGCGCAGATAGTCGTGCTCTTTGTTTAGAGCTCTTTGTCTTGTACTGCACTTTACTTTTTTGTTGTCGTTTAAAGCGATCAGGTGAGCTGGGTTATATCTGAACAGCCCACGCCAGGATGTAAAGACTTAAAGAGGGTTGAGTCAAGAATGACATTTTCGTCTTGTCTAAAGAAATGTTCATAACTTCGAGCAACTTGGTTGATATCATTTTTGGTGTGATGCCCAATAAGTCCGCAGACACGGAGGATGAAAAAAAAGATGGAGTTGGACAAAAATGAAGATTGTGGCGTCTTTTTTTTCCTTACTATGTAATCGTGATTTGATTTAATTTTCAATAAAATTAGTCATATCCATAGCGTTTAGATATGCAATGCAAGCTTTCTAGTATTGTATCCAAGAGAAAAACTCAACTCTTAGCAAAAATAATGAAAAGGGGAAGATTTTCTCTAATGACTTTCATTATGTGTTTGTTTCCAAGATGAATATTATAAGCTGAACAGCAAGCTAGTCGGTCTCTGTGTCATAATTAACAATGAGACCTTTGAAGATGGGGATGTGAGATTGCGAACTGAAAAAGATGCTGGTACGGTACACAAAAGATAGACTCGTTTTTTTCTCTTCATGGGTGCTAGACTATAAAGAGTAGAGACTAACTTTTTAAGGACATTTCTTACAGCAAGTCTTGGAGAGGTGTTCAGCTGGCTGGGCTTCAGGGTGCTGATGTGTAAAGACCGAACTGAATCCCAGATGTATCAGGCTCTGGAACACTTTGCCTCTGACCTCTCAGACCCCACTCAGCTGCAGCAGTTAGATGTCCAGGAGTGGTCTGGTAAGAGTTTCGCTACTCTCCAGGGAGCTGTCAGGCATGGTGATGCATTCATCTGCTGTATTCTGAGTCACGGCAGTAGAGGTAAAGTCTTCGGAACTGATGGGAAGCCTCTTCCTATCAAAAAAATTACTAAAGCTTTCAGGGGGACCGACCAGTCACCTCTCACTGGAAAACCCAAAGTGTTCCTGATCCAGGCCTGCCAGGGAAGTAAGACTCAGAAAGGAGTGTTATCAAAATATCTGCAGGCTGATGATGATCAGCTACTTTACATCCCTGAAGCAGCTGATTTTCTTGTGGCAAAGTCCACTGTTGAAGGCTATGTGTCATTCAGAAACACAGACACAGGGAGCTGGTTCATACAGTCTGTGTGTAAGCAGCTACAGGAGGGATGTCCAAGGTAATATACAGCTGAAGTATTCCTCATATCTTTCTTTTCAGGTGAAAGTCGTTTAAGTTTTGGGTAATTAAATGTCAAATCTTTATTGTGTATCACCTTTGATTAATCAGTAAAGCTAACAAACACAAAGACTTTAAGAAACCCGTTATGTGACACAGCTCTAAATGACCAATTCCACAAGTGACAGTTGACTTTTCAGACTTCACAAGCAATTAATTCACCTGCAAATTAACATCCCAATACTGAGAGCATATTAATTTGATGGCCTACAAGGTATGTTCAGACAGCATGAGCATACTGTCCCCTACAAGAGAGTGTCACTGTTAACCAAAGATTAACACCTGCTACTGTTGTATCTTGTCCGTCCGTGATGTGTAGATGCAAAAAGATGCCTCAGGACACTGGCTTGCTTGTGTCATTAGGCGTCCTTCTGCATAGAAATTTATTACAGAATCAGAATCAGAAAGCCCTTTATTGTCATTATACAAGAGTACAATGAGATTGGAGAGCTTCTCCATTTCCAGTGCAATAGAATATATATATATTAATATATATGTTAACATTTCTTAAGTGCAGTGCAAACAGTTCAATGGTACGGTAAATAATTATTAAGAAATATATATATATATACATTTATATATGTGTATGTGTGTGTGTGTATATATATATATATATATATATATATATATATATATATATATATATATATATATATACATGAATGGACATGAATTGCACAATGGTTGATATTTACAGATGAATGCAATAATTACATGATGATGATAATGCAGCAGCAGTGGTAAGTATATTGCACTTGTTGCCTCATGTCTTTGCCTCATGTACAAAGACAACAACAGTATCAAAATAGTACTGCAGATGCTGGGAGACAACTGCCAATCATGTCCATCTGCCAGAACTCTGTTTCTACTCCTCTTATATGGGATAAAGTGGTGCAGGTCCTCTATCATTCCTTTACAATCTATTCCGAGGATTCCTTAGAAACATTCCTTGACAACATTAACTTTGCCTCATAATGGTTAACTCATAGACTGTATGTAGAATGGACAGCATCTGCCTCCCTGCTGGGTGAAGCCACTCTGAGAACAGCACCCTCTGTCGATGGGCTGCAGTATAGGTCATAAATCCCACCTCCGCCAGCAAAGCTTATGGAGCTGTGGACAAACTTTAGAAATTAATTACACAGAACATAAATTTTTCTCCCCCCTGCTTGTGATTTTGACATGTAGTTACAGTAAGACTGGTTTGTGCTCAAGTCCTCTTTTTTCTGTGAAGCTCCATTTTTAAAAGTTATTAGGGGGTTCATGTTTTCTTTGATTGACACCTGATACAGCCTATGGGCATTCAGGGATATGCTGTTTGAATGCGCACAACACTACTGTGCAGTGCTGGTTTCAGGAAATGAAGAAAAATCGCGGAAACATCGAGAGCTTTTTGGCTTCAAATGTGGTGAGACGCCTCCATCTTGTTTTATTTTGGCTGGACTTCCTGTGTTTCCTTGTTTGTCTGGTCTGGCTTCACTCTTTTCCAGAGCTTCCTCCCCTCCCCCGGCGCTGAGGCTGAGTGAGACTACACACCTGCTCCACATCTCCAATCAAGGCACTTTAAGAAGCCTGCAGCCCTCAGCCTCAGGGCCTGAGTATTGTCTACCCTTCCTAGCGGTACAGACGTGTCTCCTGGCCTTCCTCGTGGTATAATCTTCAGAACTTTGCTCCCAGTGACTATTTTCATGTTCATTAACTCCTGTCTCCTCTGGTGTCTCCTCAGCCAGCCAACCAGCCCTTCGGACTTCCTCTGTTTGCACTATCTCCCCTTTTTTGGACATTAAAAGTCTCTTTAAGTTGATCTCAGTCTCTGTGTCTGCATCTGGGTCCTCACCACGAACCTGCCTCACAACATCAAATCCATATACAGGCAGGAGGCGGAACCAAGTTGTCCATAATATATACAGTCTATGGGTTAACTCCACACTACCTTTTAACCCCTTCATGTTTACAGAGCAAATGAACAATAAACACTTATATAAGAGGAATTACGCAAAGTTTTAAGTTACAACACCAAATATAGAATCCAAGTATGTTGCGGTAGACATCTAACATTATGTTAGGGAGCATATTAGCCAACACCTTATAATTCTACTTTACTCTTGTGAAGACAATGAAATAAGTCACTTCCCAGCTAGCTGAAACACTATCTGGAAAGTGACTTAATGTTGTTAGCTTAAACTTTAGCTGTTGTCTGATTTTGGTCTGCATGCAGTGGTTTTGAATCAAAACTGTCAAATTCCACTAAAGGTTTCATACTTTCACTATAAAATCTACAGAGGTGAAATAACAACAGTTTTATATACTCTATATTTGTATGACTAACAGTTTGAAACACAACTGTACAAAAGCATCTGACCCTCCTACCCTGAGCATGACACCAGAGGAAATTGACTGGTCAAGATAGCCTTATGCTCTTAAATATAATTTATATAACATAAGATCCATATCCTGTAGTAGGTCCATATTCTGTTAACTCAACAGAGAGTACTGAGATAGTAATGTGTGGCTTTGTACTGCTGATTGTTTCAGGGGTGAACACCTCATCGACGTCCTCCTGAGAGTGAACAGAAAAGTCAGTCAGCAAGAGGGATCACAAAGTCAACCTGGCACAGTTAAGCAGATGTCTGAATTCACAGCCACCACAACCAAGAAACTTGTGCTCTCTCCACAGTGCAAATGAATCTCTATCACAGTAAAGATGATTTTTTATTTGCTGAAAGGATGTGCGATAAATTTCAAGGAAGGGCATCTCGGAATTTGCCCTACCTGTTTTTTCCCTGTCATTTAAATCTTTTATTTGTTGATCACTGCTTTAACATTGCACGCTTTTGTCCTACAGTATGTAATCAACTTAAGTGGCCTAACATTTTCTTTGAATGAACATCTTTTTTAACCTTTGTAAAATCTTCAATTTTTCACTTTGTCATCACTTATTTTTACAAAAAAAATTGCACTGAATCACTGTATTGAATCCAAATTGATTTTTAAAGAATAAATATACTTTCTGATCACTGGTGAGACAGTGTTTTTGTTGGAGGTGAATTACTGCAAACTGTCGCAGAGACTGGTGACATTTGCATAATACAAAAATGATGGCAAACGAAGTTAGTTGTATCTTAACATGTTCAGTTATTCACAGCCAGCACATCTAAGTAAGTCAATGTGGCAGAGAAAGGGAGGATGCTGCCAGGATCATAACCATACCGTCATGACTGGTTTCTTTTTTAGTTTTATAACTACTGGTAAGTAGTTACATGAGGGAAAAAATGATTAATCATCCAATAACGAGAAAGTAAATACGCCTATTTGTTTGGCCAAACTGGGAGTACATGCTTTGAGATTCGGCTGCGCACATACAAGTGTCTTTACGGCACTGCAGCGTCGTTGCCATAACAACTCGGATTCGTCTTGGATTTCCGTATGGGAAAGGAGGCTTCAGAAAGGAGTGCAGCAAAAGGGCTTATTACAAGGAAAATGACAAAACCAACCCATCTGTTGAGACAAAAATCTGTCTGATACAGCTATCCTCACTGTTTAGAGACTTTCTATACTTCCGGGAGAGTGTAAATAAAACGCTACATAAGGGCAGCGTTCGTGATGGCAACCTCGTTGGAAAAGGAGGGTCCTGTCGGTGCTTCAGGGGGGAATGAAGGCGCAGACCACGAAGAGGATCTGAAAGTGTCTGACGAAGCTGTCACATTCATGACCAGCATAGGTAGGTAGTATAGATGCTGTAGGCTTGTGTGGTGTGGAGGGTTGACCCCTATAGAAAAGTGCGTGTTCGCCCGGGAGGAAGCAACACCTGGTTTTGGCACATCTTGAGCAGCCGAAGAGAGTTGGTCAGAGCTGCTGTTCATTTCATTCCAGCATTTAAAAGGCAATTAGAAATCTGGCATTAATGGAAACAATCTGTTTTAATTTAGTCGCTCAAAAAAACTAGATTCAGTGTAGCAACCATATTTTGCCTATTAGTATTATGTACTGAATTTTTTTTTAATTTTCCTCTTACATCATTAAATTTCCATCACAAATTGTTGCAGAAATACTCACCAGAGTACAGCAAATTAAGCACTCAATGATCAGAATTTCTGGGGGGACCCCTAGAGCCCCTCTCATTACATGTGCCCTCATAGGCTATTTTAAATGGGCTCATATTCTTGGCATACGGGTAATGAAACCATTTAGTCAGATGCTACTGACTGTCCAGTTTACCTACCTACATTTTTACTGGCCTCTCATTGTTTAAGTTGGGTAGAGCCTGTGCAATAACTTAATAATTGCAGAATGCCAAGGAGAATCAAAAACTGATGCAACTAGAAAAGGTCTCCAAAATCCCACTTAAGATAGGTCTCTGTTGATCACAGTGTATGTGCGAGTGCCCTGTTGTATACAGCAGGTGCCCCTCTTTTACCACTGGCTCTCCAACAGCCAAAATACTGCCTCCAACGGACATTTAGTCATAAACTCATACTGGAAAAATTCAGATCTTACTGCACATCCTAAAATATTGCACTGATATTAACAATGCAAACTGTGAGTAAGAAGTTTAAGCCCACTTAAATAATATTAATATATTAATAACAAAATACAGGGATTTGATGTTTGATTTTAATCTTGAAGAGAAAAAATGGAACATCACCTTTGGTATTTTACACACTTCCAACAGCCTGGTTACATCCTTGTGAAAAACAAGTAATGAGCTATAGTAAAAAGCAATTAAACAGTTCTGTACAGGCCTACAGAGTATCGTGCCAAGATTTTTTTATTTTTTTTTATAATTCAGAAAGAACAGGATAAATCCCACTCCACTGAGCTAGCACATTCAATTTATCAACATACACATACAAACAACCCCAGCACTCTTGTGAAATCTCCTCCTTTTTTCCTCAGAGCCTGCAGAGCTGCAGAGGTGTGTGTTTGCAGACTCTCTGGTGACTGTGTCAGAGGGAGGAAGAGACCTGGGGAAGTTCACACTGACAGTGGAGTTTGCCAACAGAAGCCAGCAGCCATGTATGCTGCTGCATGCTCAGAGCCAGGGGGCCATCGATAACTCTCCTTGTGGAACAACAGTGACTGGTGAGGACAGGCCTGAGCTATTTACTAAAAGTCTATGCAAACTGTTCGTCACTTTTGCTGTTTAATGATGTGTCAGTATCATCATGCATTGTTTCTGTTACTATATTCAATTCAAGCGTACCTGACAACAGACCTGGAGGTGCTGGAGGAAGATTACCATGAGTATGTCAAGGTGAGTGAAGTTCCTCACTCAAACTTAAAATAGGGATCGACTGCTACACCTGCCTCTCTCATGATCCCATCCCGGCCAGCTTCCATCTCCCAGCACTTGGTATCTTTCTGCAAAAGCAGCTGGGGTCATTTATTATTATCAATAGGTTAGATGTATTGATGTGCGCCATCTTGTTTTCAGGGGAGTTCCAAACAGTCACAGCATAAAAAAGCAATTTAAATACAACCAATAATGAAAGAAATATCAGTCCGAGATTCTGCTGGAATGTTTTGAAGCGCAGGTTGCTTTGATAGCTCCTTCAGCTGGTCTGTATTGTTACTCTGGTGTCTCTCAGCTTTTTTCAAATGACACTCCAGAGATCCTCTATGGGTTCAGGTCAGGTAGCAGCAGCAGATTACATGGTACCCTGAGTCATCACAAACTGTGGAAACTTCATGTTGGACTTCAAGAATCTTGGATTCTGTACCTCTCTGATCTTCCTCCAGACTCTGGGACTTTGATTTCCAAATGAGATGCAGAATTAACATTCATCTGAAAACAGGACTTTTAGATCCCTGAGGAGTTGTCCAGTTCTTTTTTTGTAAGTCCAGGTGAGACTCTGATGACATTGTTTCTGGTTCAGGTTAACACAACACTCCATTTGAAGTTTTGAATCTGTGTTCTGTATCAATCCTCTCAAGGCTGCACTCATTCCTGTTGTTTGGTCACCTTTTCCGCCCACTGAAGGCTCGGTAAACCTTTGAAGGTGTTCAGAGTAGATAAACTTATTAGAGCTCTTGTCAAGGCTGAAAGAACTGACATGAAACTTGACTTTCCCACAATATTTAAATGTTTTTATATTGTGGATTTTTGAGAGCTGTAAGTTTTATTCATTAAAATTCAAACAAAGAAGTCTTCAACATTTCGTTTTGTGTGTGTTGCTTTCTAACTTTCCATTTTTTGTAGCTGGAGGGCCACAGTTTGGACAAGAGGTGTCACATGGTGCAGCGTGATGGGCAGATGGTGATCAATAAAGTTATCACAGTAGGAGAGGTGAGAGTTGAAAAAGGTTTTCATTATATAGCATCGTGGGTTTTGTTTGAATCAATATTGCAAATACATTCATCAAGGTTTCGGTACGTGACATAAAAAGTGCCAATTTTGGATTTCTAGAACCTGAAGTCTTTTTGTGTGTGTAAGCAGAAGGTGACGAAGGAGAGCAGTTCCTATCCTGTGTCCATACTCAGAGGGTTGATAACAGAGGGTTCAAACTTGCTGCTGATGCGTCTGATCGCTCTGAGGAGGAAGGTCCCAGAAAACATGTCCTTTCTGTCTCTGGATCCAGGGTTGCGCATCATTCACACCACCTTTGTGAGTCGGTGTAACAGAAAAAGGTCTTCTTCATTGTGTTTATCGATGAACTCTGATTATCTGTCCTTCTGTGGTCAGACTGAGCTGGATGTGAAGCAGCTGGAGATTGGAGGTGAGACAGTGGAGGTGTTCGGGGTGGAGAGGACAGTTCACTCCATGGAGGACAGCACCACCACCTGGCAGAGTTACTTCCTGGCTGATGGGTAAGCTCAAAGACGTAACTGCCTCTGGTTTTAATCATGGTTGTACAGTCTCATCTGCCACCGCAGTGGATGGAACAGGGTACAATTCGATTTGATTACAATTCTTCTAGTCCTCTGTGCCTTTATAAGGACTACAAAGGTCAGCAAGTTTTAAGTGATGCTGTTCATGTTGAAGTTTGACCAGTGATAGCACTCAGATGGAGCTAGAGGACTTTGAAAGATAAATCTAAATCTCAAAATCTACTAACAGGTATTTTACAGGCATAAAGAAAGAAAAAATATAGGAAAACACAAAACAATAGTCAGAGTTGAAAGGGAACATTGTGTAACATGTCCTACAGTAACTGTAGTTCTTGTTAACCGTTTTCTCATTCTGCATCAATAGAGACACCTCTGTATGTTCTTTGTTTGAGTAGAGAGGACACACTGAAAAAAAAACTACTAACATGTCCTCATAATTTCAATAACCCATAATTTTTACGTGTCCCGTTAAAAGCTTCCATCCCCTGCCGGTGTGTGTACTGTACACTGTAGAGCAAATGTTTTTAATTTGTCAGTTCAGCCGCTAGCTTTTTATAACCACTGAATGACAGCTTGGTTTGTTTAAAAATCACTTTACATCATGAAAGCAGTACTACTAAAAGTTGTTTGTCCAGCTGCCCTAAAAGCAATACTGTCAAATAACTATTGGAATTGAGCAGAAAATATTAAACTACATAAATTGTAACTCATCAACTCATTTGAAATATATTTATTTCTAACTTCCTAGTTTCCTTAAGTGTCTTTTTTTATGTGGGTTGAATAGCACTTGTCAAAAGTAAGTGCAATATCCACGGGGAACCCCAGTCAGAAAACTTGTTTATTGCATTTCAAAAAATAGACCATGAATGGGGTCTCCAACAGCAAAGTAAATGCTGATGACAACTAACTTTGTTTTGTAATGTTTTTTATGGGTGTCAGTTGTTTCCTTTTTGTGAATATTTAAAACCAACCTGTTTTTATAACTTTGACGCCCTTTATGGGGGGCTAGTTTGACTTGAAAAATCAATGTTTTTTTTATATCCTGATCAGGCACTTGGCCAGCAGGATGCAGGTTGGCTCTCCCATCACCATGAGGCTTCTGCAGCTGCCATCACAGCAACAAAAAGGTAACTACGCTCTACTCATAGCAAACTGGGAGAAAAATATTTGTGTTTTGTTGTTGCTGTTTTTATCTTTGTGTGCATTTTTTTACTTTTAGGTTTTGAAAAAGTCCCGCTGATTTGGGAAGAAGACATGCAGATGTGCTCCAATTTTCTGGACAGAAAGGTAATTGTTGGTAAATGTTGTTGGTAATAATAAACTAAAATCAGGACAGCTTGTAGAAATGTGTGTTTTTGTCTTGTTATTCTAGGAGGAGCTGAAGGCTGACCATGCCTCTTACCTTAGACAACACCCTGAGATACGTGCGCTCATATCTGACTTCCTGCAGTTCTTGCTGCTGAGGAAACCTGATGATGTGATCCAGTTTGCCAGAGAGTATTTTCTCCCAATTGCCTCTAGTCAATCCTTAGAAGTCAGACTGAAAGCCCCGACTCCCTGAGGCCACAACTCACCTCAACATGTCCTATTTATATATTTCTGTTTGTTGATCATTTTGACTTGAGACCAAGTTTGACATTTGCCTCAGTTTGCTATCTTTTTTCTTGGTGAAACCTGACTATTGAGACAAGACAAAACATGAAGAAGATGCCATAACTTTAAAACATCAGACTTAACCTATTCTGTGTGATCTTCCTTGGGAAATGAAAAAAGAGCCTGCTATTTCTGAATAAAGTGTTTTCTTTTTTTCCACGAACAGTCTTAATTTTCTTTTTTTGAGTCTTATCATTCTTGTTTGACAGACTTCGTTAGAGTGTGGGCAGTTCGTTTGTCACTTCCGGTAGGTTAAAAGTTTTTTGTCTTCAAAACAAAAGTCTAAAAGATATTGGCCTTTATATTTTTGAGGTTCAACCATGGGTTCAACAAATAAAGACTCGCAACCTTTTACGTCCTCAAAAGGTGTAATCAAACAACATTTATTAAACCTTTTTATGGTCACAAATACGAGAATGGTATTAATCTTGAACAACACCTAAATCCCTTTGTCCCTACTTTGCCCATCAAAGTAGCTTTTATTTTGAAGGTCCTACTAGCAGTCGAAGTTCCTCTGAAAGTGAAACGAGGTAAACAGATGAACAGACAAGTTACTCAAAACACGTCGTAGGACTTCGAAGACAAAAAGTAGCTCTTAAGGCCCAAACAGGGAAAAGTTTACCTGAAATAGAGAAGAGCCTTCCTCCCTTGTCGCCTGTCGGACGGTTGTTGTCACCGGTGAGTGAAAACTTCTAACCTCGGTATTTAACTTAACTGTGAGACGTCACGCAGACGTTGGCTGAACCGCAACTCACCGCCAAAGGGGGGTTAACTTTTTATTTTACATGCTAAATTAAAGTGACAGTATTTACCACAGTATGTACAGTCTATGATATTTACAAACCAAAAGTTTATATGTCCGTTCAGCTGAAACATTTATCAAGTTGACGTTTGTTCTGGTCGTATGTTGTTGTGAACTGTCAGGAGGTTTGAGGGAAACTTTTCAGGCGGTGTCCGGGGCTTTTAGTGACGTCACCACGTTAGCCGTTTGACCTGCTATTTCCCCCCATTAAAATGAACCATTTTTAATTCATAGATTTTACACGAAAACTAGATTTTTGCTTTCAGAATTATAAATCCAAAAAACACCGAAAGCCCAACAATTTAAAGTGGAAACAGAGCTTTACATACACTTATCACACGAGCAGACAGATAGAGGAGCAGAGGAAACAGAAAACACTGAGCTATGAAACCCTAAGAAACCTTGGAAGGGCCATTTGTTGATAGCCCTTTGAACAGTGGTTTTCAACTGGTGGGTCCCGACCCAAAAGTGAGTCGCGGCCACGTTCGGGATGGGTCTCGAACAGCTGGTCAAAAAAGTATTTCATGCGCGTCCGATGTTTGACATGTCTTTTATTTTTAAATAGATTATGTTGAAAGGCACTCGTTATGTCGTGGTCCTCCACAGTTTCTTATTAATGTGGCCTGAATGTAGTAAAAATACGCTTTTTTTGGTCTTTATTTTGTGCAATTTGAAACATTCACTTTTATCCATGCCTTGTTGCATGGTCCTCCTAAGGTTCTTCTGAATATGCTCTAGATGCAAAGATGCCTATAAGTCAATTTTTTTTTTTATTTTGCTGGTCATCATTTTGTGAAACTTGATATTCATTTCATATTTTCTGTATATGCAACTTTAGTAGTTGTCATTGTCATCAGGTTCATGTGCTCTGAAATGCACTGTACTCAATAACAACGGTATATTTATGTTATAGATTTGAGTTTTTAAAGGTTTTTTTTTTTTTCCAAAAATTAAATGTGTTCGGTTTAAATTTTATAAAAGTGGGTTGCGACTTAAGGACCATAGAAAAATGTGGGTCCCAGAGTGAGACCAGTTGAGAACCACTGCCTTTGAATATAATGTTTATAAGTATACAGCTGTATATCACTTTTTTTCTTCCTGTTTAAATGCTGTTTATCTTTTTGTGTTTGCTGTTTTTGTTTGTTTTCATTGTCACTTTTTCTCTACAAAGGTGGAAAGATATCTGAATCACCACCAGCACAACAATTCCGTTCCTCTGATTTTGCTTTAGTCGCCCTTGAACACATCTGTTTACTATCTTTTTTATCTTGTATTGATATCATTTAAAAGGCCCAATGGATGAGCTGATTGATATGTCATCAAAGTTTCCTTAGAAATTTCTGAGAAAACAATCTTCGCCGTGTGTTATATGAGAAAAAACGAAAATGAACATTTTTAATAGCCATGATAATTGTCAGGTTATCCGATAAAATGAGATACGGGATTAATGGATGGATCATGGATCAATGTTTCAAAATCAATTATCATTAATACAATGAACAAATGACCAGCATTGATGTATTGCAACCACTTTCCCCTTCAGTTAGACCTGAAACTCAAATACAGCTTCATACTTAATTTTGTGGGAAACCTTGTGGGTAATTACCATATAGTGTCAAGGAGTATTCAATTCTATTTTGCCACTTTGTGTTAAGAGTTGATCTAATAACTTGTTATTCCAAGCTTTGAAAAGTTTAAAAAGTCTTATTTAGATTTATTATTTTGTGTCTTTTTGTTTTCCAAACAACAGGTTGTCTCTCCCGTCATTTTTACCTGTAGTTCTGATCCTTCTGATCTAAGCTGATCCCCAGGCCATGGAGATGGTGATGGACAGGGTGAAGCTGTCACGTATAGACGAGGAGCTGGACTCCTCTGAGGTCAGCGCTCTCTGCTTCTTGTGTTGTGATGTTGTCACCAGGAAACGCCAGGAGGGGGTGAGGACCACAGAACCTGCACTTTTTTACACATTTCTAAACCCATTTCTGTGATAACTTCAATGCATCACTATGAATATACTGCAGAATTATAATAGTAACATTGATGAGGGCGATGTTGTATTATATAGCATTGCATTTCTCTGTCATGGCTCATAGTCTCAGTCTGCATTGTGCTTCCATTGAGTTTTGTCCCTTCTAAAGATAATTTCTCTATTTTGGGCTGTTCTTGTTAAGGTTCGAGATGCCAAAGATCTGTTCCTGAGGCTGGACGAAAAAGGTCTGCTGGAGAACAGTGTCTTTCTGTCTCAGCTGCTCCACACTATTGGTCGAGCAGACCTCCTCAGCCTCCTTGAGACTGACAGCAGGCGAGCAGAAGAAACAGATGCAAGTCCTCTGTTGTCAGATTACAGGTAGATGGAGGGGAAAATGAAATGGAGCTGTACGAGATAAGAAGACGGAGGAGAGGAATGACTCTCCTCTGTAAGTTCAAGTCCCAGAGATTCACTGAGTCGGCTAATATCCCCCCTCTGCTTTCTTTATCAGGGTGATGCTTTATGAGATTTATCAGAACATGACTCAGATGAACTTTGAAAAGATGAAATTTCTGTTAGACGGCAAACTCGACAAAGTACGACTTGAGGCATGCAAGGTAAGAGCACAAAAACGCTATGGTACCCACAGTCCTACAAGAAACAGTGAATAAAGACATGAATTTGTGACTTTAGAGTAAGAATATGAATAAAGATCAAAGTTAAAAGTGGTTTAACTTTCTAAATTTTTATCTTATTTATCTTATCGAATTATTTTACATTTCTCTGTTTCTTACAGACTGCACTGGATGTGTTTGGTGAAATGGAAAGAAAGAGTTTACTCTCAAATCAAAATCTTGACCTGCTGCACACAATACTGCAGGAGTTGGACCAACAACTGGCAACAACTGTGTTGCAACACAAACAAAGTATAACACACACTTAAACTCACACATGAACACTTCTACATAAATGCTTTATTATCATGACATTTGCGAAATAATGTTTGTCTTTCCAGGATTAACCCAGCCTGCTGCGCCTCCTCATGTCAGCATGGATCACCAGGTATGTCACTTTATTGAGTCTGTGAATGTGTGTTTGTTTATACGCTTGATCAAACTCTAAGCCACTCTACTAAGTTAATTTTCCTCCCTACAGAGGGTCATTGACACCCTTCAGCCAACTCCACCTTCCATGTCTATAAGTGAGACCGAGCCCAGCTGTAAGTTTCTCCTGCTTGTTTTCAGCAGACTTTCATGGATTGATCACTCCTAATGTCTGCTTTACAGCTGGAAAAACCTCCTCTTCCTCTCATGCTTTTATATTCTATCATTCATGTAAAGAGAGGTAACTCTCTGCTGTTTCTGTTCCTCAGATGAAAGAGAGAGGGTCTACTCTGATGCACACAGACACATTGAGCCTCCTTCTCCTCCTGATCAGGTTATTATTCACATAATCACATATTCATATTCATCCATTCCCCAACAGATCATTGATGTTTATGATTTGTATTTCTGGGTGTGTTTTTGTCCTTCAGACAGATTATTACACCCTGCGTCATAAGCCTCGAGGTCTGTGTGTGGTCTTTAATAATGAGATTTTCCTGACGGGACTGGGAAAACGAGCAGGATCTGACAAGGATGAGAGTAAGTATCTTTACATTTGACCCAGACTCTTTAGCTGTGTCGTACCAGACAGAGTAGGCGATGCTCAGAGTTCAATCAGGAGTCAGTCTGTGTCAAATCAGAGACAGACTTTTGTTTGCAACATAGATCTTCCTCTAATTCTCTTTTATGGGAATGGGTCCGTTATTTGGCGTCACAAAGAAGTCCACAAACTGCAACTCCATTTTTATACTGATTTTGTCACAGAGTGTCTGAAAATTGGCAAGGTGAATTGGATACTTCAAACTATAAATATGAACATTTCAGCTGCATGTCTAACTTACGAATGAGCTTTTCCTAAATTCCGGACCATATACAAATATGACAGTGAGTCTTTCACTGGTTTGGATCTGTAGTTTACTTTTTTTGTTATTTCCTTGAGCTGATTTCTCTCATAAACCCTTACAATTACCCACAACTTACATCATTCCCACTTTTTCAGGGGCACAAAAATACTCAACTTATATTTTGACTTAAAAAACATGTGCATAATGAATGAAACCTTGGTATGATTTGGCATAAAATGATGATATAATATAATGATGTCAAAAAAATAAAATAGATTGTTATTCTGACACATTTTCACTTGTCTGTGTTTGTGATGCAGCGACCCTTCGTGAGTTGTTCAGCCAGCTTGGCTTTACTGTGAAGGTTCATTCTAACCTGTCTGCAAACGAAATGCGAGAGGAAGTGAATAACCTCAGCAAGCGGGATTTTTCAAAGGAAGATCTCCTGGTGAGGATTTCAAACATGTATAATACACCCTATATATTAACATGATGCTAAAAATGGATATATCGTGTTGGTCTGACTGAAACTGGACTCTTAAAACACAAACACATACGGTAAGTCTGCCTGAAATCACACTATGAGCCAAATTTCCCATAGCTAGACTACTATACCTCAATACTGCAGATGAAGGTTGATTTCTTCCTGCACGTCTACACCTTGATCAGGCTAAAACAGGCAGTTGCATTCTGCATGGACTCCACAGTTCCCAAACCTGAACAGAAGAGGTTAAATAAAAGTGAAATACACAAAACTGCTGTGCCCTACAGTCAGAAGTTAAAGAGCTATAAAGTTGTCTGTGTTTTCACTGTTAAACATAAAACCAGTACACCTCTTGTTCACCTATCTCTGATTATTTTGGCCTGTGGTGATTTAAAAAAAAAAAAAAGGCGGTGAGTTTTTTAACATTAAGGAAACAGAATGAAATTCAAATTAATGTCTTTTTGGCACAAAAAAAATCTAAAAGACCATCAGTTCCAAGTCTGATGATTTTTTTATTGTATTGTATCTGTATTGTAAATTTTGATGCTGAAACTGGTGGTGTGGGTAGGTGTCGGCCTAGCAGCTACTGAAGCAGTCTTTCTCACACATTTTCCACAGTAGTTATTGACTGTGAATGATACAGCTGGTTGTCAAAGGACAGCAAGAAAAGAATTTTGTTAAGGGGAAAAAAGCAAAGCCCTTTTTATCCACCGGGCTGCCAATTTTGAAAGTTTGAAAGATCCTGTACAGGAGCTTTTATCACAGTGATTTAAAAAAAAATAAAAGTCTCACATTTCCATGATAAAAGAATTTCCTCTTTACATTTGTTGGTATTTAAGGTCATGGCATCCAGTAATTTTGTGACCAAACTTGTTGACAAAAAGTGTAACATCTGTGATGCTGAAATGTAGCGGTGTCTCTTTCAGTCAGTCAAAGCCTAAAAAAATAAAATCTTTTAGTCAGGTGAAACATTCATTCATTTTGGTGCATTCTGATGAGTATTGAAAAATCTGCAAATAACAAGCTTTAATCTTGAGAAACCCTGCAGGTTTCTCCACAGAGGATCATACAGTGTGTTTCCACCAAGCAGTCTGGTTTGGTTCAGTCCAGTTTGGCACAGTTCAATACGGTAAACCCTGATCTTGCTTGTGTTTCCACAACAGACTGCACCCTACCATGACCAAGAGCGTTTTGTATTTTCTTTTAAACCTTTTAGCAAGAGTCAGTTTCCAAAACCGCCCATGTGTCTTTAGAGCGGCTGTATCCTGTTTTAAGCAGCTTGTCAAGAAGTTTCCTCGGTTAAGTAGGATTGCTTGCACATAAAACCGTCTCATGATGAACTCCTGCTCGTTTCATCTGAGAGGTGACCCTACTTCTGAACACCTGTCTTCCTCTGTCCTCAGGTGGTGTGTGTGCTGTCTCATGGGTTAAAGGGAAGTGTCTATGGGACTGATGAGGAGGAGGTATGGATCAGAGAGCTGACTCTTCCCTTCAGGAGTGGACAAGCTCCCACATTGGCAGGAAAGCCCAAACTCTTCTTCATCCAGGCCTGCCAGGGCAACGACTACCAGAGAGGATCTGTGCCATATCCCCCCAGGCCGAGCCAGGAGAGCCTGGTCCAACGGAGCCGCCTGGAGGAAGACGCTGGTTACATTCAGGAAGAGACGGTACCCTGGGATGCTGACTTCCTGCTGGGCATGGCCACTGTAGAAGAGTACAAGTCATTTCGCCACACTTCCAACGGCTCCATCTATATCCAGGAGCTGTGCAAGCAGCTCCGGAGGTCAGCTGAGAGGTGAGAGATGACTCAACACAATCTTAAGTATGAGGAGTGACAAGTTCTGTGGTTACAATCAAGACAACATCAGTCTTTGATAGCAGACGTAACAACAACCTCTGTGGTGAGAAGGGAGCTCTCATTGCTTACACAGACTGTGTACAGCATAGACCCACTCTCAGCAGTGTCCCCCACTGATTTCTGAAGAGCAGCCATATTGGAAATGCTGACCTCAGCTAACTTCTGTCTAGTGTAGAAACTGGCATAGAGTTAAGGCCAATTAATCTGAAAACTCAAAAATAACAGACTTTTTTTGAGCATTTCACACATTATTTCAAGTATCACATTTAGATGAAAAAAAGATATCAAAATCCTCGTTTGTAAAAACAGTTCACTTTTCTTTTCTTGGATTAAAACATGAATAAAATTCAATACTGATGTCAGTGATAGACAACAAACAGCTGGTCTGATGTTGTATTTAAAAATATCTTTGCTTTTTTACCACCACACTTAATCTGTGATGTGTTTCTGATGTTGTCTGTGCAGCCCAGAGATGGATGATATCTTGTCAGTGCTGACCCGTGTGAACAGGGAGGTCAGCAAAGGAGTTTATTTAAACCACAAGCAAATGCCTGAGCCCAAGTACACCCTCACCAAGAAGCTCGTCCTCAAGTTTGTTTGAGACCAACTACAATGATGCAGATGAACAAACTCCAGGATTCCACAAGTTTACTGTGTGTGCCAACATGTTGATATGAAAGTGTGTGTGTGTGTGTGTGTGTGTGTGTGTGTGTGCTCTCTTTTTGAACATTATTACACGTGTCCTTCTGGAGAATTGAATAATAACCCTTTTTTAAAAATAAAAAAATTCACTTCACAGTGTCACGGATCACAGTCAGTCATAAATGTAACCTGCAATTTCCGTTTTGATCAATAAACAATGTTAAATTTAGAAATGGACCCTGTGATGTTTCTTCAACTTGGGGTACAATTGAGTTGAAAAGTATATTTATCTATTTGACTTAATGCTTGAAGAACTCAACTCAACTGCTGAAATCTTTTTGCTCTCGTGCATTTTGCCTGATGAAGAGTGTGCAGGATTTGTTTGTAATGTTCAATAAATTCACTCCAATCCAACACACCTGATGTGTGAAATATTTCTCTACAGTTTAAAGTACCAGACAGGTAAATGTTCCTCATTGAAATGCAAACAAAGGTATGTGCTGTGTCCGAATTGCCAAGTAGTAGTCGAAGTAGTATGTAGCATGTCCGAATTGGCTACCGGAGCGAGTAGCATGCTACCTCAGATACTACTTCAGATACTAGACACGCCCACATTGTAGTATGGTCGCGGTGCATCCTACGGGCATGCTACTGACCCAAAATGCACCGCGGGCTTCTTCTTCGTCCTCTTAAAAGTTGTAGAGGCGCATGTGATGCTAGCGCCACCAGCTGCTGCCTGTTAAGATGCGTCGCGAACGCCAGCTGGCCACAGCAGCGCGCACCATGGCGGAGTAGCAGCAGCAGGCAGGAGCGCAGCAGTACAGATGTAAGTTTCATTTAACTTTGCACACTGTCCTAAAAAATGTGCGATTGTATCGCTTTGTCATGTCATGGTGTCATATTTGCCCAAGTAATCATTTTATGAGCAAGTATGTGGCGACATCATGGAGGTAAAGCTCACTTATTCCATCATTAAACTGCACAGCTGCAGTAATCAGGCAGATCTCATTGAACAAACGACCACAACGTGAGTGAATGAAGGCTAAAAGTAATGGAAAAGCTACTTTGTGAAGTTCTAAAGCAGTGCAGGAATATATTACAGCAGCATCCATCACTTGCACAATTACCGTTCAAAGAGTCTAAAACGGGCGCAGTACCTAATCTCTGCCTGCGGGGGTCGTCTTTCCCCACCGCTCGTCTAGTGTGTCCGAATTGGGCCAGCGTGTTTAGTATGTAGGTGGGATCTAGCAGTAGTATGAAGCAGTAGCATGTAGTATGCGAGCGGGCAATTCGGACACAGCTTAGGTGACCAACATGGTTCAACACAGCTCAAATAGCTGCTTTTAACACAAGTTCCACCTCTGACAGAGCAAAGAGCCAATCATAGTTAAGGGTTTATGAGTGGCACCTGCAGTGGCCAATCAGATTTCAAGAGGGGACCCATGCCACCACTTTGGACACACCCTGTTGTAGTAGATCATGGAGGCACAACTTTCAATTTTAGTCTTTCAGTTAAGCAGGTAAAAACTTCTCACAGCTGCTTTAAACAGCACATAAAAGGGCCATTTATTGTGAAATCCTTTAACGGCTGTTCAACTTATTTGTTTTGAGAAATGGAAATTAAACACTCCCTGAGTCCACACTTGCTCACCCTCTCCCTTGGTAAAGGTACAGACAGTAAAGGTGGCCATTTAGGACAAGCAGCTCCTGTGACGCAACTTTTAACCATCAAAATCTATCAATATACAATTCTTTTGCCCACAGCAACAATCACACCTTTTCTTCTCCTTTTAATCAGGGCATTTTCAGCTGCTGATCACTAAGTCCAAAAATGTATACAATCTTTGCAAGTTTCTGAACAATTTTAGAAAAACTGTTGTGCAAGTTGATGACTTTGAAGGAGACCCCCCCTATGTTTTATATGACTTCAACTAATTTTAAAAAAATACACTTAATCGGGTACTTATAAACTAATTTTTATCAAGTCTGTTCTGCTTAATGCTATAAAATACTGTATGATTTACCATGAATTTTATCTCAAAATACAGATAAATCATAAAAGCACTGCAACAACCTGATGCATTCTTGTTATTTACTGTTTTAACCGCTTGCCTTATGATAATGGTTTATTGAAATAATAATATATAGAGTACTGAGGAAGAATAAAATCTACACTTAATAGAAAAAAGTGTTTAAAATGTTTTGAAATGATACAGACCATTGTACAGGGTGGATGTGTGCTTGGTGTGTCGCTGTGCAGCACCTTTGTGAGTAACATGAGAGGAGCCTGTTGAAAATGAGTCAGCTAAACAGGCCGTGTGCCACACACAGACACGCATATTGTGTGTGTGTGTGTGTGTGTGTGTGTGTGTGTGTGTGTGTGTGTGTGTGTGTGTGTGTGTGTGTGTGTGTGTGTGTGTTTGACAGATTCCACTGGACTCCACCCTGCTGCTCTTCACTGTTCCAGGAAATGTACATCTCTCTGCTGCTCCACATCTGCAGCAGCGCTGAGGACAGACTGACAGGCTGCTCAACACGTTCAGCCTTTATCCCAAACCTTTATCCCGTGTCTCAGGAGGTTTTATTTTCTTTTTTTTTAAAGTAAAGTAGGCGTGTCAGAGAGCCGAAAACCTCTCCGTTTTCTCATTTCATCGCTGGGAGTCAACACGGACAGGATATCTCTGCTGTCGGTCTCTCTAAATTGGTAAGTTGGGTTTATTTAAAATAAGTTTTTGTGTTTTTCAACGGTCAAATGTCCCTTATTTATGCCACACATTAATCTAATGTAGGGTTTCAAACTGTTGCTGCTGGTGTCTATTCATACCAGTGAGGAGGGTGTGTTGGTCCAGCCGCCGCCACACACCTGAAAAGGCTTTTTGTGAGCTGAGGTTTGGTCACGGGTGAACAGGGTGGAGTGGGAGCTGTGTGTGCTCGGGGCATGTTAGCCTGTTTGTTAGCATGTTTTAACAGCTCAGCCAGTGTACTGTAAGAGAGTAAAGATGAGTTTGCATTCACAGTAAGACAGCTGTCTCAGACTGGGGTGAATCTTTCCGGATCTGTCATGATGATGTTTGTGTTGCTCCCTCTTCTGAGCTCATTTTCTGCTTGTGTGAATGTTGTAGCTGCAAACATCTCCCTCAGGCTACTCTTAAATACTGGGCTGTCATCTTTTGATTTTTTCTATCTTAATTTACAGCACTATTTTTACCTGCTCTCACCAGGAAAAGCCCAGAAGTAACCACTGACATTTGTGCTCGACTGGTTTTTAAGTGTCTTAAGCTTTGACAGTAAGCCTGGAGGGCTCCTCACATTAAACACAGAAAGACCTTGGGCAAATACTTATTCTGTCTCATTTGAACAAACTAACAGATAGATAAAAATACCAGTTTCTCTCAGCTGTATTACCTCATCTCACAGTGATGTACTGTACATTCCTCTTAGATTTCAGTCCACCCAGACACATATAAGCTTCAGTTAGAGACTGTATAACATCAGTGAAAGCTCATGTCTTTTTTTTTTAGATTAAAGTAGAAGACTGACATTCATAAAGATGCTAACTGTGTTGTACAAAAGAAAATAAAGCCATAAGCTACCAAATTGATGAGTTTCATACTGTAATTTTTTATTCCTGAAGCTGGTGGAGGGGGGTAGATGCCAGTGAAAAAAACGATTTTACATTATTGGGATTACAATATTGAGATTTTTCATCTGAAGAATCATTTAAGCATGTAGAGGACAAGATTAGTAAAGGTTGCTGACCACAGGGGGCGCTGAAATTTACACAAACTGACAGTTCCTCTCAGAGGCTTTGAAGCTCCTGTTAGGAATTTTTAGCTGTTACAAAACAGACTGAAATCCCCTCTCTTTAACCCAGCAAACAAAACCAGAAGTGACAAGATCGATCAATTCTACGTTGTTTTATTAATACATGAAGCCAGTGCCACAGGGTAGGTGGCAGATAGGGTGATGAACAGCACTGCAGCAAAGATATGGTACAAGAACAATGCTTGACCGTAAAAAGATACAAGGACTTAATTTTTTTGTCAGAAAATACAGCTGACATTTGTAGGTGACAACATCACCGAAAAGATAGGCGGTATCAATTAGTCGAAAAATCAACACAAACACTAAGCTCTTCAGGGGAGCTTTAAAATGTTTAATTTTATTTTACAAAATTTTCCCCAGGCTGTTTATGCTGTCTCTGAACCTTCTGTTGTTGCGTGAGGTAGTATTATTTTAACGGAATTCTACTGAACGAAACATGAAAAACCTGGTCTGGATTAACATTTTCAGCGGAACAACATGTGGGTTAAATTTCTTTGAACAACTTTTTATTTCTAGGTCATATGCAATTTATCATTGGAAGATGTTTTTAACAGTTAGTAATGTAGTCAAATAAGTACGGATGACAGATTGTATTTCATTCTCCTGCATGGTTTGACAGTATTTTGATTTATGTCAGGTTAAACTGTATATAACCACACACTAGGAGTATTGCGTCACCCACACATTCATGTGGATATTAGCCTGCAAGAAGAATTAAAGGCTAGCAGTACTAGCTCTGCTAATGTTAGCCACACTTGGCAAACTAATTTGACACTGTTTCACATCCCAGAGACTGTGAGTTTGTTTTTTAGTTGTGTTATAAGAATTGTACTTGGTTCTAGCTTGTACTGGCCGTTTTCTTTGTTAAAGCCCCTATGACATACTTTTGGTTACATCTATCATGCTGCTTATCATGTCCTCTGAATGATTGTCTGTCTGTCCTGTGACAGAAAATCTCATGATTCTGACATTTGACTTTCACTTTTAACATTTATTGTGAATAATTAATGAGGAAAATGTAAAAACAGTGCTTTTTGTACAGTGACTTTAATGATACCTACTCTTAAATTACAAGGCAACACTTTTCAGTCTTGTCGCTGATGGTCTTGTTTGCTTTTGTATATCATAAAAATTCAACAGTATGAATTTTAGTCTATTTCATAAACAAAAGAAAGAAAAAGTCCTTACAGGATCTTTAGGTTCATTTGGGGGGCTTTCAGCCTTTATTAGGGGGGAAAGAACCTTGGATAGTGTTGGAAATGAGAGGGCGCAGGGAACAACAGGTGGTGGAAGGACACAGGTTAGACCACCACCCCTATCAAGGACTGTGGCTTCTGTACACAGCCCACGATTAAATCACGAGGCCAAACTTGGACCCCATTTCCTCCTGTTTTCTCAACTGTAGACTAGTCACCCAGTGGGGATTTGATTTTTGTCTTTAAACAAAAATTTCCATTAAAATCACCAGATTTCTTAGTTGTCATGATGGCCGCAAATTTACTAGAGGAATTGATGAATCAGCTGTAAAATATCGCTTTTTTTTCTATTAACTCAATTACAAAACAAAGGTTAATTAAGTCAAGGGCCATAAAGGAGAACTTCTTCTCTTGACAGACTGGGCAATCGGACTGTAAGACTGCAGACTTGAAATAATTAACTTTTTTTTTTTACCTTTCAATCAATTTTTCTAACTTTTGGGCAATGTCAAATGAACTGAACTTTACAGCGCGATGTCAGAAGTCAAATTTTTCAAATAACAGCACACACTACGGCACTCAAGTCTGAAAGGAGAAGCGTGAACAGTCATGATGACATAAGCCAAATTCAGAGGTAGTGCAGTTTTAGTTTAAGTTTTCAAACTTAAATAAGCACACATGACAGTTATGTACACAACAACAACTCTAGGTATTTTCCAAGTCAAATCTCAATCCAAAAAGTTTGGAGCACAAAGTGAAAGTTAGCTTGTCAAACTGGTTCTTATAGGTGTTGTCTTGTGAAGTATTTCTGTCACTCTGGTCATCATGACAGGGTCTTTGTCTGACGTGTAACAACACGTTTGTAATGCTGCGTGGGTTGAACTAACTTGTGACAGTGTTGTCACAAGGAAACTTGACCACAGTGACTCAAAAACATGTTATCTCTCAGTGATGGTTGTATGAAGTCAACATCCTGAGTTTAATTTTCACTCCATAACATTTTCCAGCTCTTTTGACGTCTTCTTAATGTCATGTTCCTGAAGAGGAGCCACACCCTCCTGTTCAAACACGCCCTAAGTCCTCTCATCTGCTGGCTGACCAGAGCAGTGATCAGCTCTGCGTCTTGTTCTCTGAATGTTTGGCTGCACAAACTCTGAAGCACTTTTTTCCATGCTGTGTTTTCTGTCCTGTTGCTTGGTGCTGGGGTTGTGATGTAACAGCGAGGTGGAGCCAGCTGTTGAATTCTTTCAGTGTGCGTGGTTGCCTAAAAAAATCCCTTAAAGTAAAACCAGAGCTGAGGGGTGATTTTGCATCAAAACAGAGGGAAAACAAACTCCCGTCTCTGCCTGCATGGCTGCTCAGTTTATGTAAAGTAGCAGCTAGAAAAGATCATCTGCCAAATGTTAAACCTATTAGTGAAGAAATGTGTTTAAAACTTAATGAGTCTCATTGTAATGAGTCCTGTAAAAGAACCAGAACTCCTTATATTCTCACTGAAGGAGAAGCGAATCATTGGATGTGTGGTTTATTATTAGGTATTTCCCTCAGAGGCTTCTGTGATGATTTTTGGGCCTGTGGTGGTTTTTGAAAACCACATAGCTGAGCAAGAACATCTGTTCACTTAAGTGTAGGACAACCCTAAATGTGCTCTTGGAATGTGATTATCCAGCTTAGTGTTAGTGTTAGTTTTGGACTCACACATAAATTCACACACACTAACAGCACCTTGACACACAAACGTAAAGCCAGAGTACACTTGTTCTAAGCATTGACTGTATAGTATGGATGGACAACGTGGCTCTGCCCTCCCATTGTACGAATTTGAAGCCAAATTACTCTCTGTAGTTATTTTTTCAAGTTAAAGCTATGGTCTACAATCTGAAAACCAGTTTGGCTGTTGAGACAGGTTTGAAAAACGCAGCCTGCCCCCCCTTCACTCACCCCTCCCCTCTGTGTTCTAACATCCCGCCCCCCCCAGCTCGTGTCGCCTCCTAAAAACACGCCCCCTCCGATAGAGCAAGAAGCCGGCTGGCAGAAAATATCAGCAGCAAAGCTAGCCTCGAAAACAATTCAGGATATCTGGGTCGGATTCACAGGTATGGTTAAAACCTTCATTGGAGTTGAAGCGAAATGAGATTTCTCATAGCTGAAAGTAACAAACATGACAGTCATCCCCCTTGGAACATACAGTGGTAGCCATTTCAATTGGACCGGCGCGATCAAAACCATATTACAGGGGTGAAGCGGGTCTGGCGTCGCCACTGCTAGCCGGTCAGAGCAGAGCCGATTGTGGGCGAGGCTTTACCTTTCTCGGCGTGTCTTCACCAGCTCAGTTTACAATGCTAAAGATGCGTGGCTAACTTATGCTTAAATCTATTGACAGAGCCTTCCCGTTCCGACCAACAACGTTCAGTCATTAGCCAGTATAGGCACAGACTAACCAGAGTTATTCAGCAGACATCTCCCACTGTAGTAAACAAAGTAATTACCTGTTCAACAAAAATTCGGCTGTCTCAGCGTCAGTTTTCAGTCTCAAATCCTTCTGCAGCTTTTTCCACCGTTCGTAAGTTTCTACGATGTTGACTCTCCGTTAGCACCTGTATCACTCATATTTCTTCCTTCAGCCTTTTCTCGAAACTTTTACGTTTCCTTCTCTTTGATGTGGAGGGTAACAGAGGCTATCTCTTGGTTTCGGTGTTTGTCCTCTCTGGCTCCATTACGCTTCAGTAGCTGTGCAGCTCGCTAATTACATGTACGTGAGGGGGGTAGTGGGGAGGAGGCGGGACAGTGTGGAGCAGGGGAAACAGGGGATTGGATGGACTCACGGACTATTCCGAACCGCCGGGGTTACAGCGGTTTGGACTGGTTGTTTATTATGCTTTTTTGCAGCGGATATACAGAATGGATTTTTTTTGTTCTTTTTGATCTTTATATAGCGTAGATCAGACCATAGGACCATAATGGCCTTAGAAACGGTGTTATTAATAAGTACCAAGCTTCCAAATGGTAAACCATAGCTTTAAATTCAGTCTTTGGTTCTAAGTGACTGAAAGCAGGTTTTGTCATTTATGTATGCATACATGTGTGCCAGTAAAAGTGGTGAACAAGTTCAGGGTAGGAAGTGGTGGCTTAAAGCTCTGTAAGTTTTTTGGAGGTTACAAACTGCATGAAATGGATAGTGCTGCCTCTTTATGACCCATAAAGGCGAACGTGATCTTAAGCATCAAGATTAACAACTTTGGTGTAATGATGATTATTGCTGCAGCAGGATAGGTGTCAATGATAGGGATCAAATGCATGCTGCACAATTACCCTTTTTTATTTTCCTCGCAGAGGTTCTCAATGAGTGATCCATATGATTGTTAAAAGACAGCAAAGTGTTTTATCCAAACTGCTTTGTTTGCAGGTTTTCCAAAAGTTCCTCACAGGAGCTTTAATTTTCCCTGTAGTTATTTTCAAAAAAGTATTCAAATTATAAGAGTAGAGATCAACCATGTTACACCTTGGCATTATATTAGTGTGTCCCACCCCTGCTCTATAATTTCTGGAACTATTACAGTTACCAGTATGAATTTATCAAGGATTGAAATATTAGCCTCTTTCTCCATAAGAACATAAAAAGAACATAGCATTAATAATGATCCATCCAGTTTGATCATTCAAGTGTTTTATATACCAAATATAGAAATTCTGAGCACATTACTGAGGGTGTCTGTGGCTCTTTAGTAGATGAAGTCATTTCTTATAAGAGGATCAGTTGTTACATGCCAAAGTGTCCTTGGGCAGGACACTGAACTCAGATTTTCTGCTTGTGACAAATTGTGCTTACCCTCTAAGTGACCCAGTTTGTTTTAGTCTGGTAACTGCAAGTCGCCAGTCTATGAAGGGAATTAGTCAATACTGAGGGTCCCCCATACTATCCTCTGCCATCTGTGTATGAGTGTGGTGTGAATGGGTTAATGGTCGTTAGAAAGAACTGAAAAGCTCTGTACTATTTTAGTATATTTACCATTATTAAGGTGATTGTTTTGTTGCTGTAACCTTTATTGTAAATATCACAAAGGTGTGATGGTGAGACCACCCCTGTGCATTGGAGGCAAGGACCGTGACTGGATCACTGTGATGCAGCAGAAATGAGCTGTGATATGTGCGTATGTCTGAAGTGTGTGTGCATGACGCTCACTCTTGTGCACCTGCAATGTTGTAATGCAACATGAATTCACAAACTGGGACACCCAATGTTACACAGTCCCAGGATGAGTATATAAAAAGCCTACAAAATCAGGATTAAGGCAGGCCTTTGTTATGGGGCAGTTACTTACGCTCACTATGAAAAGAGGATACTGTTTTTTTGACGGATCAAAACAAGTCTCTTGGATCTCTAAAGTGAAATTTGAAGTCATTTTATAACTGCCGACATGCTTGTTGATACACTCAGGGTAAACTCAACAAGTTTTCAATATAACTCTGATAAAAGTGCACGGGACAGCAGTTGCCTGTTTAATCCCAGTGGACTGAGCTGATAACAGTCAAAGTACAGCAGCATATCCAAAACAATGAGCTGACTGACACCAGTAAACAGCTGGGTAGCAGTCAAGGCTCTTCACACACTGTAAATACTTAATTAAAGCTCCCATGCAGAGATTGAGCTGTTTACTAAGCACCAAATGAACAATGATGCTTCTCTGTGACCTACGAAAGTACATCAGACCATCGGCAGAGAGACTGACAATCCTTATACTGTAATTCTTATGCCTTTAACTGCTTTTAGGGGTGTTTTTTCTGGAGTCATATTCTGAGTCGGGTCAAATACTTTCACTTTTACTTTTACTGTAGACCAGACTTGACTTTGAACAATTCTTTTGTTGTGTTTTTTATGCAAAGTGAGCTCTTCATTTCAGTTAGATTTTAATCCGAGTGGAAAGGTTGTAAAATTCTGTTGGATTAATGTATAATGTTGAATTTTTTCCTTTACAAAATTAAAATAGTTTAAGTTGTAGCACCACCCTCAAGGTTCTCTACTGTTAAGTCTAATTTACCATGAAACACATATTTACTGTATTTTACTTCATCTCCTCTCCTCACAGCCGACATGTCCAGGTCAGACTACCCTCCAGGGTATGACGACTCCCGGGGCCCCCTGTACAATCCTCAGGGTGGGAATTACCCAGCACCCCCTGCATATGGCTTTCCTGCCTACGGTGGTCCACAGCCAGGCCAGCCTGCTGCTCCATACCCCACTGGTCCTAACACCCCTTTGTACCCAGGCCAGCCAGGGGGGTATGGCCCAGGACCATACCCAGGACAGCCTCAACCTGGTGGGCATCCTGGAGCCGGGTATCCTAACCCCCCTCCTATGCCTCCTGTCATGCCGCCCACTATCCCATCAGACGTCCTGAGCTCAGGTAACTGATAGATGTGTCTTTGAAGCAGTGAAAGGCTGTTTTTTAGGGAGGGAAATAAGTGCTTTGTTCTGACCCTTACAAGGTCCTATATTTGACCCAATGACTGGTGAATTTCAGTGTTTTTCTGTAGTATCACATAGCTTTGTTATCTTCATTTTGATCCATTTAATGCAGTTAAATTGGCTGACTTTTGGGTCCATACTGCCACACTGATTGAAGCCACTGCATCACTTGCTTGTTGTTATGAGGCATCCCGTCACCAGAGAACTGTGCAGCTGAAACAGATAATCAGTGATCGATTTTCATCCAAGGAATCGTTTGACTCATGCACACAAACAAGACATGTTATCCTGAAGTAGCTAGAGGCAGGAGCAGCTGTTTGTGTTTAATCAACCCGGTTTGGAGTGACATTGCTTAAATAAACATTGTTTTTTTTTTGTATGTGACTAAACGTTAAAGCCTGCTAGTGAAAATCACATTTGCGGACTGGTCTAGTCGACTCATAGATATTAGGTTGCTTATAATCTACCTTTAAAGTCTCACTCTGATCATTTTTTTACTACTTTAAGTGTTGTCAGTGGTCTTTAAATTGTGATTATGACATTTTTTAGCCAAAATCATGTGACCTGTGTCATTTTCAAGGACTTTTCTTCTGCAGCGCTCCAGTAGCTCATTAGCAATTCGCCTCTGAGTCGTGGGCGGAGACAGCGCTGCTCTGCACACTTCTCTTCATGTTAGCTTGCAGTCTAACATTGCTGGTGTAGCAGGTAACATAGGAGCTATTCAGCTGTCGGACACTAATGTCTTTCGGTACATGATGAAAGTAAATATAAAAATTAACTTTCTTACGCACTCGCTTGTTCCGCAATTGTCCTCTCTACTTTCCGAGTTTGGCCTGCGTAGTGGAGCTCTGGGGGCTTTGATTTGCTACGTAGGAAATGTCACTGAATCTGAACCTGTCGTTTGGGTCTGCCAGAGATCCACAATAATTTGAATGCAGAAATACTCAGAAATGCAATACTGCACTTCGTTTTCTCATGATATGTCCTGTAGCATCAGAAAAATGTCATATAAACATGTAGACAACCAGAAAAACACGATTTTCATCGGAGCGTGTCTTAAGTTTGGAGCAGTTATTTGAATCTAATTTCTGCTTTAACTCTGTTTGGTTCAAGGTTTTTGTTTCTTTTTATCTCTGTGGTCAGTTTTCTCATTTTTCTGCTCTGCTGATGTCACAGGAGATGAATTTGCAGCGAGTGGCAGCGGCTGGGACGACATGAGCATTCGACATGCCTTCATCAGGAAGGTAAAACACACACTGGATTAACTTTAGTTGTACTAAGTGATGCTACACTCAAAGTTAAATCCTCTCAGAAGTGATCAGCTGAGCTCTGCTCATAAACTGACGCTGTGTTTGTGTAATAACAGGTTGAGGTGAGGAGACTGTATTGTATGAGGTCTCATGTCCCTCTGTCTGTGTTCTAGGTGTACATGATTTTAGCGGCTCAGCTCCTCCTCACCACAGCCATCGTAGCCGTATTCACATTTGTGTGAGTAAACAGAGTGTGTGTTTTGTCTCAAATGTCTGTGTGTGTGTGTATTTGTGAGTGTCACACTGTAACTATGCCTCTGTCTGTCACAGGGAGCCTGTCAGATACTTTGTACAGAGGAACCAAGCCATCTACTGGGCTTCATAGTAAGTCTGACTCTGTATTTTTGTTGACACTTTTTGATGATGTGAAGTTTTACAGAGAATAAATCAAACAGTTGAATATAACGCCTTTCGTCTGTCTCTTATTTGTTTTAGTGCGGTGTATTTCATAACCCATCTGGTGCTGGTCTGCTGTAAGGGCCCCAGGTGAGTTTAAACGCTCAGTTTCACACATCTGAAGGAAGAAAAACTGCACAAAGGGTGCTAAAAACTGTATTTAATCTTTTGATCATACTCTGTTTGAAGGAGGAAGTTCCCGTGGAACATCATTCTGCTGCTCGTCTTTGTAAGTCACATGGTTTTTGGTTCAATCAGGAAAATATCATTATCAGTATTGTCTTTTTATTTCATTATTATCAAACAAAAACACCCCCATGAGAAACAAAGGCCCAATCCTAAACCGACCCCTACACACTCGGTCTTTACTATCATTGTCACTCATAATGAAGTTACACTCACAACTGTGGAGTGCACCTCAATTGAAATGGGAGGGTATAAACAAGGCGGGCGGGTATGGGACGCCCTCCTCACTGTACCGGAAAACGGAAAGATTCATTGCCATAGCATCACAAAGACGCGTTCTGAGCCGCTCTGTTTCTTCATCCTCCCAGTAAAATCATAAATCCAGTAACCATACAGTGACAGGAGCTAAATTAAACTTCTGATTATTAGTGATTACACATGTCTTTGAACCCCTTTACTATTTGACATGTGCCTGCACAATCAAAAGAAATGTCAGCACGGAGTAAGATTTCTGAGGTTCATTTGATCTTTTCAAACCACGTCCTTTCTTTTTTTTTTTGTCAGTAAGACAAAGGTGGACACATACGGAACTTATATTTGTCTGTTGTTTCCTCCTCCTCCATTTTTGCGGGCGCACTACCTGCAAATCTGGCCGTGAGTGAGCATCGGTGCAGACTCCCTATCTGAGGGCTGAACAGTCACTTGCCCTCCTCACTCTGTGGTTTGGGATGGCCTTCAATATGGCGGAGCCTCCGCCGCGACGCGCATACGGAGGGAGAGTGTATAGGGCGAGTGTTTAGGGGGCGGTTTGGGATTGGGCCAAAGTCTCTCTTACAAGGGAGTCCTGGCCAGGACAGTAGCAAATGTATATTTTCATAAGGAAGTAGACAATCAACAGATGAATTGCAACAATTAGAAAAAAGATTTCTGTGATGAGTTTGATGATGATTAAAGGTCAGATTTTCTTCATGGACAAAACCCTGGAATCACATTCAGTCACCTCACGGTTAAATCTAAAAAGCTAGATATCATCTTTAAATGTCCTCACACTTCCCTTTAGTGTTTTTGGCAGTGAAAGTGAGTCTTAATTTACAAACACTAATCTGGACAATGTTGCAAACGACTTGTAGGTCTTTAATTGCACTTCTTAAAGAAGACAAAGGACCTTTATGTCAACATAAAAATACTTCAGTAACATCCATTTGAATTATGATTTTTTTTTTTAAAAAGGACCCTGTATGGACCCTTGTTTCTTTGACTTTGGTTTTCACAACATTAAAGCATAAATATACGTTGAGAGGTTTAACATGAATGGATTAGTCACTGCAAAATATCTCAGCATGTTGTTTATCATGTATTTGTGTTCTGTTATAGCTTGTAGTTACTCTCACAGTAATGTTTTGTTGTCCTGTTTTTATTGGTTCAATACATTTTTATTTCGTCATATTTGACAGACTCTGGCTTTGTCCTACATGACTGGCTCCATTTCCAGGTAAAAAATCAAACTTCTTCTTTTGAGTAATGTAAACACTGAGTCTGTTTTTCCTCGGGCCTAAATATGTGCACCTCTTTATTTGTAGTTTCTATAACACAAAAGCAGTGTTCCTCGCACTTGGCATCACTGCCGTCGTCTGCATCGCTGTCACCGTCTTCTGCTTCCAGACAAAGGTAGCGTGTGTTTGTGTGTGTATCTGAGTACTGTTAAGCTACGCATGGCTTCTGTGTATTTGTTGTATCAAACTATGTTGTTGTTTTCTCTTCTAGGTGGATTTTACCAAGTGTCGGGGCCTTTTCTGTGTCCTAGGGATCGTAATATTTGTGACTGGAATCATCACAACCATTGTGCTGTCTTTCAAATATGTGAGTTTAGCCTGATGTCAATAAAAGACAGGTTTCTGGTCTCATAGTTTTAATTTTCTATGATTGTAATTATTGCATTGTTGTTGCAGATCCTGTGGCTTCACATGCTTTATGCAGCCATTGGGGCCATAGCCTTCACCATGGTGAGTGTTTAGCTTCTGCACTGTCTGGAGATCACTTCTTGTTTCACTGAACTCTCTTTGCTGTGTTGTACTGAGTGCTTCTTGTATATTTTGTAGTTTTTGGCCTACCACACACAGCTGCTGATAGGAAACAGAAAACACTCCATCAGTCCAGAAGAGTACGTGTTTGCTGCACTCTCCATCTACGTCGACATCGTCCAGATCTTCCTCTTCCTGCTGCAGATCATCGGGGCTTCAACCAAATAAATCCACCACAGTGCCCATGGGTCAACTGGTTGCAGATTTTTCCATTTTCTGAAAACTTTTCTCTGTTTTAGGCCAGGATAAGACACATTTGTAAAACATGATGCACTCAAGGGAGATTATCTAAGGGCTGAATCTGAGGTTTTGTCATTGTATAGGTCAATCCTATGCACAGAAAATGCACTTTTTCCAAGGTCAATTACTTGTTTCTATCTGTACTTGCAGCTTACCAGTGGTTATTAAATATTATACTACAATATGAACACAGCCTATATATAAACATATATATATGGACACTGGAATGTAACATATGTTCACGTTAAGGCAGAAGTGTCTCAGCATTTTCCTCTGCATGTAGATGTACTAATACACAAATACTGGGTCCTTCTGTGTCAATGTGGAGAAATCAGGTAAATATTTTCTCTCTGTTGCTCAGACTTGGCCGACACACGGGCCTACCTGACGGGTTAGTTTTGACACACAGTGGGGGTGGGCAGTGAGCATTATTTAGTTCACATCACCAGGATTATGACCCTCATATGATACTTTTTAATTTTATGAGCTGTTTTTTTTTTCAGCCAGGTAAGAGTTGAGAAATGTGTCATGATCTATAGAGTAATTAAATCATTTTGGGCTTTTTCTTGAGTTATTTTACGGGCAGTCCTTTTTCAATACAATGCGTTTTTATTTAGAGAATTAATTCTTCTTTCCTTTTTATTATATTTTATTTGATTTTTTAGTAAATTTTATTCTTATGCATTTGTAAATAAACAGAGAAATAAAACAGCCAGTGGTTGGTTAGCTTAGCTAAATGTGCAAAGAACAGAAGAAACAGCTCGCCTGGTTTTAAGTCCATTGTATTGATCTTCTTTAATTATTAAAAAAAAAATGAACCCATCAGTTTTTTTAAAGTGGGGCTCAAGCATTCGCTAAAAATTGGCTGAAATAGAAACCCATGCTTCTTCACGACCCTTTATTGATACCTGTTTACCGGTCATTATTTTATTAACATATGAAACCACTTGCAGGAGGCAGGTGTTGATTGAAGTGAAATGACCACCTTTGTTTACATTTTCTAAAGCTCTATAGATACATTCAATTGTTTGAACGGGATATTCTTATATATAAAACACGTATTGAGAACGCGCTGGGCAGGGGAATAAAAGATCACTACACTGAAGGGAAGCACCAAAATGAAACCAGTCTTATCACCCAAATCAAATTGATTTAAAATGATTAATTTTAAAGCTGTTTATTGGCTAAATTTTCTAACCTCAGGCTCAGACAGAACCGGGCCACCTGTTTCCCTCTGTCTCCAGTCTTTGTTTAAGTCAAGCTAAGCTAACTCTGTTGACTCACTAGCTTCATACTTTTAGTGACATCAGTGATTATCTAACTCTTAAGAAATGAGTTAAATGTGCGATTCTATTTGTATTAGAATTTTTTCAAGATTATTTTTGATATTTCACTCTTTGTATGCAACCAGTTTGACCTTTACATCTTAATCAATAACTCAGCTGCACTACAAATGTTTATGAACCCAAAAGACAATATAACAAGGTGTATGAGTCAACATCTAGTATTGACAGTGCTAAATACAGTTTGAATGCCATTGTACTTTGTTTAATGATCTGCCCACCCTGGTACACAGCTCAGCTTAGTACTGACAGCCTGAGATGTGTCACGTGTTCATATAATCAGCCTTTTGCTCAGTTTTATACTGCGTTGCTATGGTTACTGTATTCTTCATCACTACAGTGCCTTCATGTTTCTGATTTTTTAAACAGAAACTACAGGTGCGGTACTTCTTAACCTTTTATAGTACTGTTTGGATATCTTCTTGTGTTACAGTCAGATTTCAGTCAGAACCAGTGTTGGCAGGATGAGTTATTTTTTCCAGACAGGATAAATCAGTAAACTCTGCGGTGTTAAATTATTGGAACATTCCTGAATGTCAGAGAGTGTCTGCTGACGTGGAGCAGACTTAAAACTTCACACAGCTGCTGCTCCACATGTTCATATTTAACTTTAAGAAAGCCTTAACTGCAAAAATTGATTTAAAAAAGACCAAAAAAAATAAATTCAGTGTGTGCTTTGTAAATATATTATGAATGAGGACAATCTATAGCATTTCTGATCAAATAAAGATGTGCATTTGTGAGTTACCATGTGCCTCATATACTATTTTACCATTTATTTCTGTACAGATTTAAGCAATCATAAATAAACATTGATTTCCTCTGTTATATTTTTACATCATCTGCCTTATGGATAAAACATACTTGATTAATCCCCAAATTTGATGACACGCTCAACCCTAAAGGGCCATTTATAATCACAGGTAAGCATTCAGGTGCATCTCAGTTTTGGTGCAGTATTATGGAGCCAGCACAGTTCTGCTTCTGTAGAACTACAACCTTCTGCTGAAAACTGCAGCAATCTTCTCCTTACAGAAAACTTGTCTTTCCTGTAAGGATGTTGTGTTGTACAGATACTGGTTTGCACCCAAAATAACTTTATAAAACAAAAGTCACAAACTCTGTTAATGACCACAGGAGTTCAAGATCAACACCTGCTGTGTTCTGCAAAGTAAATGCTGGGTATTTTTATGAAATCTGGTTTTAAATAGTGCAAAGTTACTGCTAATTCAGGTGAAAAAGGATCCTGATTTGACAAAAAAAAAAGTCTGTTTCTCTGTTGGGATCCTCTTGTTATCTGTTTGAAAGTGAGAATATCAGTCAAAGCCTGTCAATTGCATGAAAAAGACCCTTTTTGGATGCTTTGGCTTTGACCCATTTTCCCAAATTAACATTTCAGCCATTACACCTGTATCAAAGCTGACAAGTGTGCTGAATAAATGGATACTCTAAAAGCTTAAGCATACAAGTCATTTACTCAAAAAACACATTTCAAAGTGGGCAGATGGTTCAAAAAGAGCAGAACCGACTTTAAACAGTATGATCCAGCTGACCTCATTAAAGGCTCAGGAACAACCTCTTTCCTTCTCTGGTTTCCTGCATCCTCCTAAAGATGAAATATTAACTTAGATTTGATCAGCTCAAAAGCATGACTGGATGTTTTGAGCCAAACTGAAAGTCTCTCCTGAGTCTCGTGAAACAAAAATGTGATGCAAATCCCTGCAGCCAGGCATGAAAATTATCTGTCCAGTTTGACGTCTTCTGCAAGATGATGGTGGTAGCGACTGCCCTCGTACTCTCCCTCATTTGACCTTTTCATCCTCTGTCGAATCTTCAGCTGCTTCAGGCGGTTCTTGTCCACTTCCCTCTTGGCCAATAGGAAGCCAATGATACCTGTGGGGAGGCCGATCATCCTGTAGGAGAGAGAGATTCAGAGTTATTTAGTTTTTCAAACCAGAAGTCAATTCTTCAAATGTTCTTCTCCAAAAATAATGCAGTGCTACACAGTAGTCCTGCTAAATCTCAAACTCTCAAGGTCAGGAAAGTTTAACGCCCTTTAAAACCTAATGCATAGCGTACTCGTTAAACACTGAGGCTGCATACTGTAGGAGAATTTCTAATATGTATTTACGGTCCTTTACTCCCTTGTTAGACGTGCACTTTTACCAGCTACCAAAAAACAAGGATAACTTCACAAAGTAATTCAGTCTGCTGTCTTGCAGTAAACCAAAAACAACCTTATGCAGTCATTTCAGCCCCACCAACTTGGTAAAAAAAATACTGTAAGGATAATATCTGCAACTCTAGTTATGCTCACTATAAACTATTATAAGACATTACCAGGAGTTTGAAAAACACTATTTACAATGATCTTGAAGACTCCAAACTCAGGCAACTGGACTGTGTAGAGTTGAGAAGACGTTTCACCTCTTATCCAATAATCCATTTTTTCCAACTCCTCCCAGTCGTTGTCTGTCCCCTTCTCCAGTAAGATAAATATCTGCTCCTCACACTAGCAATAATTAGAACTGAAGAAGCTTTTTGGATAAGGGGCGAAACGTCTTCTCAACTCTACACAGTCCAGTTGCCTGATTTTGGAGTCTTCAAGAAAACCATGACCTGGATGAATGAGAATCTACATGGATATATTTACAATTATCTATGTTACTGTAGCCGAGTGGCTTTTAGGTGTACTTTTTAAGTTGCTTTTAAAATCATTACTTTTTAAAAAACTTTTTGAAAAAAATGCATGCTGCTTTGACAGCATTTTTTTACTTGTTACAACCAATAAAGTTTTTATTTTTGGCTCCTCTTCATAGGCCCCTCTGCACAGCCAGCTATAACTTAAATGTACGGGAGCCATCTACAGAGTGCAATAACTACAAAAGATGCTGCAAAATTATTAGGTTACTTCTCTCTGGAAAGGAGCAGACTCAGAATTACTTCACACACTGACGACACCTAATCCAGGAGGCCTGATTTTGCATAGTTCAAGGAGGAAAATCTTAACACCAACCCCACTACCATAGGTTTGAAGTAACTTTACTTCAAGTACATTGCAAATGAAGCACAGTTTTCTTTTACTTGAGTATATCACCAGGCTGGTAGTTAAATTAAAATACCATTAAAGTAACTGTATTTTTACTTAAGTAGAAAATTTTAGTAGGGGAGAGTGGGGTAAGTTGAGCCAAAGAGTAAGTTGAGCCACCCCCTGTTGTTGGTAATGGTAAAAGAAATTGATCATGTGAAAACATTTTTCACTCTTGAAAGTGAATTTAGTGACGTAGTGATCCGAAATGTGAAAAAATGGCTCATCTTACCCCACTCTCCCCTACTCTTTCCACTCCTGCTAATACCGCTGCAAAGCTGTTAACTATTGTTTTAATATGAATATTTCAGCCAAACCATTAAATGGTTAATGGGTTCTTAAATCGGATCACTCCTCATAGTACAGTCAGGTACATACAGGTGTGACACAGAGGTGTCTTTGCTCATTTCTAATCTATCTGTAAGACATGAGGGTAGAGAGTGCACTGACCAGGCGAAGCCGATCGCCATCATGGGGTTCTTTGCCTTCCTCTTGGGAATGTATTCAGGCCCCTCTGGTTCCTCCTCCTCCTCACCTGCTCTCTGATCACCTGTCTGGGTGCTGGCTCTGCTGTGAGGCTGGGTGCTCCTCTGAGGCTCCGTCCTGGAGCTGCACAGGGAGGCAGCTGAAGAGACATGAAGAGGCCGACACCGAGCAGCATTCAGCCGCAAACACTGGCACGCTGTCGCAGTGTGACTCCTCTGTGTCAGGAGCGGGAAAAGGTGCACACCTGAGGAGGAAAAGATGTTTTCATGTCAATGAAATGACTCTTGCTCTGAGTTCATGTTAGGGCACAGTCTGAGACCGCCATACACTGAGGAGAAATGACCTCTGTTAGCCATCATACTGTGACGTTGGTTACGTAAATGACTTCACCTTTTACAGCCAACGTGACAATACTTTAAAAAGAACGTTCAATATAAATGTGTCTGTATTTTACCTTTCATTGCTGCTCTGACTGCTGTCACTATGGGTGTCGCCATGTTTGTTGAATAATCTCAATTGGGCATGCGCAGTGGCAATCTCATGTGTCTGACTGCTGCCGCCTACTGGACATAGATAGACATGGTTTTAATTTTGATTTGAAGTAAAACCAAAATAAGGAATAGGCTAAAGTAATGCTTATATGTCGCCTATCCTGTTTACTCTAACAAATAATGCTTCGCAGCTTCACATTACAGTTTCATATACAATCAACCATAATAAAGACAAAAGTTCAGTTTTATGTTCTCGTACATGGTTTTGATAGTCACTGATCCTTCTCTGTTTGAGACATCTTTTAAATGTTGACAAGGATGTAAATGATTTATATTCTTCAAGTCCATTCCATAACTTTACGCCAATAACAGAAACACATCTGGATTTAACATTTGTTTTTACCTTACTGTATTCACAATGATCCAAACCTCTTAAATTATAATTACTCACTCTTAGTTTAAACAAGTTCTTCAAACTTTTTTAAATTATAGTTTAACTTTGTAAAGAATCTCTAATACTTTGATATCAACAATATCTGTCAGTTTTGATGCTTTAAGAATAAACAAATTATTAGTTGGTTCACAATATCCTACCTTATTGACTATTCTCGTTGCCCTTTTGTGTGATTTAAATAAAGAGTAAATACAGGTTTTTTTTCCTGCATTTCCCCATAGTTCTGCACAATAAGAGAGATATAGCATAATCAAAAGTTGATTAAAGCGTTTTTGTGAAGTGGTTGTAAAAACAAAAAGACCAGTCAGGGCTCTTTACATTAACATCTTACTTTATTTTTTATTTAATTCATTTCTAGCCAGTTTGACAAAAAAAAGACACATAACTGGAAACCATGGTGGGGAGTCAGCATATGCCTCTAACAAACAGTTTATGATGAACAGCAGTTACACTTTTCCAACTGAAGTCAAATAGGCTGAAGCACAACAGCATCCAACTTAAGAAAAAAGCAATATATTTACAAAAGTCTATCTGACAGAGACACATCTTTTTAAAGAGAGTTTTAACAATAGTCTGTACAAAAGAGTTGATAAACAAGTCCTGTAACATTTCAAATGCTACAACTATGTACCAGTTACATACGAGCATTCAAATACACCTTGGAAATCCATTTTATTGTGTGAATGTTCTATTAACAATCGCGGAGGCTGCAGGGGAAGGAGGAAAAGATACAGAGGAGTAAAGGCAGGTGTTTTAATCTTCCAGGATGTAGTTTGGATTGACGACCAGGACCACTTCCTCTTCTTTGCTTGCAGACTCTGAGCCCTTCAGACCGGCCTGGGACAGCTCGATGAGGATGTGATCCTGGAGGAAACAGATAGTGAGCTACGTCTGAGCATGGTCTTAATTTATTGCATTTGTGTACCTGTTTGTAGACAACGCTTTTATCTGTACTCACATAGTTGACCAGCCTGTGGATGACTTTCTCTATCATGCCCTTCTTATTGACGAGCTCCTCCTCAGACTCGATCTCTGACTCAATCTCCTTCAAATACCAGTTCACCACTGCACTTTTCTTCAGCTCCTCCTCATCCTCAGCTAAAACACAGAAGAAAACTTGAGATTAAAAAGTGAAAGGGGGAAAAAAAAAACACACAAGAGTTACAGTGAGTTTTTCTCATCAGTTACTGGTGGAAGAACATCTCTTACCCTCTTCCGTCTTGCGTAAATGCAGGACCAGAAGGTTGGAGATGCGTCTGTACTCAGTGAAGGACAGGCGGAAGGATGGTTTAGGCTGGCTGCCAGGCTCTGCGTGTCCATTGACACCATTTACATGACCGTTAACTCCATTGACGTGCCCATTGACGCCGTCGACATGGCCGTTTATACCATTCACTCCATTTGGAACGGCATTTCCTGAAAATAAAAAGTTCACAGTAGATGAAGCCTCTGATCCAGGGAAAGTAAACATTTAGTGTAATCCAGTGTGGGTTTGTCTGTTTCAGCAGGTGCATTGATGTGTTTGTGTGACTATACCATCCTCCTGCTGCTCCTCCTCTTCCTCCAGTTCGTCATCCTGCTCCAGGTTGACGTCAGGCGTCTCCACTCTGATGATGGATTTGTTCAGGAGACGGAAAGCCTCTTTCACGTGTTTAGGCTGCACCTGAAAGCATTAAAAAGAAAGGAAAGGGGTCAATATTCTGTTGCATGCTTGTTTTGGCTGCAACACAAGAGACTTCTGCATTTTCAGTGATTGATAATTGATCAAACAGCTTCAAAAGGCCAAAGACTTTTTTTTTATTTTAGGGACAAAGACAAATCAGGAAATCCTCAGAAATAAAAGCTGCAGGTTTCCATTTGAAAATAATTGTAATGGCTGATTTAAAAAATGTGACTTATTTTCTTATCATCCATATGATGTTGTAGCATTCAAATTGATTTCTCTTAAGGTTTTTGGTGCCCTCACCTCATCACAGCAGTGCATGCGGGCCATGCCCTCTGACAGGCGGATCATGCTCTCCAGCTGTCGCACCGTGATCCTCCAGGCAGACTTGGAAACACCTCCTGAGCCGTCACGCTGACGCAGACGCTTGTACTGCTCCACAATGAACTCTTCTGATTCGCTGGAGATCTACAGGCGCACAAGTGACGTATGCAGCGGTTAATGTAAATGTACAAATAGTCAAAAATAAAGTGGACAAGCAACCAGCGTGAGCAGACACCTTTGGTTTGAACTGTCGGGCAAAGAGAAGATATCTGCGGATCTCATCCAGAGAGTACAGCCTGTCCACAGACTCCTCCACACGAGAGTGCAGGTCCACGATTCGTCTGGCGATGGCGTAGTCTGTCACCTGGGTAACACAAAGATCACATACGGTATCAGGCTTTGTTGAAAAGAATGTACAAGAACATTTAGAGTCTGGTAGAATACTTCAAGAGACAACAGTCGAAAAATAAAACAGAAAATATTAAAAATGTAGAACACACATTTTTTAAAAGCCAGGATTTTATTGAATCATCACTGTAGGACTCAGCATGCATACATACCTCATTACATTCATCTACCAGGATGAAGAAGAGGTCAAAGCGGCTCATGATGGGGGCTGTCAGCTGCACGTTCTGCTTCAGGCTCTTGCTGCGGTCGTAGCGTCCGCCAACGGGGTTAGCAGCAGCCAAGATGGAGGTACGAGCGTTAAGGGTGGCCTGGAGAACGGGGAGGCAAAGTCTGGTCATTTCAACGCAGAGAGAACTGAGGGGTCTCTATTAAGTTTGCTTTGATCCAGCTGAGTTACCTTGACTCCAGCTTTAGTGATGCTAATGGTCTGCTGCTCCATTGCTTCATGGATCGCCACCTGATCCTTCAGGTCCATTTTATCAAACTCATCAATGCAGCACACGCCCTGAGAGGGAAACATCATCATAAATACCTCTGAACTGACTCAGTAATAAACTCCTCTGTCTGTACTGAGTGGGATCACTTACGTTGTCAGCCAGCATCAGAGCTCCAGCCTCGATGACAAACTCCTGGGACTCTTCATCTCTGACCACAGCAGCTGTCAGACCTGCAGCACTACTGGCTTTACCGCTGGTGTACACAGCTCTGGGGCTGAACTCCTCCACATGCCTGAAGAAAACCACACACTGTTAATCCACCGTACTACCTCAGTCTTTTCATGCGGTCCTTTTTGAGGATGTTGACATTTATCCGTAAAGGAGATGGGAACATACTTGAGGAACTGGCTCTTGGCTGTGCTGGGGTCTCCAACGATGCACACGTTAATGTCTCCTCTCAGTGAGGTACCCTCCATGGTTGTCTTGGGAACACCTCCAAACAGCATCAGCAGGATGCCTCGCTTCACCTCGTCGTTTCCTGCATTGAAAATAATTCAGTTAAACTTCACATGCTGAACTTCACAGCAGTGTTTTTAAGCAGAGCTATCTAAGATGGAGAAAGAGCAAAGGGATGGTTCTTGCTCTGACCGTGGATGGTGGGGAAGAGGCTGGTGCACAGGTTGTGATATAAGTTCTTGTCCTGGCTCATCTCAAACACTTTCTCCCACTCCTTCTCCGTCATCTGGCTCTTGATGCTCTCTGCGGTCTGCTCCTCCTCCCGCAGCTCCTTACCGCCAAACTACGACAGCAGAAAAGCATGTTTTGGACCAAACACCAGACAAATTTGGAGCTTTATTTTCTGTCTGAATTGAGCTTGTGCACGTCTCTTACTCGTGGGTTAGTCGGGGCCACATGACAAGCCAGGAAGGCCAGTCTGTAGGAAAGCTCTCTTACACCCAGAGCTTTCAGGCCTCTCAGACCCTCAGCTTCAAAGCCCTGAGGTCCACCAGCGACACGAGAACTGGTCTCTGCTCGCACTCCTAAATAATGACACATTAAAAATGGTCATGGTTACTGCTCAAAGTTGTTCTGGTCACAGCCGACAAATCTCGAAGTGGGTGCACAAACATACCAGGAGTGCTGAGTTGAGAGACGTCTGGCACAACAATGAGAGTCCCTGTGAGGTCACAGCGGTCTCCAGCCTGAGCCGTCTCAACAGCCTCGGCCCTCAGGATGATCTCCAGGGAGCGAGGGATTGAACCACGAGGTAGCTCAGCCTGTGTCTCCTGGATACGCACCTAAATGCAAAGAGTCAAACTGAATTAGACACTTGTGCTTAACTAGAGTGATATCTTTACGACGTAATCTCTCTGACAGTTACCTTCTGGAAGTCGATGAACTTGGACTTGTGTGTGTCAAGATGGAAGCGGGAGCGGTTGTTGCAGACAGGATTTCTGCAGATGGTTGGTGGAGAGTATTTGAACTGCTGAGGGATGTCTTTGATGACTGTCTGACAGTCCATGCACAGGAAGGTGCCGCTCACCTGCAATCATGGGAAAGATAAAACATCAGTTTAAAGATCCTGCCCAGTAACACCATTTCTACACCACAGCTTTGAGTTTGTTCTTATCTGTCAGGAACCTCTTGTTTCTATGACGGGTGAAAATCTAAAAACTCGATCAGGCTCTGTCTGGTTAATTCAGTAGCTGGTTCTGGAAATATGTTGTTATAGTTTACTGTTTTGATTGGTTAACATATTTCTTTAAAAGTAATCAGCAATGTCAGCACATTTTGATTACATTAAATCACTGATCATGAACTATGACATCAATCTAAACCTATGTGTTTTTTTTTAAACTATAGCTGTCTTAGAGTCGACAACAGGATGTCTCACCAGTTCAGGGTGTACAGGGTGTGTCCTCACCACCTGACCACTGATCCTCACCAGGGTGCCAATACGCATTGATGACAGCTCTCTGATCCTGGATTACATGACAGAAAATGATCATTTAGACTGAGACAACTACAGTTTGTTTAAGAACACCATCATGTAAAAAAAAGTCTGAAGTGACCTGAGAAAGTAAATATACCTTCAACTAATACAGCTTTCAAGTCATGTGACTTACTTGTGTCTGGTTGGCAGATCCTCCAGGGCAACGTAGAACTCTTTAGTGAGAGGAACATTCCCATGATCCCGAGCAAAGTTACGCACTGCCCGACAAAGGAAGGGGTAGACTCTGAAAACACAATAATCTGTGTTAATCTCACAGTTCTCTCTATTTAAATGTTTGTGCATCAACCATTCGTTTATCCACTGAAGGTATTCTGAAAAGAACAATAGTAATAGACATCAGCATTAGATGTCAGCCATCAGCCAACCTGCTGTCATTGACGGTATTGGCATCAACCATTAAAAGCTGATCTCAGCTGAAAACTAGTTCTGATACCAACACCAGCACTGCTTCTGATACAGCCTAAAATATGTTTTCTTTAGTACTATGCTCATAAGGGGAAAGCAGATAACTGTTAGATAACTATAACACAAAAAAATCAAAATCAGGACATTTTTAACCCACTTGTAGTCTCCCTTTAAAAAACAAATAAGCCTAATTTCTTGACAAAAGTTTAAGAGACGTTTGTATCAATTTATCAAAATAAAAGATGAGATATCTCATGTTTGAGCAGTTATATTGTTAATAATTTGATGCAACACAAAGCAAAGGCATGTTTGTTTGTTAAAGGAAATAATGTAGAAGAAAAATCACGTTTTGTCAGTCAAATTGTGTGTGATTGTATGTATGCTGAACAGTATAGTCACTAGAAGACTAGACATTGACTCTATAACTGGCAAAATGAAATCACCGTGTAAAGTACTTCTGAGCTCGGGTTTTTGTCTCACCTGTAATACTCCTCCTGGATGGTGGTGGCCAGCTCCTGGTTGAAGCCCTCCAGGTCTGTGAAGCTCACCAGCAGCGTGTTCCTCTCAGGCCGGATCAGCTCCTCGGCCTCCCGGACATACTTCACCTCCCCATCCCCGGTCTGAAACCTGAACAAAGACAAAAACAAAAATATAGTTTATAATTACTTCAGACGATCACAACAGCGACGGTTACTTATGAAAGAGATCGACAAATAGCTGCCATCGTGCAGAACAACTCATGTGCATCTCAACAATACAATGAAGCCTCCAAGCCGTCTGACTTACTCCTCCAAGAAAGCCTGGAATAACTTCTGACATTTTTCTGCCAACTCGTCCTTCACCATTTCCCCGGCATTTTCCGCGGTTGCTGTGGCAACATCCATTCTGGAGCACCGTCAAACTGTGAGAAAATATTTAAAAACCTGTAAAAATACGACAGATCCTGACCGCTGCTCAGACACTCACAGCACGCTGACGTTCAGACAACAGAGCAGGAGTTTCGCGCGAAAAGTGGGACATGTGATCTTTGGCGCGCCACAATGGACCAATCAGCGATGATATTCAAATAGTTTACAGCTTCAAACCAATCATGAGTGAGAATATCAAATAACACAAGCCCCGCCCCTCATGGGTTACCACCGGCAGCACATCGCGGAGTAGTTTCCTTCATTTTTTTTGTTTGCTCTTTATTTAAACCAAGGAAATGAACAAAACAAGGCGAGGAAAGTGCACACAACAAAAACGACCAAACAGTTCAGACGTAAACGGTGAAATTATGACGCATTCCACTCATATACAACATTAAGACAATGATAGTAACAAAATACTTAACTAGAAATGATAAGGCATAGTTTGCAAAGTTACGCTGTAGTCGATAACTCAGGGCAGCTCCCAATTGATGTAAGACACAAGTCATTTAGTTCATCTAATCATAATAGACGTATGCTCTCATCGTCGGAGACAGATTATAAAATAAGAACTTGAAACAGAGACATTGTCACATCATGGCCTTGTTATTTTTACATTGTTGACGACAGACAAAAGATTTTCACTTGGTAAAAGGCAAATGATATACTGCTTAATTCAATAACATGCACTGTTTGTAGTTTTCATCGTCTCTTAATCCAGTCCACAGTCTAATTCCAAAGTGCGGCGGGCCTTCTCAGATGGTTTTCTGCTGTGATGGATTGAGGATTTAAACGGCCCTTCAAACTAAAAATAGCTGTATTTAAGTGTAGGTACTGAAAACTGTAACAAGTTAATGCCCCATATGCTGTTTCTACTCGTGTTAAATTGCAAAAGTAAGATCCACATGCAGGTTTCAACATAAACATGTAAAATTCACGCTAGTCTGATTTCTAGCACAATTTTTTTTTCTCAAGGATTAAGTTTGCATTTCCCTTCAACGACCACAAAGTGGCAGTAAAAATCCATGATCTTAAACGACTTTTTTGACATCTCCATCTGTAATGTAATAATAATAATAATAATAATAACAGTGTCTTTTATCCCCAAAAGGAAAATGTTTTTTCTACCCCTGTTGTTAAAATGTTGTTTTTATTCCTGAGTTAACTGTGTGAATTTTTCATGTTGTATGTAAATGGGTGATCCCTTTTAATGAAATCAGTTTTTTGTTGTTGTTTTTTTCCTCTGGGAACAGGTCTTCTTTTTAAAGCTGCCTGTCTTCACTGAAGACATCATCTTGAAAATGCAAAGTGACGAAGTGATGTATTGATTTTTAGCTTCGTAAAATTATTGACCATTTTGTAATGAGACAAAACTTTGCCAACTTTGATTTGTTAACATTAGTTGGTTGGTTTACAAAGGGTGGCCAGACACACAGATTTATCCTTAGTCTGGTCTCAAAACCATGTCTGCTCCTGTATCTTAATGAATGTTTCAATGTCATCAGTGAGCACAAGGTTTACCTCTTTTGTCCTCAAAAACCAGTAAGGCCTTCACAAACTGACATAAACATTCAATCACAAAGATCCAGACATTTCACTAGTGACATAGACTGAAATTCGTATTTATGCCATATTGGTATCTAAAAGCAGACAAGACCATCAGTGACAAGTTTGACAATTTCTATATTCTTATTTTCAGTGCCTTGAATTAGTGTGAAAGGGTAGGTGTCAGTCAAGCAGCTGAAAAAAACAGCCCTGGTTTTAAAATTTTACCCGAAATATTCACAATTAATAATAAATATTAAGCGGGGTTGAGATTTTTTTATAAGACACTACTTTAGTGCAAGATATGCAAAGATTGTTTTGTCCGCAATTGACACAAATCTTAAGTTTCTCACTGGAGCTTTAAAGAAATAATCTTGTTCTTTCTACCGTGTAGGTCATGAAGAGGCGTCAGTGTCAGCCTATTTTAAAACCCATCCAAAACTCCTCTCTGACCCTTTGGAGAGAGAAACTATAGCTGGGTTCAAGTAAATTACGGTACTATATTTTCAAAGTCGGTACTTTTCTCAGAAGTGACAGCACAAGTTTCCTGACACGTACAGTATGAGAGGACATCTTGACTTTACAACATGAGTCTACATCCAGCTGCTGCAGAGCTCAGTCCCAGGACCATCTGTGATTATTCACCACTGATCCTCACTCTATTATTCCATTAATGTCTATTTCTGTTCCCACATCATTCTCACGTCTCCACCTGCTGAGGTCAATACAAACACCGCTGCCAGGCTATTGGTTTCACCTGTCACATTGTATGAATCCACCAGGAATAAAGCAGGAAGTTATTGTGGACCATTTGGATGCAGCCCAGTCTTTCTTTGCCTCTTTATTTCTCCTTTTGTCTTGACCTCTGGTTTTCCCACTATTGTTCAGCAGCAGGAAACTCGGCTGGTCTGAATATGAAGGAGCTGACCATCTGTAGATACGCACACACTCAAAACATGGAAATCTCACACTCACACATGCATCACAAGGGAATAAGTGCCATCAGTGTTTGTTTGTGTCCTTCATTTCTTACATAAATGAAGAAGGAAATGAAGTACCTTTAAATCTATTAAACACTTATATAATCCTCTTCTGGTAGTACTGTTGCTATTGAAAGGCCTACTGTTTTTAATGTTACATATCCAAACAAAGACAACTGATACAGATCAAACACAGTCTCTGGTTACACTCCCTCATGCATCTGTGGCAATATTAGCAACAGGCATGAAACCAGTCTGAGAGCACTGAGATTGAAGGAAAGGAAAACAAAACTATGGGAGCTAAAAGTTGTAAGAGTAGAGAAGAGGACATGACAGAAGAGAGGAGAGACACAGTCTTAAAAAGTGTTTTCTTTGCACATTTGTAAACAGATGAAACTTTTTCATTTTGTGAATGTTAAGCTACTGTTCACAACTGCTGTTTGAAAAGTAAAATGTCACTCATGTTAAAGTCTAGGGTTTTATTAGCCTACATGGGCTAACATTTTTTATGTAACAATTAAACGCAAGTACTTTATCTGTCTAATTCTCTCAGATAGATTAGGTAAACACACTGACCTGGGTGGAAATGTGTTAAAATAGTTTGCCACTTGTAAAAGTAGAACAAAGTTTTTATTATCCATGAACAATTACTCTTCCCAACTGTATTAGATAACCTGTGGGGTTCCACAAGGATCAATTTTAGGACCATTAATTTTTTATTTGTATACGGTATTCCCGTGCAGTTACATCAGGGGACACAAAATCTCTGTCCACCGTTATGCTGATGACACTCAGCTCTATGTGGCTGTGTCTCCTGATGACACTGGGCCATTAGACTCACTTTTTAACTGTATTTTAGACTTAAAATCCTGGATCTCACTTTTTTTTTTTACATGCTTACTAACATATACTGTGTGGTTTTCAGGGGGGAAAAACTCACCCCACAGTCTCTGAACAGTCATGTAACAATCATAGTCAATTTTTGTTGTGAAAAGTGTCTACTACAGTAGCCGACCACAGTGTTTGTTAGTCTCAGCAAACAGCTCAAAATCAGGATGCCCCTAAGCATATATATACTCTACACAGATGTTTAACTGGAAATATACACTACACTACAAACCTGCAATAAATAACCATAGCAGTAAGAAGCCAGCATGCTCACTTACAAACTTCCTCACAGACTTCTTCCCTTCACCATCCATTCTGGGTTTGTGTACATTCAAAGAGAGGCAGGATGAGCACTCAGTCAATTCATACTTGGTGGCAATACATGTCAAGGTCCTCGAGTCTGTGAGGACGGAATTCGAGATTTAAATTTCAAGACATGCAGTTGACAATCTGAGGGTGCAAGCCATACAGTTAGATTAAATCTTGAAGTTAGAGGTTCAATCTTATTGTCTTTTCAATTCAAATGTAATTCCTCAGATGGAGTACAATAATGGAGAAATATGTCAGTATGCTTATAGGTCAGTACTTTTGATTTTTTTAAAGATTTCATTCTTGTGAACATTTCTGAACAAACTCCAGCCATCTAGCAGCTCCATAAAATTATTTCTATGGGTCACCCCAGCTTTGGACTAAAAGCTCACACCATTGCTGACATCATGGGAAATGGAGGTGTGGATGCTGCAAGTCTGTGGCTACCATAAAGCACATACACTTTAAACACCTAGCTCATGGGTAAAATTTAGCAAGGTATTTCTAATGTTTTAATATTACACATACATGTAAGAATTCTGATTTTTGTGAACTTTTGTTTCTTGGTTAAGATCTAATATTTACTGTAGAGATGCATCTTGTAGTCTGGAGTGTTTGCTCTGCTTGCAATCAGGTTTCATGGCTATATTACCACCATTTTGAAATATTATGAACACATCAAAACTGTCCATATAGGTTAGTACAAAAACTTCAAATACCCTGCAGATGAAGTTCTACTTATAATATCATAGAACAACTTTTTCTCAGCATCTCTGACCGACTACCTGACTGACTACCAGCACCATTGACAGTATGTAGCGTAGACAACATGCTTTCATTTACACCCATTGTAAGATATGGAGTTTAAAACCACACTGGTAGGCATCAGGATGTTGCGCAGGTGGATCCAAGGCATGTGCAGAGGTTATCTCGCCAGCAGAACCACAGGACTGACACCACACCCCTTCTAACCAGAACACACAATCAGTCTACTTATCAAACATCACTCATTCATCTGTCTACAGCCACACAGATTATTAAATAGGTTGTTTGATTCAATTCCTCTCACTGTTCCCGCTAAATTCTTTTAATCCACGACAAAATTCAACAGGACCATTGCTCAATACAGATCTCAATTAATCCTTTTCCGAAAATCAAATTACTTGATTAAACCAGACTTCTCTACAAGATGAACCCTTGGACAAAATCAGCCTAAGAGATAGCTATAATGACAGAAGAATGAGAAAAATTTATTAGTCTTGTATTTTAGTTTTGTAGTTTGACTCCTGCCCTATCTGTGAAAATAAAGGAGGTTGAATTGAGGACCTACACTGCAGTCAGTCAGTAGGGGAGCTCCAACTGGTTAGGCTTCAAAGTCATTGAACTTTTCCAGTATCTATTTCAATAAATGTTCTTTATCCAGCACCTTTGGCTGATATGCTAATAACCACAATGTTAGCTTGTGTTGATATGTGGCTCATGTGTTCACCACATTAAATATTGTAGTTTAGCATGCTAACATTTGTCAAACAGCACATATGGGTGCACTTGTAAGTAATTAAGCCTTTTATGTCTACTGAGGAGTGGGCCCCTCTCCAAAGAGGTCTGACATCATGCACCGCCATATAGCTACAAAGCACAGAATGGACAAACTACTGTAGTAATGTGTATTTTGTATGTGGTGTGTGACTGTGCCGTGCTGAAAGACAAAGACAGGGAGGGTGGTGGTTGTAGTGAGCAAAAGAATTTGTATTGATCTCTTTTTCTCAAAGGCCACCGTTGCTTTCGTGACAAGAGGGGTGAGCAAGGGAGCCTTTAAATCAAAACAGCTCTGTTTGAGTCCTAAATCAAACATTGTGATCATGTGGAAAACTTAGCCTATTGGTTCTAAATAAAAAGTAGAGTTTCCTGATTTTGCCAAAGCTTCTTTAAAAGTTTTGAGTGTTTAGAGCAAATGAACCTGTAGAATACCTGTTCTGAAAGTCAGTCAGAAACCAAAGTTTCAACAAACAAGAACTGAACTCACTGCTAATTTCATTCTGATTTGTTAAGCAGTTGCAGACATTTTCATCAAGACCAAAGCAGATTGTATTAAAGAAAGTTGGTGAGTAGAGATAAATCTCAGCCAGGACTTTCAGTTTCTGAGGCAGGTACAAATTCAGTGACTCTTTGAATTGCTAATATACTGGAGCTCTGCAGAAGGAAAGCCCTTGAAAATGACACAGGTAATGTGATTTTGGCTAAAAACTTAATAATCACAGTTTAAAGACCACTGATAACACTTGAAGTCGTAAAAAAATAAAAAATTAAATAAACAATCAGAGTGGGACTTAAAGTAATTTTGTGCAGCTTTACTGTATTTGTCATGTCCTGTGTTTTGTTTTGTTGTAAGGAAAAGTTTTAGATGAAATATAAATGTTCGGCATAAAAATGTGGATATTTGGTATCTTAAAAACATAAAAACATTTTTTTTAGATATGAAGATTTGAGACATGTCAGCAGTAAATGTAAGTTTGTGAATGTATTCATTTCATCGAATGAAACTGCAGTGTTTGCCAAATGGCACAAAAGTGAGTCTCAAATGTTGGAAATTCTTTAATAGGGTCATAACTATAGGAAAATCTTTTTCTTTAACCAACATCAGCTGTCTCTTTTCACACTCTTATCATGAGTGTTTACTCTTGTTGACCTCCAGTGTTTCTCCATCATGTTGTTGAACTGATTGATTTCATAGCAGCTCTCCGTGTTGTGGGTTTTAGCGCTGCTGGGGTGTTTGATTGTTTAAGCTGCTTGTTTTTCCTAAAATGAGCCGCAGGAAGTCTTTCCTGTTTTGAATACACTATGAATAGAAGAGGGGAGTGTGTTTGTGTGTGTGTTTGTGTGAGCAAAGAAGAGAGGGATGAGAAAGACAGAGAGAGAGAGTCAGCTAGGTAATGGGTTAATTTCCCATCATCAGCGACTGTGATTGAAATGATTCTGATCACATCTCTAAAGCTACATAAACACATCAGGATACAGAAAAAGTGATACACAAAGTTAGTAAGTCGTTCATTGTGGTGCTGGATTACTGTATTCTTCCCTTTCGTCTTCTAAACCCTCCTCTTCATCCTCCTCCTCCTCTCTACCCCAGGAAACAGGACACAGTAAACTTCCAGCTTCTGTTTCTCTCACTTCCAAGTGGAAGTAGGTTTGTGGGAAGCACTTTGTGTGTGTGTGTGTGTGTGTGTGTGTGTGTGTGTGTGTGTGTGTGTGTGTGTGTGTGTGTGTGTGTGTGTCCCATAAGCTACTGGGAAAACGGACCTCCTGACCCCTTCGTGCTCTCTCCTCTCTCTCACGTTGAAGCAAACTGTTTATATCATCAACATAAATCTAACCTGCAACCCCAACACAAACACATCCACACATATCCTCACACACACGTACACTCCATGACACACATGTGTGACTCAGATCCACCTGGCTTTCACACGTTTCATTACAAAAGCTCAGTTTCATGTCTGAAAAGAAACCGTGCTCAGGCTCTGGATCAGTGGATTCAGGTGGCTGTCGGCCGAGCGGCTCTGAATCAACACAAAGGGAGGGGAGCTGATCGGGAGAGAGATTAGAAGTACAAATCCCACAATACCAATTGATTTCAACACTTGGTCCAAACAATTTGTATCTGTGGACCATCAGTTTTGACCCCAAAAGCAAGACCGGAAAGGAGTAGTGGTGCCATTTTTAAAAATAATCACCAATCCTTGCCGACTGAGACTCTGCAGCTGTTTTCTGACAATCAAACCAAAAACAAGAGCAGAGATTTGGTTCAGATTCACTGTTTCCTTTTCCACCTTTCCTGTTACAGTTTCAGCATGTTTTTTGTGATAAAGAAGGAATCCTTTTGTCTTAAAAACTCATTAGCTTGAACTGTAAACTTACCCTTTGTAATTTACTTTCACATTAAGCCTCTCTTGATCTCTTGGTGTGTTTAAGTGGTTATAATGAAAGATTGAAATTCACCATGTTTCACTCAGGAAGCAAAAACTGATCCCATAAGAGAAGACATTTCACAGATGAGTGTATTTTGAGTATTTTATTACAAACAGTGAAAAACAGGCTCTGCAGCAGCAAACAACACATCTTCTTACAGTATTTACAAGAAAAACATCACAGTCTTGGACCAGCAGACTGCTCCTCACTTCCTCTGTTACTTTGTTTAAACCATCTCACACACAAACACACATTTATATATACAGTATATACACATATATACATGAACAGAATTAGCAAACATTAACTGGAATGTAAACTTGAGGACTCAGACTCTGTGGTAGTGGAGGCCCCGGGGCGTCTTCGTGGTAAAATCTTCAAACTGGACGCCCGGCTCAGAGTAAGAGCTCTGCGTGCCGAGCTCTTGAACCCAGCACCCAGGAAGGCGTACAACAACGGGTTCAGACAGCAGTGTGCAAACGCCATGGGCTCAGCCACTGCCAGCCACACGCCCAACACAGCCTCCAGGCCACAGCCGCGGGGCAGCACCTCCAGCCGCAGCAGAGCGTCCACAGAGATCCCCGCCCCGTATGGCAGCCAGCACAGGAAGAAGCAAAGAACCAACGTGATGGTGGTCCGGACTGCCCGACGCTTCTGTCTCTGGCCCCCCAGTGGGCCTCGAGTCAATCTGGTGACAATGACACAGTAGCACACAAGGAGGACTAAGCCGGGGACCACAAGACCCACCAGGACCAGCTGGAGGTGGAAGACTGCGACCCAGAGAGGAGCATTGTTTGCAGGGTAGAATCGCTGGCAGAGAGTGGCCCCCTCACCTCCTTCCTGGGTCCGAGCAAATATCAAATCCGGCACTGCAAGTAGAGCGGCGGGCAACCAGGCACCTGCAAAGAGAAAAAGATAAAACAAAGTGAGAAGATGAGGGGAGGGGATGTAGAAGAGGAAAAATAAGAGGGATTGAGGTGGATCACTTACCAACATAAACCAGCTTGTATGCCAGCAGCTGCCTCAGCCCACCAGTGTTTGTGTCTGTAGCTCGGACCACCGCCAGGTAGCGGTCCAGGCTGATGAAAGCCAGGATGAGCACGCTGCCGTACAGGTTGACCGTATAGATCACATGAACACCAACACAGGTGGCTGCTCCAAAGCGCCAGTCTGCAAGAGCTGCATCCACGGCCCAGAACGGCAACGCCAGGACGAAGAGGAGGTCAGCAGCTGAGAGGTGGAGGCGATACCGGTCTGTGAGGCTGCACTTCGACCTGCAGACAAACACAGGAAACTGTAAAACCTCAATTCTTAGTGAGGTTTTATCTGAGTTGATGCCTACAACCTCTGACCCACTGTCTGTTTTCTAACCTGCGTTGGCAGCCAAGCACCACGACCACCAAGCCGTTTCCTGTGATGCCCAGAGTGAAGATGAGAGCGTAGACCACTGGCAGGAAGACACGCTGAAAGTCTGCTGTCATCACGTGCTCCACATCACACGGCTCCTCAAAATCCACTCCCAGATCCCCTGAACCAGAACCTGAGCCGGTGTCATTAAATTCATAGTCCAGGAAGATATGCTGCAGACAGAAAGACAGACAGTTAAGATGAAGATAGTTTGATGAAGAAGGAAACTATGAATCCTGGACACAGATTTGTGAATGGACACACAGTCTTACCTCATAGTACGACATGACGGAGGTCCCTCTGCTGTGCTGACGGAGTGGAGCTGAGATTTCTTTCCACAGGGTTTTAAAGCTGTTCATGCCCCTCCTCCAAACTCTTCAACACATCTGTGTCCCCACTGAAACGTTTTCCTGTTTTCGAGGTGTCAGGTGCTGATAGTGGTTCTATCACAGGATACCGTGTTTGTGCGCTTGTGTGAGTGTGAATTGTTTTGGCCCTGAGACCTCTGCTCTGTGATTATCAGGCTCTATTGACACTTGAGCGGTCTGCAGATGAGGGTCAGACAGTGTGGTGTGTGTATGTCTTTTCTCCACGCTCTGTTAGATCAGCACCACCAGCAGCAGGAGTTTCAGCTCTAACCTGAATGAGTCTGATTGAACTTGTCTGCTTCACTGTTTTCTAAGGATGCGCGTTTGCATGATCGTACATGAGACGGAGACACAGAGACGCAGGGAGAGAAGGAGGAATGTGTGATTATCATCAGTCTCTCTCTGGTATAAACCATCTCTCTGACTTCATACTCTTAATGAACCATGAGAGTGTTTGTGATAAAGACGAGTGCGTCACCTCTCTGAGAACTAAATAATAATAATGCCTGAACACAATGTGGGCTGGAGCACATTCCTCTGGAGCCTGTTGCCACAGAGCATTAACCTGGACCATCAGACAGAGATAAAAACTGGAACAACTTAAACAAAGTGTTCATTGCATAACATACTGAAAGAAAGATTGCATTATAAACCTCAAAGAAATGTAGATAAAAAGGGACCAATCTTGGACAGTAACGATTTCTGTATCATTAGTGTCGTTAAAATTTGAAATAAAACAGTTGATTCAGGCAGACAAAACAAGAGTGAGCGGTAAGAGGAAAGGAGGGGGACCGGCAGTGTTTGTGAATGATGGATGATGTAACTAGTGGTGTCCTGATACAACTTTTTGATTTCCGATACGATACCGATATTGTAGCCTTTAATTTTGACTGATACCAAACTTGATCAGATACTGGCTCAAAACTGTGCATGACATTTTTTTTACTCAGCTGCAACATCTTTTTCGGACTTAAAGGGATATTCCAGCATAAAATTAATTTAGGATAAAACACACAATAACACCGAGATAGACACCCCTAAAGAGATGAATGTTGCCAACCGCTTGCTTCTCTAGTTATACCAACTTTAGTAACGACCACACAATAGCAGTACACAGTGGTCTGAGGAGCCATAAACAAACCTCAACCACAACACCACTCCATAGCCACAAATAATGCTCAGAACTTCATCAACAGTACATATAGGGTCCCAGCCACAGCACTAGCCACCAAACATCTTTTTAACTTTGCCTAATTTCTTTGGCAAAGAGACTAAACACAACTCACCGTCTCTCTTCCAGCAGCCGCTTGTTTATTGCGAGACCTCAGCCAGTGCATCATTGACTGAGGCGGGGGGACGCAGCTCAAGGAAGAACATTTATGATCATTTCTTCATGGAAATGCATTCAGACCGAGATGCTAATGCAGAAGAACTACTGCGTCTTCAGTGCAAAATGATTAATATGCTGATTACTACTTCAAGGTAATGATGAAATAATGATCATAAATGTTCTTCCTTGAGCTGCCTCCCCCTCCTCAGTCAATGATGGACTGGTCAAGGTACAAACAAGTGGCTGCTGGAAGAGAGTGGGTGAGTTGCGTTTAGTCTCTTTGTAAAAGAAATTAGTCAAAGCTAAAAAGATGTTTGATGGTGAGTACTATGGCTGGGACCCTGTATGTACTGTTGATGAAGTTAGGTGCTGTTCTGAGCATTATTTGTGGCTATAGAGTGGCTTTTTGGTTATGCGTAGCTCTCTGTATTGCTATCTGCGTTCTTTACTAAAGTTGGTATAACTAGAGAAGCAAGCGGTCGGCAACATTTATCTCTTGAGGGGGTGTCTAACTCTGTGTTATGGTGTGTTTGACCCTAAATTAATTTTACGCCAGAATATCCCTTTAAGCAAAAAATACTGCCACAAGGCCAAAACCACTCCTACTCCTTGCTACTTTATTACCTTAGTACACACTGTTGTTGTGATTTTGTGGGCTCAGCTTGCTGGATCAAGGCGCTGCTAGATAGAGGTGCTGGAGCAGAGTCTGGAATGGGACTGCTTGTATCAGAGTGTTGATGTCAGAGATTTTAGATGCAGGCCGATATAATCTGATATTCGTTTTTTTTTTGTTTTTTTTTGCTGATATCAGACCGATATCAATATCATATCGGGACACCCCTAGATGTAACCCAGGGCACACCACTGTCAAAGAACAACACTGAACTGTTAGCCGTTAACATGAGGCTTTACTATCTGGTGAGGGGATTCTTGCTCGCTATCACAATAGCGTATAATGCTGGACCACTCCATTCACGACTACAGACAGTCACAGACTTAACAAACTGATGAGGAAGGCTAGCTCTGTCTTGGGCTGCCCTCTGGACCCTGTAGAAGTGTTGGGGGGACAGAAGGATGATGGCTAAGCTATCATCTCTCATGGACAATGTTTCCCACCCCCTGCAGAGCACTGTAACAGCACAGCTCCTTCAGTGACAGGATTCTTCACCCGCGCTGTGTGACAGAGAGATACCACAAGTCCTTCCTTCCTGCTGCAGACAGACTGTTTGACCGGGCCTGCTCTTAGTAGTCCAGGTTTTTTGGCACATCTAACAGGCAATAAACTTAATGTTACCTTCATTTGCAACACATAGAAGCCATATATTTATTGTAACTGCAAATACATAGATTTTCTCAAGTACAATAACTCCAAGTAGGTGCAAAAACAGACCCAACATTGTTATGTTCACTGTATGAAACTGTTTTCTTCCTTTTTCTACTCACTTACTTTTGTACTTTTTTATAACTCTAATTTTTTATATAATAACCTGTGTACTGTGAGTGTGCCTGTTCTTCTTTCCTTTGTTGCTGTTAATGCTATCAATTTCAGGTTACATGAATTCCTAATGAGGTTGGCCTTAACTCTAGCTAGGACGAGAATCAGCACCTCTAAATCTGAGTCCATGGTTCTCAGTCAGAAATAGGTGGAGTGCCCTCTCTGGGTGGGAGATGGGATCCTGCCCCAAGTGGAGGAGTTCAAGTATCTCAGGGTCTTGTTCACGAGTGAGGGAAGAGTGGAGTGGGAGATCGACAGGCAGATTGGAGCTTTAAGTAATGTGACCTCAACTTAAAAAAAAGTTAACCCGTTGAGTTTTTCACTTGCATTTCATATAAAGATGTTGAAGAAATGTCAATAATAAACTTATACTTGCACTGACTGTCACCAGCCATGCTGAGTCAGACTGCAGACACATTTACATCTTAAAGAGTTAGCTCTCACTGTAAATCCCCATCATCCTCTCCTGGTACACTGATCCCATAAGTAAACATCAACATCCCCTGACACACAAAAACACTTTCAAACCTTCAGCCTGAGCCTCTAACAGCCTCTTATCTCGTTCCCTCTTCCCATACTCTTCCTCCAGAATCTCTGCTATCAACACAAACACCTTAAAAAATAACATTTGTGTAAATCTCCTAAAGTTTGAAAATCCTTTGAATAAATAATTAAATGAGGACAATTCCCACTTTGTCCTAACAACACAATATCATGGTACAGCTGTCTGTATGGTTTGAGGCTCAAGTGAACAGAAATAATAACACAGGTGTGATTACTCTAATAATTGCGTTCTTTGTCGATATACTTGGTGCAGGGTCTGGTTATTGTGTTAACATGCAGTATTTCTTGAACTCCTCTTGCAGTAAAAGTTGAACCCTTTTCTTTATGTTGAAAAGGAGCATTTTTAATGAGCCAGTGCTTACAGTGGGGGTGAGTTCTCAATGAAATGGCACCACCATGTGGTCTTCTTGAGTAGGAGTTACCCAAAATCCTCAAGAGAGGACAGTCTCATCCAGGGTCCACAATTGACATTTCTCTTTCAATGATGATAGGTAAATGCATACCTCTGGTCGAGACTTCTTATTCCTGGAAAACTAAACAGTGTTACTGTCTGAGTATATTAAAGCACGCAGCTAAACACATTATTTTGTTCACAGAAAATTACTTATGCTTTAAGATGTCACCAAAATAAATGATTCCTTTGACGGCCTTTTTGAAATGCTTTTTTTTTTTATTTAGCCTGAAGTTGAAGAGGTGCAATGTGTCCAAAATCTGCACAACCAACTAAATATCTACACAAGTTCCTGGAGTAAGTCAATCAAAAATAATAACTCATCCTTCTGTTCACAGATGGAGAAAATTACATTTGATATCAACAAATGAAAGCTACTACAACAGAAAGCCACTGCCTGCTCTGCAAATCTGAAGTGTCACTTTTTATGGCTTCAATAAATCAGAGAACTGCATCATCAGACAACAGTTTATGAAAAAGGAAAAAGTGACATGTTCAGTATATAGCCTGGAGTATATTATCCAAGTCAGGCAGAAAGGTAACACACATCTGAAGTAGTAAAAAAATTAGTTAGAAAAAGGAAAAAAATGAACACATCACTCACAAGAATCTCTCATTGTGTAAACTTTGAAGGCCATTTAGAGATTTCACAAAACAAAAAAAAATCGTAAAATGCACTTAAAAGGTACTGCAGCAGTAGTTTTTGAATCAACTTGGTGCAAACCCTCAAATCTTAGCGAGTTTACTTGAGTAGTTCTAGAAAAAATATGTCATTACACTTTATAAAACAACCTACAGAAAAAAAAAGACCGATATGTTTCTTGAAATAAATGTGTTTTAGTTCAAGAAACCAATCAAGCTTTTTTCACCTGTTACAAGCTTCACTTTTTCTTTGTAAAGATCTCACTTCTGGACTTGCCATGTGAATGTGAACTACTATATAGAGAGTGTAATGTCATATTTTAACTAAAAATAAAATATATACACTTCTGCAGGTATTAAGAACAGAGACAGAGAAACACTGAGAAACCATAAACCAACTATCAGCAGTAAAAGCTGTCAGTCTTCTGTAACACTGCAGAAGACTTTGACTGTATCTCGGCAGAAAAATGCGTTTCTGCTAACGTGTTTCTCTGACAATCATGTTGCTGTTGCCTTTCAGCTGAGCCAGCAAATCTCTGAACGCGGTCCTCTTCTTCTTTACTGTGCTCTGTTTGGGTGGGAATTTATTAATATCCTTTAGAATGACTGAGCATGGAATCAACTTCACAGTCACAGAGTCCATTTCTTGATTGCGATGTTGCTCTTGAACAGGGCTTCTGCTGGGACTGCTGGTGAAGTGATGGCTGTTGCTATCAGTACTGACAGTCCTGACATGTTGATGGTGATTGTTGCTGTGAAGACGCTGCTGCTTAGCGGCACGAGAACCTCTGGGGTCATCTGTTTTTCTTTTTTTCTTGTTCTTCTTCTTCGTTACTTTTTTCACAGGTGCTCTGGCCCACCGTCTGAGGTTCCTGACACAAATAAAGATAACACAACACTGAAAGTAACCACATTTCAGACCTGACAGCTTTGCCAGGGAACACATCTAATCACAGACCCATATGTTCACCATTATTATGAATATGATCAAAAAAAATCTTGAACCAGTCTTTTTTTAATGACCCATTACTCAGAAATATATGGACCTCTACTGCGGTTTGTAACAAGGGCTGGGAAGGGCAATGTGACTCATGATTGGATTCACAATGCATGGCCAACAGTAATACCACGATACAGAGATTCTCGATTATGGATAAACTGCAAAACAGCTGATAACTTATGATATCTGATTAACTGATGCATACTTAAAACAGTGCACGATTAATGTATATATTCACTGAACAGAACAAATGAATGACTCAAAAATTAGAGTGAACATATACATTTCTGTTGTTTTTACAAAGACACATTTAAAGTACAAAACCCAATTACATTGAAGTTGGGAAATTGTGATAAACATAAATAAAAACAGAATACAATGATTTGCAAATCCTTTTCAACCTATGTTCAATTGAATTCACTACACAAAATATTTAATGTTCAAACTCATAAACTTTATTTTTTTTGCAAATAATAATTAACTCAGAATTTCATGGCAGCAACACGTGCTAAAGTAGTTGGGACAGGGGCATGTTTACCACTGTGTTACATCACCTTTCCTTTTAACAACATTCAGTAAACGTTTGAGAACTGAGGACACTAATAGTTGAAACTTTGAAGGTGTAATTCTTTCCCATTCTTGTTTGATGTACAGCTTCAGCTGTTCAACAGTCCGGGGTCTCCGTTGTTGTATTTTACACTTCATAATACGCCACACATTTTCAATGGGAGACAGGTCTGGACTGCAGGCAGGCCAGTCGAGTACCCACACTCTTTTACTACGAAGCCACAACAGCGCGGCTTCGTTGTAAAAGAGTGCGGGTTTTGATTTCTCCAGATTCTCTGAACCCTTTGATGATATTATAGACCACAGATGTGGAAATCCCTAAATTCCTTGCAATTGTACTTTGAGAAACGTTGTTTTTAAACTGTACGACTATTTGCTCACGCAGTTGTTCACAAAGTGTTGAACCTCACCCCATCCTTGCATGTGAATGACGGGAAGCTGCTTTTATACCCAATCATGGCACCCAGCTGTTCCCAATTAGCCTGCTCACCTGTGGGATGTTCCAAATAGATGTTTGATGAGCATTCCTCAAATTTCTCAGTATTTTTGCCACCTTTCCCAACTTCTTTGTCATGTGTTGCTGCCATCAAATTCTAAAGTAAATTATTATTTGGAAAAAAATAAAGTTTATGAGTTTGCACATTAAATATGTTGTCTTTGTAGTGTATTCAATTGAATATAGGTTGAAAAGGATTTGCAAATCACTGTATTCTCTTTTTATTTACGTTTATCACTATTTCCCAACTTCAATGGAATTGGGTTTTTTAAGTACATAAAGTGCTTGACAGGAATTATGACCTTGTGTAGGTAAATCTATTCAGACTGTATACCTGAACTTAAACACACCAAATGTGTTGTTATATTAACCTGTACGACTTTAACTGTGAATGGCCAGAAGTGTGTGTGTGTGTGTGTGTGTGTGTGTGCAGACTGGCCTGCATTCTGTGTATTACAGTCACTATTGAAATAACGGTCATACATGAAAAAAAACAGCCCTTTGAGGAGGGAGATGATGTGATATGGGATCATTACCTCTGGAGGAAATTGTGCGGCCTTGAGCAGGCTGATGGTTCTCCCTCTCTCACACACCGCTTAGTTTGGCTTGTACTGCCTTTTAACCGGAGTCTTCTCTTAACCAGTGTTACATGGGTCAAAAGCTTCCTGAGAACAAAGTTAAGTAGGTGTTGAATCAGTACTAAATAGCAAATAAATCAAATACTCCATTCATAAACAGGCACTCTCACCCTCCTGGATTGGGCAGCCTCCTTGGATGCCAGCTCTTGATTAGGACCCACTGGTCACATGTTAGGGACATGGGATCTGAACCAAAAAAACATGGAGAGTGTTATGATGCATCTGTAAGTTGAACACGAAGACAAACCTGCAAAATCAAGGTCTTCAGCCCCTTGAGTGATGAATTAACTAGGTCTCATTTAGACAAAGCACAAATCTCAGATATTCAAAAATGTCAATCCAGACTGGAGGGCAGTATCTACCCAGCCCAGCTAGCAGAGATCTGCAACAAAGTGGGGATCCACTGAGATCCTAGAGCTTCATATCCACAACGATGAAGTACACAATTATGTGCAAAGAGTTAAGAAGTGTGTTTATGGTGCCTTTATGATGTGTTAATTTACAGTCATTTCCTTCTGTTGTTGCTGTAGCAGTGCCCCAAATACCCACACAGACATAAGAAATGTGTGCACCCACCATTGTCTAAGAGTTTGTCTACGATTGGCTCTTTCATCCTCTTTGCATTCAGGTATAGTTTCTGACAGGCCGAGCACAGGCTCTGTGACTGACTCTCTTTTATAGGACTGGCCTTGAAGAGGATGGAGGGACCAGAGACTATGCTGCAGTCATCAGAAAGACAGTCTTCATCAAACTCCTCCACTTCTTTGTCGGCTGTAACCGCTCCTTCATCTTCCTCAGTAACACTGTTTGCCTCGTGTGTTCTGTTGATGAGATCCAGGATGTCACAACCCCACCTCTCATCTGTGTTTACTTCACTGTCACTCTTCTTCCGCTTACTCCTCCTCTGCCTCCTACAGTTCGTCTTGCGCTGGATCTCTTCTTCATTTGGGCTCAGGTCGCTCTCATTAATCTTTTCTGAAAGCTTTGGTGTTCTGTGATAGCGATGTGGATACATGGGTGTTTTCCACTTATATAAATACTTGACCGACCTGTGGCAGAGAGAAATGGTCACTACATGTGATAGATGAAGTTTAAAGAGCACAACGTTGACATGTGAACATTTAAGCTTATGGCTTTGGTTAATCAAAAAGGTAAACTGAGGGTAGGGATACAGTCTTACCTGTGATATTCTACTACCACTAATGATTCATGAAAGATTAACTCCTGGCCTTCGGCCTCATACCAGCAGTCAGTTGCATGCCTGCAATTTTAAAAAGCTATTTAGACAACAATACTTACAAAGTTTAACAGAGAAAACAAAACAAAACAAAGAAAGGCAACAACAAAACTTGCTTGAACACAGCTGAGATCTGACCTTTTAACATTTAGTAGTGTTGCTTTCTCTCTTTATATTGAACCCTTAGTGTTTACTTCGTTCAGAAGATACTGCTCAGGGTGCTGCTGGTCTTGTGCGCCCCATATACAGACGTTATACATTAAACAGCGGTCTGGGTTTGATTCCAGCCTGCAGCTCCATCCCTGCTTTTAAACTGCTCTCTTACCATTTGCTTTTTTGTCCACAAAAGCACCAAAAATAAAACAAAAACCCATACTGCTCACATCAGGGCCCTAAAGCCAAAGAATCCAGACACATGACTATGAGATCTTAACTAGTCCACAGGTGTGATATGTCACTTAGTTTTAGATTTTTCCATTTCGACCAACCTATGTGCATTCACCCCTGTGACTTTTCCCCTTTTCAATTAAAACTATTTTGACAATTTCCTCTTTACAGAGTAAAAAGCAGTTGTGTGTGTTCAATGAAAAAATTAAGCTAATTCAGCACCAGATTTATGCAGGGTCAACACTAAAGAACTTGAAACAAGTCTTTACAGAAAATTTTCAGAAAGTTTTCTTGAGCCGCTTAACAAATTAAAAAAATTTAAAAAAGCTGGTCTTAACCATACTCTTCAGGATTTTTCCTAAGACCCAACATAAAGATGGGATGATGTGGCAAGTTATAGAGGCAAGGAAAAACTTCATTTTAACAGGTAGAACCCTTGAGCAGAACCAGACTTCAGGTGGACAGTAATCTGCCTCGACTACATTGAGTTGAGAGAGGGGACATTACAATTACAATCCAACAATGTATTTAGTTATTTTTGACTCCCTTCAATTTATATACTGAGAATCTGCAAAAACTATTGAGACAAACATAGTTCCTTCAATAATTGCTGATGAGTTTAACCCGGCTGAATAAACAGACCCTGATGGTTAAAATGCCTTCATGACTGTGAGGACTCCTAACATGAATCTAAAGACCACTACCACACTGAAACAGGAATGTCAACTTGGCTCTATCGACCAGTGTTGGTCTAAGGCCGGGGACTGTTTACCCAGGACAAACACACCGGACTCTCATGTACATAATCCATAAAATGACCCTGTGGTCGAGCTATCTGTAGCATCGTTTCTGTTCTTGAACCAGTCAGACCAAATTCATGATAACAGGCTGTCAGAATGCTCTACACCAGCACTGAAGCTATCGGCTAAAACTGGAAACTTACGTCGTATTTCGGTCACAGTTCTCATGAATCATGTTTATCAATGTTGTAACCGACATTTCTAGCTGACAAACGTTGAGGCTCTTACTTGTTGACAAACTGGCTCGTGCCCCTGTGAGCTCGCGGACCTCTGTGATTCTTGCTCTCAAGGATGACGCTCTGTTCAAAGACGCGCGCAGGAGGCAAAAGTTAAATCCGGGGACTCTTCTTTGATTATTTTTCAAAACTAAGTGGCACTATATCGCCACCGAGTGGACGGGCGAGTTTATTAACGAAACTGCCAGTCAACGACCTTTGTTATACAAAGCTTCTGTGAGTGACACAAACAAATGCAGTTTCCCATTCAGATGTCTCCATCGTATATTTATAGAAACATTTCACTTTCATATAGGTAAAATTACCTAACTAAACACCTACTCTTTCTCAGTTTTAAGAATAACACCCAGTGTAGGCCACTGGTTCCATGACTGGGGGATCCAAGGTCAAGAGATACTCACGACGAAGTGGCCAAAAAAGAAGAAAAGATTTAGAAGTGCATACTTTATCTGTTATTAAAAAGTATATAGGATATATTGAGGTTAACAATTTGTTGAGGAGGACTTCTGTCCTTGAAACAAAGGACATAATACACCCCCAAAACTGATTCTGAAGTCATGAAAACTAAGAAAATCCCTTGTGGAGTCAAAGCTTAAGTCAACCGCAGAACAGAACAGTGTCTACCTGACAGGTTACACCTGTTTTAGAAAGTTTGGATCCTGGAATGAAACCGTAGCCTGTATATACCCATAGTCTGCCTCCTCGCTGGTGAAGCCACTCCAAGAACAGCACCCTCTGTTGATGGGCTGCAGTATAGGTCATAAATCCCACCTCCGCCAGCAAAGCTTATGGAGCTGTGGACAAACTTTAGAAAATAATTACACAGAACATAATTTTTTCTCCCCCCTGTTTGCGATATTGACATGTAGTTACTGTAAGACAGGTTTGTGCTCAAGTCCTCTTTTTTCTGTACAGCTCAATTTTTAAGGGTATTTACAGTCTAGGTATATACTATGGACAATTTGGTTTCGCCTCCCGCTTGTTTATGGATTTGAAGCCAAAAAGCTCTCAGCATTTCCGGGATTTTTCTTCATTTCATGAAACCAGCTCTGCACAGTAGCGTTGTGCGCATTCAGCAGGATAGTTGCTGTGATGACCCTCGGCTCAAACAACGTATCCCCAGATGAGCTACGCAATCCCTGAATGCCAATAGGCTGTATCAGGTGTCATTCATAGAAAACATGAACCCCCTAATAACTTTTAAAAATGAAGCTTCACAGGAAAAAGAGGACTTGAGCACAAACCAGTCTTACAATAACTACATGTCAACATCACAAGTGGGGGGGGGATTTATGTTCTGTGTAATAAATTTCTAAAGTTTGTCCACAGCCCTATAAGCTTTGCTGGTGGAGGTGGGATTTATGACCTATACTGCAGCCCGTCAACAGAGGATGCTGTTCTCGGAGTGGCTTCACCCAGCGAGGAGGCAGACGCTGTCCATTCTATATACAGTCTATGAATGAAATGCATAAGAGCAAATAATAGACTTAAAGATGGCTGAATTCCATTAAGCTTTTCCTGTGTTGGCTCCTGTTATTGCTCATGCTGGCTTACTGGCTTAATCATCCAATGATACATTCAAATATAACACAGACATTCGCCTATTAGTGTTCAATCAATCAATCAATCAACTTTATTTCTATAGCACATTTAAAAGAACCACAAGGGTAGCCAAAGTGCTGTACAGTGACACATAAAAACAAATAAAACAATCAAAGAACAAGATAAAGCGAGCAGAAATACAGTAATTCAAAAGAATAAATAAGTGTATAAATAAGGAGGCTCACAGCAAGTGCTAAGATGAAAAAAAACAAATTAACACTACAATGTACTAAAAGCCAATGAGTAAAAGTGCGTATTTAAAAGGGATTTAAAAACAGGAAATGAGGAGGCCTGTCTAATTTTCAAGGGCAACTCATTCCAGAGCTTAGGGGCAGCAGCGGCAAACGCTCTGTCCCCTCTGAGCTTCAGCCTTGTACTGGGGACTGTCAGTAAAAGCTGATCAGCTGATCTTAGGGGTCGGGGTGGGCAATAAGGCTGGAGCATCTAGGGTGGAGCAAGGTTGTTCAGGCCCTTAAAAACAAATATTAAAAGCTTAAAATGAATTCTGTACTGAACATGGAGCCAGTGTAAGGACGCCAGGATGGGGGTGATGTGCTCACGCCTGTGGGTCTGGGTCAGGAGACGTGCAGCAGAGTTCTGCACAAGCTGCAGGCGGGCAAGGGAAGCCTGGCTAATCCCTACGTACAAGGAGTTGCAGTAATCAAGATGGGTAGTGATAAAAGCATGGATTAATTTTTCCAGGTCAGATCTTGATAAAATGGGCTTCACCTTCGCTATTTGACGTAGCTGATAAAAACTTTTTTGTACCACTCCGCTAATCTGCTTCTCAAATTTAAAATCAGGGTCAAATTTAACTTCCAGATTAGTGACGACCTCTTTAAGGTAGGGTGAGAGGGAGCCTAGGTTGATGTTGGGGGGGTGGCCGCCACTTGGTCCAAATAACATTACTTCAGTCTTGTTCTCATTTAGACTGAGGAAGTTAAAAGAAAGCCAGGCTTTAATGTCCTCAAGGCAGTCAGTAAGTTGTTGGACTGAGTCGGAGTTGTTCTGTGCTAGTGGAAGATAGATCTGACAATCATCAGCATAAAAATGAAAGGATATGTCATGTTTCCTAAAAACAGAACCAAGGGGGAGCAGATAAAAGGCAAATAAAAGAGGGCCGAGGATTGAGCCCTGGGGGACCCCATGTGGAAGAGGAGCTGTTGACGACACAGAGTTGTCAAGTTGAACACAGAAACTTCTGTCCGTTAAATAAGACCGGAACCAGTCTAGGGCGACACCCTTAATGCACACACAGTGCTCCAGGCGAGACATTAAAATGCTGTGGTCGACAGTGTCAAATGCAGCAGACAGATCTAGGAGCACAAGGACAACAAACTTTCCAGAGTCTGTTGTCATTAGAATATCGTTTGAAACCTTTAAAAGTGCTGACTCTGTGCTGTGGAGAGCTTTAAAACCAGACTGGAACAACTCTGTGATACCATTGTCTTCCAAGAATGGTAACAACTGGTTGTAGACAACCTTCTCTAGAATCTTGGACAGATATGGAAGATTTGAGATGGGCCTGAAACTGGCACAGAGGGATGGTTCAAGGCCAGTTTTTTTGAGTAGAGGTCGTACCACAGCATGTTTAAAATCCCTAGGTACTGTACCAGATGAGAGGCTACTATTTACAATATTAAGGACACTTGGTCCAATAGTAGCAAGTACCTCTTTAAACAAGCGAGGGGGGATGGCATCAGCAGGGGAACCAGAAGGCTTCATATGGCCGACTATGTCCTTTAAAATAGAGAGGGACACAGATTCAAATTTAGAAAAGACAAATGAGGGGTGCAGAGGGGCTGAAGGGTCATACGAAGGTTGAGAGATACAGGCTCTGGTTGACACAGATTTCAGTGGAGGCATCAAAACCAAGAGACTTGGGAGCCTCAAGGACAGTGTTTATGGTTTTGAACAGAGCTCTGGGGTTGTTAGAGTTAAAAGCAATTAGTTCAGAGAAATATTTATTCTTCTCAGCTTTCACAATCTTCTGATAATTCCACAGACTATCTTTAAAGATGCCAAGAGACACATGCAGTCTGTCCTTTTTCCACCTGCGCTCCGCCCTCCTGCACTCACGCCTGGCTGCACGAGCGAGGTCGTTCAACCAGGGCTCGGGCGTAGGTTTGGTGCGCCGTTCAGACACACCTGATCAAATAGAGGAAAATGTCTCAATGCCAACCCCTAATCCTTAACAATTGTCATGACTATACTATTACTCCACCACTTGTACTTGTTTGCACATACTGGTTCAGACATCTAGAATAACAGGCTTTTCTACACTTTTTGTTAGAGGGGCTATGCCCTTTATATTTTCAAAGCTGTGGCTTGTAAAGACAGGTTTGTACCTCACTGAACAGGAAAGATGATTTAAACTCCATGCTCAATACAAAAGTACACCAGCATAAAGTTTGGGGCTGTACATGTGCATGGTTCAAACTAGCATTGCAGTTGTGACAGCTTTTAATTTGGGGACTACATTTTTGTTCAATGATCTTCACTTGTCAGGAATCATGGGTATAATCTGATGCATGAGGAGCAATAGAGGAAAACCGCTTCCTCTGCTGAACTCTCCCCAAGTTCTTGTAGGTGTGCTATATCAGGTGTGATCAGTGCTTCTTTTATGGGTTGATAACAATAAATTTAATCACACTGTAACTCAATCAGCAGGTACAAGTGTTTTGAGGACTTTGGTTAGAGTTGAGAGCTAAAGTTGCCTCTAACTCTGGCTAAGTGCGCTTGTTTAACCCTCACATACTGTTCGGGGTCAAATTTGACCTGTTTTGGCCTTTAACAGCAGTAAAAATACCCTAAACATCATTTTTTAAGCCTGAAACTTGATGACTTGTATTTTTGTTTATGTGCTACAAATTTTTCCCCTCTAAGGCTGTTACAGGTCAAATTTGACCCGTATCTATATTTAGATGGATTTTAGATCTAGCAGTGTGGGACAAGTGACAAACAGTAACAACAGTGTTCAATAAAAGGTTTGTTGTTCAAAAAGATATATTCAAATCATTATGAAACTATCATTACCTTGACAGAAACACACACGCACACACACACAGACATACAGTCACACAGACACACTTAGACAGAGGTCAAAATGACCTAACTAGTCAAGAGAACTTTCTGTGACAGAAAGCTGCTCTTTGAACTCTTTGAAGGGGTAATTTTGACCTGGAACATACTGTGAGGGTACAGGATTTGAACAGTTGTGAGGGAGCTCAGGGGCGGCTCCAACGGAGGTTGACTAGAGCGGCACTTATTGCTCAGCCGGCCCTGCACACTGTTACTCAATCAGCAGGTACACATGAGTTTTGAGGACTTTGGTTAGAGTTGAGAGCTACTCTGGCTAAGTGCGGTCGTTTAAGAGAAGACTTTGGACTCTACACACAGGAATACACGCACACACACAAACCTTGATAATTCACAGTGGTATTTCCAGGGGAGTGGCTTCAATGAGCATTCAAAGGACTGGGAAAGGGGCATTTCCTTATTTTTCCCGCACACTCCTCTGTGTGTGTTTGCTTCAGTCAGCTCTTGGTAGAGTAAACAATGTGGAAAGTGGTCGTGTTTGTGTTTTTGCTGTCATGCACGGGCGTGACGGTGAACGATGCTGCAGATGGGAAACCTGAATCTAGTACAGACTTGTCCGAACCTGTGGAAAATGTAAAGACAGAAGAGACTGAGGGCGTCAAAACAAGTCCAAGTGATCCTGCTTCTCAAATTGTCCCAGGCAAACTACTGGTGATCCCCATGGATGGAAGTCACTGGGTGGGTGTCAAAGCCCTCGCACAAGAGATGGGGCGTCGTGGACACCAGGTCACAGTGGTCATTCCAGAGCTCAGCATTCGGATGGGTCCAGGAAAACATTACGAAACTATAACCTACCCTGTCCCCTACGATCAGGAAACCATTGATCAACTTTTGTCTACGAACAAGGACCTAATGGACAAATCGGAATCGTCTTTCATTCAGAAGATAAGGAGCCGGTTTGCACAGATGCAGCAAATACAGGACTTCTTCCACACGACTGCAGAGAGTCTGATATTCAATGATACTCTCATACTACATCTGGCACAGAAGGTGAGATCAAATGCGCAGCTGATGCTAGAAACAGAAATTAATTCTATTTAATTTCAATGTACTGCACATTAACCAGATTTTTACAGGTGCTAATTCAGGCTGGGTCTGCTATAAGTTGCCCTTTTGATAGCTTTGCTGTGTTGGAGTGAAGTAGTGGCGTTATAGGCCCATTACCAGCAGGTCGTTTAAAGGTGGATAACTACATCTGTGGATACAGATGCTGGCTTTTGAACTTTGTGTGGATAACAGTTTCGATGGTTCTTTTCCTCTTTGTCCTGGGGGACATGACGTCCACTATTTCCAAAAAACAATTTGAAATGTGGACTCGTCAGACCACAGAACACTTTTCCACTTTCATTAGTCCATCTTAGATGAGCCTGGGCCCAGAAAAGTCGGCGGCGTTTCTGGATGTTGTTGATAAATGGCTTTCGCTTTGCACAGTAGAGTTTTAATTTACAGATGTAGCGACAAACTGTATTTACTGACAGTGGTTTTCTGAAGTGTTCCTGAGTCCATGTGGTGATATCCTTTACACATTGATGGTGGTTTTTTATACAGTGCCGCCTGAGGGATCAAAGGTCACAGGCATTCAATGTTGGTTTCGGGCTGTGCCGTTTACATGCAGTGATTTCTCCAGATTCTCTGAACCTTTTGATGATATTATGGACCGCAGATGTGGAAATCCCTAAATTTCTTGCCATTGTACTTTGAGAAAAGTTGACTATTTGCTCACGCAGTTGTTCACAAAGTGGTGAACCTCGCCCCATCCTTGCTTGTGAATGACTGAGAATTTTGGGGGAAGCTGCTTTTATACCCAATCATGGCACCCACCTGTTCCCAATCAGCCTGCTCACCTGTGGGATGTTACAAATAGATGTTTGATGAGCATTCCTCAATTTCTCAGTATTTTTGCCACTTTTCCCAACTTCTTTGTCACGTGTTGCTGCCATCAAATTCTAAAGTAAATGATTATTTGGAAAAAGAAAGTTTATGAGTTTGAACATTAAATATCTTGTCTTTGTAGTGTATTCAATTGAATATAGGTTGAAAAGGATTTGCAAATCATTGTACTCTGTTTTTTTTTTTTTTTTTATGATTTACACATCTTCCCAACTTCATTGGAATTGGGTTTTGTAGTTCACTCACCTTTTAACACCAACAAAACAAGTTTAACAACTGTAAAACTGTTACTTTTATAACCAGTGCCCTTGAGTTACTTTAAAGCAATAGGAAACTTAGGGGTGCACTCACCAGCTCTGCTGCCATTACCTGGATCGGGGGACAGATTTTGCTCCACTTATTCCTAACAGGGATGACTGTGGCCTGGAAACTCCTCAGTCTGCTCTCACATCTATGTGTGTGAACAGTCAATATTAGCTGACTCAAGGCCAGCCTGAGATGGAAACTCTTTTTTTTTGCAATAATGTTTACCAATTTAGGGAGCTAGCAAAAAGTTGTGTTTTTGCCACAGTGTCAACAGGCAGATTCTGCATGTGCTTTTAAAGCAAACTATGAGTCCTCACCATATTTGGGTATTATTGCGTTTTGGTTCTCATTATTGGTTATAGCAATAGCCAAATACTAGTTCATAACCTGGGGTGTGAATCGCAGGCTACATGACACACTGTATTAGAATGACTTTGACTTTGAGTAGATTCAATTCAAGGCCTACCAAGTCATAGTTATTTTAACTCCCCCAAAAAACTATTTAAATGTGTATAAAACTAACTGTGAGAATTATAGTTGAACAAACATTTTTTTTACTTATAATGGCAGAAATAAAATAAAAACTTGTACTCAAGTAACAGAAAAAAAGAAAACACTTGCATTGCATTCAAACAGGCAACATATACCAATAATTCATGCTCTTTAAATACACTCTGTCAAACTCAGATTTTAAGATAGTCAAGTCACTTGTGCCCGCCCACCATGTGCTGAATAAAAAGTCTTGTAGGAAGTCTTGTACTTCCTCTCAGCACAAGGCTGAGATGAAAACAGAGAGAAAGATGTTTGTCCTAGTCATGATGTTTCTTCATTAATGCGCATTGTTCAGCCCTCTCCTCATCTTTTCTCTTTACAGGAGTTTGATGCTGTCCTGACAGACCCCATGGTGCCCACAGGAGCCTTAATAGCTCATAAACTAGGTGAGTTCCTCCACACAGAGGGTTGCCTCTAACTCTGCACAGTACTTACCGGTCTATGATTCATCATTTTCAGGTTTGCCCATTATCAATGTGCTGAGGGGGATCCCCTGTGGCCTTGATCTGAAAGCAATAGGCTGCCCCTCTCCACCTTCATATGTACCACGTTTCTTCACCGGGTACACAGACAAAATGACCTTCAAAGAGAGAACCATCAACACTGTGGTGAGCATGTTGACTCAGATATGAGTTCAGCTTCTGCTCTGTGTTTTTTACTTTATCAGATGAAATCAAACTTTTACCTACAGTTCAATGTTGGTTTGGACTCAATGAGAGTGTGATACCTCTGACCTACAGGTGGCTTTACTGGAGCCTTTGTTCTGCAGACTGCTGTACTGGCACTTTGACAACATCGCCTATCAGTTCCTGGGAGAGAAAGTGGGCGTGGCTGAGGTGCTGTCTGAGTCTGCTATTTGGTTGCACAGGTAACTTGTGCAAAAGCTTTACCTGTAGAAGTACACACACTTATTCATGAATGTCACATGATCTCATGCAGTATTCACCGAGCCATCTTTAGAACTAACCTAAACGAAAGAAAATTAAGAAAATTTTCCTGCAGATTTTGGTGGAGTTTGAGGTTCACTCAGGAGAAATGATCCAAACATAGGTATTTTCTTTATCTCACTTCAGTCGAGGCATTTGATGGCAGCCATGATGAAGAAGTCACATGACTGAGATAAATGAATAAGTTGTGACTGTGTAACAAAACATGATTTAATGTTCAGAACACAAAGGTATGATTATGGCTAGGAAGGGCTCCGACTAAAATTCAATCAGCCTCCCTACCCCAAATCCTGAACTTCAAACTTTGATTGGTTATTTGTCTGTTGGAGGCGGGGCTATGTTGCAACAAGCTGCCCAAAGATTTTGCTGATTATCTTTGATAGAATTTTAAATTGTTTAAAAAAAAAATTCTTACTTTACCTGTTTTGTAGAACAGGTGTGTAATAGATAAATGAAGTAATAAAGGCAAGCTCCACTCAAAGCTGTAATTGAGATGCATTTTTTACAGTGCTGTCAATAATCTGGTTTTACACCTACTCCTTCAGAGTGGTTAAACTGTGAAAAAGTAAAATAGATATTATTGTTTATTGGTTGTGGTCTTGTTAACTTTTGAAAGTTTTTGAAAAAATATCACTATGATTTTTAGTGTTTCATAACCAGCCAAAAAGTACAGACATGCAGTGTCAAGGACTGACACATCTTTAGGTACTCTATTAGAGATATAACAATGAGGAAATTTAAAGTGAGTTTGCCATTTCTTTGTGTGATGACACTTGAGTAATATCTCTCTCTGCTGTTCACATACATAGTGCTGTTGTTTGTTTGAACAGGATTGACTTCACTCTGGAGCTGCCTCGTCCTCTCATGCCCAACATGGTGCTGGTTGGTGGAATCAACTGTAATGTGAGAAATCCTCTATCAAAAGTAAGAGTTTGAATGTTATTCTCTTTTTAATAGAATAGAATAGAATATTCCTTTATTGATCCCCCATAGGGGAAATTTTTTTGTCATAGCAGCATCACAGACAAAGAGTGCAAAAATGCAGTTATAAAAATAAAGATCGTAATATTAAGAACTTAAATAAATGTAATAATTAAGAAAAAAATTAGGACAAGGAAAAAGGGAGAAGAAAAATAAAACTATATACAATATACACGATTAAATGCCAGAAAAAAAGTGGTGGTGTGAGTCCAGTTTTATTACAGTTCGTTGTAAAGTCTTATTGCAGAGGGGAGGAATGACCTGCGGTAGCGCTCCGTCTTGCAAGGTGGGAGTCTAAGTCTGCTGCTGAAGGAGCTGCTTAAGGCCCCCACAGTCTGGTGCAGTGGGTGAGAGGGATTGTCCATGATGGATACAAGCTTTGCTAACATCCTCCTCTCACCCACCTCCTCCAGGGAGTCCAAAGAACAGTCCAGGACAGAACTGGCCCTCCTGACCAGTCTGTTCAGTCTCTTCCTGTCCCTCTCGGTGCTCCCTGCCCCCCAGCAGACCACTGCATAGAAAAGTGCAGATGCTACCACAGAGTCATAGAAAGTTCTGAGCAGAGTCCTGCACACTCCTGTATTCCAGCTCATCCCCTGACGATACACATCCAACGATAGCTGTGTCATCAGAGAACTTCTGGAGGTGATAGCTCCCAGAGTTGTAGCTGAAGTCCGAGGTGTACAGGGTGAAGAGGAAGGGGGAGAGCACTGTCACCTGTGGAGCCCCCGTGCTGCAGACCACCATGTCCGACGCACAGTTCTGATGCCTCACAAACTGTAGTCTTTCGGTGAGGTAGTCCACGGTCCATGCGGCTAGGTGACGGTCCACTCCCGCCCTCTCAAGCTTCCCCCTGAGCAGTGAAGGCTGGATGGTGTTGAAAGCACTGGAGTCTCTTAATGTCTCTGTTTCTCTGTTTGAGGAAGGAGATATCAATAAAGATCAATATAGGCAGGAGAGCAGTCATCACAGACACTGTATCTGTGTGCTTTTGTGTGTTTTGTAGGACCTTGAGTCCTGGGTGTCAGGGGAACATGGTTTTATCGTGTTCACTCTGGGCACAGCAGTGTCAGATATGCCAGAAGAGACCACCTCCATCTTCTTAGAAGCCTTCAGACAGATCCCGCAAAAGGTAGAGGACCATCATCATGTCTTAAATCTTACACACCTGCAGTACTCACAGGTTACGTTTTGATAGGTCATATGGAGGTATACCGGGAAGGTCCCTGATAACGTCCCAGAAAATGTTAAGATGATGGACTGGGTACCTCAGAATGATCTACTTGGTGAGTAAATTCTGACATTTTATACAAAATATTAAAAAGTGACCAGAAAAGTGTCTCATGCAGGAACTTCTGACAACTTCCTTTTGTGTGTGTGTGTGTGTGTGTGTGTGTGTGTGTGTGTGTGTGAGTGTGCGTGTGTGTGTGTGTGTGTGTGTGTGTGTGTGTGTGTGTCAGCTCAACCTGGAGCTCGAGCTTTCATCACTCACGCCGGCTCACATGGCCTCTTTGAGGGTCTGTGTCATGCTGTTCCCATGGTGATGTTACCCTTGGGGGGGGATCAGTCTGACAATGCACAGAGGATGGCGAGCAGAGACGTGGGAGTGATGTTGGATGTGTTAACTGTCACTACAGAGAGTCTTCTACAGGCGCTGAACGACGTCATCAATGACACCAGGTGAGAGGAAACACAGTTGAAATATTATCCTGCTGTTTTTCCTCCATGTCATATTGTTAAACTCCTGTGGTGGATCTGGTACAGGTACAAAGAGAACATAGAGAGACTCTCAGCTCTTCATAAAGACCGACCAATGGAGCCCATCGACCTCTCGGTGTACTGGACAGAGTTTGTGATGAGGCACAAAGGAGCCAAACATCTCAGAGCTGCTGTCCATGACCTGAACTGGGTCCAGTACTTCTGCCTGGATGTGATGGCCTTTCTAGGGACGGTGCTGCTGATTTTTGTGATGGTGACTGTAAAATGCTTCAAGCTGTGCTGCCGTAAACTGAGCAGGAAGAGGAAGCAGGAGTAAGTGGACGCAGTCTTTGAACAGTCATCTCAGGAACAACACTTTTTGTTCAGGGAGAGAAACTTTACACCTTCAATTTAAGCTTGTAAAATAAATAAGTAAAGGGAGTCATGGGCTGATTGAAAAAAAATATAACAAAAAATAAGGGACAATGTTGGGGTTTTGACAATCACCCTTCTTTGGTGGGAAGAGGGTATACTCTACAACCAGAGCAACAGCAAAGGCAGCTAAGCCCCACTCATCCCACAGACAGTCACAGCTCGAGCAGAGCCATCATGGTACCTCCATGCCTCGTTTCTGCAGGAAGGAAAGACATGAAACAGGCTCATTAAAAATGACTTATGGTTGTACAGTACTGAATGTGTAGATACTGATGGGCTCATGAGTCCTTGAGGCCTCAAGCTGCAAGCCTTCTGTGATGTTCCTCCAGTTTACACTGCTTCCAATTCGGCTCCGACATCTTTCTGTGGCTTTAGTCGCCAACCACACAGTTACACATGTTCAAGCCTTACTTTGTGGCACGCTGAAAGATCAAATATATGACATAAAATATTTTGCCAATAATCAACAATATAATTGCACTGAAACATAATTCCTCTGACAGAAAAGTGATGAATAGACTTTTTTGTTTACTGTATGACATGCTGAATTTTTATACCTGAGCCATAACATATTATAACAGAATTAACATTGACTGTTTACTCTTATGCTGCCATATTTGTTTACAGCCAGGTATTTGGAGTATCCTGAAGATTTTTCTGTTTTCACTGTGACAGCAAAAAAAAAATAAATAAAAATATACCTAAATGCTGAGTATCTCCTTATAAACTGTATTTTCATGTCATTTTGTCTTTCCCATCTGAATGAAATTATTTGTGAAAAATCAACTAAATTTGAAAATCTCACTGATGGTTAGTAGCCCTATACCTGAGATATACTACTCTTGCAAAACAATTTATGAATGAATGGAACAAAATAAAATATGTTTTTAAAACTGTTCCTCTAATTTTATGACCACTCAAAGCATTTCACATCACATATTACATTTATCCATTCATACCACACCAAACAAAAATGACGAAAGCTGCTATGTAAAGCACCAGTCAGTATTAGCTAATCCCATTTACACTATTTAATTTTACAATATTCAACACAGGGAAAAAGAAATATACAGAGGAGAATTGTAACCATGTTTTTGCTTGATTTCAACCGTGATTTGTTTTTGGGTCTATCCACTAGCGATGGCCTCAAGCCTTGGGACTGTAGTTTAAACAGCTCTAACTCTAAATTGTCTTTAATTCATACAATTACTAGTCTAAATTAAGTTCAACCTGACATAATTTAAAACTGTTATTGACTTTTTAAGAAAATCTTAGCAACCAAACTGCAAAGGTCTTACTTGTTTACTCACTGGCCCACACCCTTGTGAGCTTGCGGATGTCTGTGCTTAAGCGTAACACACCATAAGATACACACGACAAAAAAAGGCTGGGTTTGTACTCTTCTTGTTACTTTTATTCTTACATTATGGGGCCTTCAGAGCGTCCACAGATTTGATATGTCACTTCCTTTTAGATGTTTCCATTAAGACCATCCTATGTGCATTCACCCCTGTGACTCTTCCCCTTTTCAATTAAAACTATTTGGACAATTTCCTCTTTACAGAGTCAATAACAGTTGTGTGTTCAATGAAAAAATCAGCTGGACAAAAATTCCGTTGTACCAGATTTATGCTGGGTCAACACTAAAGAACTTAGAACAAGTCTTTACAGAAAATATTCATTTACAAGTTTTAAAGTTACATTCCCAGTAAAAAAAGTGACTTGGAAAAAAGTTAAAAGAGGGCATGAAACACACTACATTGGCATCCTCAGGTGGTAAAAAAAAGCAATAAGAAGAGAGAGTTTGAAATAATTTTTGTGTTAAAAATCGGCTGTTTAATAGAAAAACCGCGTTCAAGAGTGTATTTACGACATGTGCACAGCGCTATCTTGAGTTTAAGACAGGTGTGACGTCACCGTATGTTCAGGAACAGAGCGGTGAAATAGTAATTAGTGTGCGTGACTCCATCGCTCAGCTGTAAGATGTCGGAGGACGAATTTGAGATGGATGTGGTCATGACAGGAGTTTTGCCGTATAATGCACCCCTGCCGTAGAAGGCCCCTCTGCATTCCATCTACTCGTTAGCTTAAAGTGGAAGAAAATTATGTCATATTTTAAAAACTACGAGTATTTGATCGTGACAACTTTCGTTCTGTTTTTATGTGTCTCAAAAATGCACATACGGAGGTGTGCTTGGGTATATAAATTGTAGCCTACAGTAAGCTGTCAGGCTAGCGAACATTATATTTTCGGGATAGCAAATCAGAGGGCTATTTTTTTGGCTTATCTGAATAGCCTGAATGAAATTAATTATTATTATTTCGCCTTGTTAAGTACTTTCAACCGCGCTCCCGTCGGGGGTGCATTCTACGGCAGGGGTGCATTCTACGGCACAACACCTGCCATGATTCTCCCCCAGCGGCCGCAGCAGCGGGCGTTCCCCCGTCAGCAGCAGCCGCAGCAGGGGGGTGCTCAGGGGCGGCTCCAACGGAGGTTGACTAGAGCGGTACTTATTGCTCAGCCGGCCCTGCACACTGTTACTCAGGTACACATGAGTTTTGAGGACTTTGGTTAGAGTTGAGAGCTAAAGGTGCCTCTAACTCTGGCTAAGTGCGGTCGTTTAAGAGAAGACTTTGGACTCTACACACAGGAATACACGAGCACACACACAAACCTTGATAATTCACAGTGGTATTTCCAGGGGAGTGGCTTCAATGAGCATTCAAGGGACTGGGAAAGGGGTTTATCCTTATTTTTCCCCGCACACTCCTCTGCGTGTGTTTGCTTCAGTCAGCTCCTGGTGGAGTAAACAATGTGGAAAGTAGTCGTGTTTGTGTTTTTGCTGTCATGCACGAACGTGACTGTGAATGATGCTGCAGACGGGAAACCTAAATCTAGTAGACCTACAGACTCGTCCGAACCTGTGGAAAATGTAAAGACAGAAGACACTGAGGGCGTCAAAACAAGTCCAAGTGATCCTGCTTCTCAAATTGTCCCAGGCAAACTACTGGTGATCCCCATGGACGGAAGTCACTGGGTGGGTGTCAAAGCCCTCGCACAAGAAATGGGGCGTCGTGGACACCAGGTCACAGTGGTCATTCCAGAGTTCAGCATGCGGATGGGTCCAGGAAAACATTACGACACTATAACCCACCCTGTCCCCTACGATCAGGAAACCATTGATCAACTTTTGTCTATGAAGAAGAACCTAATGGACAAATCGGAATCGTCTTTCATTCAGAAGATAAGGAGCCGGTTTGCACACATACAGCAAATACAGGGCTTTATCCACACGACTGCGGAGAGCCTGCTATTCAATGTTACTCTCATACTACATCTGGCACAGAAGGTGAGATCAAATACCAGCTGATGCTAGAAACAGATTTAAACCGATTTATTTAATTTCAATGTACTGTACGTAAACCAGATTTTACAGGTGCTAATTCAGGCTGGGTCTTTTTAAAAATATATTTTGTGTTAATGTGAAATTTTTTCCTGTCTTGTGTTGTTTTTTTTTTTTTTTTTTTTTGTATTTGATGAAACGTCTTTGTGTTTTTTGAAACATTTATCTATCACCTCTCCAAAATATTCATGCCACTGACCTTCCTGGCCATGAGGCTGTCAGCAGTGTCTGCAGATTGTACAACTCAATTTGTTTAAACAGCTTGGTGAGCACAGATGTCAGTGGATTACTTCAAAGTGCCATCAATCGATTCATCTCTACTTCAAAGTTTGAAAATTATTGTATAAATTGTTTAATATCAGCTGAAACATTTTCACACATGCAGCCTAAAAATGTCCAAAGAAGTGTCAAAGTATCAAAAAGTGACAAACTTACCCTCTAACTTTTATGGAGGAGAGGGTAAAGGGAAATTGTTGCCATAGTAGATTAATCAAACAGTTGTAGAAGGGATCATGTACAGTAGTGTTTACATTCAGCCAAACAAGAGGAAACTTAGGGGTGCACTCACCAGCTCTGATGCCATTACCTGGATCGGGGGACAGATTTTGCTCCACTTATTCCTAACAGGGATGACTGTGGCCTGGAAACTCCTCAGGCTGCTCTGCCATCTATGTGTGTGAACAGTCAATATTAGCTGACTCAAGGCCAGCCTGAGATGGAAACTCTTTTTTTTTTTTTTCAATAATGTTTACCAATTTAGGGAGCTAGCAAAAAGTTGTGTTTTTGCCCATAGACTGTGTAAAGAATGGACAGAGTCTGCCTCCCTGCTGGGTGAAGCCACTCCAAGAACAGCACCCTCTGATGGTGGGCTGCAGTACAGGTCATAAATCCCGCCTCCGCCAGCAAAGCTTATGGGGCTGTGGACAAATTTTTAGAAATTTATTACACAGAACATAATTTTTTCTCCCCCCTGCTTGTGATGTTGACATATAGTTATTGTAAGACTGGTTTGTGCCCAAGTCCTTTTTTTTTCTGTACAGCTCTGTTTTTAAAAGTTATTAGGGGGTTCATGTTTTCTATGATTGACACCTGGTACAGCCTATGGGTGTTCAGGGATTGCGTAGCTCACCTGGGGGATACGCCGTTTGAGCCGAGCGTCATCACAGCAACTCTTGGCGACTGCGCGGCCGAATGCACGCATCGCTACTGCGCAGCTCTGGTTTCAAGGAAGTGGAGAAAAACCCGGAATTACTGAGAACTTTTTGGCTTCAAATCTGTATACAGGTGGAAGGCGGAACCAAGTTTTCCATAGTATATACAGTCTATGCCAAATACTAGTTCATAACCTGGGGTGTGAATCGCAGGCTACATGACACACGGTATTAGAGTGATTCTTTTGACAGCAAAAATATGCCTGTTAATATCACTGAGGCTGCAACCAACATGACTTTGAGTAGATTCAATTCAAGGCCTGCCAAGTCATAATTATTTTAACTCCCCCCAAAACTACTTAAATGTGGATAAAACTAACTGTGAGAATTATTGTAGAACAAACTTTTTTTTTTTACTTATAATGGCAGAAATAAAATAAAAACTTGTACTCAAGTAACAGACAAAAAGAAAACACTTGCTTATGCTTTTCTCAATTCAAACAGGCGACATATACCAATAATTCATGCTCTTTAAATACACTCTATCAAACTCAGATTTTAAGATAGTCAAGTCACTTGTGCCCGCTGTATACTGTTGTCATCGATCACAGATATCCCATACTTCCTCATTTGTAAGTTTTGGGGCAACTGCAAATGAGGAAGTATGGGGTATCTACAACTATGAACCTATCAGTATTTTGATGTCCATTTCTATGTCCTTAAATGTTTGTTTAACACTCAGTATCGGATGTTTTGTCTTGACCGTGGTTGTAGCTGCTGTTGCAAAGTGCCTTTTTTTTTCTCCAATTAATGTTGAGTGCATGTGTTTCTCTGCACGACACCATGTGCTGAATAAAAAGTCTTGTAGGAAGTCTTGTACTTCCTCTCAGCACAAGGCTGAGATGAAAATAGAGAGAAAGATGTTTGTCCTAGTCATGATGTTTCTTCATTAATGCGCATTGTTCAGCCCTCTCCTCATCTTTTCTCCCTACAGGAGTTTGATGCTGTCCTGACAGACCCCATGGTGCCCACAGGAGCCTTAATAGCTCATAAACTAGGTGAGTTCCTCCACACAGAGGGTTGTCTCTATCTTTGCACAGTCCTTACCGGTCTATGATTCATCATTTTCAGGTTTGCCCATTATCAATGTGCTGAGGGCGATCCCTTGTGGCCTTGATCTGAAAGCAATAGGCTGCCCCTCTCCACCTTCATATGTACCACGTTTCCTCACCGGGTATACAGACAAAATGACCTTCAAAGAGAGAACCATCAACACTGTGGTGAGCATGTTGACTCAGATATGAGTTAGCTTCTGCTCAGTTTTTTTTATTACTTAGTCAGATGAAATCAAACTCTTACCTACAGATTAATGTTGGTTTGGACTCAATGAGAGTGCGATACCTCTGACCTACAGGTGGCTTTACTGGAGCCTTTGTTCTGCAGACTTGCGTTCTGGCGCTTTGACAACATCGCCTATCAGTTCCTGGGAGAGAAAGTGGGTGTGGCTGAGGTGCTGTCTGAGTCTGCTATTTGGTTGCACAGGTAACTTATGTAAGAGCTTTACCTGTAGAAGTACACACATTTATTCATGAACGTCACATGATCTCATGCAATATTCAAAAAGCCATCTTTAGAACTAACCTATAACAGTTAATGCTGTGTACAATGGAGTATCTCAAAGCCACCTAATAAAGAAAAGTTTCTGTTTGTTTAAACACCAAGCAGGTGAAGACAGGAGGAAGTTGCCTTAACCGCCTACGGAGCCACCCAATACACTTACGCTTTTCCACATTTACAACAAAAAATGCAAAGTTACAATGTTTTAGTGTCCATACTAGATGTATGAAAAGTTTCAAATCACATGGTAATAATCTTAGAAAATATATGTAAACTGCTCATAGTAGGACCTTGCGAGAAAATGCGAGACTCAGTAACATTTTTACGTCAGCATTGTAGGTTCTCCTTACTAGTTTGTTTGAGGTTACGGCATAGCAGAACGGCCTGCCTCCAACAGCGTGTGAGGTGACACCCACAGCTGAGCAGGGTAACGCTGCTCTGCTGCTCTACTGATTAACTGCAATAAAGGGACAGCAGCTAAAAATGAAGCCTTTCAGATGGAGGCGTCATAATAGTGTTTTAAAATACTACTCTGAAAAACATGTTTTTTTGTTGTTTTTTTAAAATCTGAAAACCATGTAAAGCTATTAAAGAGGAAGCGCAGAAGAAGTGTACCATCATTGGCTGTATCAAGTGTCAATCATAGAAAACACGAATCCCCTAATAACTTTTAAAAACGGAGCTTCACAGAAAAAAGAGGACTTGAGCACAAACCAGTCTTACAATAACTTCATGTCAACATCACAACTGGGGGAGAAAAAATTATGTTCTGTGTAATAAATTTCTAAAGCTTGTCCACAGCCCCATAAGCTTTGCCGGTGGAGGTGGGATTTATGACCTATACTGCAGCCCGTCAACAGAGTGTGCTGTTTACAGAGTGGCTTCTACCAGCAAGGAGGCAGACGGCGTCCATTCTATGTACTGTCTATGATCAGAACACAGAGGGATGATTATGGCTAGGAAGGGCTCCGACTAAAATCCAATCAGCCCCAATTGTTGTTTGTTGGAGGTGGTCTGGTTAACTTTTGAAAGTTTTTGAAAAAATATCACGATGATTTTCAGTCAGTTTCATAAACAGCCAAAAATTACAGCCATGCAGCTTCAAGGACTGACACATCTTTAAGTACTCTATACGAGATATCACAGGAGGGAAATTCTCTACCGTTCACATACATAGTGCTGTCGTTTGTTTGAACAGGATTGACTTCACTCTGGAGCTGCCTCGTCCTCTCATGCCCAACATGGTGCTGGTTGGTGGAATCAACTGTAATGTGAGAAATCCTCTACCAAAAGTAAGAGTTTGAATGTTATTTACTTTTATGTCTCTGTTTGAGGAAGGAGAGATCAATAAAGATCAATACAGGCAGGAGAGAAATCATCACAGACCCTGTATCTGTGTGTTTTTGTGTGTTTTGTAGGACCTTGAGTCCTGGGTGTCAGGGGAACACGGTTTTATTGTGTTCACTCTGGGCAGCATGATGTCAGATATGCCAGAAGAGACCACCTCCATCTTCTTAGAAGCCTTCCGACAGATTCCACAGAAGGTAGAGGAACATCATCATGTCATAAATCTTACACACCTGCAGTACTCACAGGTTACGTTGTGATAGGTCATATGGAGGTATACCGGGAAGGTCCCTGATAAAGTCCCAGAAAATGTGAAAATGATGGACTGGGTGCCTCAGAATGATTTACTTGGTGAGTAAATATTGACATTTTATATAATACTCAATAGTGACCAGAAAAGTGTCTCATGCAGGAACTGCTGACATATTTGTATGTGTGTGTGTGTGTGCGTGTGCGTGTGTGTGTGTTTGTGTGTCAGCTCAACCTGGAGCTCGAGCTTTCGTCACTCACGCTGGCTCACACGGCCTCTTTGAGGGTCTTTGTCACGCTGTTCCCATGGTGATGTTACCCATAGCTGCGGATCAGTCTGACAATGCACAGAGGATGGCGAGCAGAGACGTGGGAGTGGTGTTGGATGTGTTAACTGTCACTACAGAGAGTCTTCTACAGGCGCTGAACGACGTTATCAATGACACCAGGTGAGAGGGAACACAGTTGACACATTAGCCTCCTGTTTTTCCTCCATGTTATATTGTTAAACTCCTGTGGTGGATCTGTTCATGTGCAGGTACAAAGAGAACATAGAGAGACTCTCAGCTCTTCATAAAGACCGACCAATGGAGCCCATCGACCTCTCGGTGTACTGGACAGAGTTTGTGATGAGGCACAAAGGAGCCAAACATCTCAGAGCTGCTGTCCATGACCTGAACTGGGTCCAGTACTTCTGCCTGGATGTGATGGCCTTTCTAGGGACGGTGCTGCTGATTTTTGTGATGGTGACTGTAAAATGCTTCAAGCTGTGCTGCCGTAAACTGAGCAGGAAGAGGAAGCAGGAGTAAGTGGACGCAGTCTTTGAACAGTCATCTCAGGAACAACACTTTTTGTTCGGGGAGAGAGACTTTACACCTTCAATTTAAGCTTGTAAAATAAATAAATAAAGGGAGTCATGGGCTGATTTAAAAAAAGGAAAATAAGAGACGATAATGAGGTTTTGACAATCACCCTTCTTTGGTGGGAAGAGGGTATACTGTACAACCAGAGCAACAGCAAAGGCAGCTAAGCCCCACTCATCTCACGGACGGTCACTGCTCGAGCAGAGCCATCGTGGTACCTCCATGCTTCGTTTCTGCAGGAAGGAAAGACATGAATGTGTAGATACTGACAGGCTCATGGTTCCTTGAGGCCTCAAGCTGCAAGCCTTCAGTGATGTTTTTAAAAGTGTTCCTCTAATATTATGACCATTCAAAGCATTTCACATCACACATTATATTTATCCATTCATACCACACCAAACACAAATGACGAAAGCTGCTATGTAAAGCACCAGTCAGTGTTAGCTACTCCCATTTACACTCCAGTGATGGAGCACCAGAAGCAGATTGGGGCGATGTTTTGCCCTTTCCTTTTGCCCTTTACAAGGACACTTAAGTACATGGACCACAGGACCTGGGATCAAACCCCCAACTCTCAAAATGTAATGATGACCAAACCACTGTGCAATGGCCGCTCCTGAAAAATGTCATACACCAGCAGCCAATTTTTAAACAACACATATTTAAGATGAACAATTTTCAACACAGTGAAAAAGAAATATACAGAGGAGAATTGTAACCATGTTTTTGCTTGATTTCAACCGTGATTTGGTTTTGGGTCTATCCACTAGCAATGTCCTCAAGCCTTGGGACTGTAGTTTAAACAGCTCTAACTCTAAATTGTCTTTAATACATACAATTACGAGTCTAAATTAGGTTCAAACTGACATGATTTAAAACTGTTATTGAGTTTTTAACAAAATCTTAAACAGCAACCAAACTGCAAAGGTCTTACTTGTTTACTCACCGGCCTACGCCCTTGTGAGCTTGTGGATGTCTGTGCCTGAGTGAAACACACCATAAGATACACACAACAAAAAAAGGCTGACTTTGTACTCTTCCTGTTACTTATTCTTACATTATGGGGCTGTTACGGACAAGTGTTTTTATATCAGAAACTGACTTTAAAACAACATGTTCACAACCAATCTACTTTTGACTTCAGTGAGATCATTTGAAAATATAATCATTTTCTGGCTTTTTGTCTTTATTTGGAGAGGAGGGGACGGTGGGAAATTGTTATTTTTAAAGCTCCTTTGAGAACTTTTAGTTATCTTGTCTTAAAAATGACCAGGGATTCCTGACTGAATAACCAGGAAATGTCTCAGTGCTAACCCACTTTTTTTGGCAAATGTCATGACTCTACTGTTGATCCAGTACTTGTTCTTGTTCACACTAAACCACCTGGACCCAAAATGTGTAATAACAGGCAATTTTAGTGACACTTTTTGTCAAGCCATGTCTTATATTGACAGGTTTGCACAGTACTGAGCAGGTACAGAGATATGATCTGTTCAGAACTTTGATACAGCATGCACCAGCGGATGTGTAGATGGAGTTTGTTACAGTATCTGTACAAGTGTTGGAGTCAGAAAATACCAATTCTGGCTGCTTTTATTTAAAGGTGAGGTAGGCAGGATCTGAGGAAGTGCCAGTTTTTGGGAGAAATCTTAAATGTAAACTCTACCCCTCCCAACCAGTTTTCCCCTCAAGTCCTCCTCTCCCCTCCCTCTCTGCTCAAGCAAGTCCCGCCCACAAACAGACGCTCCTGCTCGCTCGTATCTTCTCAATTGAATTCAGATATAATGCAGATAAATACTTCAGATAATAACCAATGGGGCCCAGTCAACGTGAAAGTTAAAAGCATTGGTGCTACTGTAAATGCCAACAGACCACCAGCAAACACAATGTTTGCAGAACTTCTGAAACTAGCATAAGTTGACATACTCCAGGACCCAAAGTAAACAGTTTTGCAGCGCTACAACATACAGCAGGTCCCGTTTGACAAGACACACTTGTGTTACAGACACTTGGCTTACTTTGTTAAAGCGGTTTACCTGTCCAGCAGAAAGGTTACAGGGTCTGTAAGATCCCAAAACATTCACTGATGTTGACCCGGCTTTTTAGCTGTTGTCCGGTCTCCCTTCTTTTTAAGCACCCATAGTATTCAGAGTCTTCAGTATTTACTTTATTTTCTTGCTTGTGTTGGCAGTTGTGGGCAAAGGAGGATTCAGACAATTTTCCTTCCTTTCTAGTTGGTTTCTACTGTCCGATACTGTAGCACGCTAACTTTGTTTTGGCTCGTGAACGACACGGGGGAGCAGCGTCTGTCTCACCACCAATCAGCACTAACCAATCAGGTTGGGGGAGGCATAGAATGGCTTTGTTTACAGTCAGAAAAAGCGGGCTGCTCAAAAATTTTCGAATGTTGACTACACAGACATAAGAGAACACAGTGATATTGTTATATTTTTCAAATTTTCACATCAATGACTAATTGCTATTGACTGATATTAAAAGCTTTTTTGTATATACATCACAAAGAAAGTTGCTTCTTTAACAGAATCCTGCCTACCCCACCTTTAAGAAACACATTTTTCTTTGAATTTAAGAAACCAATAGTCAGAATAATAACAAACTCTTGTTTTGAAGAGATCAAAACTCTATCGTCAGCCTTGCTGCCTTCATAAGAGACTTTATTAGCCTGTGATCACATGACCAGAAATCTGCTCCATTCATGTGTGGGCATCCAACTGAGAAAGCTGAGTCAGAAAAGCTCATACCATGGTTGAACCCTCCCCCAGCCCTGCTAGGTGTGGTATCAGGTGTGAACTGCACTTTCTTTAGTAAGAGGAAAGTGTTAAATTAAAACACACTGTAACTCATTCATCAATTTGGCTAACAGGTGGCAGTTAGCAACTGAGGTTGTTACTCTCTTGGGCCGAGCAAGCTTGTTTAAGTGAGGACTTTGATCACATCCGTATGCACACTCACACAAAGCTTGATAGGTCAAAGAATGAAACAGAGGAGTGGTTAATGTGAGAAATCAAAGGACAGGGATCGAGGTGTTTCCTTACTTTTCTCTGTGACACTCCTCGCTGTTTGTGTTTTCTTCAGTCAGCTCCAGCAAGAGTGAACAATGTGGAAAGTGGTCGTGTTTGTGTTTCTGCTGTTACACAATGGTGTGAAGGTGAACGGTGCTGCAGATAAAAAATCTGAAACTGGGTCAAACTCATCCAAACCTGTGAACGAGGTGAAGACGGAAGAGACTAAAGCTGCCCAAAAAAATCCAAGTGTCCCAGGCAAACTACTGGTGATCCCTGTGGATGGAAGTCACTGGGTGGATATCAAGGCCCTAGCACAGGAGATGGGTCGTCGTGGACACCGGGTCACTGTGGTCATACCAGAGTTCAGCATGCGAATGGGTCCAGGAAAACACTACGATACTGTAACCTACCCTGTCCCCTACGATCAAGCTGCTATTGATCAGTTCATGTCCACACACGGGCACCTAATGGACCAGTCTGAATCGTCTTTCATTCAGAGGATAAGGAACCGGATCTCACGTCTGCAGATAATAAAAGAATTAATTCACACAACTGCAGAGAGTCTGTTGTTCAACGATACTCTAATATTACATCTGGCACAGAAGGTAGGAACTGTAAACAGGTCTGACAACAGAAACAGGCATCAAATCTAATTACATTCAATGCATGTGCTGATTTTTACAGTGCTTGTTGATACAGTTAATCATGATATTTTACTGCAGAAACTTTCCTCTTACAGTTTTAATAGTTTTTATGGAACTGAGTCATTATTGGTCAGAGAGAGCAGTACGTTGTTTGGAATATCACTGTATCTGACTGTAGATTGATTTGTTGTGGAGTACCTCAAGGCTCAATTCTGGGACCTTTACTTTTCTATTATATATTGATTACTTAGACATGAATTCATCTTGAGCGTTTTTATGTTTTTCACTGATGATTCCAAACTTTGGTGTCTGACAAAGATGGCAACAAAATGGAATCTAAAATCAATTTTGAACAGAGTAAATTTGATGGTTTAAAGCAAATAAGTGATCTTTTAGCATTATTTAAAGTACAAACAGGATGTTGGTACCTAAAAACCATCAAGTGAATGACATTTTTTTAATATATTTATGTTAATAATAGTTTAAAGATGTTATGAGTGGTGAAATTTCTCACAGTTTCATTGAAAAAAAAAGTCACCTGGAAAAATAACGTTATTTCAATGGTAATGTGTTGGAGTCATCAGAAGTATAAGGCATATGTTATCAAGAAAACAATACCCTCTTTAATCAGTTTTACATTATGATCTGTCTTTGTTTCTCCTACTGCGATACTGAGTGGGGCAGCCCCTTTAAAAAGGGACTTTAATGGTATATTCACCCTGCAAGAACTTTTTGCAAAAATGATCACGTTTTCCAATTGGAATCTAACTCTTCTGCATGTTTTATCCTGGCTTTTTACTATTGATCGGCAACGCCTCTAATGTGTCTCCTTGTTGTCTCCAATTCCTTTCAAACTAAACCCCGCCTGTACTCACAACAAGGTGGGCCATGTAAACATGCCTCCTCGTGTATCCTATCTGACCGAAAGTGCTCCCTGCAAGGGTCTGTGCTTTCACCTTTATTGTTCAGTCTTTAGACAAACAAGATTAAACATGATTTGATTAGATTTTATTTTCAAAGTGCAGAACAAAGAGATGTTTTGTTCCTGCTGCTGTCACAGAGCTGAACAAGCTGTCGCAATATTTGCACACTTGACAGAAGCAGTAATTTATTTGCACCTTTATCCTGATTTTATTTTTGCTTTTCCCTTTTTTTTATTCCAAAGCTTATCTATTTTATTCTAATCGCAGCGCTATTTGCTAATTTTGCCATCTTATCTATTGATTTTATTCCATCCCACCTCAATTGTGATTGGTGGAGCCTGGAGAGTTTTGCTGCAGAGGATTAATCTAATGCCTGTTGTGACCCTATGAGCTGACAGTGAGTAACACTGAATACCCAAATATGCTACAGATGCAGATAAGATAGAAAGTGATATTGTGTTCACTTTCCACTACTAAGCTGAGATTAAAATAATTACAAAGAGGATGTTAATACTGGCGATAGTTGATGATGATGCTTCATTTGATCATATTGTCGGACATTTACCCCTTTCTTTATCTGTCCTCTCTGTAGGGATTTGACGCTGTCCTAACAGACCCTGTAGTGCCCACAGGTGCTTTAATAGCTCGTAAACTAGGTGAGTCCTGTGCATATCTCTGGTTTTGTTTTGCATCTTTCTACACTTCCTTATCTGTCCATTATGCATAATTTTTAGGTTTGCCCACTGTAAATGTGCTGAGGGGGATCCCCTGTGGCCTTGACATGAGGTCAATAGGCTGCCCCTCTCCACCCTCTTACGTGCCACGGTACTTCACAAGATTCACAGATAAAATGACCTTCAAGGAGAGAGCCATCAACACTGTGGTGAGCATGTTAACTCAGATATGAGTTCAGCTTCTCCTCTGTTTTTTTTTATTACTTTATGTGATGAAGTCAAACTTTTACCTACAGTTCAATGTTGGTTTGGACTCAATGAGAGTGTGATACCTCTGACCTACAGGTGGCTTTACTGGAGCCTTTGTTCTGCAGACTGCTGTTCTGGCACTTTGACAACATCGCCTATCAGTTCTTTGGAGAGAAAGTGGGCGTGGCTGAAGCGCTGTCTGAGTCAGCTATTTGGTTGCACAGGTAAAACGTACAAAGGCTTCTATCTGCAGTGTCATTTGTTTGGACTGCTCACTTAAATGTAGATTGGATATGTAGAAGATTTACCTGCACTTGCTTTTATGGTGATAGCAATTATGTTAAAAACACCTGAGGCAGGGGTATGTCTGAAGGAGGGCCAACCCAGACCCTACTTTAAAATCTGATTGGCCACCCCGAGAGCCACCCCTCAAACCCTAAAGTATGATAGGCTATTAGCCAGATCAGAGGCAGGGCTACATTTAAATACTTGGGCTGAGTTGTAACACTGAGTGCTCAAAGCCTTCTTAGCATGTAGCACATTTTTCGTGTTGATATGTCAATTTGTAAAAAATTCTTGACAAAATAGACATAGTTTTATAGATCACATTCATAAACAAACAATAAAAATTAAAAGCAAAATCTGTAAGAAATCAAGCTAAGATAATTTATCAACAAAGGTATGAATCTATCCAAGTGATAACTGGACATTTTTCCTGTGTGCAAAAGGGCGTGATGGTATGTTTGCCAACTTTTCTCTGCTTTTGACTCACAATAATCCTCATTATATACACAAGAACACACAGAGTATTACCATCATTGAAATGTAAGGCAGAGCCCACCTTGAACACATTCCCTGACGTCTTTCTATTGCTTGTAAAGGCTGTCACCTGATTTGAGGTCAGTTTGGTGAAACTTTAAGTGAAAACATGAAAAATCAGTCTGAATCAGACACACATGATCTCCTCTATTTATACATGAAAATTTATTCTTAAATCTGAGAGGGAATGCCTTTAATGTTGGTCTACTGCCTTTTTTTTACCCCATGACAAAAGTGACGATGGCCAGCAAAAAAATACATCACAGGTCATTTGAAACTTCAAAGACTAGGTTTTGTTTCCATCTGCAAGACTATTACAAGACAAAAATGTCACTGACATTTAAAATCCATGCTATTTTTCCCCTCTGTGTACCTAATCTGTGTTTCAAAATTCAAGCTACAAACATCCACTAAACAGCTTTTGTGAGTTGACCTTATTTTGGCTCATGTTAATCGCTTTATATCTGTCTTTGATGTGGTGTAGTAAGGTGTTACTTAACTGTGGCAGTGTGAACATGACATTACTAAGTGAAGTAGCATAGATGTGTTTGAATGAAATTGAGGTACTCCTCAATTTCATTCAAAATAGGATCAATATCTCTAACTTTTAGTTAACAGAGTGAAGAAAGACATGAAACATGTTTCTTTTGTGTGACACAGAGGAAACAGCACAATCACTTTTTCACTGGCTCAGTGTTTCTCTGTCTGATGTTTAATAAGATATTGTTATTCTTTGTTTGAACAGGATTGACTTCACTCTGGAGCTGCCTCGTCCTCTCATGCCCAACATGGTGCTGGTTGGTGGAATCAACTGTAATGTGAGAAATCCTCTACCAAAAGTAAGAGTTTGAATGTTATTCTCTTTTATGTCTCTGTTTCTCTGTTTGAGGAAGGAGAGATCAATAAAGATCAATATAGGCAGGAGAGCAGTCATCACAGACCCTGCATGTGTGTGTTTTTGTGTGTTTTGTAGGACCTTGAGTCCTGGGTGTCAGGGGAACACGGTTTTATTGTGTTCACTCTGGGCAGCATGGTGTCAGATATGCCAGAAGAGACCACCTCCATCTTCTTAGAAGCCTTCAGACAGATTCCACAGAAGGTAGAGGAACATCATCATGTCTTAAATCTTGCATACCTGCAGTAGGGGAGAGTGGGGTAAGCTGAACGAAAGGGTAAGTTGAGCCACCCCCTGTTGCTTGGAAATGGTAAAAGAAATTGATCATGTGACCAAATATTTAGGAGATGGGCATCAATTCATGGAGTCTGTGAAGGTTAGAAGCACATGAGTGAAGGGGTTAGACATTTATTTCCAAAAAAACATGTTTCCCTCTTGAAAGTGAAATTAGTCTGTCCTAAGTTTCATCAGAATTGTGTTCAGACCAAAAAAGATCATTTTAAATTTGATTATACATCAATTGTGGTATCTATGAGCTACAATACGAGGTCAAAAACCTAGCATAAAACTCCACCATTTTAGCTTAGAGGACTAATAAAGTCATAATAGTCGTTCTGGGGTAAGTTGAGCCAGTGGCTCAACTGAGACTGAAAATGGTCAACTTACCTCATACACAGGGTAAGTTGACCATAGGAGACCGCTTTTTTTGGCATGCTATTTTATCAAGACAGTTATGTTTACACTCATTCTGTTGGTTTGCAGGGATGCACAACATCTTGAAATATATGCAGATACACTAGTTAGAGACAAAACTATGATTGCCTTGATTTAGTGATCAGAAATATGACAAATGGCTTATCTTACCCCACTCTCCCCTACTCACTGGTTACATTTTGATAGGTCATATGGAGGTATACCGGGAAGGTCCCTGATAAAGTCCCAGAAAATGTGAAGATGATGGACTGGGTGCCTCAGAATGATCTACTTGGTGAGGAAATTCTGACATTCTATATAAAATATTAAAAAGTGACCAGAAAAGTGTCCCATGCAGGAACTTCTGACATATTTGTGTGTGTGTGTGTCAGCTCAACCTGGAGCTCGAGCTTTCATCACTCACGCTGGCTCACATGGCCTCTTTGAGGGTCTTTGTCATGCTGTTCCCATGGTGATGTTACCCATAGCTGCGGATCAGTCTGACAATGCACAGAGGATGGCGAGCAGAGACGTGGGAGTGGTGTTGGATGTGTTAACTGTCACTACAGAGAGTCTTCTCCAGGCGCTGAACGACGTTATCAATGACACGAGGTGAGAGGAAACACAGTTGAAATATTATCCTGCTGTTTTTCCTTCATGTTATATTGTTAAACTCCTGTGGTGGATCTGTTCATGTGCAGGTACAAAGAGAACATAGAGAGACTCTCAGCTCTTCATAAAGACCGACCAATGGAGCCCATCGACCTCTCGGTGTACTGGACAGAGTTTGTGATGAGGCACAAAGGAGCCAAACATCTCAGAGCTGCTGTCCATGACCTGAACTGGGTCCAGTACTTCTGCCTGGATGTGATGGCCTTTCTAGGGACGGTGCTGCTGATTTTTGTGACGGTGACTGTAAAATGCTTCAAGCTGTGCTGCCGTAAACTGAGCAGGAAGAGGAAGCAGGAGTAAGTGGACGCAGTCTTTGAATAGTCATCTCAGCTACAACACTTTTTGTTCGGGGAGAGAGACTTATCAGCTAAAGCACGGAGAGTCAAATTTTTTTTATCGAAAGATTAAAAGGAGCCACAGAATGATTGAAAGGGAATTTTAATTAACAGAAAATACAGAATATCTATAGATGCAATTGTGGAACAAGAGACAATAATGAGGTTTAGTGGCCATCCTTCTTTGGTGGGGAGAGGGCGTACTCTACAGCCAGAGCAACAGCAAAGGCAGCGAAGCCCCACTTGAATCCTCTAAGGAGCACATCAGGCAGAGTCACAGGTCGAGCAAATTTGCCACTGTACCTCCATGCCTCGTTTCTACAGGAAGAAAATACATGAATCAGGGTCATTTAGAGGAAGAGCTACATATTAGCAATGAGTAATGCACAGGGATGAAAAAGTATCGAAATCTCACAGTATGATCACATCAACATTTATACAGTTCTGGTGAAGTTCACTCACTCATCATGACTAAAACGCACTCTGCTTTCAAGTAGTTTAGCGTAATTTCATGGTCAGATTAGTTCAAAGTCCTTGACATGCTAGTAACGTGAACATTGAAGATGCAGTCAGGTAACATTCAGCCAATCACACGGTGAAACCCTATAACGCAAGCCGATAGCCAATGATATAACCGTCAAAGCAGCTAAAAGACGTAGGCCAACTTGGCCAGCACATCTGGTACCTACACTGGTCTCAGCTATTTTTGCTGAGGCAGTGAGCAGGGCAAGAAGGATGATGGTCTCTGTGGTTCCTATTACCCTCCACTCTGCTCTGCTGCAAAAGCTACACTTTTTACTTAGAAGACATCTAATTGAAATCCCCTACAGGTCCACAACAGTATCAAGACACTTTTTCCCCACAATACTGTGAAATTTTTGATACCATGGCATCCCTCGTAATGTATGTGTAAATACTGACCGCGCCCATGGGTCCTTGAGGCCTCTGGCTGCTAGCCTCTTCTGTGTGAACTCCAGCGGTGTTCCCTCTATCTTCCACTGCTTCCAGTCTGGCAAAGGCGTTTTGCTGGGCCCATGGTCACCTCCCATACTTAATACAAATACAAGCACCCACAGTCAAGCCTCATTTATATCCAGATACTGAATATAATAAGATCATCTTTTTGTTTGTGTCACTGAGACAACAAACAGTTTCATTATACATAAGGAAAAAGGACCTCCTGACTTCGATGTTAGATTTCCAAGTGCATTTTTTTCCTGTCATATTATTGATTTAAGTGCAAAAGCTTTTACATTGAATACTTATTACTTTGGAGGTACAGACTCTAATAATTAAGACAAATCAAAAATATTTTATTGGACTCAAAATGAATGATTTTGTAAAGACATAAAAAAAAACTGCAGGTCTCTGTGCATGGCTGCAGTCTAATTTTGTACACCAGTGAGTCTTATTTTCTACAATAAACCAAGTTTTAATGTTAATACAGGGATTCTTCTCACTCTAGTACTACTTACTCTGCTAATGAAAAGTGTGAATTTTTAGTATTTATTTTTACACAGTAAATTATGCTATGTAACACCTGGCGAGATACAATTCTTTCCTCACAAAACACACAACTAAATATAAAATAAATGTTTGTATCAACTACTCACAAAAGAGCATAAAGGCGCTCCACTGCAGTAAGGTATTTTTATGTCTTCACACAGAATTTATTCAAATATTGTTGAATATATCTGCTGGTCCTGATAAATATTTCTGCCCTGCCCACTATTAGAAATCACTGAAGTTGCATGTTTCTATTTTTTTACCAGTTCTGGTTTTTACATGTTCTTCGCTTTTAATGAGTCATTGACGAGGAAAACAAATCATCTATTTCGATACATCACAAGGTTACATGGAATCTTATTAAAATCAGTAAAATAACTCATTCAATCTAATCTCGGACATTAATAAATCTTAAACGTACATAAACAGGTTTGTAACTTTAATGGATTAATAAATAAGAGCACAGAAGCGTTTCTCTGAGCTGGTATTAGTGAGCTTCGCTCTCTGACACATTCATGTCACATACTGCACTTAAAACCGCATCAGGTTCACCTTAATGTATAAATATAAACAAACGGAGGCATCATTACAATATGAAATGGGAAAATAGTGTCAGATAAAAGATTTAGAGAAAATAAACACACTCAAATACCTTGCTGGTTTGTTGTGACCTCTGCTTCGGGACTGAATTTGCGACAGTGAACGTTGATTTACGGCAAAGCGTTCTTCTTTTACTGTTATTGAAGGTTCGGCAGCAAGCTTAGAGGTACGTCACTGCCACCTACTGGACTCGAGTTTGGAAAAAAATGCAACGGCATAATTCTGGCCATTAGTCCTTTTCAATTTCTTAATTCGTTAAATGTTTTTCAAGGTCTCTAAAACGTTGCTTTAAATAGTGTTCTTATTTGTTTAAATGTACCCCTCGGCCTCCTCCTTTCATCCCATTAAAAACTGCCTTCTGTTGATATACTGTATGTTTGACTGAGGCTGGCTGATCACATCATCTGTGTGTCTGCACAGTCTTGGGGGACACACAGAGCACACTTGAACAGTTTTCCAAAGTGCAAACCATATTTATAATTTATACCATCTATTTAATTAATATTTTTAGTAGTGTTTACAACAGGCAGAAACAGGTAAAAAGTTTGTTTTTTCAACATGTATGACTATATTTAATATGACAAATACCTTACGTCATAAACACTGTGAACAAATGACAAAACAAAGTCAGTACAATAAAATCAGACTAGAACAAGATTTACATGACAAGCCCTTTAAAATGTTAAAGATTGGCTTTTAAAAATTAGGTCTCCTTTCCACTCATCAACTAATAACCAAGACAGTGGTCATAATAGTGAGAATAAGGCTTCTTAAACAGCCTTAGGGACAATAAAGGTTTTTTAATAGCCATCTTCCTGGAATAAAATCTTCATACTTTGTTGCTGTTTGGACTCAGTTTAAAAAAGACTTTGTCATTTTTTATTTACTGAAATGAAAGGCACTGATTTATTTATTTATTACATCAAACTGTTTATATCCAGGAAACTGATCAGACACAATTATGTCCATGATTTAAAAAAAAAATCACTATGCCTCAAAACCAGGTCACTGTGGTTTCCTGATCTTCTGTAGTGCTTAGGGTGAACGTAGAGCTCCATGTCCACGATATCTGCGTGTGTATCTATACACTGACTCATCCTCAGTCACCACTGTGAATCATAGTTTACTTTTTGGGTTGAGTAGCATCTTCAGATGGTCAAAGTTCTCCCCCTCTGGAGCCTCAGGCCAGGCACTGTGGTCTGGAAAAAGCAAAAACACATAAGTGTTTATTAAGCCATGTAAAATTGTATAATGAGCAGAAGTAAATAACTACTATTAAAAAAAAATGGTTGCAGATGAGTTTGAAAGATGTCCGTACCGGGTATCTCCCATATGGAGCGGTACAGGCTCTGTCCAGCATCGACTCTCAGAGTGGCTCCAGAGATGTATGTGGCAGCAGGAGAGAGCAGAAAACACACGGCTGATGAGATCTGAACATAAAAACAGAACAAATTAAAAGGTTGAATAGAAGTGAAACAAATTCAGACACACAACACAGACTGCATGTATTGCTCTTCCAATTCTTAGGGTTCAGCCTTCACTATTCATGACAGCAACTTTCATCGCATTTTAGTACTGTGCTACAGGTTTGGCTTCAAACAGATATATCTGTTCACACATTGTTTGTCCTCCTGGATTTTATTTCTACATTGTTCCATATTCATTTATTCAGCTTTCATGTTTTTGTAAAGCACTTTGAGGCAACTGTGGCTCAGCGTTAGTCATCTCTCAAGTAGAAAGGTGGTGATCTGATCCCTGTGGAGTCAACATGATTAAGTGTTCTCAGCTCTATATTGTGGCACAGCCAGCATGTGTGAATGGGATTAGTAGTTACTGATGTGCACTTTACTTGGTAGCTCCAGTTGTCAAATATTCCCTATCTCGACATTTTGGTATCATCAACATGGTTACTCTGCCAGAGTAAGGTTTTATGATGTTTTTTGAAACCTTTTTTCACTGGCATTTCTACTAATTCCAGACAATGGCCCATCACAAAATAATAATGAGCACTCCCAACTTTGGACCATTTGGTTTTTGGTATCCAAAAAACTCTTTTTTTTTTTTTTTAAAAATGACTGTCAAAATAATGTAAATACAGAAATGTCATTGTACTTATTGCAATTCCAGTTATATCAGTATGAAATTTGAAGTGCAAGTAACCTGACACACTTAAGAGAATATGCAAATCAAGGCCCTGGTGCTTGCTGCCTTAAATAATCAAACTGTCACACACAGAGAAACACCTGTTGGATAAAATCCCTCAGAGTGTGGTTGAGCTTCAGCACTTCATGGACAGTATATACATAACATCATACACACCTCTTCAGGCACTCCCAGCCTCTTTGCAGGGCTGAATGGAACAGACATCTTAAAAAGTTCAGGCCCGTACTCTTTGTAGTTCTCCATCGCAGTTTTAGAAAAGATTGTGCCCTGCAAGCAGAAAAATACATGAAAATGCTTAAAATGACCACATGATATGAGAATCATACTTCTTATCTCTGTTAACCTATCCTTACTGGAGCTACAGCATTGACCCGGACTCCTGAGGCCGCCCATTCGATGGCCAGAGTCTTTGTCAGGTTGTCCACGGCTGCCCTCGCTGCCCCTGTGTGGCTGTTGGGGAGAGGATGATGGTGAATGAAAAGGATATGATTGTGTGAGGTTTATCTTTGCACTCTGTGCTTCTTACCTCATGCCAGGGAAGCCTTTCCACATGTCAGCGATGATGTTGACGATCACTCCTCCGTGCTTTTTCATCCATGCAGTATAGACTGTCAGGACAGAAAAACAACTGTCACACTGAGAGCCCATGGTAATGAACCTGTGTTAGCAGTCTACACTCATCGGCCACTTTATTAGGTACACCTCTCCAACTGCTCGTTAACACTTAATTTCTAATCAGCCAATCACATGGCGGCAACTTAGTGCATTTAGGCATGTAGACATGGTCAAGACAATCTCCTGCAGTTCAAACCGAGCATCAGTATGGGGAAGAAAGGTGATTTGAGTGACTTTGAACGTGGCATGGTTGTTGGTGCCAGAAGGGCTGGTCTGAGTATTTCAGAAACTGCTGATCTACTGGGATTTTCACGCACAAACATCTCTAGGGTTTACAGAGAATGGTCCGAAAAAGAAAAAATATCCAGTGAGCGGCAGTTCTGTGGGCGGAAATGCCCTGTTGATGCCAGAGGTCAGAGGAGAATGGCCAGACTGGTTCGAGCTGATAGAAAGGCAACAGTGACTCAAATAACCACCCGTTACAACCAAGGTAGGCAGAAGAGCATCTCTGAATGCACAGTACGTCGAACTTTGAGGCAGATGGGCTACAGCAGCAGAAGACCACACCGGGTGCCACTCCTTTCAGCTAAGAACAGGAAACTGAGGCTACAATTTGCACAAGCTCATCGAAATTGGACAATAGAAGATTGGAAAAACGTTGCCTGGTCTGATGAGTCTCGATTTCTGCTGCGACATTCGGATGGTCGGGTCAGAATTTGGCGTCAACAACATGAAAGCATGGATCCATCCTGCCTTGTATCAACGGTTCAGGCTGGTGGTGGTGGTGTCATGGTGTGGGGAATATTTTCTTGGCACTCTTTGGGCCCCTTGGTACCAATTGAGCATCGTTGCAACGCCACAGCCTACCTGAGTATTGTTGCTGACCCTGTCCATCCCTTTATGACCACAATGTACCCAACTTCTGATGGCTACTTTCAGCAGGATAATGCGCCATGTCATAAAGCTGGAATCATCTCAGACTGGTTTCTTGAACATGACAATGAGTTCACTGTACTCAAATGGCCTCCACAGTCACCAGATCTCAATCCAATAGAGCATCTTTGGGATGTGGTGGAACGGGAGATTCGCATCATGGATGTGCAGCCGACAAATCTGCGGCAACTGTGTGATGCCATCATGTCAATATGGACCAAGCTCTCTGAGGAATGCTTCCAGCACCTTGTTGAATCTATGCCACGAAGAATTGAGGCAGTTCTGAAGGCAAAAGGGGGTCCAACCCGTTACTAGCATGGTGTACCTAATAAAGTGGCCGGTGAGTGTATATCTCACCCTGTTGGCAGCAGTGGAAGGTCCCTGTCAGATTTGTGTCGATCACAGCTTTCCAGCCTTTAGAGGAAATGTGCTCTGCGGGGCTGTTGAACTGACCTCCCCCGTTGTTAACCAGAAAATCTATCCTGCCGTATTTCTTCAGCACTGTAGAAACAAGATCTTTCACCTGCAGCAAAGACAATACAACAACATGTTACTATGAAACCAGGCGACCGTGAAAACAACACAAGGCACTGTTAGAGGCAGAGGGCGTGCAGAGACAAACCTCGTCTTCATTTCTAATGTTACATGGTAGAGGGGTGACACTGGCTGAGCTGGATGGAGGAATTTTCTGTCTCATCTCCTGAGCTGCTGCTTCTAACCGCTCCAGCTTTCTGCTGGAAATGACCACATTGCAGCCTGACAAAAAAGTCAGAGAATAACATGACAAACCCATCAGTTAAATGTAAAATGTAGTTTTTCCACTTCCAAGAGAAATCTTTTGAGCTACAAATCTTCAACCTGCGTCATTTTATAGATGCATGATAGTTACTCCCAAAATAACATTTATGATACACTGACATTTCTCATTTTCACACTTTAATAAACATGTAGAGCCATATCAAATTCTGTTGCTATACCGAGTACACATTAACCATACTGTCAGGGCATAGGTCAAACTTCATAGGGTGATATACCAAATGAATGTAGTGACACCTAAGATTGAGTGACATTCGGATTTTTCTGCTTTGTAAATATGTAAAATTATTTCCTGTCATATTTGTCACTTAAACAGCTGTTCCAACACCTAAGTATACTACTAATATCAGACGGTACTCGTCATTTGTAAGCCTATATACAGCCATCTGTGTCAAAGTTCACCTGTAGTGTGATGAAACGCCTGTTTTCTGCTTCAGTCTGTCTGTGCAGTGATTAAAAAAATGTCCTGCTGAGACCCAGAACATCCACTTACCAAGCTCGACCAGCTCCGTAGAGATAGCTTTACCTATTCCGGTGCCTCCACCTGTAACTATCGCAACTTTATGGTTAAACAAGCCCGATCTGAAAACACTGGACGCCGCCATGTTCGTATCTTGACCCAATGAGAAGAACGACACTTCGCCCCCTGCTGGACGCATCGCGGCGGTGTCACGTACTGATTCCATTTAACTGAACCATATTTTACACACAATACTGAGTATACTGTATAAGGTAATTATGTAACCAATTTAATCATTATGCCTTTTTATTCTCCTCTCGAATATCTCTCCTAATTTCTTTTGGGAAATATATGCAAGAAGTTATTATACTGTTCACACCAAAACAATAAAATGAAACCCAGTACAACTACCAACCCTACGTTTAGCTAAGCTCCGTTGTTTTACATGTTTAATAACATGGTCAGACAGGTGATAACTATTCTTCTAATGGATTATTGAGGTTACAGAGGGTGATGGTGGTGTACTGGAGTGCATGATATTGAAAGGTGTTTCCAACATTTTGCTGCCCTTGTGTAAACACACCTCTCAATGTAACACACTCCTAAATTCAACTACCACTCACCATCTTAAAAAAAGTACAATATTTGCCATTATGACCAAGTAAAAACAAAGTTTAGACACTTCCCATAATTTAAATTTATGGTGGAGCTGTAATATGGTGTTGTATGAGATAATTCAGGTGTTCAAAATGCAGTTGAGACTTACGAAATAACAGTTACTTTATACTTGAAAGCAAGCCATCAAATGTCTCAGCTACAGTAAAAACCAGGCATCAACACTATCATCAAAATGTGGAAAGATAAACTTGAAATCTTCACCCCATAATTTGCATCATGACCAAGTACTCTCTGTTCAGGGAAATAATCTGTGCAGATTCTTAGTTTTTCATTTTTACATTTGAAGGTCTGGTTTCTCACAAGATAAAAGGTACTGTTGTTCCATGTACATGACCTTCATTATCCAAAAACTATAGCATACAACAAAGAACTAAAATTTACAGTAACAGCAGACTGAACAGTGGTGTAGATTTTTGTTGCCTGACTGCTAAAAAGTCAACAAGATTGACTGAATAGACACAATTATTCTCTTTTGTAAGTTTAGACATTTTTCATAAGACATATTAAGAAAGCTCAACGGACTTGTATTCACCAAACCACTGCAGAAAACCAACACCAGTAAAACTACAGATTTAAGGGGTGAAGCCATTATCCAAAGATAAAAACACAGCAAACTTCTAATTTCAGTGATAGCGTTGCATTGTGAATGTCCATGTGAATCTGTATTCTCTATTTTTAAAGCATTAATGGTTGCCAATGACGCTATGCCGCGACACGCACTGATGTGTCCTAGCTATGCAGGCAAAGAGGAGCTTATCCTCAAGTTTTAGGAGTATTTGGGCAGAATATTCTTTACTTTGTTTTTTACTCAAAGGTTTGGGGAGGCATCTTCTTCTAGCTCTCATTCACAAGGTTTGACATCACACATGTAAAAAGACACAAACAAGAGTTCCGCTCCAGACTGCTTTATTTTGGGATGTTGAGGCCATGTCCAGGTCGGTTAAATTATAGAAAACAACAAAGTCCCAAATCCACCAGTGAGCGATGCACGTGGTTTACTGGTCCTTCAACTCTTTCAGCCTCCTGATTGCAGACTTGACTGTGACAGCGGAAGTTGTGCTGAAAGACAGAAACATTCATAGTTTGATAACTGCTTTTTTTCATTACAGCAAGTAAAAAATTCAATTGACAAAACTGAAGATGCTGTTGGTACCAAACGTTTATCCCTCTCAAAGAGCTTGACTTCAGCTCAACACCACATTCTTAATTCTTAATAGAAAGTAGCTCAAAAATTCAGTTGACCCTTTTCCTTGCACGTGGATAATATCTGGACAGGTCACCCATTTACTTTTGGCTGCTTGAGTATCATTTTTACCATTAGCACGTTATTTTCTCTCCAATATCAGCTTCCCATCCACTATCAGGGATTTAGACCATCTTTCGGCCACTCTTTGCCCTACAGCATTACTACCTAGATCACCTGACATGCTCAGATCAGCGAGAGCAAACTCCGTCAGTGCATTCCTCCTTTTTCAATGACGCACTGGTCCAGAGTGTGGCATGTCATGATCAATATGAATCTACGTTTAAAGTAGTGTGCAGCCATTTCTGCTCTCTTAAATCTGGAGGGTTATGATATACTACAATATTATCAAGCCTTGTTCACACAGGTGAAAACAGAATATTCAGTCAAAAAATGTACTTGGAAAAAAAAAATCCTTGTTCTTTTATGTGTCTTTACAAACTGTGCGACAAATGAACTGACAGTTGAAGGTGAGATGAAAAGATATTATTTCAACTATACAAGTCTAATTTTCTGGCATCACGAGGGATGACTAAGTTGCTGTATTGTGTTTATGATTACTAAATGTTCCCAAAAGAGTAGAGGCAATGTTGATAAGCTGTAAAATGGGGAAAGTGGAATTTAAGACAAAATTAAGACTAGTGCTGCAAAGCTTTACTGCTAAGACATACATTACAGATACCCAACATTAAATCAAGCGTAGAACAATAAGCATAGTTGTTAATCACTTCAAATACTAACTGTACCATTGAGTCAAGTAAATCATTTACTGACATCAAAATGAGGAGCATTTACAGTTTAAGTTGGATATACAACAAATGACATCCAGCTCATTAAGATGAGATTTATAGTTTCTTGTTTCACAACAGCAGACTCAAACAAGAACAGCATCTTAAAAACCACATACAAGGATGCAATGTGTGATCAGATGAGGGTACATGATAGAATCAAAGTGAAATAAACTTTGACTTACTTGTAAGTCCAAGCACCTCCAGCCACTGTCTTCCTGCAAGACCCACAGTGCCAGATACCAACAGCCCTCCTCTTCATCTTGGTCTGTAGAGTCAAACATGTTGCATCAGTTGCAAGCATAACCTAACTTTGACAGTTTTCCAAACACTGACTCATGCTATTAGCAGCAGACATTTCCAGCTAAGTATCAGTGAGCAAATCAAATGCTGCTCTGCTATCTACATTTCTAAAAGAACATGAAAGATTTTCCAAGTTTTCCTTACCTTGCCACAGAAAGAGCAGGTGTATTTAGCATGCTGGGAAATTTCAATTTTCTTGACCATCTTCCTCAGCGATGCACCGTAACGTGTGCCATATTTACCAACGATCCCCACCTTCTTGGTACGTTTGGCCTGTAAACAAACACATAAAGTAGTTAAAGAAAATGTTAACACAGTGACCACTTATTTTGAACTAGGCTACTACAATATCCATATACTCTAAACATCAAACTTCAGATGAAATTTATGATAACAAATGTTCGAATACACAAAGTGGCGACTTATAGGAAAATGCCAGAAGACCGGGTCTTCCTAAGCTCCTGTCATTGGAGAGGAGCCTGCAGTAGCTTCCTCTCACTGAATTAGCCACCTAGCTTCCTTACTAAAAAGTTATCCTCAGACTGGGTTTTGAAACGACCTACCACATCCCAATCCCAAAACATACCACTCTCTTAGAGTTAAAAACTACCGCTAATCTTGACTCTTCCACAATTTGGGAAGTAATGCCGTCACGCACGCGAGTATCGCCAATAAACCCGGTGACTGTGTTACTCTGGTAGCAGCCATTACTGTTCCAACAGGACATGAAAACATCGTTTTTACAATGAACAATATCCCCAAACCGACTAAAATAACACATGTGTCTAACACATAATGATTTGTGAAAGCCACTAAATATGTTATTATATCATTTATAGCCCATAAACAGACAGATTGACAAGGATTGTGCACGGGACTGGCTGGTCTCACCATCGTTTCAGTGGAGACGTAGGTCCAAAGAGGGAGTGCTAACTGCGCAGGCGCGATTTACTCGATCGTTCCCGCAGCATTATGGGGCTTTGAGTTTTAAGTGGATAGAGCTACATTTAAGTTTAACTAAATCCATCATATATTTGGAATAAAAAAGTAAGGGGATTTTTTAAAATTGATGTTCAAACTGTTGTGTATTTCAACAAAAAATATCTGTGAATGCGTTTTATATGATAATTCCACAGGAAGTGGCTGTAACTAAGGACGCTTCGGTAGTTCTGAGCATGCGCACTTTTGCGGTGGACGACAACAACACTGGATGCTGCAGGGTTAAATTGTTCGGTCTCTAGATCTGTCATAATGCGGCCCCTCTTGTTTGCGAAAACATAACAAGTTAAAAAAAATCATTATTGAAGGATAGGTCAGGCGGTATGATATGAAGCTAACGCGGAAACTGGTTCTCGCCAAGGCTAAGGCCTCCGACTTGGAAAGCGTGAAAAAACTAAACTGCTGGTGAGAGTCTCAGCCTCGGCTTACTATGAATGTTTTTGGTTGTAGTCGTGCATGTGTGGTCCTCTGATACAGCACGTTTGGTACTCTGACCTTGTAGATATATTACGTTTGTTTTTGATTTCACAGGGGATGTAACCTGACAGATGTGAGTAGCCATGCTGGGTCTGGCATTGATTTCAGTATTTTTTTCTCAAATCAATAGTATATCTCAACTTATCTTTTGTTCAAGTTACATCTCTGCATGCCTGCAACTAAACGACCTTTTCTTTATCTCCTCCCAGATTTCAATCTTCTCTCAAATGCCAAACATTGAGGTGCTGACTCTCAGGTTGGTTTGTTTAACTCTTTGCATACTCTCACACAGACCTGACACAGAATTAAGTGTCTGATAACACCCATTTGTTACAGCTTCACTCACTCAACTGCAATTCTGCTACTATGTTCTCTCTTTTTAGTGTGAACAGCATCACATCTCTCTCTCCACTGTCTGGCTGTCAGTCTCTGTGTGAGCTCTACCTGAGGAGGAACATGATACCCTCACTTTCTGAGCTCTCTCACCTGCGCCCTCTGCCCCGGCTCAAGGTGCTGTGGTTGGCTGAAAACCCCTGTTGTGGATCGGACTCCAGCCAGTATCGGCTTACTGTGCTGCGCTGCTTGCCTCACCTCCAGAAGCTGGACAACCAAGGTGAGCATGTACTGGCTCTGACTCAAGTAGGTGTTACTTACACCCACAGTTATATAAACAAACACAGTTATATCTGGGAGCACAATTCTGAGGATACGATTATGTAGAGATTGGAAATGTGTCAATGACCCAAATCTGCATGTGGTGTTTGCAGTAGTGACAGAAGATGAAATTGCACTAGCTCTGATGGATGGCGAAGAGGTCACAACCCCACCAGGTGGTGTTCAAAACCAGCTCTCCACAAATGGACTTCAAGATGCAGAGACAGAGAACGACCCGCTGAACTACAATATGGAAGAGACCAAGTAAGCTATTGAACTTTCCATGATGGGAGTCCTACTGCAAAAATTAACTAAATATATATTTTTTTAAATAATATTTTTTCATGCAGTTTGAATAGAGGTGAAGTTACAAAATCTTTGTCTAATTTAACATTACTAACATTACTAAAACTAACACTAATTGTTGATAGTTTCTTTGAAGATATGTAAAGAAAGTTACTTCCTATAACACCACATACTAACTAGTTTCCAAAAATATATTGCTGGAGTTTTGACAATCTCCATCTATCACATAAATAAAGTAAGACATACACTGGCTGTGTTTTGAACTGGTGTTCTGCTTGTTTTTAGCAAAATCAGAGAGGAGCTGGGGATGAAGCCCCTCTCCAGAGACAAGTTCCCTTCCCTGTCCTCTCCGTCCACCAGAGAAATCAAACCAGCATTGAAAAAGGTTTTCTTTTCATGTGCTTCCCTTAAACTCCATGTGTAGAAATATTCTTTGAAACAAAACTATCATTAACAAACCTCTTAAATTTGTGATCAACTTTCAGACCCACACTCTTGATGCAGTTCTGCTCCTGCTGAGGGATTTGGATGAAGAGGAGCTTCAAGTTGTACACACAGCAGCTCAAAACAGACTCCAGACTTACACACTAAACTCAGACACACTCAACAGTTCACTGCAGACTCAGAAAACCACTGACATCCAACACTGAAGTATTTCACAGCATGCACTCAGGGTCCAACCTCCACGTCTCTTTCTACCTTTTACTGAAACTTTCTTACTGGAACTGGAGAGCGGCATTCTTACACTCACGCTTCATTTGCCATTTACTCTCTGACCCCTCTTGGCATTGCATGTGCTGTTATTTGACTGAGCTCTTTCCCTCTTATCGTACAGCTTTTATATGTGCAGCTGTAATGAATTGTTCCTCTACAGCAGCATGCCGACCTGCCTCATAAGAACAAAGATTGTATGTTTTGCTAAATGTAAATCTATTTCTGTAATTAAAGAGACTAAACTGCAATAAACAGCCAGAGGTGTTGCTTTTATTTACACAGGTGAATCAGACAATAGGTACATTGAAGTGAATATCACAGTGCTACAGAGGGGCGTAAACGACAAGTCAAAATATTTCATCAGTGACGAGCTTCAAGCTTTTACTTAAAACAGGGAAGAGCTGGTTAGCTGGGCTCATGTCGTGTGTTGATCATATGCTAGCTAGCCTTCAGTAAATATCAAGTCAAAATAAGTTTAATTTGCAAAATCAGTTCATGATGTGGGAGTGATAATACACAGCCAACTCTTCTTCTCATTCACACTCTTCGTTTTCCAGGAAATCCATCAGAGTGCTCGTATCCACAGCGACCAGCAAGTACTCCACTCCATCTACACCCTGGAGAATCATAAAAATATATATAAGTGAGGAAAGACACTAGGGTTTTTTTCCTTCATGCAATCATAGACAACTTCCCAATTCCATAAATGCGTCAGGAGAAGAGAGGAGGCTTGCAGGTGTATCTTAATACAGTCAACTATTATGTATATGAAAATGTCTTCAAATGGTTATGTTCATCAGAAAAGGCTCCAAAAGTCCAAGTATAATGCACTATAAGGCAAGCAAATAAATCAGGACTTTTTTGATCGGTGATCGGCTAGTAAAAAAAAAACTATGATTAATGTGTGTTTCTCAAAGGCCATTAGATTTTGGCTTCAAACAGTTTGGGCGAGTTGCTGAAGACCACATAATCCTCATTTACCCCCATTCATCTGGATGGGCTGCTTTCACCCAGAAGAGAGCGTGGTCAGTTATGTGAGCTGCTAGTTGACATTTTGACTGCTCTCATTTATAACAAAGACAGCCTCATTGTTCTGCAGAGAAATATGGCTCTGCATGATTAGGAGCTGTAAAGAGAAAAATGACTCCACCTTGCGTGTCCTTATCAATTTGTGGTCTCTGAACTCAGTCAGCTGAGTCCTCAGCGTGAGGTCAGAGTTTACCAAGAACGCCTCTCGACATCGCTGGTAGAAATCTTGGAATGACAGACCTGCATGAGGTGATAAAGCAGTGTCATCATTTCAAAGTATGGTCATATTTAGGTAAAAATCTGCAGCAGCTGGAGGTTTAGAGTATCTAAGTACCTGTGTATGAAGGATTATCTTTGTTTTCCAGCTGGAAGTTCACCAGCAGTTTGAATATTCCTCTGTAGAATGAAAAGACACAGAATAAAAAAAACTCCACCATTATCCTTATAACAGCTCTGATAGCTGATGTGTGTGTTTGTGGTACCTTGCGTTGGGTGTCAAGCTGCGCAGCACGTGTGTGAGTGAGGACAGAGCGAGAGCGCCGGTCTGCTGCACCAAGAGAGAGTTTTCATATGACGTCTCCTCTGTATAGTGCTGAAACGTCACACACTCCCACCACAGCCAGTTAAACTGACTCTGCTGGAACTGGTCCCACACTGCCAGCACACAGAGGAGGTTGAGCTACAATGATACATTCAATTAAATTAACTCGTTATTACCAACACTCACCCAGAGGAGCATTTATGTGGTCTAAAGAAGCCACTAAGTGCAGGTTGGGTAGAGAAGCCAGATAACCAAGTGCACTCTGGGTCTTTTCTCCCCGCAGCATTGGGCCATCAATATTGTGGATCAGCAGGTACACATGGAGGTCTGGTCCTGTAAGAACAAACTTCAGGTTTAAAACACATCAAACACCAGCGTAAAAAAAAGACAACTGATCATCTGTTGACTAACTCACTGTCTTTAAAAGTCTGAGCGATGTACTGGATCTGATCTGTGGGTGTCCGGAAACTTCCCTGGTGCTCTAAAACTTCACATGTTAGAGCATTTAGGATCTGAAATGAGAGTGAAAAAAAAAATAAAGAAATTCCACCTGGACCTCTTACTGTGGCTGAAGGTATTCTCTCTCTTAAAACAATAACACTGTGAACAGTGAAAGTAAAAAAAGTCCACCTCCAAAACTCTTTACAACATATTCACCTCACACAGGTCTATCAGCCTCAAGTTCTTACGTCCATCTAAGATCATTATCCAGAACTGGCAATCAACATAAAGGTTTGTTTTTAAAATGAAGCCTAAAACAAAAGGGTTCAACTCTCTGGACATTGATACTCAAAAGCGAGTGGAAGTTCAGTTTTTAGGGAAGATTTCAACTTTGTTTTTAGTACAATTGTGACTGTTAGTCAACATCTGGGTAATTATTTGTATCAGCAAAGCCTTTCCCCAATAGCCAATAAATGAAGTGATTGACAAGTGTGTTACTTTAGCTCCACTGCAATGTCTTTCCCTCCAGGTCTGTTTTCACTCTTCTCTTGTGCCTTACCTACAGCACCACCTGATTGACTGTAACTGTACTCTTGAGTAACTGGTAAAACTGAGAAATGGGACATTCAAAAAGTACAAGATCAGAGAGACTGTCATGATTTAAATAAGTTTTTCTTGTCACACAGTCATCTCTATTTGAACTTGCTTAATCACTATTGGGACTCGCTCAAACCTAACCAGACCAGTACACGACTATGTTCTGAGATTTGACTTTAAACCAGTTGCATTGAGCCTTCTTTCTAGTAGTCATTTCTGAACAACGTTTCCTGCAGGCAGCTTATCATCAGCTGAGGAGATATGGTTACATTACATTAATAAACTAACTAAATGCAGCTGCGCAGTGACAGTAGCACTGACTGTAAAATTTCCACTGCAGAGCCCACCAGCTCATATGGTGACCTTCCCTTTGACTTTCCCTTTCTCAGTTTAGCTTCAGGTCAAATTTGTGATTTAAATTTTAGCAGATCCTCGATAAATTAGCACTCCATTAAGTTTTCATGGATGCTGTTGAATCCTGCAGGCTCACTTTTGTGCAGCCGGTTAAGCAACAAAAATACAGACAACTAATAAAACTTTTGGCATTAACAAAAATTTAGAGAACTGTTTCACTAATCTGACATATATTTTGCCAAATGCTAAAACTGCTTCCATATGCTTCATATGTATCAAACTAAACTGCAGGTCCTGCACATACAACTGTATCACTAAAACTGTGCAGTGTGGTATAATCTGTGAATTTTCTTCAGCATCCCTCCCTGGAGCAGTGCCAGCTTCCCAGTAACCAGTGCCAGTAACTGCACTCACCAGCCACTTCTTGGGTACACCTGTTCAATAGCTAATCAGCAGATCAATGCATTTAGGTATGTAGACATGGTCATGGCGACTTGCTGAAGTTCAAATTGAGCATCAGAATGGGGAAGGAAGGGGATTTAAGTGACTTTGGAGGTGGCATGGTTGCTGGTGCCAGACAGGCTGGTCTGAGTATTTCAGACACAGCTGATCTACTGGGATTTCCACACACAACCATCTCTAGGGTTAACAGAGAATGGTCCCAAAAGAGGAAATATCGAGAGTGCAGCAGTTGTGTGGGTGAAAATGCCTTGTTAATGTCAGAGGAGAATGAGCCAACTGGTTTGAGATGATAGAAAAGAAACAGTAAGTCAAATATCTGCTCTCTACAACCACAATGATATGCAGAATACCATCTCCGAATGTATTACACGTCCAACCTTGAAGCTGATGGACTACAGCAGCAGTAGACCACACCAGGTACCTCTCCTGTCAGCTGAGACCAGAAAACTGAGGCTACAGTTCACACAGGCTCACCAAAGCTGGACAACAGAAAAATTGGGCACCTGGTCTGATGAGTCTGGATTTCAGGTAAGTGGGTCAGAATTTGGTGTAAACAACATGAAAAGTATGGATCTATCCTGCTATGTATCAAAGGTTCAGACTGCTGGTGGTGTAATGGTGTAGGGGATATTTTTTGGTACACTTTGGGCCCCTTGGTACCAACTGAGCATCGTTTAACTGCCACAGCCTTCCTGGGTCATGTTGCTCACCATGTCTATCCTTTTATGACCATGGTGTACTCATCTTCTCATGGCTACCTTCGGCATGATGATGCACCATGTCACGAATTATCTCAAACTGGTTTCTTGAACATGACAATGAGCTCACTGTACTCCAGTGGGCTCCACAGTCACCAGATCTCGGTCCAATAGAGCTCCTTTGGGATGCGGAGGAACGGGTTATTTGGATCATGGATGTGCACAAAAACTAGGCAGTTCTGAAAGCAAAACTGAGTCCAACTCGGTGCTGGCAAAGTGTACCAAAAACATGGCTGGTGAGAAAACTTTTATATATTAATCATTTTTTCTCATTCTATCTGTCAAGCTAGCCTTACTTCAGGCTTTGTTGAGTCATCTTATTCAAGGAAACCTGCATAGGTTTTGTTTTTAGTGAATATAAACGGACTCTCTGATTTCTTCATTGAAGGTGTGGCTTTTAGATGAGTTTCTTAAAATAGTTTAATGGAGAGAAATTGAGCCCCATGGCACAAAAGAATGAGATATAGTACATACTATACCTACCTACAACAGATGTAGTAGGTACATAGATTAGGGTGACCATATTCTGAATCCCCAAAAAGAGGACACGACTATGCAAGGCGGAGTCATGGAGTTGCGCGTAGTAAATTTTGAGAGTTTTTCGGGTCCAGTAGAGTGTTTTTTATGCACTTCTAACTCAGTAAGTCCATGCGACACAAACTCAAAACTTCTATACAAAACCCCAGACATTTGAAGGATTGAAGGAACCATGAATGTATACTGACTGATTTCAGAGTAATGGAAGGGAAGAATCCGTTGACCACGAGGTGAATTTCTTGGGCCAAGTGAGAAGCACGGAAGTCCTCCAGGAGAGACCTTTTGCTGCCCAAACCGTAGACCAGTACGCTGAATCCCAACCTACACATAAAAACAGACATACTCTGTAATTTGCTAAAATTTCTAAACTGACAGAAGAAAATCATAAATCGAAAGACTTCACTCACTGTAACTGTAACATCCATTTGTTAAAGTGCTTCTTATGTTTGTTGTGGAGTTGCTGGATCTCTTTCTTGAAGCAGGACGGTTTATCCTCTAACAGCTGGACCAGCGTCTCCTGCAGATAAATAGAAAAGAGTAACTTCAACATCATGATAACAGATCAGTGAACACAGTCACAACCCTGGCTGTCATTTACTGACCCTGTCCAGTTTGGGAGTGTGTAAACGCTCCAGAGTGCGGTCTGACGTCAGGACCTTTGAGTTGCCATGAGCTTCAAAATACTCCTCCACCATACTGGGCTGGTTTGGGGCTTCAGAGGATTTACTTTTCTTGGCAGGAGTCTTATACAGAGCTGCAGATAAACTTTTACTGCTCTTTACTGGAGTCTTGAAGTTCTCTTTGTCCTCTTTTTTCACTTTCTGCTCTTCCTCGATTCCATCCTCCTCTTCTTCATCCTCTCCAGAGTCAGAAGGGGACAGCTCACTATCACTGTCTGACCGTAAGCTCGGAGCTGAAATATTGAAAGATTTTCATCACAGATCCAGTCCAACTTTAGGTGCTGGTATCCTTTATGAGAGCTTAAACTCACTTGTCATCCTCTTCCTCAGCCTGTGGGGGGTGGTGGAAACAAACTGAGCCTTCTTGCTCTGTTAAACAAAAAGAAGAGGGAAAACTGAGGACACTTACACTGCAACACTTATTGAAAAGGTTGCTGGGTGCAAAATGAATATAATAAGTCAGTGATACAAATTTTTCCTTGTCTCACCCTCTGTGGTGTCCTGCTTCCACCTCTGTTGTCTGCTCACAAAGAGAAACGACAGATTTAGTTTGATGTGAATGAAATTGGAAATATAAAAAATACTTTGTTGAACTCACTGCGGCCTGGGCGAGTGGGAGTGCATGGTTCAGCATTGGGGGTTGTGCTGAAGGTAACACTTTTTGCAGGTGTACGAGCCAGCTCACTTGCTATAATCAAAACGTCGAAACATGAGATAACCCGACAACAGAGTTAATCAACTTGTTAATACAGCTAATTTCACAAATCCATGATAGCTGGTCCACATATGTGAAGTGGATGGAGGTTCTCACCAGTCTGGGCCATGCTGTGCCCTCGTCTTACTTTCTGAAAGGTGAAAATAGACGATCCAGCCACTCTCGACAAACCTTCTTCATCCTCTGCAGAGCCAAGTAACATCAAGATATGGGTGTGAAAACATTAATTGGCCAAAAACAACAAGTGAGCTGAAATTGACATCAACAGATAAAATTACCTATAAAAGACAGATGATAACAGAGTCGTTTTACAATAATGACATGGCAACCCTGCATTAAAAACTTCAGTTATACAATAAATAAAAGTGAGTTCAAGTTTTATGGGACCAAGTTAGCAGGAGAGATACAAATTGTCCTAAATCACTAGTAAAAAAAAGCTGTGAAACTGCTTCAGGCTACAAAGCAATTACCCTCTGCATTGTCTGTTCCTAGAGCCTGGATGTAGTTCTGCTCATTAACGTGTCCATCTTCATCTCCATCACGGTCTTCATCCCCTGTGACTCGTCTTCCAGCTGGGCTCTTGAACTTTACCATCTTCTGGACAGCTCCGCTGTTACTCTGCACAGCTGATAGGTGATAAACAGAAACACACGGGTTGTTGGATTAACACCTGCTCACGAACACAAACATGTAAATGTGAGAAATGAAATAATAGAGAAGCTCTCCATACCCTCCTGCTTGTCCACGATGTGCTCCAGAGCGTCTCCATCTCCAATGAACTTCACTTCCAACACACTCATGACTGACAGAAACACAAAACACAGCATAAGAGTAGACGGATAATGCAATAAATACTATCTGAATTTAACACCTGCAGATTATAGCCTCCTGTGTTAACATGGTTGAGAAAATCTAGCCCAGTTTGGCTTTTCCAGTCAAGGTTTCGTCTTTTAATTCAGGAATATAAACTGACCGTGCAGTTTAATGTAACGTCTTCAATATAAGTTTAGTAGACAAAAGCAGCAACAATATTCACCGGAAGCCCTATGAACGCCTAACAGAAAGTAAAATCTCCCACCAGTTATAGCGAAAAAGCGGCACCTTACCTGATAAAGTGGATATGAGTAGAAGAAATTATCAACACAAACTCAGAGCTCCAGTGTGTGACGGTGTGACAACTTTCCGCGCCATCCTACTGAAGATTTTAAACCACGTGACAAGTGAAAGGTCGCGCGGTGGCCAATCAGAACGCTAGATTTGGTAGAAACTACAAGTCCCAAGATGCACTTCGCACTCATGCTAGGAGCTTATGATTTCCTGCGTCGAGCAGCAGTGTTACCAAAACTCGTCTCTATTTAAAAGCATCACCTTTAAATGAAGTCCTGTTATATTGTACAAAACTTCAGACTGAAAAGAAAAACAAAGAATTGGTTAAGATCACTAAACAAACACTGATACTCTACTGTTATGAGCACGCTTTCAGAGTCAGTTTTGTAATCATGTGGACATTAAACGTGCTTTTTATGCTGCACAGAGATCATTTTCGGCACTGTTCTTGGCAGAGATTATTGCCTATAACTTTATTTTTTAGCAAATGTAAATTTTGATGGTCAACATGAAAAAGACAACAGGGTAGCATTTGTGAAATGAGGAGACAGCATGGTGACATGGATTTCATTTATTTAACAATTTAGAAATGGACAGGTCTGCATCATTACATTTTTGTTCAAACGTTTTGGGAAATAGTTCACAGTTAAAAGAAAAATTAGTGTACTTCGACAACTGATGTGTATTTTACAAAGGCACAGGGGGAGTAAGAGGGAAAACATTAACTCTACTTGTGCAGTTATTATAAAGTTTTTTCTTACAAGTTCCTACATTAGTGAACACTTGAGCAGTTCACCAGCCACGTGTTGGTACCCACTTCCCCACCAGGCACCCTTCAGAGTGCACATGGTACACAGCGTGCATCATTGCAGTGGCACAGGCCTGTAAAATGACCAGAGAGAGGAGTTAAACAAAAAGACAGTGTAACAATAACAATGTCAGGATGTTTCAAGTGTTCATACATGGTACGGGATCAGCGTAAGCAGGGAGCCCAGAGGATACTTGCTGTAGTCCAGCTGTCCTGAGATGGGCTCCAGTCTCCCGTGCTCCTGAGTCATAGACAACAATCTGAAGGGAAAATCTTTTATTAGCGCTTTAGTCACTCTTAATTTCACCATTAACGCTGGAGGAAAGATGGGATTACTTGAGGTTGGGATGTCCTTCAATCATTGCATATCCAGTAGAAAGTTTTCCAGCCCCATCTAGACTGAGAGAAGTGAGAGAAAACAGGACTCAGTGAAATAAGAAAAAAAAATACGGTGACTGCAACTTTGCTCTTGGGAGGAGAAGTCATTTTTTCAGGGCTTTCCAGCAGTGTAAGGGAATAAGGGCTGCTACAAAGGACTTCTTTTTCTATGCCCTGCAAGTGTTTACAGGCCGACTAGAAAATCCAGGGATACTTTGACCATCAAAGAGCAAATTTTAGATGGACCTGAATGCAGAACATTTAAGAAAATATGAAGTGGTTGGCTCCATTAGTTTCACAGTTTCCAATAAGTATCACTTCAACCCCGATGTTGTTTCTGAACCTCACAATAGTTTTTCAACCAAAGTCTCCCCTGAAGCCTTGTTTAAATCCACTGTACCTGACACATGTGTTCCCACTTGTTTTTTATGTATTCTGTGCTTCCTTGTTGATATTGTTGGTTGTCATTTAACAATCTGGATAGGATTTTTGCTGCATGTTTTTAAGTTGAGAAAGGATAGAAATATCTAAAGAACTCTTCACTCACCCTTTTCTGAAACATCTTTCAGGTTCTGGTTAAAGTAAGGCCTAACTTGGAAGTATCTAGTTCTTTTCCCAACCTGGATTTATTCTGTGGAGCTCCACGGCTCTGGAGTGTCCCCTTGTGGACAAATGAATAATTGGTAGTTCAACCTTTTTAGCTCCTTTGCTTCAATTTGATGACATTTATTTGGCATTGGGTTGGCTTGGCAATGCATCACCAGCTATTATTTAAGCGTACACGAGTGAAAAAAAAAAAAGTTTGTAAATATGAAAACAATGTTGATAAAGGCACCTGATTCCTGCCCATCCACAGTCAATCAGGAGCTGGTTCCTGTGAGGACAGTGTCCAATGACTCTGGTCAAGACTCTCACAGCCACATCCTCCAGAGTACACGAGCCGATCACAGACTGCTGCACATCTATATCAGAAACACCATCACTGCAGTGACTCTGTACAGAACATAACTTTTAGACAAGGAAAAAATGATGCACACCATAGAAGACGTAGTTTCCCGGATGGACCTCACTGAGCTGCTCCATGTCTTTGACAGGATGACTGCAAGAAGGTGTGGAGCCAATGCTGGACTTACAGGTGATCCCAACAGCCTTTAGTCTGCAAGAAACAAACCCAAAGGAGTTGACTGAGCAATTCTATCAATGCAACACCTCACAAAAAAAAGATAATCTCATGACTTTAATTACTCCCAATGAAAGCTTGTAAGAAGAGGAGGATGTGCTTCCTGCAGCAGCTGAAGAAACTGAACCTGCCAAAAACAATGAAGGTGCAATTTTACACCCTAACCACTGGGTCCATCCCATGCTACAGCCACTGCTATCATCCGCTCTACAGAGAGGGTGATTGGCTTCAATATGCTGTCTATACAGGACCTGTGTACCTCCAGGACCATACAGGTAAAACTGTGGCTGACCCCTCTCACCCCTCTCACCCTGGACGCAGACTCCTTAAGACGCTCCACTTTCTGCCTTACAAACAGTTTCTTACCCTCTGCTACAAAACTGATGAATGGTGCCCCAGCCCTTCCCTGTACCTGACACAAATTCTTAAAAGTTTATTACTAAGGATGTGCTAAATATCCTAAATAAAATCTTGATTGTTATTTTAACAATGTACAAATGAAAATACTGAGTACGTCTCTCAATTCGCAAAAACTATCAAAACTGAGAGTCCAGTGTCTCCCACTCATAGAGGACTCTTAGGCAGCAGTCTGCTCTGGTATATTTTTGACCACCCAAGTACTATCGCCAAACAGTTTTAAATATTTTCTGTTTTATTTTCACTATAAAATCACTATTCGTTATGACAGAGTTATCACTCTCTACCTGTCATGCCTGATAACGTGAAGTACTCTCTGATAATGTATTGATTCAAGAGCATTTTGTAAAACCCTGTGTCATTGGCAAGCTTCAGTGATGTGCGGGCCACTTTTTGTAGCAACCATATATTGAGGGAAAGATTACAAAACAGCAGTTATGTTCTTTGAACTTGTTTAGAAAAAGGTGCAAATAATAGAGGGATACAAAAAAACCCTTTCTTCTTCTAGTGATATCACTATTTTCTCATATTTACTTAGATGACTCAGTACCCTGTGAGGAACTCTTGGTTTATGTTAACCTTAGTGCCCTCTACTGGCTGATTTGTACATCTTGACTTAACTAATCTTGCTCTGTGTATGGCATTGTGTTTTTTTTAGTGCCATACAGAGCAAGCTCAATCTTTTTATTGCCAAATTCATCAATTGTGTATATTTGTTGTTCAAAATGCAAGAAAGGCTGTTTCTTCAGTGCTTTCTTCATGCTTGCCCCTCACAGCAGTTACAGGCATTAAAAATCACAGTAAAAAACTTGTGAGTCTTGTCAATTGTCGTTTTAAACCATTCTAAGAGACAGGTTAGGTATAAAATGACTGGTCTTCTAGTGCATTAAAGTCTTACTTTTCCATGAACTGCAGAGTGAAGTTGGTGGTTTCTTGAGCGACAGCCTGGATTTGCTCTGACCCCCTGCAATTGTAGGTGTTCCCACAGTGAGCATAAACTCCTGTTAGCTCCACCCCCTCCGTCCCAGCGATGGCCTGAGCCAATCTAAGCGCCTCAGGCTCTGAGTGCAGGACACCGGCTTCGGAACAAACAAACAGAAGCAAAAGATTTGCACCTTATTTCCACAGATCAGCAGGTGATGAAGAGCTGTCATTCATTTCTCTGCGTGTTTACCTCTCCCATTACCACAGTCGAGTTTCAGCCAAATGTGCCACAGCCGGCCGTCCTTTAATGGTCTCCGTTTGAGCTGCTCCAGAGCATCAGGATGATCAAGTAAAACCTGGAAGAGATCAAGTCTCTCTGACAGGGCTGCACAGCGCTCCACCTGAACACACACACACACACACACACACACACACACACACACACACACACACACACACACACACACACACACACACAGCAAATTAGTTTAACTGGTGACTTTAAAAAGCAAATAAGATCTTGTAGAAGCTAGATAAAACTTGATCAAAATTTATGTTAAACATGGATTACGTGTTTTCAGTTGTAATGATAAACAGTTGGTTTAAAGGCAAACAATAATCTATCAATGCCACTGACGATAACTAAATCGATTTAAAAGCAAGGACTCGTTTCTCCACAGGGGGCGCCAAAGTTGTCCAAAACTAAAAGTTCCTCACAGGTGCTTTACATTCACTTCAATTTTTTTCACAATCTTTGAGTATGACTGTATTAAAAATGTTTGCAGAAAAGAAAAGCATGTTTTTAGTGTGCAATAAACAGACAACCTTATCAAAAGGAAGGCAGTACGCATACAGGATGTCGTCAAACCCATGGTCAGCATAGAAACAGGCTTCTGCCAGTGTAGAGACCACAATGCACCGCTGTGATCCACCCGTCATAAGGTCAGCACATTCACTACACGTGAAGAAACACAAGCTGGATCAGTATTACTTAAGTTTATGGACATGAGGATCATTCTATAGATGTGTGTGTGTGTGTTCATACAGGGTTTTGTGTGTCTTCATGTGAGGCCGTAGCTGCACCCCCATCCTCTGATAGCGGTCAATCATCCTCTGAGCATTTTTCTTCACTTTGTCCATGTCCACTACCAGAGCAGGGGTACTCAGGGCTGAGAGGGCCTCTCCCTCCATAGTGGAAATCACTGAAACAAATACAAACACAAATACACATATTTACACACAAGTACAAACACATACTGTAGGCTTCTCGTGCAATTAAATTCTTGTGCATGACTGACCTCATCTCAACTAAAGCCCAACTACAACACCACAATCTACAAATGGTATACTGGGCTGCAATGCAAAAAAAAAAAAACCTATAAGAACTTTTTACACACACACCCCAACACACACATACTCACACACACACACAGGCTGACTGAGCCTCTTTCTAAAGCTGTGTGAAATTTCACTGTGGTTGTGCAATGGATAAAGTGGACTTCGAACTTTATACACCTATTTTGCATCTTTTTAAACAACTCTTTATCATTACATACTTACCATCCTTTGATAACAAGAATTGCAAAGTTTATGCATTTAAAATCATTAGCTATTCTAGTAATAATTATTATTATTATGACTATTTTTTCACCAGAAAGACGCAGAGAACCGATTAGTAAGAAAGTGGAGGTTTCATTGCCTTCCCTAGTTTTTCAAACAGTCTGTATTTATGATTTATAGATACTACAGAAACATTAAAAAAGGCTACAGAGACCTCAGACGACTTACCGCTTGACGTGATTCACTGGTTCTTGCCGACAATCCGGATGTGGCGATAGTGATCACGTTCTCCTACGGTGTCCGTCGATGATCAAACCTCCTGACCGAATAAAGAGTGGCGGCATCACGGCCGTTTCAAGTCACGGAAGGATGAAGTAATGTACACATTACAACCAACTGACAAATATTAAATTTACCATTGACCATCTTTCGCTTCACGTTATCAAACCGTAGTCGGTTTAGTGCCTTGGCTAAAGCGCCTTGCGGTGCATGAAACTCATCCGTCGTGACCAGCAGTCAGCCAGCTCCGCATGGTTTATTATTTGCAGATGTCACAAACACATTGGCAAATAACTTTGGGTCTTTGTGATCCTCGAAATCTTATGTAAACTGGAGATCTCTCTTTGTTGTTGTGGTCTGTACAGCAATAACGGCTCAGCATTGGTTTTATTTTTACGCACAGCAGATCCACGAGTGTTAATTTGTGAAACAAGGAGACACGCTTTCTATGTACAGAAACACTGTCTTTCTGTGAATTGTAATCTTAAGATAATGTTTTTTTTCTACTAACTCAAAGAATGATATCTGTAGGCTACAACATGAAATCATAGACCTTCAAGCCCACTGATAACTGAACGCTTTTGGGGAGCTGTATAATGCGCAAAACTCAGCCAGCAGGCCAAATGAGGAAAGAAGGCGTATGGGATGTTGTGTTTCCCCTGGCAAATATTGCATGAATAGCAGTTATATCTCAAATGTTGACTTGTCTTTTTCTTTGTGTGCTCCTCAACAAGCAGGCAAACAAACAAATTTTCTGACAGAGAGGAAGCAAATCATGAATACGGGAGGGTGGGGTAAGTTGAGCCACCCCATGTTGCTTGGAAATGGTAAAAGAAATTGATCATGTGACCAAATATTTAGGCGATGGACATCAATTCATGGAGTCTGCGAAGGTTGGAAGCACATGAGTGAAGGGGTTAGACATTTATTTACAAAAAACATTTTTTCACTCTTGAAAGTGAATTTGGTCCGTCATAAGTTTTATTAGAATTGTGTTCAGACCAAAAAAGATCATTTTAAATTTGTTTTATACCTCAATTGTGGTATCTATGAGCTACAACATGAGGTCAAAAACCTGGCATTAAAGTCCACCATTTTAGCTTAGAGGACTAATAAAGTCATCATAGTAGTTCTGGGGTTCTTTCTGAGTTAAGCCAGTGGCTCAAATGAGAAAGTAAAGAAGTCTGATGAGAGGTTCAGAGTTTCAGTTCAGATTGTTGAAATGTGTTACTTTTTCTCTTCAAATATACAGCTGTAAATGTTCTGAATCACTTATAGTCATTCTCATGTTAAAGTGGGTTTTTACAAAACAGCTTGTTAGCAGTTATATGTAATCATAATAAAAAGAATTATTGCACCAATTGAATAGAGTATAATAGATAAGATGAGGGAGGGCTAGGGTGGAGAGTGTGTGTGTGTGTGTGTGTGTGTGTGTGTGTGTGTGTGTGTGTGGGGGGGGGGGGGGGGATACGGCTCAACTTAACTCGCTCCTATGGTCAACTTACCCCATACACAGGGTAAGTTGACCACAGGAGACCACTTTATTTGGCATGTTACATTATCAAGACAGTTATACACCCATTCTGTTGGTTTGCAGGGATGCGCAACATCTTGAAATTTACGCAGATACACTAGTTAGAGACAAAACTATGATTGACTTGATGTAGTGATCCAAAATATGAGAAATGGCTCATCTTGCCCCACTCTCCCCTATAGAAGAGACTGAGAGGCCAAACAACAACAAAAAAAAAGTCTGTGAAAAAGTTTTGAGAGTGAATGATGGAAATCTATAGCTCTAACCAACAAAACACAGACCTACCTTCCTGTGACTGCCTATTTTACCATTTTGTTACACCTAATTCAAACCTTACTCCAGCCTTAAGTGCAGAGAAAACCTAACTTTGAATTAACCGCTCCTGGCAGACTTGAACACAGGGCCATGTTTTTCAAAGGTGGGAGCGCTAACCCTCTGCCACAGGGCTTCCTGCCTGTGCCTGACTTTTAAGGTCTTTTCATTTAAACCTTGCTCTGGTAAAATGATCAAGTTTATGCCTTCTTTTCACAATCATTAAGAGCCACCTTCTTGCTGCTAAAGTTAAAGTGGTTTAATGACAAATATCACAGGAATCAAAAAACACGATAAAACATCATATACTTTCATATCTTGCAAACACAAAAGACAGTGTAGGGGTCACCACATTAGGCTTTATTAGGACTTCATGTTTCCAGCTGTGACTTTTTTGATGTCGTGTGTCAATATGTCTGTCATTTACTAGAGTTTAATCTCATGTTTGTGTTGTCATGAATGTGTTCAAGTATGGGACTGTGAGACATTTGTCTGTAACAATTTTTTCCTGGACAAGATGTCTACATGGTCTTATCCCCTGAACAAATTACAGTTACTACAGCATAACACGATGTAAAAAAAAATAATATTCAAAACCACTCAGATGGCTTTGTCCTTTATTTTTACGTTAGCACCTTTCATGTAAATACTGAGTTTGTGAAGACAGAGAAAAACTTTTGCAACATAAAATCATGGAAAAGAAAATAAAGCCTACACTTTGTTTCCTACACATTCAATAATCATAAAACTTTCCTCTGGGATACTTGTGAGTGTCTTTGGTTGGAAGTGCTGACCGTAGATTTAGAAAATATAGAACAATCAAGTCGTAGTATACCTCTGTGTGTTTGTGTGCACCAGCTTGTGTGTTTGCATGTAAAAAAATGTTTGAGCTTGTTTTCATGACTTCTAACCTTTATCAGCATTGACATGTAGCCATGCACCTCAGTGCCTTATATCCAGAAATGATAATGATCACAGAGGTTTGTGGTCGCCTCAGTGTGTGTTAATGTTTCCATGAAGGAGCTGGCCCTTCTTTTATTCTGTGGACTCTAACTCTAAGGTGTAGTGCGTTTCAGTTCCTCTCTAGCATATCCAGCGGACAAATCGCTCAAAGAATGATGGTTTGTTCAGCACGGAGAAATCATCTCCTCTAAAGATGGCTGACATGTCCCCTAGAGACACCTTTCGCAGCACCTCTTCATCTGTGTCTTTTCCAATGGCGATGATGGTGGGAACACCCTCGGCACGCCTCATGGCGGACACGCCCTCATCCAGCTGCTCGCTGGACGTGATGCCATCAGTGATGAACACAAAGGCCAACTCAGCGTTTCGACGAGCCAAACGTTCTCCTCGCTACAAAACACAACATACAGGGTTGGAGAAATTAGCTTTCTTGCTATTTTTACCAGAGATCATCCCCAACGTTCATTAAGTGTTGATATGAGGTTATACTCAGCAGTACCTCATCTTTCATATTAAGGAACTATCTCAAACAGTAATTTCAGTTTCCAGCCACTTCTTCGCTAACCCCAAACATTAGCTAGCATTATAACCCCCTGTATAGCATGAACCTATCACATCCAAATGTTAGCTTTCAGCCTTTTCTATGGTGATCCCTAAAGGGTAACAGTAAAATATTTGATGACTGCAAAGAAAACATTTCAAAATCTGTCCTCGCAGTTCTGATATTATGGCTCTCCTTACGTCACTTGCTGATGCAAAGCCACCCTGCCTCTTTAGTTCAAGCTCTTTTAAGCCTGACCTCAACGTTCAGATTGACATTTTTATGTCAAGGTAGGTTGATAGCAAATCAATAATTACACTGTAGGTTAAAATACACTCACAAAAATGCCTCTTTGATCCTTGATACAAAGTTAACTAACAAAAAAGGAGCCACTGTAACTAAGGTAAAAAAAGAAATTACTCAAGACTGTTGCTGTCACAAATAAGTACTGTAAGTCCTACCCTTTCCTGTTTCTGAAATGTTTTGGGCAAACGGTTAAATGATATACAGTAACTTACTTTTTTTTTCAGCAAATGAAAAAATATGCAGTGACTTCAGTGTTTTTTGCAGTACGTTCAAAAAATATGTAGCTGTTGGCATTTTTTTCTGCAGATTTTTGAAATGTTTTCTTTGCAGTCGTCAGATATTTCACAGTTGCCCTTCAGGGCCACCATACTTTTCCTTACTAATGTTTTTTTTTTTTTTTTTTTTTTTTTTTTGTGAAGAAGTGGCTGACTTTTGTTTAGCTGAAGCTAATGGCTGCTGTTTTCACTATAATATAACCTGTTTTCTATCTAAATTTTCACTCTTTTGTATTTTCATTTATTCAAGTAATAAAATAATAAAGACATGCTTTGAAAACTGGCATAGCAGCACAGCTTTTCCATCATGTGGAAGACAGAACACAATGGCTTCTTGGTGAACATTGTCAATTTGCTAGGCTAAGCATTGAGGCAGGGAGCAGTACAAAACAATAAAATACACTATAAATTGTATTGATATTTTATTTTGGTTATGCTACACTAAAACGGCTAGTATAAGATGTTGGGATAAGACAATTGTATCAAATCCTCATTTAACTTGGTAAAGAATATTTCCTCAAATATATCTTTAAATGTTTCATGCTTACAAACCAACATATGTTTGTGTGTGTGTTTTTGTACCTGTGGAATCACCAGATTGTTGACAGCGTAGATGATAGCACTGCCGAGAGCTGAGGAGGAGTCCATGTAGTTGACCGCTCCTAGTGAATCTGATATCACTGTGAGATTGTGTGAGAGCGCAAACTCCACCCTCTGTTCTGATGGGCTGCCATACTGCAGCAGAGCGAAGCGGGCATTCTTCTCATCTGTTTCACTGTTGGCCAAGGTGAGGCGGTTAGCCACGTTCTCGATGAACTCTTTAGCTCTGCGGTGGTTCTCCAGTCCCATCCTCTCAGAACCATCCAGCATGAACACCACATCCACGGGCCGACGAACACAGCTCGCCACAGCAGGCTCTGGAACAGAAACATATAAAGTTTTGATTTAAACATCATGTTCTGCCAGCTACAGCTGAAACACAGATGTTCAGAGAACAAAGCCAGGAAAAATATACCATAGTATGTTGTGCTTTCATTCATGCCAGCTACAGTCACATGAACCTTGTCAAGAAAGTAGTGGCCTCATCAAGACAGCTCTTTTTAGTTTGCTCTACAATTTTATTATCATGACACAAAACTACAAAAACATGAATATATTTCACACAAAACAACACAGATCACATCAGTGAGTTGCAGTCACAGAGCTTATATACCAAACAGTTGGTTGAAGCTGATCTGCCATCATTTTCCTCTAGTCATCATTTCGTACAAGCCAAGCCACATGCAGAAAAAATCATGCACCAATCAAGGGCATAACATACAATAGTCTTTTCTTTGTCAGTGCCAAGTCTGTTAACCAAACATCATCATCTTCCTCCCTCTGACTCATTTACAGTATACTGAGACATGTATAACACCAGATATTTCCACATGCCTTTTCACCAACATGACTAATTCACAAGAAAAAGATATTAAAGCCGTAACCACAACATGTGCAAAACAGCAAAAAATGACTCATAAAGCTAATGGTTCACAGTGGAAATGAGGCTTCATCAAAGAGCCACTGTACGCTGGCTCTACAGAAGAATCAGTCATTTACTTTCCATTTCAATGGAAAGAGTCCACTCTAAAAAATGGAAAAATGATATGTATCACGTATTACACAGGTCTTCTTGTCTCAGACGCAGCTCCTTACACATTAATTCAGAAATATTGAAGAGAGAGGGAGTATTATTATAATCCACATCTTGATCTTGACCCTTCACTTTCACAACTGTAAATATAGCTGCCCTGTCATATCAACTTAGGACCAGCTTCATGTCATGCGACTGTTTTTGCATCAGCCCAGGTGAGTATTGCACCTCTTGAATTAAAATAATGCCCACTATCTTAATAAAATCTAATTTATGTTCAGCAGTAAGCTCATTAGTATTGGGCATCCATTATGGCGAGGTAGCATGGATAGCATAGCATTAGCAGAGTCTCAAGGCTTTCTCTGGGTCTCCCATAATGTCTCCATAGACATATTTGAAGGAGTCGATGAACAGCTGGGTCCACTGCTGCCTGTCTGTTCCTTGGGCGAGTTTGGCTCTCTCCGCTGTGTACGCCATGGTCGCCACTCCAACCCCATACTGCTGCTCACTCAGGCCATTCAGCAGGTTGGCCACGCCCTCCAAAGAGGTGGGGACCAATGATGGGTTGCCTTCCTCGGCCAAAGGCTTCCAGGGGGAAGGGGCTCGCCCAGGAGTGACACCCCCTCCTAAAAGAATTGGGCGGAACAACAGTGTGGGCGGGGTCCCGCTTACACGACCCATCACACATCCAACAAAGTGGAGTGATGCTCATTATTACCTCTACAATGCAACTTTGGTTGGATGTGAAGGCATCATAGTCGCATGAAATTTTTGTATCGTAGAAAAAGTGGAATATTACAACATGAGAGAAACAGACCACTGCTTAAGCAATGTGTTCACACTGACCTCACTAAATAAACCCTATTCAGTGCGTGTTTTACTGTTTGCATCTTCTCACAATCTAAAGCAGAGAAATCTGACCGACAGCTTATTTTTTTTAAACCTGTACACTTTCCACCGCATCCAGAACGGCTCCGATCTGGAACGGATCCTCCACCGATCTGGTGGCGGATTACTGACAGCGGGAATCGCAAGAACTCACAAGAACCCGCGGATTCACGTACAATCGCGTGATAATGAGTAGTCTCTATAGCCACATAACCATGTAAGAAGTAGATTATGTCCTTCCAGAGGAGAAAATCCACTTCAAGACTTTTAAAATCAGCAGCTTCTCATCCATGGTGTCATCGGGATGAAATGCTGTCTAAAGACCTTTTCAGCATGGGTTAATCTGTGCTGAATTTATTTATAGTGTCTGGAAAAAATAGAACTCTTGCGATTAGCTGCTGGGTCTGGCGATCCGCAGCGGAACGGAAAGAACCTGGTTGAAATTGACACATTACCTTGAATGGTGACGATCAGCTACAATCGGCGGATACGGCCTTTTCGTAGCCGTTCCGTATGCGGTGGAAATTGGGGGTAAGAAACTTTCTGTCAGGGTTGATTTTGGAACCGCCAGTGGACAAAGCGGCTACCCCATATCACCCTATCCTAATTTTGTCTGGTTCTTGTGAAACTGGGGTTAATTGATAAAAATATCTACCCCTGCTCTCTTTATACAGCAAAATGTGTCACTCACGGTAAATACTAGCAGTGGGAAAAGTAGCTGAGGCTTTCTTCAGCATACCTGTCCCCTTACTACAATCACAGCCTTTGAAAATTACCATACAAAAATGTTCAATCTTATCGTTTATGGTCTCATCTGCTTTTGAACATCATAGGAGCACGTCACTGTTCATTTCAGTCTCTTTCATAAACTATCAAAAACTTGTCACAGCAGCTTAAAAATCTTTAATGAGGTGTGGCTTGTAAATCAACATGAAGCATTTTAATGTAAGAATTTTTTTTGTGTTTCCTGTCTAATGCCTTCAACAGTATGCCCGCTTTGGCTTTACTTCACGTAAAAAAAAACTTGTATTTTACTTGAGTGAGTGTTTTGGCTTCTGAATGATTTTCAGCTTATAGATTACAGTGCTGCTGCTTATTTACATTCTGCAGGAGAAAGGCAGAGCGGGCACAAATTGTTGTCAAACACTGGCCTGCTGTTGGGACACTATATTATAAACATACTGTTAGGCCTCAGTATGACTCAAACAAGCAAATAACAAGTAATAAAGATGCAGTGTGTAGTATTTAGCTGCGTTTAGCTGAACAGACTTTGTAGAAATGGAACATCATATCTACATAAGAGCGGCTCCCACAGAAACCACCATCTTGTACTGCCATGTTTCATGTAGTTGGAGTCACAAATTTTTGAACTTACTGAGTGGTCGTGTGAAATGCAGTGGTTGGAAAAGAAGAAAAATTTGGGCTGATAAGGGGTACAAAACCTGATGAATCAAGGATTATGCTTATCATGGATCACAGCGACTTCTTGTCCACCTGATGCTTCACTGACACAAAGGGAGTGTTTCAATCTATAATATGACTGTTCAATATCATGAATTATTCCCATTTCACGCTGTACCTCTGAGGATAAAGGTCAGAATAATCACTTCCCCGAAAAACCTGTCATTATAAAATATACAGGATATTTGAATCATAAAAGTGGAGTTCAGTGTGCACATTTACTGATCTAATAGGCACTGCTTGCATTGATGCTCCTTGTATTCAAAATGTCAAGTGATTTATGCAGTTATATAAGGATGACTAAATGGGACATTTCATTCAAAAAAGATGCAAAAGCTGGGCACAAGCCCCTGATATGTGACATTTTTTCACACACCTGATGTAAATGATCTGATGAGAGATTCATTTGGAGCGTATTGATGCATTGGTGCTGGTTATTCAACATTATAGTTGAAACAACCTAAAGTCAAGAGAACATCAAATCATGAAGGTTTTTAACATTTTTACCTGATTTACAGGGGAGGTCAGGGCAAACGATGACAGGATCTAAATGAAAAATAAAGAGAGACTGTAAGAAAAAGGTCTGGGAAAAAAATAGGCTCATTAAATTGACTATGTGGGTATCTGGTCTGTAATGTGTGTGACTGTTGTACCTGGGCAGAGCACAGTCTCAATCTTGTCAATGAACTCCTCAGCCACCAGGTCTGAAAAGCGCCTCATGCCCAGCACTCTGCTGTCTCTCTGACAGGAGATGCTCTTCAGAATTTCGTTCTCTTCAATCTGGTCGAACATGTCTCCAATACCAATGGCACTCACATCAACACTGGGATCACTGCTCAGTGCACATTTACACAAAGAAACAAGCAATAAGTGTTTTCTTCAGCACAAGGGGTGATTTAACATCTCATGGTGGATCCCCAGTGTAAGGCACCTGCAGAGGTAAGTGAGCAGTGAGTCATCATCTCTGGGATCGTAACGTCCATCAGTGATGACGACCACGGTGACGTTGGCTTTGGCTCTGCGGCTGTCTCTGATCAGGTTGTCGTAGGCGTACTTCAGAGCAGATGGAGTCCATGTTCCTCCAGCGATCCACTCCAAACGCTTCACTGCATCCTGCGCAGAGGGTGAAAGCATGTGAGAGAAGTGCACAGGAGTAAGATGTGATATAACATCAGCACTGAGTGTAAACATGGAGGTAAGAGCTTCTTCCATCTTTACAGAGGGGGTCAACAGAAGTGAGGTGACACTGCAGGACGTTTGGGGATTTGGTTTGCTTTTGACAACATTGCAGGCATGGCTGTGAACTGTTTTGAAGTAAAAGTAGCCTAAAGTTAGTTTTTTAAACTGAATTAAGAGGAGACTTATTGTGCTGATATGTACTTTAATTTATACTATATGATAGCAGAATATTGGATATCAACACTAAACTACAGAAAAGTTTATTTGCATGAGGTACACAGAAGGTTGTGTAATTTCCAGACCGGCTCTGTCCAGTTCAGGATGGGACACAGCCTTGAATCTTCATGCTGCGCCCCACTATCAGGACAATGTTAAAGGCATCCTGCACACTACATTTTGCTGATTTAGTACAGTATGTTTTGGAAAGCTGCTTTCATATTCATTCAAGATTAATCAGTGAATTTAAGGAATATAATAAGAGACAGGTATTATATATAATGAAAAGATGTGGGATAGTTCCCATCTTTCTATGAAGCTGTACATGTGATCTAGGAGCACACGAGCTTTGACTAATCAGAAATATCTGGACTAGAGAGACAAAAGAAAATCTGTGCTACAGCCCATTTTTTCTGCATATATCTGTGTCTGTTTCTGTGTCAGACCTTGAAAGCAGACAGTGAATCAATCTTTGGGTCATCGAGGCGGATGGCCTGGAAGGTCCCGCTGTGACTGTACTGAACAACTCCAACTCTTGTGCCTGTCAACAGGATAAATGTTGTCAAAACCGAGCTTTTGTCAGTGCTGAAGTCATTAAACAGAAAAGAGAACACATGCATGAGTGTGTCGACCTGTTTCTGACTGTGAGTCTTTGGCGAGGGATCCCAGTCTGTTGATGGTGTTGATGACAAAGTTCTTCTCCAGGGTGAAGTTGGTCAGACCCACAGACTCTGAGCTGTCAATCACAAACACAATGTCCAAGGCTCCACAGCGCTTCTCACAATCTGCAGGAAAAAAAAAAAATCACACAAATTGTCAAAATGAGGCAGTAGAGTTAAGCTGCATTTTTTAAAGACCTTTCAGCTTTATCGGGGATTAAAATTCTGAATGATAAGATCCATAGTTGCACTGTGAGAGAGGAGGGAGCTTCTAGCTAAGTAAGCTAAGTGCTGGGTATCACCTCAGCTTATTCCAGTCACTCAACTAAACCTTTGCAGTCCGATTGCCTTTGAAGGATGTATCATGCAAGTATCTATCAAATAATATGACTTTCTATGTGATTTATTACACTTATAGACCAACAAGATCTGAGCCTTTGCTAACCCTTTGTTTATTTCCTGCTAGACCCGACTATCACTTCTGACTCCAGGCTTTGTAACAGCAGACTACAAAGAACAGGTGATTTCACCTCAGCTGTGCCCACTTATTCAAGACAAACAGGGTGATTTCCCATGTGGCATCATCTTACATATTAGGCGTTACTGTGCTGGAAACTCAGCGTATAGTACTATTGATAGCTGAATGAAAGACATTAGACTGCTGCCAGTGAAGACACTTTTATCAGCCTATCTTGGTTTTCATCATCAAATTAGATGTTTAGCCATAGTTTCCTTGACCCTCTATTGAAGAATATCTCAGTCCTCTGTGCAGCCAGTGAATCTATGTAAAGTCCCTCTGAGGGAGTCTTCATGAAGTTCTTGTGTTTTGTGCAAAGTTAATTAAGTTAAAGTTTGTCACAGCTGATGGAGCAGCTGAAAGCCCCACAGGTTCTTCCACATGATTGATAAAGTAAAGTAAAGTTCCATGGAAAGCAAAGGTAAAAGTTGACAATAACTTCTGACAATAACTTGAATTCAGAGACCTGGATGTTGTTGGGACATACCACACCTCAGCAATGGCGATTTGTTAATGTCGGGCGGTTCACCAGATTAGTCCATACAGTCATAAGTTAACTCACCACAGCAGCCACAAGTTTCCCTGATGTAGTTCATGACGTCACACTCCTGCAAGGCAAAAAACAACATTTTTCACATCTTTCCGTTGTTTCTGTTCATGAGCCAGTGAAAATAAGGGCAGATATCAAATGTTCTTACAGTGAGGCCGGGGTCTCCCTCAGGGCCAGGATCTCCCTGTCGAGAAAGAAAACACATGAAATCACATCATTTCTTTCACCTTTTAGAAACTTACATAAAATGCTAATAGCTAAACAAACATCTGTTTGGCTTTGTTTGCCTTGCTGTGCAACTGATTTGCTTCATTTTCAGTTTGTCAGTGCCCCTGAAAACGCCTGTTTTCTTGATTTATAGTACTCACATCACGCCCAAGCTCTCCTCTTGGTCCTCTTGTACCAGGTTCACCTTGAGGTCCTGGCTCACCCTGTAGGAAGCAGAAAAGATCTCTAACTGCACTGAAAAGACACCTTTCACTTAAGTGTTTGCATAATTACCGCAAGCAGCTACTTACTGCCTCTCCTGGAGTTCCTTTAACTCCAGGCTCACCCTTTTGACCACAGTCTCCTCTGCTGCCACGAGGTCCACGGTTGCCCTTCTCTCCTCTTTCACCCTACACAAAAGAAGCAAACGAGAAACTCATGAGCGTATTCTGCCGTTCTGGATAATGACTGTGAAGAGATAGAATGCATGGGTAAGTTACCGATGGTCCTCTTGCTCCAGGATAGCTAAAGCCAGGTCTACCAGTGTCTCCCTGAGAAGAATCAAAAGAAGAGAGTCAAGACAGGAAAATGCAACCAGCAAAACAATGAGGACACTGACATGCTTGCACAGATACACAGAAAACGTACCTTTGGTCCAGGAGGTCCAGGCTCTCCTCTTGGTCCTGCATCACCAGGGTCACCTCTTGTGCCCTGTGGTAGAGAAGATGTTAGTGTGAGTTGAGAGATTGAATCATCTTTTTTCATGCTGTCAAGAAACAGCAATGCAAAAACAAATAAGTAAAGCACTGCCAAATTAGATCTTAAAATTTGATCGTATTTTCTTCTCTACGTTTTATGACATGTGCCAATCAGTGTAAATGACCACTGCTATGAACTTCTTGTTTACTTATTTTTGGCACAATATCAATCTCTTATTTTCCACTGGGACAGTTTTAACCAACACTGGTATACTGGGACAACCCTAATCAGTACCTCCATATTAACAGTCCTTATAAAAGTATGTGCACTAATACTTGAGTACAATAATGATGTATATTTTGTTTTATTTCTGAGCTTTATGTGATATCCAAGATGTGAATTTAACTCACATTTCTTCCTGGTTCTCCTGGGGGTCCTGGTTGTCCCCTCGGACCGGGAAGGCCGTTGTCTCCCTGTTCAGAAGAGAGAAAGTTAACAACAGGTGCAACAAAGGGAGATAGAAAGTTTGAGATCTGATCATGTATATATGACCATCATCAAGTTAAAACAGGTCCTCTTACTTTTGTTCCTTTGTTTCCTTGTTCACCTGAAAGTCCTCTTGTGCCCTCTGGTCCATTTTCACCCTGCAACATAAAAAAACTTCTTAGACCCCCAGCTCAAAAACACTGTAAAAAATCAAGAAAGCAATATAACATAAAAGTGATTTACACCTCTGTGATGTTGGACTCAGGTTTTTACCTTTTCTCCCTTTATTCCCTCCGGCCCTTGAGCACCCTTTGGCCCGTAGTCTCCTCTCCTTCCCTAAAAAAACAAGAACAGTTGGAAACCTACACAAAACCAGCCATGACAGAGATTAACAAAAGTCAATGTATGAATCTTACCGGCTCCCCTCTAACTCCTGGACTTCCAGGTGTTCCCTGTAAAAAAAATAAATGAAGACTCAGGTGAGCTAATCGATGCATTCAAATGAAAACATATTTGAACTGCTTCTGTCTGTGGAGATGAGTCGTACCGGGTTTCCTTTCTGTCCAGGAACACCAGGTGATCCAGGACTTCCGCTCTCTCCCTGTGGAGGAAGAACAAGAGTTAATTCCCCAGATTTTCTAAAATCATTTAACATGATCTCTAACTTTCTGTACTCTTGATTACCTTTGGTCCAGCTCCTCCAGCAGGGCCAGAAGGACCAGGTCTTCCAGGACGGCCAGGATCACCCTGAAGACACACACAAAGATGGTCAGACAGAATTTAACGACAGGCTGAATGACTGATTCAGATTGAGGCAAATTGAGAATTATATTCACCTTTTCTCCTTCAGTTCCAGGGGGACCATGCTCACCTACATCTCCAGGATGACCATCGGGACCCTTCGAAGTATCAAAACACACAATAATTATTATTGCTTCTTTTGACATTGATGAACTTTGTCAGTATTTGATCATAAGTAGGATCATACTCTGTCGCCTGGGTCTCCTTTGCAGCCAGGAGCACCGATGCGTCCAATTTTACCCTGAAAAGAGAAGAAAATGGTCAAAGCAGAGTGTCAAAATAAATGTTTTTAATTTTGTTTTTTCATTTTACAACCTTTTTAATTTTAAGTTAATGTTAATAATGTACCTAAATAAAAATGTTAAATCTATATTAATGAAAGTGTTGATAAAAACAGACTTTGGTGTTCGCAATTCATTTAAAGCCCAAATTCAATTCTTTAATTAATGACGACAAATCAAATGTTGAAACTTAAAAATGTTGGTCGTATTTTTCAATAGGTGAAAAGTCAGAACTGTGGTCAGTCTAGGCTAGCCTCTTAACTCTTCCAGTACAGAGCCATGGTGGTGTAATCTACGCAAAATGTGATTCGGCATCTTCTTCCTATATTTATGCTAGATATTCCCTGAAAATGAGCTGTAAATAGGGGGTATCAGGGGTAATGGACCCTCCCCCAGTGACGATTGCTCTAAGACTGCAAGGGAAGCTCAGCTTCCCTTAAAATGTCACCCCCCCAAAAAAAGAAAAAGTGGTGAAATACGTACTGCTGTGTGTACATTTCATTAACTAAATACGCACTAGAAAGCCTTCATCTTTTGTTCAGACACTGTGATAAGAAGCTGATAATCACAGGTAACCGGCATAACTTCCTTCTCATTCATCCTCGCAGCGCCTCAGCTCTTTAATCAGCCGGACGCTGGGCTTCTGCTGACTTCAATGTGGAAGCTCAAAGTGGGTTTTTCCAGCAGCGAAACTAGACACTCATTGGATAAATGCTGGGCTTTGTCCCGCCCATCGGACGCCTGGCGTCTCTGGAGTTCTATGGCGAGAGGGCGGTCCCGACTTTCTCCCGGACTCCGAGCTTCTGCATCCATGATTGGATGAGCTGTCTGAGGCGAAATCCTTTTTTGATTGACAGCTAAACAAGCGAATAAGCGATCTTGAAGAATAAAACTTCTACCAGAGCATTTTCCAAGTTATTCATTCCGTTGTTCTTAACTGCTCCGGAGACTTTACCGATCCTCAGCGACTTTTGTCTTTGTTAAAAACGACTGCCGTTGTGTTTGGCGACTCTGTTCTGTTACATACAAATAAACAAATACAATTAAGGTGTAGGCCAGAAAAATGAGCTTCCCCTCCTTGAAAGACCAGCAGCCGCCACTGCCCTCCCCAGATGTTTAAACTAGCCATGCCTTAGGCACTTATACAGTCCACATACCACCACGGATGCTGGCTTTCAAGTTGCACTAAAACAAGTCAGGTGGCCCTCTCCTCTTCAAAGTGGAAGATTCTGCGGTCATGATCTCCTAAGACCACAGGACAGTTTTCCACTTTGCCTCAGTCCAGTTTATATATGCCCTGGCCCATAGAAGTCGACAAAGTTTGTGGATTATGTTTATTTGTTGCATGGTACAGTTTAACCTGTATTTTAAGATGCAGTGACAAACTTCATTCACAGTTAGTGGTTTTTTGGAAGTCATTTTAAGACCATGTGGTGACTTCCATTACAGAGTTATGTCCGTTTTTTAATACAGTGCCACCTTTGGGCCTGGGGGTCATGGCTGTCCAGTACTGTTTTTTGGCCTAGTCCTTGAATATTTTGAACTTTTAAGCTAAAGAACATTTTTCTGGAGTTGTTGAACTATACGCTCATGCAGTCTCTCTCAGAGTGCTTAACCACCTCCCATCTTTTCCTCTGAGAGACTCAGTGTCTCCAGAGCACTCTTATTTATTCCCATTCATGTTACTAACATAACTATTTGATAACAACTTTTTAAGCCCCAATATTTTTCCTGAAACATGTGCAGGCATCAAATTGAAAATTAATTTTGGTATTAAAATTAGAAAACAAAAATGTTGCTCCTAAACTCAATGCTGTGCTCACCTTTTGTCCATCTGTCCCGTTGCGTCCTGGGATGCCTGCTACACCCTAATAACAAAAACAGGATACAGTTAGAGGAGAAAGACCAAACACTTCTCAAAGAAATGATAATTTACTATCTGGTTGTGAAGAAACTGAAAATAAATAACTTAAAAACATACCTTTTTCCCCTGAGCTCCCATCTCTCCCTGTGGACAGACAGAAAATCAATTACCATTTTGTGCACAATTAAAACTCTTCTAAGGAACTTTTGGTTAATCATGATAATGGAGAAGACAGAACCTGATATTAAAATTTGATATGAACTCTCATTTGTTCATCACTTGTTAAAAACTCCTCACAGGAGCTTCAGGAGTTTTCAGTCAAAAATTTGATCCACAAGAAGCAAATGAAGTCTCACCTTGTCGCCTTTAAAACCTGATTCTCCCTATAATAGACAAGAAAAAAGGAAAGAAAATAAGCATACATATGCTGACGTATTTAAGATCCCTATTTTCCATGTTGAACAGTGTTCAATGGGAGGTTCAAGTTTAGAGTCTTACTTTAATACCAGGCTGACCGATGGGACCCTCAATTCCGGGGTCTCCTGGACGACCTCTCTCTCCTTTCAGACCTGGTTCCCCGTTGTCTCCTTTAGCTCCCTGCAGACAGCCAGTTAAAGTGAGTTATATGTGAGGCTAAATGTAAGTATTATAAAGACTCCACGACTGTGTGCAGCATGTTTGTGAGCCTCACTTTTTGTCCTCTGTGGCCTTTTGGACCGTGGGGCCCTGGTGTCTCCAGACAGGACACACTGTAGCACTGTAACACAAAGGAAAAGAAGACAAACCATCATTCATGTTCCAGTCTTTAAAATAAAAGTTTATGATATTTCTGCTCACTGGTTTTTAAGTTGTCTTACCTCTTCAAAGGCCAGGTGTTGCTATGGAGACAAAAGAAACAAAGTTTCTCAGTGAGTGTGTTGTCACAGTCATTTTACATTTCATCCCTCTGTACAGTGGATCTCATCATTTCTGATGTGTGTAATTGCAAATATTGATTTTTGTGCTTGTAAAATAAGGTTACCATGGTCTTAATGATGCGGTTGATGGTTCTTTCATGAATGCTGGCTCTTCCCTGGCTCAGATCCACAGCCATGAACTCGTCCCTGTAGACCGCTGCAGGAGAGTTGGCAATCTCCCTCATCCCTGTCTCTTCCAGGTTCCTCGTTGCCGCTACAGAAAACAACCTGATGCCCTCATCTCGAGCCCTCTCTGCTGCCACTTTGATGCCTCCACATGGGTTTCCAGTCACATGGCCGTCAGTGATGACTACGGCAAACCGTAGGGCTTTGGGGGCTGTGGGTGAGCGTAGCATCATTGTGGTCATGTTGGTGAGGGCACAGTCGATGTAGGTGCCCTTACCCAGGTAAGTGTCCTTATTCAGGAGCCTATCCAGAGCCTGGAAACAAACAAGGTGGGGTCATGAGGTGGAAACCACTTAGGGATCAAAACAGGCTAAGTATACAGTGTATAAGGCTCACTTTGTGGTTATTAGTAACTGGTTATATGAACATTTCAATTCAAGTAAACAGGATTTCGTGATGTCATACTTATTTTTCTCATTTGTTGTTCCCAACCTTGTATGCGAGAACCTTGTACCTTGAGCACTTACCTTCACTGAGCTTATCTTAACCATCTTGTCGTATCTTAATTTATCTCTGCTTAGTTTACCAGAAACTTCTGATACAAGCAAAAATTGCTAAATGGCAAAACTAGATGGTAACAAAACATTTGGATCTGACTTATATTTAAACTTAAACTCAACTAAATGCAGTGCTTCAATAGTTTTCAATTTTTGGGGCGGAACTATTTTCTGGCTGTGTAAAAAAAAAAAAAAACTTAACTTTTCAGAAAATGAATACTTGGACATTAATCAACACAAGAACCAACAAAACTGACAGAAACCATGTTTGATATTTATTCTGATTTCATAATTTGATCCATGTTTGATATGCCATAATGTAGGAGGCAGGGAAATGACCTATACAGCAGCCAGTCTATAGGGGGAGCTCTGATTTTTTAGCCTGAAAGTCCTTGAACAGTTGTGGCCTCCATTTAAAAAACACAGTCCATCAGTGGTTAGGGCTAGACTTAACTGGCCTTGGGCACTGACCTAACCCAAAATCTTGGGGTGTCACCTCCACACATCACATTTATATTCACTTCTTAGACTTCTTCCATTCACTTCTTTCAGAGTGGTCACTTTAATGGCCAATAAGATTTCAGAGAGGACCCCCCAGTGTAAATGAGCCATGAAATTCCAGTCTGCCTGTTGACACTATGGCAAAAATATTTGTGGTTTTGTGGCACAATGTAGCTTGTTCTTCAGGAAATAATGACAGCAGGTGTGCACAGGTGTGAGATCGGTCAGAGGATCTACCCAGGCTCTCCAACCATCTCTAGTTGTTAAAAAGTGGAGCACAATCCCATCCTGCAAACCAGACAACTAAACATGCACCGATAAATCGGCCAGCTGATCAATCAGTGCCGATTTCCTCAATTTTGGGGGATCGGTGATCAGCTGATCCTTACATGTGAAACCGATTTTATCCACTGACCTTATCTACCTCAGCAAAGGTCTGAAAGTCAGCTGTTGTAGCTTTTTGCTTTGCCAGAATGACAGGGCTGTCCACCAGGTCACGTGTGCACGCTTGCGTGCGTCAGCGCCAGTGGCACACACAACAGTCATCGGGAGCATGATCAACCAAGCATGCTGAACCGCTACAAGGAATCCTAAAACTCAGGACAGTTTATTTGTCTTTAAGTTGTGTTGTTAGTTTGTCTTGTAATTGTTATTTTACTAACTTCCTCAAACCTTGTGATTTCCTTGATTTGTAAAAGCAAAATACTGCTATGCACTTTATTTTGGTAAGAGGCTCAAAACAGGCCTGCAGTGTGACCTGTTGCGCAAGTATTGTTAATTTTTAAAACGTGGAAAATAAAAGGCTAAAGGCACTGATATCTTAAAGTAGTTTGGACAGTAATATTCTAAACTTTTCATTTATATTTGAGAGAACTAACTCATGTGCAGTTAAAACAAACACAAAAAGTTTGTATTGTTTCACAAGTATTGGTCAATGTTTTTCATTAAAGTAGATTGGAGCATCGGAGGTGTATGTTGTCAGTTGTAAAAAAAAACGGTAGTGGCCAAAATCGGTATCGGCAGGTCAAGCTTTTTTAGAGATCAGTGATTGGTGATTGGCCAGAAAATTGTGATTGGTGCAGCCCTACAGACAACAGCAGCAAAGTTGTTGAATGCTACTAAGTACACTTTGTGCTGGATCCTGCTGGCTTACTTTTACATAAGCCACAATAACCTTCATCCTGAATCAATGTTACAAAGGTGACTTTAGGGCATTTTCCTGCTTTTATTGTGGTAGGAACACAGGACTAGTAGATCCTTGCAATAGGAAAGTTGGCTAGTAAGCCAGAGGCCATTAGCTACAAGCAGAAGATATTATCTATAAAGCTTTAACAGTTTTTCATCAGCATTACATTTGAAGTGTCTCAGAGCACAGTGAATTGACTGCAGTTGTCCTTAATGTAAATAAGTGAGATAGAAAAACAAATTTAAAGTATGCGTTGTAATGAATGCAGCAGTGTTTTTCTAGGCTCAAAACTCTTTAAATGTTAACCCTTCTGGTCTTTATAAGAAATCCTCCATCCACAGAGCGCCTGATAACCAAACCCTGGGATTTTTGGGCATTCTACTGTACAATTTACAGCTGTGACAGGATAACTTTCAATGACATCCAAAGACTTTGAGAGCCCCTAATATTAAACTTGTGTGCGTGCGCGCGTGCGTGGGTATGTGTGTGTGTGTGTGTGTGTGTGTGTGTGTGTGTGTGTGTGTGTGTGTGTGTGTGTGTGTGTGCGTGTGTGTGTGTGTGTTGCTCACAGATATAAAATCGGTCCTTGATCCGATGCTCATGATTTCCTTCTGTGTCTGTGAGAAGTGAAGTCCTCCGGTGTTCCAGCTGATCTTCACGGCTCCTCTGTATTCCACATCCTGCAAACGCTGCACAAAGCGCTTCACAAACTCCTACAACAAAAACAAAAAACATGGTTTGTATAGTCAACTGATAGGTAGGGCTGTGTTTACATGTTAAAGTAGTAATGGTGCGGCAAAAAGGCGAACCCTGATGCTGTCCACCAGAGATCCAGGTGGAGGCTCCAGCAGGGCGATGGTCTCGGATGTGTCAACAGTGAAGTATATGTCTATGGGACATTCATTTTTCTCTGGAGGGACACAAAAACAACCCCATGTAAAATTAAAAAGGTGTTTCTTAATTAATGCATTTGAATGAGAAACTTGAACTATTTCACGCTTTTATTAGCAGGAAATGTGATTGTGGCTTTGAAGCAACGAAGATTCAGTCTCTGAGCACTCACTCCTGCACTCTGCTGTCTGACCATGAGCCAGAGCTCCAAAGAGGAGACAGAGCGCGGCGACCTTTAACCCCAGCATGTTCCTCCTTGACGATCTGAAACAGAGAAGAACAAGACAAACAAACGATAAATTATTATGTTTTTAAAAATCACAGTGAACTAAGAGAAATAGAAACTGGGGGACAATGTAAGAGATATTCAAAAAAAGAAGGAAGGCAAAAAAATAAAAAGACTTGTTTCCAATTTAAATTAAAAAAAAGCATGTGCTGAACCACTAATAAAATAGCAGCTGACTACTGTGCAGTTTTATTATAAAAAGATATTTGTTTGATTTTGTGTCTTAGATGTCTATCTGCAAAATAAAACTAATCTCCACATTTGGATTCTGCAGCTGGTTTCAATTTAAAGTAATCATGAGAAGAAACTGCCTGTCGCTGAGGGAACAAAATGGCTGCTACAGAGTTATGTAACCAGTTTGAAAGCATGACATGAGTTAAACATGGCTCCGCTGTCTTGTGTTAAAGATGGAAACACCAACTAGAAACTTTGAGAGAGTGACTCATACCCACAGGGAACGACAGGAGTCAATAAACATTCATGTAGCTCAACTAAATCTCTGTAACCTCACATTATAAAGAACTCATGACTTAGGTATATGTGAAATGTAAACTCTGGAAAATATATTACTTTTCTCAGATAAACTGGCCATATAAGAAAGAAAAAGTCTGCAAACTGTATTTGTGTGATAAAAATAATTTAAGAAAACATCATATACAGCTATTCCCTCAGGACACAGTAATACTGATAACTTCTGTCTGCAAATAATCACGTACCATCTACAATCTCCCGTTCTCTTCCCCATTAATTGTCATTCTTTTTTTTTTTCCTTTCTTTTTTTTGGGTCTATTTTCTGCTTCCTCTTTCTTTTGTCTTCTTTTCTTTTGACATGTTGGTCCCATTTGTCGGTCTTTGTAGTTGTTGCTGCTTTACATTATTCTATCATATAGTCCCGCCTACTGTAAGGCACATTTTTTCATTAAATAAATAAATATTGAATATAGTTTTTACATATCAATTTAACGAGCCATCGATTTTAAAGGCGTCAGTCTGCTGCCCTCTAGAGGCTCCCCCTTTTCTCTGCGGCTGTCGTAACAGGAGTGAACCATCAGGGGGCCCCTCTCACATTGACCCTCGTTTAGAATGACATGAATATGTTCCTGTTCACAATAAGTGAGCAAATCATACAGATCCTGCTTTAAAATGTATGCTGATGTTTTCTCAGGTACAAATAATCCAAATCAAATCAACACTCAACCAAATAAATGAAAAACAACTGATGACATGCTCTTAGGAGACCTCAAAGGCCCATCAACATTGGGACCAGGGCTCTTATTCAAATCCATCTTCTCCGTTCATGCAGCTGACTGTAACATCAAACCATGCCTACAGCTGGTCTAATACATGTTCCTCTTTCCACACGACTTCAGATCCACCACAGGGCCTTTAGTTGCTCCCATCCGTGGCTGCAACCCTATAAGTACAATGTCAAAAGATCTATGCCCTAACAGTTATGAGATTAACAGAAAAGTGTCCCCTCTTCAAAGTCACAACCATCAGGGTGGCAGGACAGGTGGGTAAAAGAGTGCTGGGTGTTCAGCGCCCTCATATCAGAGGGGCCCATAAGTACAGGAGAAAGAATAGCCATGTTAAGGATGCTCAAAGACCATGGTTAGGGCCCAGAAATCGTTGCTACAACCCTGAAAACCACAAATTCATTCTCCAAGCGAGATACGTTCACTTTGATCAGATCAGACATCATCCTATCAGCACTTTACCCTTTTCACCCCCTTCTAATGAAATCTGCAGAGGCTTCATCTCACATGGGCTATGCCTGCTGCCTTACATTACATTCAGTTAATAAGAGACACAGCAATCACAGAACTATCACCCCAGGTCCTCTTTAGGTCATCCCAAATGCACACAGACTAACGAACACCTTCAGAGGCTCAAGGTCTGCAGCGGCTGTGGCTCCCTCCAGCGGGCAGTCTCAGCTGTGGGCTGCGGAGCACTCGCTCCTACAGATGTTCCCATTCCTCTCCTCACTCCCTGTTCGGTAAGGGGAGTGAGCCTTCACAGCATTTCATCTCTGCACAGGTAGATGTGATGTGAAAATCTGCAGATATCAGCCTTCTAAAACTCCTGCTCCAAGAAGGCCATCGTTAGACTTTAAGTTTTTAGCAATTGCGCATTAAATGTTTAGTTTAAGAGAAAAATAAAACATAATTCCAGTGGTTTAGAGTAAGTTTTTAGACTTGCACAGAGGTCATTCAATAAGAAAAAAGAGGGAGAGACAGGAACTGTAGATATGCTCATAGAGATATGCGTACAAAGAAAGACACATTACCAGCTCGTTGTGCGTAAAAGTTCTTCTTACCCGAACTCTCCGACAACTTTTTCACTTCGTGAGTCTCTGTTCCTGAGTGGATTACCTCCTCATGTCCGCAAGAAGAAACACCGAGAAAGAAAAGTGGCCCACAGGAGGTAGAAAGGGGGAAATAAAGCTCTGGATGCGCGTTTACTCCCCGCAGAAGAGCCGTCCGCTCGCTCTCCTGTCCCGGTCCAGCTCCAGCGACGAGCTCTGATCCCTCCTCCTGCACGCGCAGGACGCACCCCAGTGCTAACGACCGTCCGCTTGGAGGCGCCATGGCTCCGCACCCGGAACCCGCGTGTACGCGCGTGCGTGTACCCGCGGCCATACACTGTAGCCAACCAGCATTGGTGCCATGCTACAGAAAGAGGGGATGCCAAAGCACAGCTGGAGTTTAGAGTAAATCTCCCCCCTGAAGATGTCTTTAACTCCACACACAGAAACTGTAATGTTCACTTACTATCTGCAGATTTGACTATTTTATGGATGTAACCCTCAGAGGAGCCACCCCAGGCTGGGACACACTGAGCTTTTATGTCCCTAACATTGAGCATCAGGAGGTTTCAGAGTTAATCTCATACATGTGGTGAGTAAGAATGAAATAAAACAGGATAAAGAGCAGACTTGACCCCCTCCTCACTCATAAACACACACTCTCCCTCACATACACGTACACACACACTCACACAAAGGGCCCTGGCCTGTGACTAGTGGTCTGGTTGCAATTAGTAGGTAGAGTGAGAGGAGTTTACACTCTCTGTAAACACTGACAGACTGTCCATGAGTCTGCTCACCATGTTTATACCGGTGTAGGTGCTGCAGCTGCCCGTTTGCCTATTTGTATGTGCTGAAGTGTTTGTGCACATGGTGGGAGGTCTGCCTTTAAGAGCGTTTACCACGTCCTGTACACATCTGCATTTACATTTGCACTGTGAGAACGTAAAGCACATTTCTTTTGATTTATCTCTTTTCTGCTCATCATGTTGTGGCTGCACCATGTAACAAACGTGTCAGAGAGAATCTTCTGATGTGCTGCCATTGCATTGAGCAGCAGCACTGTGAAATCCTGGCTAGAACACAAAAGGAACAAACAAAACTGATGTCACTATACTAGTGAATTTCAGTGGAAAAGGGTTGCTCTGAGGTCTGAGTGTAAGATGGTGGTGCAAGACCCAGTAGGCTTCAGAAAATGGGAGAAAAGAGGAAATTGGCTCTAAGAAAAAACTTCAGAGCAGCCAAGACAAATTTCTGAAGAGCAGTTCCAAAATGCACACACACATGCACCACCACATACACACGAATCATGCATACACACATGCAGTAAATCATGCACCAATATATGCACCACCATGACAGGAGGCACACCCATGCACATGCACCCAACAGACTAACACACAAACAAAAACATACAGTATGGCTGATAAGTGCAGTTTATGCTCTAGATTTTCAGAAATTATTGAGACACAGGAAGAGATGTATCAGACATCCTAGACACCACACAGTGCAAAAACCCATGCACATACATCAAAAGATCAAAAAAAGTATCTCAGAATCAGAGTAATAGAAAATAAAAGGCGGGAAAAAAAACTCACACTTGGATGGTTCTGCTAATTTCTGCAGAAATTCAGCGGCAATCCAAATGTGACCATGTAATAGAAAACAGATGTCTCACTAGAACCACAGATAGAAAGAAAATTTAACAGTTGCATGTTTTTTTGTGCACATATGGTGGTTGGGAGTACAACTACAACAAAAAATAGATTTGCTGGGATACAGCCCTGATGTTTAAAGGTGAAATTATTTTCCTTTTTTTCCCCTTCACCTTCCCTCACCTTTCAGCAGGTCAAAGGTCAGACTTAGCTGGGGCTTGCACTGTAGGACACTTTGCTTGCTGACACTGAAATATGTCCAGGACTTACATTGAGGTTACATTGAATATGTGTTTAGTTAAAGGGGGAAAAAAAAGATTTTTGACTGGTTCTATCAGTGATTATATTAAATGGAAAAAGGGGTCAAAAGGTCAGACAGCAGTTAGATAATCCATGCAAGAGCTGGTAATAACACACTTCTTTTTGCCAACCACCTTTTTGTGTGGTTTTAGAGTCTACACTTAGAGCACAGCTAAATGCTAATGTTACATACCAGTGTGCAGGAGAAGACACTGCTCACATGCTCATGTTTTGGTGTAACTTTGATTGTGGTCACTGCTGAAGTGATGACAGTGGGGTTCTCCTCTGTGGCTCAAAAAATGACAGTGCCTCAGTGACGCTGGAAAAAAGTGACAGAATCACCAAGTATTCAAAGGTACACTGTGCAGAAACAGTCATGTTTTATGATATCCAGCAGTCAGATTTAAAACTCTAATGCTTCCTTGCTCACCCCCTCTATCAGAAAATCCAGTGTGCCCTTTAAAGCTCCTATCATGCATGATGAGTATGATCCTCTATTTGTCAAGATTTTACGTTAAATTTTTTTTATTAAGACAGTTTTCTTGCTAACAACAATTACAGTCTTCACTGTCATCCAACCACTGCATTTTGGCCATTAAAATATAGAAAGCAAATATGTTACTTAAAAACTTTGCATCTTTCACTATTTTTATTCATATATTATTTATATTCATTTATTTATATATTTTTTTTCTTTTTCAAAATTCTTTTTATTGAGTTTCGCTTGGATGTATTTTAACAGCAAATGTCAGGGCACAAGGGATTCACTTCAACACATGAAACAAGTAATTCAATCAATCAATAAATAATAATGATAATAATGACAACAAAAACAACAACAACAACAATAATAATAATAATAATAACAATAATAATAATAATAATAATAATAACAACAACAACAACAACATCAACAACAATAATAATAATAACTATAATAATAATAATAATAATAATAATAATGATAATAATAATAACAATAACATCAACAACAACAATAACAATAATAATAATAATAATGATGATGATAATAATAGTAATAAAGTAGATGAATAAATCTGTAAATATCAAAGTAAAAACAATGCCAAGATCATACAGAATCAGATCAAACCAAAGGAAATAGAGAGAGAAAAAAAAAGTAAAAAAAAAAAAAAAAAAAAGAGTAAAAAACAATAAAATAAAAAAAATTGTATTCAATGTTTTCATTTAAAACATGTAAATGGGCAGGCCCCTCTTACCTTAAATGAATTTATTCAGGAGAAAAATCATTCTTATAAATAACCACCTGACCTCAGTGTAAGGGGGTTGTAATGTACCAAGGCATAAAACTAACCTTATTTAACACTCCCGTGAGGAACTTTCAGGTATTGTTAAATATGGTGCCCCTGTGGACAAAGCAGTCTCTGTTTATCTTGTTCTCTGCATGCTTGAGACAAACAAAACAATCCCATCCTGCTGACTTTTGAGAGTCAGATGCATCATTATCAATATTTCAAGAGGAGATTTTAAGAACCCCAACCTCCAGTTTCAGATGTTTAACATCAGGTTATGAAAATCTTGAGTCTTGTTGTTGATTGTCTATTGTGCTTTTGGATACCATAAAAATGCATCACTGAATTTCAGTGTATTTCATAAGCACCCTAAAACTCCTCACAGGAGCTTTAAATCTGTGCTGTCTGTTTGGGGAACACATTCCTTAAACAAATGAACAGCTTTCAGTAGATGTAAAAACTACCTTTTAAAGACACTCAAACACTGATGTAATATAAAGCAGCCATTTATTTATATATGATATCTGTTCACTCCTCTGGTGGCTTGAGGTATAACTTGCATTTTTACCAGTTTATTGTACATGGACCTGTCATTTGTAATGCAACAAAGGTGTCCAAATTGTATGAAGTACTGTTAAAAAGTAACTGGCATGTTGACGTTGATGCATACTGCTGAAGTGTTCATTTATTTTCATTTTCCTGGATAAGTAAACTAAGTAAATACATCAATCAAATAAACTGTACTCACTGCACTTTTAAAATACATCCTAGATGAGTCTTATTTGTTGTCTTGTATGTATATACAAAAATTCATTCAATTCGATAAGTAAAGAAACTCACTCTGGGACGGTTCTGTTACAATTCTGCTGCAGACTGAGCATAAACATTGATTATTTACTGTACACACATTTACACTGTGAGAACATAAAGCATTTTTCTTTGGTTTTATATCACTTCACATGCTCATCCTGCTGTTGCTGTACTGTGCATGTCAGAGAGTTCAATTCCCATGATTTTTCTGATGTGGCCTGCAGATCTGCCAATGTATTAAGCAGCCACACGATTCCTAATGGGATATCCAGGCCAGAACATGAGAGGAACAAGCTGTTTCATGCAAGTTTGCGTCCCTTACATGAAATGCTGAAGAGGGAGATGAGTACAGAGGAAGGCACCCATGACTAGAGATGGAAATCCATGTTTCTAAATAAAGGAAAGTTTTGATAAACTAGATGAAGTTTCTTGGTCAGATATTTCTGCTCTTGCACTTCAAGTTACAAATTAAAATTCTCAGAGTTTGAAGTATTAGCACTTCAAGTCTTTAAAACTTATTTTGATCCAAATGTTAACAACTAAAATCAGTCCAAGAGGTTGTTGGAGGTGGGATGGGAGTAATGTTTTTTTGCCAAGACGACCAAGTGCAAATGAGAAAGAAATGAAGAAGGAGGAGGAGGAGGAGGACAGCTGCTGACCAGAGTTATTACTCTATGAAGCTCCTCTCTCTGTCTTGGCCGTGGATGGGTTTTTCCTTAAAAAGAGAAGAAGAGTGGAGCACTGTGTGTGTGTGCGTGTGTGTATGTGTGTGCATGTGTGTGTGCATGTGATGGAGAGATGTGGAGGTGGAGGGAGGTGGAGTTGGGGGTTCTGGTCTCTCTTAAAAGTGTGACTCATAGAATAGGAATGACCTCCCTCACAAAAAAGAGTAAACCAGTCTCTGTTCTCTCTCTCTCTCTCTTTTCCTTTTTCTCTTTCTCTCGCTTTAATTTTTTTCTTCATTTCTTTCACATGGACTAAAAGAGCGTTTCAGTCTGGGGGGATTTTCTGCGTAATCAGTTCCAGAATCATAAACAGCTCAAGTCTTCCGACATCACTGGAACTTTTCTCTCAGAGACGCACAAAAAAACGGTGCGATCCCTTCGCGTGAAAACATGCACATAAAAAGGCAACTATGGAACATAAATTCTAGATTCTGTTGTGTGCAAAATA